CCTAAACCCTAAACCCTAAACCCTAAACCCTAAACCCTAAACCCTAAACCCTAAACCCTAAACCCTAAACCCTAAACCCTAAACCCTAAACCCTAAACCCTAAACCCTAAACCCTAAACCCTAAACCCTAAACCCTAAACCCTAAACCCTAAACCCTAAACCTAAACCCTAAACCCTAAACCCTAAACCCTGAACCCTAAACCCTAAACCCTAAACCCTAGACCCTAAACCCTAAGCCCTAAACCCTGAACCCTGAACCCTGAACCCTGAACCCTAAACCCTAAACCCTAAACCCGGAACCCGGAACCCTGAACCCTAGACCCTACACCCTAAACCCTAAACCCTACACCCTAAACCCTAATTTTGAGAAGTGGTTACAATGGCTGTACCTCATGGATTTCATCCATCCTTGCAACAATGCAAAGTTTGAGAGTAGATGACAACGATGGTGTATAGCAGTGCATGCAGGTCGAGAAAGGCATCATGCAGACACCTCACAAAACAGGCCCAATCTGCAGCCATGCACGGGTGTGCAAGCATAACTTTGAGAAGTGGTTGCAATGGCTGTACCTCATGGATTTCATCCATCCTTGGGGCTATGGAAAGCTTGACAGTAGATGAAAACGATGGTGCATAGCAGTGCATGCAGGTCGAGAAAGGCATCATGCAGACACCTCACAAAACAGGCCCAATCTGCAGCCATGCACGGGTGTGCAAGCAGAACTTTGAGATGTGGTTACAATGGCTGTACCTCATGGATTTCATCCATCCTTGGGGCTATGGAAAGCTTGAGAGTAGATGAAAACGATGGTGTATAGCAGTGCATGCAGGTCGAGAAAGGCATCATGCAGACACCTCACAAAACAGGCCCAATCTGCAGCCACATTGCATCATGCCATGGCGTTCAGGGATTTGACCATTGGCAATTACAGAGGTTGGACCTTAATTGTTTCTTCTCATCCTCGGGGGAACAGGCATACGAAGATGCGTGACAGCATCTGTATGTTCATACAAATATTTTCACCATGCCATAGCCTTTTGCCATGCCATAGGGCCCCCTTTTGAGGAGCTAGAGACTTTGAAAGGCTCCCAGGGTCTTTATGGATTTCTTAAAAGGTGTGTCACCTTCAAATTGGCATTGCAACTTTTTCTGGGACATGCATCATGTGAAAGCTCTATATGAGTGGGTCCCATTGGAGGCCTTTGCACTATATCATAGGCCCCCCTTTGGAGGAGCTATGGGCTCCACAAGACTAGAAGGGAAATGATCACTTTTTTCAAGGTGTGATAGCTCCAAAACGGCATTGCAACTTTTGGTGAGACATGCATCAAATGAAAGCCCTATATGTATATGTCCCATTGCAAGTCTTTCCACTATGCCATAGGCCCCCCTGTTGAGGAGCTAGAGCCTCTAGAAGGCTGCCAGGGTCTTTATGGATTTCTTAAAAGGTGTGCTACCTCCAAAATGGCATTGCAACTTTTTCTGGGACATGCATCATGTGAAAGCTCTATATGAGTGGGTCCCATTGGAGGCCTTTGCCCTATGTCATAGGCCCCCCTTTGGAGGAGCTAGGGGCTCCACAAGACTAGAAGGGAAATGATCACTTTTTTCAAGGTGTGATAGCTCCAAAACGGCATTGCAACTTTTGGTGAGACATGCATCAAATGAAAGCCCTATATGTTTATGTCCCATTGCAAGTCTTTTCACTATGCCATAGGCCCCCCTTTTGAGGAGCTAGAGCCTCTAGAAGGCTGCCAGGGTCTTTATGGATTTCTTAAAAGGTGTGCTACCTCCAAAATGGCATTGCAACTTTTTCTGGGACATGCATCATGTGAAAGCTGTATATGAGTGGGTCCCATTGGAGGCCTTTGCCCTATGTCATAGGCCCCCCTTTGGAGGAGCTAGGGGCTCCACAAGACTAGAAGGGAAATGATCACTTTTTTCAAGGTGTGATAGCTCCAAAACGGCATTGCAACTTTTGGTGAGACATGCATCAAATGAAAGCCCTATATGTTTATGTCCCATTGCAAGTCTTTTCACTATGCCATAGGCCCCCCTTTTGAGGAGCTAGAGCCTCTAGAAGGCTGCCAGGGTCTTTATGGATTTCTTAAAAGGTGTGCTACCTCCAAAATGGCATTGCAACTTTTTCTGGGACATGCATCATGTGAAAGCTCTATATGAGTGGGTCCCATTGGAGGCCTTTGCACTATATCATAGGCCCCCCTTTGGAGGAGCTAGGGGCTCCACAAGACTAGAAGGGAAATGATCCCTTTTTTCAAGGTGTGATAGCTCCAAAACGGCATTGCAACTTTTGGTGAGACATGCATCAAATGAAAGCCCTATATGTTTATGTCCCATTGCAAGTCTTTTCACTATGCCATAGGCCCCCCTTTTGAGGAGCTAGAGCCTCTAGAAGGCTGCCAGGGTCTTTATGGATTTCTTAAAAGGTGTGCTACCTCCAAAATGGCATTGCAACTTTTTCTGGGACATGCATCATGTGAAAGCTCTATATGAGTGGGTCCCATTGGAGGCCTTTGCACTATATCATAGGCCCCCCTTTGGAGGAGCTATGGGCTCCACAAGACTAGAAGGGAAATGATCACTTTTTTCAAGGTGTGATAGCTCCAAAACGGCATTGCAACTTTTGGTGAGACATGCATCAAATGAAAGCCCTATATGTATATGTCCCATTGCAAGTCTTTCCACTATGCCATAGGCCCCCCTTTTGAGGAGCTAGAGCCAACCCTATGCAAACCCTAGCCTGAAACCATGTTTGAGGCCTTATAGAGAGCCAAGGAGGTCGAATTTTCAAATTATGACTTTGTAGGCGTGATCAGCACATCGAAATTGCCCAAGATCGCCCTTAAAACGGGGGTCCATTTTTGGACACCCCAACCCCAAAACACTAGGTGTAAACCCTACAACCCAAACCTGTTCAGTACTTGGGCAGATCCTCAATAGCAGCTATTGGACTGCATGGGTCCTTGAATAGCCGCTATTATAGCCCCCTTCAGTACCTAGGCAGATCACCAATAGCAGCTATTGGACTGCACGGGTGCTTGAATAGCCGCTACCAACAAACCTCTTTAGCACTTAGCCAAATTCACATGCCTCTGCAGGAGCCCCAATAGCAGCTATTTGGCTGCATGCATGCTTGAATAGCCGCTATTGGAGGATTCGTGGCAGGGAATAGCAGTTATTTGAGGATTGGTGGCGGAGGATAGCTGCTATTTGACCTCTGCCCGTCATGGGATGCCCATCATGGTTCATCGACCATCATGCTACCATCATGCCTAGCCATGCTTCTATGGGTTGTGGGCCTTCCAAGGTTCAAGGCCCCACCTCACCCTATAGTGTTGGTCACACATGGAGGCTTTGAGCCTTGATAGCACTCAGACAAAGCCCTTCTTGCTCCACAATGGCCTTTGAAGACTAGCTAAACCTTACACTCCTAAAAAATATATATATATATATATATATATATATAAACCCTAAACCGAACTTCCGTGAGCTCACGGGGCAAGGCATGAGCTCATTAGTAATGCGTGAGCTCACTTGTAAGCTGAACTTAGGGGGTGAGCTCACCCCCACGTGATGTGAACTCATGTGAGCTCACGGGGCAAGGCGTGAGCTCATGGGGCCACAAACTAGTGCATGGCTATGACCTACTTAGGAAGTCTTGGGAAGTGCCCAGGAATCCATTGTGAAGTTCCTAGTTTCCATAGTGTGGAAGCCTTCAAAGATCTAGATATTCACATCCGACGGGGATACGGCCGCTGGCGTGGCAAAGCCACGCTGGCGGCCATGTGTGTGCCTTTGTCACTGGTTGTGGACGTGTTGCGGAAAAGCAGGTCTTTAGGTCAAAAGTCTGAAATGGCCAAATGCTGCGTGTATGACGCTCTGTGCAAAAACGCGGATTTTTTGGGAAGCAGTCAGGGTGTTGATTACGTCCGGTGTGACCACTGCACACGCAGTGGTCTTGCGGATAGGGGTTTTGACTTCACAGCCGTGAGCCCCAAGAATGAGCGCGGAGGACAATTCATTCAGTCACTTGAGTCCCAAAGAAAGAAAGGACATCGCGACAGCTCTGATGGACATGCAACCGGAACTGCAGGCAGCATTATTGCCCCATCTCATACATGCATCCGGGGTGAATGCGGCACCCCCCACGATGACGCCTCAAGCCCCGCAGCAAGCGCCCCGTGTGACGAGGTCCACAACGTGCCAAAGAGTGCCGCAAGATGGTGCAAATTCCGGCCTCAACTGTGTGTTATTTGGCACTTGACAAGTTTGACCTAGTTGGGGATGTTGAGGATGTCAACTGTTTTTCTTGAAGCACGCTTGTTCGTTTCGCCGTCTTGCAGGCGCAGAGTCTCCCAGCGCCAGGCAACCCAGCGCGGCGCCCGGGGGAGAGCCCGCAGCACCGCCGCTCCGTATGTTTTGGGGCCAGCGGATGTTATTGCGCATTCCCAAATTTTCCCTTTTGCATGCACAAGTTCGCCCCGGCATGACCAGTTCTGACCCCAATTTGCCTCTTCTTCATATATACAGCCAAGGAGAAGGGGATATACAGCCAAGGAGAAGGGGAAGGCGATCGCTTCCTGAGGTGGTAGCACCCAACGCTCCACCGGAGCTAGGGCATGACTCTTATGGGGTCATAGGGTATAGCCTCACAATTAAATGCTCGAGCATGGGCGTGCCTCGCCGTTGGCTGCACAAACTGCGGAATTGGATGGAAAAGCACTGTGTGCGTGGGGCGTTTAGCTTTGAGGTCGGTTCTAGAGCTTCCCATTCGAATTCCCGCTACCAAGCCATTTTTGTGTGCCGCGCACCGCAACGCAAGCCGGGGCTTCATAGAATTAGGGATAGTATTAGGACGCATTGCCGCATTGAGACCAGCCACCGGGCCTCTTTGCTCCTTAAAGAGTATGGGGAGAACCAAGGCTTCTCCGAGATGATTGAGTATGTGATGAAGGACAAGGGGCAACCTCACTTTGAGGAGCTCCTCGAGGTACGTTGTAATGTGTCAGATGAGGAGGTGGCGGCTGGTGTGGAGGCGTATGGGCTGGTTAGGAACATGTATGCGGATGGGAAGAAGGAGATCACCAAGGCAGGCCTCATCAAGGTTCTGTACAGCTTCTAGAAAGCTCAGTTATTCCCTTGCCGTCACAGCTCGGGAACGACGTCGTCCATGTTTTGCGTTTGATGTTCTGTTTGGGGGAGTGGATGCCTTCTCCCATGTGGATTATCACAGGGCAGGGCTCGGGTTTGGACATCCAGAAAGCGGAGAAATTGTGGGAGATGGCCACGATGGCCGATTGCTCAAGCATCACTTTTGAGCGAGTGCAAGACGTGTTTTTTTGGCACGCCCGGGCGCCCTATGCGCATGCAGCCGGAACGACAGTATTTCTTTGGAGGAGGCGCGCAAAATTGCCAGGCAATTGCGTGACCAAGTGCTTATGCAAGATGACAATGAGCAGCCGCGATGCTGTCGGTGCTAGGAGAGCTCGGGAGGCGCGACGTAGGGATTTGAAGGCCGGCAGTGACCATCTAGAGCATGGCAGTGAAGGCGGGGCTCCTCCTAGGCGTCAATACCAACGTGGGGAGTGCCCGGTTAACACCCACCGCACTGCTTAGCCTGTGCCTGCACTTGTTTTTGGTGAGCAGCAACACGATATATAGGGATGAGTGGGAAGCTCACGGCGGGCTTATTGCAAGCACGTCTGGGGGAGTGCGCAATCCACCCCCGCCTCTTCCCCCGATGGAGGATTCTGACTGAACATGTGGATAGTGAACTCGTTTTAACATGAGTTATTGCCTTTCTTCTATTCTGTGTCCGTTCCTATTATGCGGTGGGGTTGCCTTGTTTTTGGGTGTGCATACAACCGCTGTTATGTGTGTGCTGCACTGTTCAGCTCAGTGTGTACCGTAGGGAACTTCTGATCATTTCGACCAGCCCATCCAGTTGCCCATCATGTAAACATTCCCACGTAGGCAATCGGCCCTGTCGATATTGTCATTGGCAAAGATTGCAAGTGTATTTGTGTGCATATCACAACATTACTCTCTTTAAAATCACAATTTCTTGTTGTACAAAAATCTCTTGAAGATTGCAAGGGACTCAAGCGGCTTCATTTCGGGAGTGAAATGTCCTGCGCCGAGAATGGTTGCATACGTAAGCCCCTCGTACTCCACAACGTATCCCGCCACCTGCGAAAGAACAGTTTTCCTCATACATGTGATATAGCGAATAACTTGAGTAAGGAGTACCTCGCATTTTTAAAAGTGCATGTCACATCAGGCACACCTGCGTGTTTTCATGCCATGGCCTCCATTTGTCCAGAACAGGCAATCCGAATCCCCTTGTCCACGTCTCAGCTCCAGTGTGCGGCACGCACATGTCATGATCGCCATTATAGATGAGCACCCGCATGCCTGCACACTCAAACCTGATGTTCAATAAATCTGATTATGTTGCTGCAGACATGTGTAAATTTTATCAAAAGGTTGATCACACTGATCCAGTAGACTAACGCAACAAGTCTAGATGTTACATTATACTTCCTGTGCATGAAGACGTGCTGCATGTGGGCCCCTGGACGTTGCATTTGCACTCTTCTATAAAAAAGGACGATTAATGGAGGTATTCATCCACGGCTTCAGATAATAAAAGCATGGCCGGGCAAACCACGGCAACAGAAACAATCGCACATGGATGGCAAGCCTCACCTTGCTTCAAGAGCTGGCGGTGGGTGGGAATCATCGATCCCAGATCGTGAGTGTAGGAAATTCTGCTGGTGCACTCCTTCGCAGCAACCCATGGTGCATCTTTATCATTTCTTGCTTCAGCGGTTGGGTACACAAACTAATGCCACTTGTAAGAACTGTAAACTGCTGTGAAGATACAGAATATCTGAGCACACGTGTTGCTTGGTGCAGACACTCAAGGCGGGCTGATGTGAGAAAGTACACCTGAAAAGGCCCAGTGGTGTCCACTGGAGCAGCATGCAGCGCCTTGCGCACTGCCTCGTCATCCAGCCACACACTCAGCTCCCTGCCAAAACGCACACCACAAATTGCTCCTTTGCCAAACTTGGAGTAGCAAGTCATGCCCACATAGCAAAGCTCCCCCAGCCGAGCATGTATCAGCTAAGATCAGACAAGCCGCACATGCCTGAGCATGGCGGCTCAGCCACTTACTCATGTGGAAACCGTTGATGGGTCTTTCATAAGCCAAGCACCGCTTTTGCTGAAGTGACAATATTAATCAGAAGCATAGTGGCGTGATGTAAGGAACGCTGACCTGTGGTCGAGGCAGGGTGGGTGCTCTCCCAGCTGCCGCCCCAGCAGATGCGCCCAATTAGGCACCAGCGCCCCTTCCAGCACCACACCCCCCAGTGGCCACATCATGCCTCCCCCTTTGATGCCAGCTGCTGCGGCTCTGCGCAGCGCCTGCACATGCTGCTGTCCATTGCCAGGCTGAGCGCCATTGTAGCAGGGCTCCAGGATGTCGTACAGGTTCAGATGGCCAACATCGGTGTTGAGCTCGTCTAAGAGGTCCGCGCACTTGGTGCCTCCAAGCAAGTTTCAAAGTAAACATATGTTTTCTGAATTCAAGATTAAGAGCACACAGATGGTCAGATTCGCACAGGTGGTTGCACTTGGCATGACGTTTCTCACTCTTGGGTCATTTTCAAGATAAAATGGCCTCTCTTCATTCTCCTGATTTCTTTCTGGCATTCACTATTTGGTATTCTCTGGGCACTCACGGCAAAGACAGCGTCAGTCATTGACTACACCCTCTGCAGAGGTGTCACGCACCAGGCTGGGCATCCCAGTAGCTCCCATTGCACTGCGCAACAAGTGCAGAGTGCAGCTCTGTAGATATGAGCGACTTGAAGTGGGCAAAGCTCACGAGAGCATTCCCATCGGTCTCTGGGTCAGTCACTCCGTTGCCAATAAGATAACCCTGCACATGTACAAGCACGTCAACAAGAGTAAAGCAGGCAGTCTATTGATATGTGCACGTTCCATTGTATGAAGTAAAAGGACAAAGGAACGCAAAGAAAGACATGTATTGAAACACTTTTTGAAAATCCATTTTCAATTTGATGCGGCACATATATTGAACCCAGAAATTGCAGCCACATGCAATATGGGCATGCAGTACGTCTGATGACTTGCCTGCAGATCAATCTTGGGGTGCTGGCCATTGGCATTGCCCTCCAGCACCTCCTTGACAAGTGTTGGTACATACACCCCTGCATAGCTCTCGCCTGCACATGGGAGTGACAAGGCGATTGGTAAGCCTGCCAAAAGAGTCAATCAAAATTGGGAGCTTAGCAATGGGAGCAGCTGTCCTTTTTGGAGTCAGCCATGCAAAGCTGCACCTGATATGTAGAAAGGCAGCTTGGCAAACTCGTCAAATTCCTGGAAGAAACTCCGCAGGAAGATGTTCGAGTCGTGCGCCGTGTGGGTGTCATTTGTGGTGTAGTCCTCTGGAGTGGCTGAATAGCTCAGCCCGACCCCGGCTGGTGAGTCCAGATACAGCATGTTGGCAACCTGGCTCCATGCGCCCACATTTCTGGTAATACTAAGGCCCTCTGGCAAAACACATAAAGCTCTGTGATCTACAGCGTGAATGCTCTGCACACAATGCAGGTTCACTAGAAGCAGACATGTTGGAGGGGTTGGAGAACCAAGGCCTCACAGCATTGACAATAGCAGAGGGCAAGCAGGGGCAACTGTGACTCACTGGATACATTGGAGGCATTGTTGAGCTTGAAGCGCAAAGGGCCATGCTCGAAGAGGAACCCATCAAAGGAGGAGCAGCCAGGGCCACCATTTAGCCACAGCACCACAGGGTCGTAGGCTGGGTCCCTCTCGCTGGTCACAAAGTAGAAGAAGAGCTTTCTGCCTCTCTGGTGGTCCACAGTAATGTAGCCTGCATGGACGGAGTGATCATTTTCATGCAATACTGCAGACATCAGCTGGGAGGTTGGACAGAAGCACTTGCCACAGCTGCTGCCAATAGTGGTTCATTAAAGATAAGTACTGGACCTTCACATTACAATTATGCAAAATCTCTATGTTTCAATAACAATCGCACAGTAGGACAGCTTTGAGCTGGAAGTGGGCCTGCCTGAAAAGTGGCGTGATGGAAGAGGCCCCTTGTATCCTGGGAGCTGTGATATCTCATACTTATTGGTCGAGTGGGACCTAGGAGTACGCAGAACTTCAGAATCGATTTTGTTCCGATCGATTGCCCCTTCAGTTGCTGCAAGAGTCGCAAGGATCAAGAAAACGATATTCATGATCTACACAGAGCTATGCTCCAGTGGACTGCAGTATCACGTTCGTACTCCCGATAAATATTATTTTATCAAGTAATATACATTGACATACAGTGGTTATGCCATTCGACACTTTCAATTGTGCCATGGGCATCGACTATGTTCAGGTCGGCTTGCTGTGCTTACTACTTTGTTGGCATCTAGGACCAACTAAAGCACAACCAGTATTGGAGAGTATTTCACGCCCCACTTTTCTGAATTCATCCCGATGTGAGATGCTGTGGAGCAGCTTCCAATGGGAGAGAAGCTGCCACTTTGATTTCACTCGCCCTGAGTGCTTGTTCCCCGTCAAAAAATTTACCATCAACATTCATAGCCAACCTCCAATGTCAGCACATGAAATGGTTCTCAATATGATGCCAACACCTTGGCACTCATCCCATCCTTGGCAACCTGCGGCCGCCCAAAATCGTCCTGCATAGAGAGAAACAAGAGCTTGATCATATGTGTGCGCACTGGATAGACGCATCATTCCCAAACCACAAGGAAACTTTTCAACAAATAGCACAATAGGTTTACATTACTTGCAGTGTGACATCTTCAGGGCCCTATCATCATGGCTTGTGCTTGTATCAGGGTTTGCTCCCTTCACAAAAATTCTGGTCATCTATGCAATCTTCACGGTATTCGCATCAGTAGCACTGCTTTGCGCTTACCTGGCGAGACACAGAGTAGCAGAGGTGGGTAGCGTGCAGCCAGGCATGCATCTCAGCCAAGCTCTTAAAGCCAGCTGTGTCCCGCTCCCATGTCTGCATGCACCAAGGACACAAGGAAGCGTCAGTATTCTACTACAACTGTAGTTCAATGACATTGAGCAGAGAAACACACAGCCATGCATGGCCCAAGCTTGCTCCTGAAACCAGAGGGGTAATCCCCTAGACAATGTGACTGCGGTACGTCACAGCAGAATAATTCTTGCAGGAGTCGTTTTTCCCCTGGAAGGTCTGACAGGTCAGAACCTCCAAGCTCTGAGCTTCTCGCTGCCGCCGTGCGGCCAAGACGTCGTCAGGGAACGCCCCATCGTCATGCACAGCATGGTAATTTAGCTGGAAGTGGGAGCAGTCCCCACAAAGGGACCCCCCTGCCAGCGCAAAACAGCGCTCAAAGATCGCGCGGCTGCGGGGCATGTGAAATGCGCTCGTCACTATCGAGCACCGCCTGCACATCCCAGCATGGTCTTGGATTGATCGGGCATTTTCAATATTTCGGAGCAGAAGAAGCAGACAATAAATGCAGGAAGCAGCCACAGTAGGCATGCAGTGAGCAAGAAGATGTACCTCCAGCCAGCCGGGATGGCATGGATTGTGAGTGCAAAGAATCCGTTCCTGCAGCAAAGGAAGACGATTTAGCATTGTAGCCACCATGAAGAGAGTGATATTGAGATCTAGAGCAAGCTGTCCACCTTAAGTTATGTAGTTGGTAAGCACACGCACCCAACTGTGTCGTATGATGACACCTCATTGAGTATGCTTGCCGCAGACACTCCCTGACTCAACACACATCAAGCACAGATCATATCTTGATGGACAGACATCATATTAAAATCAAATGATAGGGAAAGTCAGTGTCAACGGATATTCTGTACAAACTTGTGGGTCCATTTATGAATATAGGCACGCCAACAGAGCTTCAACCCACAGCTTCACCATGGCAGTAGTGCTGGGCGTGACCCCACCTTTGCTCTCAGGTAATTGGCACATGAAGTTGACTCATGAATTACGTGGCCAGAGGGCCCAATAATAGCAGGCTTATGAGGAGTCCCCCCGCCCAGGCACAGCAGTGGGCAGTGTGCACCTGCATAACGGTCATGACAAATAATCAAGCGCATCCCTTCATGTAAAAGGCTGCAGAACGGGCGCAAGATAAAGTACCAGAGGACAGTAGCAAAAGAGGCCATGCCCATGAACAATCAGCATTTCTAAGACAAAGCGAGAAAGCAAATCGCCTTGCTGGCGCTGAATGTCAGCTCCCGCATCCAATCGCCGGGTGACCCATTCTGGCAGGCCACCATCTGGCGTGAGGCCACCTGCATGCCACATTTGTCTATTCTGCCTGATGCCTTTCCAGAAATATGCTCATGCACATTCCAAAGAGACCGCCCAGTCAACATTGGGCATCCCAAGGTGCCCGTCTGGTGGAAACACATGCCACATATGCCAGCAGGCTTTACAAGGTTCTCCTGTTGGCTGTGTGTCTGCATGTCAAAGTCAAGAAGAATAGCTGCACCTGCAAGGACGATCACAGCATCATAATCCGTGCGTACAGGAGAGCTGTCCGCGTCCAGCCAGGAGCCATTGCCTGCGCCATCCTGCTTGCTGACACAGGTGTGGAACCTCTGCCGCTGTAGACGCCTCTGCTGCGGTTGCAGGGTGCCCAGATGGAACTGAGCCAAGCTTTTCCGGGCATACAGAGCCTGCCACAAGAAATAGCAGAGCTAAGGGCCTAAATTTCTGCATCAAGAGGCTTGCAAGGAGCATTCTATATATCCAAGATGTGCTGAGACAGTCGAGATCGCCAATCCTTGGTCTGGATCTCTTACCTTTGATATAGTTCGAGCCACAGGGATCATGATATCCAGTGAAGCAATCGCTATGCTTCAATGCTTCCCAAGGCTGGGGAGTTGCTTGGGTACAGGGCTGTCAATGAGCTGGCTGGGGAATCGAGAGCCCACTTGCCGCACCGCGCGGCTGCCTTATTGGACTGATATGCTTTTCAATATTACCCTTCAAACATCATCATTCACTGCTTGCACATACTGCTAAACTGTTGCAATCACGGTGAGGATGTACAGTCCCATAGGCCAGCTGAGGAGCGTGATCTCCTTATGTCGTGATGTGTGCTGCCATAAATCTCTGTACAGCAATTAGTGACAAGTACAGCAATTAGTGACACGATCATTGGTGCCATTCTGTATTTTTGATACATTTTAAGTTCTAAATGTTGCACAAAAAACCGGCACGCCGCTTTAGAAGGCACCCTTCCTTTGCCATGCAACATGCATGTTGTTGTTGGCATTGTGCAGACAATGTAATTGCAGCACGACTCTGCAACGTCCTGTCGTGTGTAATCTATGAAATTCATCCCATCTGCAATGGGCCAGTCTCGCTAGGCCAACGGTCACGATCTGGCATGTGCTCTTGGACATCGGGTTGCAACCTCGGGTGATGGTTACTTTCAGCTACCATCGCATCGATGTTGTCGAGCCAGGACTTTGATGCAGTCACTTGGTCTGCTGAAGATGACTTGATCGTCGAGGAGCTTGTTGTCAGAGCAGACCAGCTCCTGACATCTAGGAAAGACAGCTCAGCTGCAGGCGCCGCTATAAGCGCCGCCCCATCAGATCATTCACAGCAAGTGCTTCCTGATAACGCATTGGAGCGGGCATCAGATCCCTCGAAGCCCCCTGATGACCAAGCAGCGAACCTGGCATTCAGGCTGCCAGATTTGGAGGACATTGGCCTCGTCCTGGACAGGAGGCGGTTCAGAGCAATGGGACTCTCAGTAACTGACTTTGTAGCTTCAGAGTGGTGCCAGCAGCAGTTCGCCCTTGCTCTCACTGCAGACCTTCCACCGGTGAGTGCCACGGACCAAAAGCACACAAGTCGCTAGAATATAGACAACTATTGCACAACAATGATGCAAGACCCGTGCTATAAGATTTACCTGAAGCAGGAACGTGACTTGCTCTGAGCAGGAGGTGACTAAGACAGCGGCCATGGCCGCCGGCTCTGACCTGCACAAGGCGCTGGAGTCGGAGGTGAAGACGTTTGTGGAGATTGAAGTTATCACCAGGGAGGACGCCTGGGCGCTGAGGCTCATCGAGTGCATTGCCTGCCTGCGGCAACTCATGCGCAAGGGCATGACACGAGAGGTCTATGTCTTCGGCAAATTCCAGGTAAGGCGTGGAATGTACCCACCTCGCCAGCAGATACTTATGTGGAGAGTTGCATCTCCAGAGACAGCAGATCAGCACACTGCATTCCAAAATCATAAAGTAGTTGCCATGCTGTGTGGCAGCATGCTGTGTATCCGGAGGCAAGACAAGGCATACACACGTCAATATCTGCCAACACAGCGCCTGCATGACAGGGCCAGCAGCACTGATGGTGTTCACCTATGAAGACGATATGACTGCTGGTGCTCTTGCACTTGAGAACGCTGCGTTCAAACAAGTAATAAGTCCACTGGCATGCCCTACACTGAGTGAAGAGCATCATTCATGAGCTGCTGTGCAGTTCAAGGTGTTCCCACGTAAAATATTGTTTGCAGACTTCTGCTCCGTGTGATTATGTACCATGATTTGCGCCTGACGATTGTTACCCACCCTGCAGGGCCACTGGGTGAAGGGCATCATCGATGAGCTGCAGCTGGATGAGCTGGGCAAGGTGCGCATCGTGGAGCACAAGACCCGGCGCAGATCCTCGGTCCCATCGGACGCACAGAAAGAAACTGCACGCCTGCAGGTGCACTCCCCTTCTGAATTGACGAGCACTGCACTGGCTGCTCATATGCATTCCCACTCTGTGGTCCAGAATGGTGGCTGCGTAGAGCGACAGCATGCGGCGTTCCTCTTTGCTGGCAGTTGATGTGTTTGCAGCTGGCATGGCTGGTTCTTTGCTGGCTCATGTGCGTTCTTATTAATATTGGTGAGCTGCACTGATGAACTCCACAGCATGACAGAATGTGTTGTTGGTGTTTGGCGCAGGTGATGTTGTACCGGAGCTTGCTGCTTGGGCTGGCAGATGCATGTGATGCGGAGTGTGGGTCTGAGATCTTGGCGCTGCACCGGTTGGACGGAAAAGCGCAGCTTTCAAAGGAGGTGAGTCATGCGGCGCATCGCGGGGTAGCAGCTGTTTTTATATTTGCATGTTGTTTGCGTCTTAATCCCTGGCTTACAAAAATGTCATCTTGAGATTAAAGGGAAGGAAGATATGTAGTGTGAGGTGCGCAATTGGAGCAAAACGCATGATGGTCGCTCCGGCATTAGAATTCTGCTGTGCTTTTTGTTGCAGGTGATGAAGCACGCAAGGACCCACAAGGTTGCGCTGATTGTCAACCTGAACCAGCTGCTCAGCAGCCTCCGGGCAACCGCCCAGAAGCTGCCACCCTGCTCCGAGGAGATGGAGGTGCCTCTCAGTCAATTTTTTTAGCAGCCCATTTTGAGCACCAACGTTATCGTGGTTCACCCTCTGGGAATTCATGCTCTTTTTTTAAATGGTACCTGGAGGTGAAAGTAGTGCATTCTTGAAAATGCGCAGGTGAGGTACCTGTGGCAGGGGGATGGGAGCTTGCTGGGGTGCATGGCAGTTTGGTGGGATGCTGACTGGACAGAACGCCAGGTCAGCGCCCACCTGGCAGTATTGGCCGGCGAAGCAGCGCCGTCCAAAGTTCTGCAGGAGCACGCGTGGAAGTGTGAGTACTGCATGTTCTTCCATGCATGCGGCGGACCCTCGCGCTGTGCAGACGCTGCCAGCCGCCCTCCTTCAGCAGCAGTCCCTGTATAAGTGTATTATTAGAGGAAGGGCGCCGCAGTGTCAGCTTTGTCAGGTCCAAGGAAATGAGATGGTGCCTTGCACCTTCTGAAGAGCTTTTTTTAAACTGTACCAGTACTGCATGCAGCCTAGCAAATACTTGTTCAAACGAAGAAGGTCCTCAACCTCCAGTAGCGAGCACATCACTTGAACTCAAGGGTTCTGACAAGAAATTTTAGAAATTATTTGAATCATACGCTGTCCCTTTTGCGGCCAAGATCTTCCTCGTATCATTCCCATATAGGTATGGATGGGACGTGGCCAGGTGGTTCAAATGCGACAGGACTGTACAGTGCAGAAAGTGAAATATATCGCACGCGTGATTTATCAGACGAAAGGAATGCAGTACTGCAGGCTGATTGACTAATGGTGTATATTTTGGGCAAATTTTGCAAATGTCACTTCAATAGAAGTAGGATAATGTCATCCCAACCCTAAACCCTAAACCCCTAGGATAATAGGATAATAGGATAATGATAAGGATAATAATGATAGGATAATGACCTGAAAGATTTAAATGAATTCAAGCAAATCACATATCCATGGTGTGCCCAAAGTCAGCAGGCACTTGACACAGCCTAAAAGTACTTGGGAAGCCCAAAAACTAGTGCACAGCGATAGAGACAATTACAAAAATACATCAGCAAGCATGAGAAAAGCACTTTGAACAGGACTGGCGTTCAGATTTGCACATATTATCATCAGCACATACGTGTTGCATCATCTTGTCACCATGCCTGACTGCAGTGCTCTTTGCAGACAGCTATAGCTATAGGCACGTGCTAAGGTCATTTAATAGCTTGCCCACCTGCAACTTCAGCCTCAAAGCTACAGGCGCTGCTGATGTGTTCAGGCATGGTTTACCAATCACATTGGTTCTTCTCCCACACCAACATTGCCTAAATTTGGATCAGTCTGCATCTATGACCCAGCATGTTGAGCACCCCACATCGACAATTATTCTGGGCTGTCGTGAGATCCTCACTGGCGCTTCTATTGACAATATTGCCGGTACTGCGCAGGTTCTTCGTATCAGATTTTTCGGTTTGTCGATAGCAGGCAGGGATTTCAAATTGATATTTAGACAAGGTGTCTTCCCTCAGCTGAGCCAGCCCCAGAATTATGCATATCTGCTCGTGAGCCAAGGACCCATTTGAGCGGAACAGCCAAAACCTTCTACACCAGGGTCCTTATTCAAAACCTGCATGTTATTCTGTACCCCTGCAGACGTTTTCATAATTGGCGGCTCATCTCACATGACTTTTTTTGAGAAACAAATCATTAAGCTCCTGCTGTTGCTGCACTTGCTTTCTCACAGGCCCGTTATCTTCGACTGCAGCTGCACCCACCTTCCAGCCATATTGTATCCTGCGCCCAGATGAAGTGCGCCAGGGAAGCCCTGACTTCACTTCTCCACCTGGCAACATGTCCTGTGGGTGTTCAATCAAGGCATTTTTGGGGCTCAACGCCTTCATCTGGCAACATATCCAAGGGTCCTTATTCAGAGCTTTCTCGGGGTTCGGCGCCTTCATCCACCCCCATGAGAACCCTGTGACCTCCTGAGGATTAAAAACCCATTTAGGCGGCGGCGGGGTCGACATCGGCCAGGCGCTCGAGCAGGGAGGTGGCCAGAGCGGAGGGGAACAGCGCGGTGCTGGAAAGTGCGTTGCCCGTTACGGGGGATGTTTGGTCCGCGCGCAGGTGCTCCTCGATGGACGCGCGCTCGTACGTGAAGCCGTCCGCCGCCGCCACCGGGTCACGCAGCGGTGCCTGCAAGTCATGCGTACAGACCCTGAGACTGAATTATTTCTCCTGTTTCAGCAAAGAAAGGAAGAGACACAGAGCATCGTAGGATATCTTTTCGTGGGAGGTTGATCTTTGTATATGAAGAGGGTTGACGGAAGCGAGCGCTGCATGCACCCTGTCAACTTCTGGGAGCATATACTGCAATCTGAGAAAGCAAACAAGGTACACAAAGCGCTGGTTTGCTGCCAAGCTTGAAGTTGGTCCGCAATAATGGATTCAAACTGAATTATAAGTGTGTGTCAACATGATTGTATTTGGCAGCAAGACACGCAGTCTTGCTACTTACAGCCTTTCCTGGATACGGAGCTGTGTTGCTGTGCAATAGGATTCCATTAAGATGTTTGGTATGCGCGATGATTGAAAAGGGGGTGCACCTTGGTGATGGGGTCGCAGAGATCGCGCTTGATGGCCTCCAGGATGCGTGCCACGTCCTTCAGGTTCGGCCTCTTGCGGCCGCTCCTCCGCCCTGCCTCACCGCGCCCATCCTGCCCATTACAAACGTGTGAGCTACATTTGACGCAATTCTTACATGATCCCTACAACAGTCAAACAATGGATTGCGCGTGGCCCGCTGCATGCACATGACTCCACTTTGCAGATAGAGTAGATGAATGATTGGTAAGGACTCAGACCTCCGTTAGCAGACCACGAATTAGATGATAGTCTCCCAAGACTGCCCACATTCATGCCACCCGTCCTTGACACCAAGCTGCGATGACAGAAAGCTGCACACTAGCATTCACCATGATGCTTGTACAGAGGAGCGCACCGCCTCAACTGCAGCAGCTGGCTCGCTGCCGTCCCCGTCGGCGAAGGTGGGGTTATCAAAGGTCTGCACGCCGCCTGCTGCGCCCTCGCCGTCCTGCCCGGCACGCGGCCTGCGATTGCGGCCGCCGCGGCGGCGGCCCGTCGCCCTCTTGCCGCCTGCTGAACAGACACGCTGTCATCAATTACAAGCACATTATGACATACCAGGCAATGGACATTCAGGTGTAACAGCTGCCAAGAGCAACAGGAAAATTTCCACACAGAGTCACAACTCGCCAGCACCATATTTGACACAAAATAGAGTTGGGTGCCCCCCTACACATTGTGACAAGTCTCAGGCACCACACTCCTCACAGAGCAGACTTGGATGCCCTGGTCCTGAGACCTTCAGGCATGCCACAAACTTTGACAGCAAAGCAAACTAATGGGCATCCTCAGTGCATTCGGCAGAAAAGTAATTGTAACAGTTGCAGGAAATCACTGGACGCACCCTCCGCGCCATCAGCCTGCTCGGTGCCACCCTGATCGAGTCCGGGCGCATCATCATTCGCTCCCGCTGCTTTCTCGCGCGGCCCCCGGCCTCCCCTGCGCCGGCGCTGCCCCTCGACCTGGTCACCATCTGCACAAGGCAACTGTCCCTGTCAGAAACCTGATAATATCTGACATGCCAATTCTTTGCCAAGAACTTGCAGCACACACAGCAGTTGTGGATAATGTTCGGCTCTTCAGGGCTCAATTGTACTCCCTTGAAGCAATGAGACTGCACATTACATGGGAACAGCTCCAGGCATCAAGCCACCTCATGAATCGATGACCATGATGACTTGAGCCTGTTCCATGCAAAGTGCAGAGAAGTGCCGCCAACTGTATTTCTTTATGTTTAATATCAATCATGCTTGCAAAGCCATGACCGACAGCATGGGAACACCCACCCCCAAAGCCTGGGGGCGCAGCTGCGGTACTGCGGCCCGAGGGGGAGGCCCCTCCGGCGCGTCCCCCATCCACACCATCCTCTTCATCGTCTTCGGACGCGGCATCGCGCGGCGCCGTGAAGTCGCGGCCGCTGCCGCCGCCTGCACGACGGCGTTCCCCGCCACGGGTCCTTCCACCTGCATTTGATGCATGTGTTGTCAGAGGCATTGCTCCGCACTGGTACTTCTTAATCCATGCCTCACTGGATCTCATTTTAGGATCCCTCTGGGGTGCTCTAGAGTGCTCCCATTTGTGTCCACCTCAAGAGAGCCCATAGCCACAAAGCCGACATTTTCAAGCTTCCAAATAATCTTCAAGTGTTTAAATAGAAGCGAATCGAGGGAATTGTAAACCCACCGCGGCGCTGGCGGGTCGGTCCGTTACGGCCGTTCTCACCGGCGTGCTGCTGCCCGTCGGCCGGTGCCGCCTCTTCCCCATCTGTGTCATCCGCGCTCTCATCCTGTGTGACACATGCACGTGTCTTTGTTGCACATGCTTTGAATGATTGAGGGTTAAAGTCATGCAGGCAGTCCTACTTGTAGAGCATGATGGCTTGACAGGTCTGTAGATAGATGACACTTATGTGGCACCTCGGCAAGCCGTGAAGTATTCAAAAAAAAGCATCTGAAACAATAGCAACAGGAAATGATGGATAACTAGGAGGGTGTGGAGATACCAGGGCAGACAGGCATGGCTTGAACGGCAGAGTAGCCTTACCTCAGCGCTGCTGCCCTCCGCTGCATGTCCCCGGCCGCGGCGGCGGCGCCCGCTGCGACGCCTGCGCTCAGTGCCCTTGGGCCGCTCCAGTCGCGATGCCAGCCGCTCTTTCCGCTCCTGATCCGCCTCCTCTGCAATGCTATCCGCATCCTGATTGCATGCATAAACATGCCTTCGCAACCAACACAAGCCTGACCAACGCTGAGTGATACTGTGTCTATGCGTACTGGCCTTTAGTGAAACGTTGCACGCTGCAGAGATGCAAGCATTTTGTGCTCAGTTGCGAAGCGCAAATGACGATCATATACAGTTTGGAGGAAGGCCCTGGCCGCTACATTGCTCAAGCTATGATCAAGGGAGGTCGAGTGTCTCACCAGTCCAGCGTCTTTCAGTGCCGGCTTGGCAGTTTCCAAGGCTCCTTCCGCATCGTCCACAGCGCTCCTCAGGTCTGTCAGCTCCCTCTCCAGCGCCGGGCCTTGGTGTGCAAAGATTGCCTGCATGGTGCAACACCGGCCATATCAGCTGAGGGGCCACACCATCTTGAACAGCAGTATCATCTGCACAGCACAGTATTCCCTGTTCGAGATCACAGGATGCTGTGATGCCCGGCGGTGCCATGCCTTGCAAAGGATGAGTTCAAGTCAATAACAGCCAAGTTTCAAAAGCACGTTGTTCATAAAGGTGCTGTCCAACAAAACAAGAAAGGTATCAGGAAAGATGCAGCATTACCTTGGAGACAGCCTGGTGCGCTGGGGTAAGGTTATCCTTTGGCTCCGTGCCTGTCAGGGCATCCACCGCACGATCACGCAGCTGCTTGGCAGCTTCCACCTCTGTCACCAGGCGCTTGAAGGCCTTCTGCACCTGCAACACGCCCAAAAAGCAAACCCTCAACTTCTAGCAGGGTCACACTGCCTTTTATACAAAGTGCAGGTATGCAATCACCTGACAATCCAAGCAGGGATATTTCAGGACAGGCCAATAAAGCTTAAAACTTCTGTACACCGGCAGACCGACTTTCAATGAGGCATGCGTGAGGGTTGCCCATAAAAATGGTGTAACACGGGTGCAAGACACGCGCACCGCTGCTGTGTCTGTGCGCTGATCTGCCGGTAGCTCCTGCAGGGATGTGATTGCAGTTGACAGGGCTGCTATGGACTGCTTCAGGCTCTTGGGACGCCCGAATGACGCCCCCGCCAGTCCCAGTCGCGATGCCTACATGCAGCAGCATGTGAGCCATCGAATTTACCTCAACAAGCATGCACGTCCATGTGTAGCGTGTATGTCTGGCACTGTGACATGCCTGACTCTGCATGGGAATGTGAACTGTTCTAGCTGGTTCTTGTCTACCAAACAAAACACTCAACAAGGAAGAAGGAGGTCACACGCAGCTTTAGGGCCAAAATGGACAGGATAATGTAGTTCTGAAGATGTACATGTCTCATGACTGGTCTCTTGTGGGCATGCCAGGGTATGATGCTGGATTTGAGCATACCAATGGTTCAGGAACTAGCATGTGGGTGTTTCACCTTGCGCATGCTCAACATGATCCCATCAATATCCTCAGCAGCAGTCACGAGGTCTGCTGGCGCGCTGCCCTTCCCATCCAGCATCTCATCTGCCTCTGCCTCTTTGCCTACCTGCAAGAAGGCATGCCTATTTGTCGGGTCGGTCAATCGTGCTCATCTTATTGCTTGCATGCATACTGTATCTCACGGCATTGCACCTTTCCTTAGCTTCAAGCTGCCCAACAAAAAAGGGTATTTTCATAATGGCAGTTACCCCATGGCTGTCATCAAGCCTCTGTTGGGAATGCCACTGGACTTGTGGATTTGCCTGGTCACTTGTTCACTGGAGTAAGTTATCCGCAAGTGATCAGTAGTATGAGGCACCAGAGGAGCTTACTGACACCAGGGTCTGGATGATGAGGGTGAGGGCCTCAGCACGCTTCTCAGAGGACGCCTGGCCTTGAGCAGCTGCTGCCACTGCCACCAGAGGGACCCAGGAGAACGCGCTCTGCCCTGAACGCTTCACTGGCAGCTGGCTCGCGTAGCCTGCATACAGGATCATCTCTGCAACCATGGAGCTATCGCTGATGCCAGCCTCCGATGCCGCTGAGACGAACGCAGCCTGCAAAGTGGCAAACGCAGTACAGCATGAAAGATCAAACAACATGACCTACCGTTATGATTTAATTTCTGTATCCTGGTGTATGCAAGGCAACTGCATTGTCATTTTCTGAACGGCCTGATTGCCTTGACTTGATGTCTCATCAAGACAGGTAGACGCATCCGATGGCGGCGGATCCTTGAGTGCTTGCAGCTACGACGCATATTTTGACACAACATGCAGATTGCACAGAAACGGATACGCTTATGAAGGCCTTCGAAAGCAATCGCACAGTTTTGATGATCACGGACGGAGGATTTACTCGGCAACGGGTCATAAACCCCGGCCGAGGAATACAGGCAATTCTTTTAAACATGGAGCTGACCTTGTCAAAGGTAGCAGATTCCTTCCGATGCCATGCTGTTTTGAGCTTCTCCTTGATCTGCTCCCACTGCTTGTTACTGGGTTGCCCGTCTGCGAGGGGGACCTTTGTAGCGTCCACCATTGCCACGCAAGTCCGAGAAATTTTCCAATTCTGCAAGCTGTAGAGTCGTCGGTTTTGTGGAAAGTGGGCGTGAGTCTCCATGCACGACCTCATGACACACCAGGTAGGGTTTGAAATATCTCCCTGAATATGCAGCTTCTAGGGTTCAACCAGTTGAAGCGAAGCTGCCCCGTTCCTCTTCGCAGCTTCCTCTTTCCGGGTTTTGGAGGAGGAAGAAAATGCAGATGTGATGAGAGTAACAGATCACTGATACTCCATTCCTTGAAATTGTCTCTCCTCTGCATGCTCCGGTGTCATCTTCTCAGAAAAGGACACAGTAAGACAGTCCCAGCTCTGGTCAGTTGCTCAATAAAGAGTGATTAGAATGGCTAAATGCCGACCTTTGATCCTGAAGAATACTTGTCAGAAGCACGTCGTTTGAGATGTTGCTTACTTTCTTTGAGCTTGTTGTCATGTTGGCTCTCATCCTGGGTGGCATCACCGCTCTGCTCAACTACCTGGGAGGATCGACGCTGTACCTCATCATGAGACTTGCTTGCCAAGGTGAGACGTCACTACGATATAAGATCTTCCCCCACTTGATACAGTGAACCTCAAGGGTGCTTCGTGTACACCATCTCGTTTTGACATAACCCCACGTTCTGCTCGATCATCATCTATGCAATGCAGGATCCATCAAGATAAAAGGCTTGTCTTGGTCACCATGCCTGCAAGCGAGGATGGTGAGCCTTGTGCAGCCAAAGAGGCTGGGTGGGCACACGATATTCACCTGTGACGCGGTGGTCACAGATGCAAGCCTTTGGCACATCCTCACTGGTACGTCCTGTTCCGCTCATCTCAACGGGATATTGCACGACGGGCCTCCTATGAACAGAACAGGAATGCCAAAAGGAAACGGTGCCACGATGACCATTCAGAGTAGAGCTGATCACGGTATGTTCTTTCTTGCCAGGCCATAATTTTGAGGTTGTGATTTCCAAGCCCTGGCTTGACTGGACTGGCACAGAGGAGGGGGACTCGCATCTGGTGACCCTGCTGAAGGTACCCTTTCCTAATACCTGGATCAGCAATCAATGCACACATCTTCTACAGGGCTTTTTGGTTCATCTCCTTGTGCTCACGCCTGGAACTTGGGTGTGCAGGATGTCGGTTACATCAGGGAAGTCGGGGTGAACGGCAAATCAGAGCATGTGGATGAGAACACAGGTGTGCGCATATACCCACTCTGTGTACCATGGAGCATTTCCAGTGGCTCATCCTACACCGTCAAAAGATTTGGACTCGATATCAAACGGCTGTCACCGGACAGCTTGTGACTCTTTCTTGCATTGCGGCAGCGGCAGGTGGGGAAGGAAGCGTTGAAGGGGCAGAGAATGGGACGCCGGTGGAGACCGTGGAGGTGCGGTGGAGCGGAGAGGTCCGCGCCTTCACTGCGCGGCTGCTGCTGCGAGACGGCGTCATGCAGATGTCAAAGGATCTCGGGTACGTGCCCTGTCTGGCACATTTGAGTTTTGTTGATGGTTTGTGCAAGCCCTGGTCTTGAACATGGTCCTCATTGAGGTTGAGTAGGATCTTGTACAACCTATTGACAGGAAGACACATGGGTATCCCTCGCATGGCAAAGTATTGCAATAGTTTCCTTACCAGTCCAGCCCTTTGCTGCAAGACACAAATGCCCTCACAGCAATTTCACTGATGCTGTGAGAGGGAGAATTCCAGCTGTGCGTCATCGCCCAGAAGCAAGTCTGGATGTCCATTTGATCTGCACATTGTCGTGTGTGGGCACACTGCAGTTTTAGGGCTAAGCTTCCAACTGTTTTGTGTGGCACTCACTACCCGAATCCGTATATCCTCGCGGTGGAGTGTGAACAGCACGGTACTTCGATATTGAAGTCAAGGGACTTTGCTACAGGATGGTGATGGGCGAGAATGTGCGCTTCAAGGCATTGGTGGGGCTGACGAGCTTGGCAGCTGACGAGAAGACGAGTGAGTCAGACCCTGGCAAGGAGCAATGGTTTGAGCGCGCCAAGTGGCCTGCGCCAAATGAGGACACCGGTGCGAAAGCTTTCCTTTCATCACAAAAGCCTCTGCTACTGTGTTTTTCCTATCTGCTGGTGCATTGTGCCAATGCATGACATGCAATGCATCTCATATTTCCTGTGTGCAGAATTAATTGTATTCATTTGTGAGTCCTGTGATGAGTTGCCTTTTGTGATTGGTGCTCAGCCTTCTTCCATAGTCTGGACATCCTGCCTGGTTTCATGCTGTTGCCATGTGCTGCCTCTTCACCTGCATTTTTGCAAAATTCCTGTGAGGTTTGCTTGGGTGACAGCAGACCCTTTACATGTATGCTTGCGTAAAATGACTTCTGACTAAGGCATGCTGCCATGTCATCATCGGCAGGGCTGCCAAAGTATCCTCTGGCGCTGGCGGCGGCGTCAGACAATCTTGTGTTTGAGCTGGCCGGATGGCGCACAACCACTGGGCTGCTGCTGCGCAAGCCCATCCTGGCGGCCCTGCAGCTGACTCCCTCTGTCGCCAAGTGAGCAACGCAACACTTTTGCCTCACCTTCATTTGCTTCCATCCCCCTGCAGCTGCACCGCAGAAGACATTATTTTGTCACTTCCGCGCCGCACTCCATTCAGCGGAACCTGTACAACTTGCATCACGGAAGCTTTTGTCTGTGCGTCTGGAGCTGCAGTGCCTCAGCAATCCTGCAGGCTGTGCATACAACATTTTTACAACGGTTCTCCGCCTTAAATCTCTCATTGCATTGTGTATTCCCTCTGTCATGCAGTTTTGCGCTGGCAAAGCTGTCGCCGTTGCTGCAATCCGCGGTGGGGCTTGAGGAGGGCGATGCAATCACCGTGCACATGGCACCTGCAGCCATGCACCTGCCGGCAGCATCCTACCATGTGAGCCTGCAGCCTATGAAGCTGGTGGTAGCCACGCGCGGCCTGCTGCAAAATATAATTGCTCTGCTCAAGTGCGCATCGCTAAGCTCCCTCTCATTGGCCTGTCGTTCAGTTCTGCTGAGTGCCCGTATTGCTCTGGATGTCTTCTGAGTTCCCTGTCAAGCTCCGCTACGATTTCAGTGCATAGTTGTGAGCTTGGTGAGAGTGGTCAAGCTTTTACAAACTTCTCGGGGGGATTTTTCGTGAGCTTGGTAAAACCTCTTGTCGAAAATTGTCTCTGCATGCCGCTGAACGCTGAAAGCTTTAGTAAGAGATCAATTCGATGCTGGCGAATCGCATCTCATGAGTACTGTTCCAGCTGTGACTTGGCAGCACTGTATACAACACCTACGTCTTCTACAGTATCAAGATGCAGGGACCTCTGTTTGAAGTACTCAGATGTTGGGTGCAGCCAGCGGCCTAATGTGAAGCCGACCCGGCTGGAGGCGTGGACGACGGCGCTGCGCGCAGACATCTTCAAGGACGGGCTCATAGACTCCAAGCGCCTCGACATCATCATCGGCCCCGATGCGCGCAACGGCAAAGGTGCTGCCACGGGCATCATGCAACACAGATCGGAGTCCTTAGGCGTACTCTATAAGATACCTCCATTGGGTTCCTTTATATGGCGTACAGTTTGGGCTGGCATGATGACAGTATCATCTGCAGCATTTGAATATCCTTAAAGCGCTGAACACCTTTTGCCAATATTTCTCTGCATGCAGATCTGAGCTGTACAGCCTTCTTCATTCAACTACCTGGATTCACATGCATTGCTTGCATGAAACAGTTCTTTCAGTACTTCCACAGCTGAACCTGCAGTCCGTTGGTCAGTCACACTACATTGTCTCCAACCAACGGCTGTTCCGCTACCTGATTCTGATTGCCAGGGGCAGCCCGCAGCGTGACGACCAAATACTTGGAACTAAGGGTGGTTGACACGTTGTGAATGTGCGCGCAGGCATCCGGATGTGCTGCTGGGGCCGGGTGGACCCGACGCGCGGCAATACAGTTGACGCGACCATCGGCGTTCCCTCCTCCAGCCTGGCCCCTCTGGGGCTGAGAGACCTGCCCGAGGACTTTGTCTTTGCCATCCCCGTCCGCGGCAGCAGCCAGCAGCCCGACTTTGACTTTGTCAGGTGCGCGCGCACTTCCTGTCTACATTGCCGACATTTGACGACGTTTGATCAGAACATGTGTCCGTGAGGGGAGAATGCATCTAACGGCGACTGTATGTAATGGCGGCGCAAGGGACTATTCCTGTCGTGCTGCGTGCCGTTCCCATGGACAGAGCTCTCACAGCATGCTGCCACTCCCAAAATCTGTCAAGGCTTGTGGGACAATGGTGTTGACTCATTGGGCCCTGCTTGGATCCTGCGCGTGCGAGTCCAAGAAGGGGTCATTGTTCAGGAGCCCTCTGCAAAGCTGCAAATGCATTCTGCTCCCGTGGCAGAAGTACGGTGCATTGCCTTCATTGCTGTTGGAGCATGCCACGGGTGAAAAATACCCTGTGAGAGATGTGCTGAAGGGTATCATACAACTACAGGAGGTTTTCTTGAACTTTAAAAAATAGAAAGGGTGTGATGGGGATATATGCAGGGCCGGCAAGCGACTGGGGGAGATGGTGGTGAAGCAGAGGGTAACTAATGGGCTGCCCTTCATGCGGGGAATTTTCCAACAGCAGGAGCAGAAAAACAAAGGGGGCCGCACGGATGCTGAGCCGCCTGTACCACCCGCACAAAGGCCCTTCCCCTGGGAGAAGGGACTGGCATGAGGATTAAACTCCTGCCAAGTGGCAGTGCTAGATATGAAGCACTGAAGACCTGAAACACAAGGCAGCTGACTTTGTTCAGATGCCGAGCTGTACAATAATAGCAAAATGTGTCACATGATCAGCCCTGTCAGAGAGTGTACAAGAGTATGTCAGGCCTGCATGTGTTTTGTGCATTCCAAACCTTCAAGCAGCAAAGGCTCAATCTTTCTCGGTGCTACCGTAGCCTATGATTACATTGGGTCCGTGTGCTATGATCCCCACATGTAATATAAAGAAGAGCCCTGAGTTTCAGAGCGCGAAACTCAGTCGCTCAGTCACATTTTGTTCGTTGGGAACGAATCGAAGTACTGAATCCCATGTCGACGACGGCGCTGCTTCACTTAATTCTCCGGATAAACCGTTACATTGCATTGCACCCTGCTCGAATCATTATGACAGGAGTGTCAACTCCTTTGATCTTATTCTATAACGTACTGTAATCTTACGCGTTCAACGACTCGGAAGTATTACGAGATTCGCAGAGCGTTTGAGCAGGATGTCCTTCAACAATGTCTTGTTGGATTTCATCTGATTATCTTGAAGCCATCAAGGTGCAAGTGATTTGTAATTTAACCAATTTCACAGTAAGATCCGGAGCACCTGATTGCTTTCGATGTCCTTTTAGCTATATTGCAACCCAATCCTAGTCAAGACATCAGGGTTAAAAGTTCTTCGTCAAGGCAAGAAGACTGCCAGTAATTCTTCCACTTGACTACTTTCATGGACTCAAACGACCTCTTGCCCCCTGTATGTCTGGATTGGGCAAAGAAGAAATTCCAGCAGGTGACACAGCTGCAAAATGGCTGAACAAGTGTCTCGAACAGAGATCATCTGCAATGCATAATCAGAACACACGAGAATCTTATTATGAAATTCGTGTGTACGTCCCCAGCTGGCGCCTCCACATGTCCAAAATGCAACAGCCTGGCTCGCGAGCTTGTGGAGACCCTCAGAGCATGAGCCCCTTCTGGGAGACTTCCTGCTTGGGCTCGAACAGAAGGATGGCTATAAGGTGTTATCCTGTGCTTTGCAGCACTCATCATCGCTAGTAAGGCTAAGACATACTTTTGGGTGCCGTTTGTCACCACATGAACGCTATAGAGTGCTGCATGTGCATGTGTTTTGGAATAGAGAAAGTGAAATGACAACCCGTTGATTGATATTCAACATGGGTCTATGTCAACATGCAGGACCGGAGGCTGTTTGCTCACATCAGCAATGGCTCAGAGGAAACTTTGGTCTTCTCGCGGAAGCTTCCCCCGCCTGGCACCAGGGCAGTGTACTTTGCCCTTCAGGGCGGTACACAAGTCACTCCTGCAAATGTCCAGGTGCGCCTGCATCTGACTTTCCATACCTCCCTGCCGGGAGGATCTTTTCCACGATTTGCTGACAAAGTTCGTATTGAGTACATTGACCCGAGATGACCTGTTCTTTGCGCAATGAAGGCTGTGCAGCGGGCAGCACAAAATATCTGCAGTGCATGCATGGCTTTCTAGAATGATGTGTAACGCTGAGTCTGCATTGCTGTTGCTAGTTGGAAAGCTGTGGGACATCTAATCAAACCCTGTGTGGCTGGAAGAATGTAATCACTCTCTCACTCTCTCTCCAATCTGCAAGCTGGCAAGCTCAGGCTTTTTTATGTGTGGAACAGGACTGTCTCCACACCGGCTTCATCGGCGGCGGCAACTTGCTGCAAGATCTGCTGCAGTTAGTAAGCGGCCTGACAGGAACGCCTGCCCAGACCGCGACTTGGTCCCAGAACGCTCAGAAGGAGTTCCAAGGTGAGCACTGGAACTTGCATATATCCCATTCAATGTGAACTTTTACTGCCTTTTTAATCAAAATCCTCGACACTTCCGGGTATCACAGCATCACACACACAGTACACTTCATTGAAGTGACTTCAATATATCTGCTGGTGTCAACTGCATTGGCCCAAATGCATTAGCTTGGAAAGAGATCATTGAAAGTCGGGTGTTATGCCAGATCAGAGTTGGCGCGCTGTGCATGGGCAGTTTGTCATTTCTTCAATTGCTGAGTCAGCAATTGCTGAGTCAGCAATGGTGACTGTGTCTGCCAGGTCAACTGCAGGCGCTGCTTGCGGATCTGACAGAGGCAGTCCACCTGGCAGAGGGCAGGACGCGATTGTTTATTCCCACAGAACCTCTGCTGGCTCTCACAGCCGCCCTGCAGGACAAGGTGGGGGTTTTGCACTATGACCTTCTTGCCTGGGACGGTGTAGGTATCATTACAAGCTTTTACTGCCAGAGAAAAGGTACGTCTGCAGACAAGCTGCAAGCAAAGACTGCCACACTCCTGCCCATTGATGGACTCGCTAGATCCAAGCAAGACCTCATCAACCGTCTGCTTTGTGCTCACGTGGGATCTTACCTGGGGTTTTAGTTAGATTGAACCCACTCTGCTCATTCCCGGAGAGAACTTAATATTCTTCACCCTGTACATGGCTTGCCCGCGTACAAGGGCAAAGATGTGAAATGAGGTAAAGCAGGTGACTGCAGTGATGCGCAGATGCAGCTGCTTGTTCAGAACTTATTGTGCTGCCACAGGCTCTGGTCCAAAGAATGGAGAGTATTCTGCTGCACTGGACACGGCAGGTGTGCACTGTTGGCTCTTTGTCCATTACTATGCCATTTTCTTCAAGGGCATTTTGATATTGCCTTCACAATAGTAAGGGTATTACAGAGACAATATCCTGCACAAGGAGCTAGCAATGACAGCAGGAGGAGGGCATGCGCGCAGGTGAAGCACGTGGTGAGTCAGCAGGGGGAGGGTGAGTCATCAGGGGGCGTCGGGCCGCTGGCAGAGATCCAGTTTTGGCACCGCAGGGGCGATGACCTGGCAGGCATCCGCACCCAGCTGGACTCGCCAGGTCAGCAGTGCACACCTTTTCTTTTGGTTTGTCTTTTGCTTTTGAGACTTGCTATGACTGCTTGTCAAGTCTCTGCAACAATAAATCAATAAATGGTTGCTTGTAAAGCATGCCAGCCACTTGGCAGATTTTGCTGTCTGCCAATACTTCACCCATGCATTTTGCCAAGAAATATCTTGTTCTCACAAGAAATAAAAACGCTGCAGCCTGCATCAGTCGACCTGATTGAATTTTAACAATAGAAGCTCTGCTTTGTGGTTTTTTTGGCAAAGGAAAGAATTGGGCTCCATTTGGCTTAAACCCCCATCTATCTATGCATGCTGTAGTAGGGTGCCCTGCCCAGAGGCCATCTGTTAACCAAGTTCAGATAAACACAGATTTGATAACCTTGGTGCTGATGGGCATGCGGATGACTGGTGGAGATTTGAGCAGACTGGAATGTATAGTCCAGGAGTTGCTTGACATGCGTAGTCCTGTTTTCTTTTAATTTAACTCATATAGAAACATGTGCCTGCAGAAATCACGCGAGTGGTGGAGCTTCTAACATTGAGCGGCTCTTGCTACCTGTCGGGCTTCCTCTCTCTGCGCGCATCGCTCGACCGCGAAGCCGCCACCGCCCAGTCCAAAGTGCAGTTCATGTCCGTGCTCGAGGAGCCCTGCGCCGCCCTGGAAAAGGCAGCGCCGCATGTGCGCAGCTCTTTGATATCAAACAGAAATCAATGAAATCAAATTTACCATTCAAAATAGGTTCTGCAATGTGCACTCTATGTCTGTGCTCGAGGAGCCCTGCGCCGCCCTTGAAAAGGCAGCCCCGCATGTGCGCAGCTCTTTGAAATCAAACAAAAATCAAATACACCATCTAAAATAGATTCTGCAATGTGCACTTCATGTCCGTGCTGGAGGAGCCCTGCGCCGCCCTGGAAAAAGCAGACCCACCATCTTTACACTTATTATTGTTTCTGAAATACCCATCGTGTCCGTGATTTAAGGAGCCCTGCGCTGACCTGCTGCAATCTGTCATTTGAATTGATGATTTGCCTGCCATGGAACAAGATAGCTTGCTGACCGTGTAACTGGCGTGTGGCAGGAGATAGCGGGCATGCTCCCGCACATAGCCGGCCGGCTGCGGCTGCTGTGGAGCTTGAGTCCCTTATTTGGCATAGCCGAGCGCATGACCAGTCTCCTGAGGCGCTTCTGCTCCCAGATAATTGCAGTTTGTACCCGTGCCATATCCGTCGCTGATGCTCTTAGCGGTGACGTGGACGCCGTGATCAGAAAACTGCAGGTGAGCTGTCATGCTTCCGGGTTTAGAGCTTCAATGACAACATTTATCACCGTGTTTTCAGGTTTAAGAGCCCGTTTTCACCCCTAAAGACCTTAACTTGAATCATCGACATCTGCACCCGCGCAATCTCAGTCACTAGTGCGCTCAGCGGTGACGTGGACGCTGTGATCAGAAAGCTGCAGATTAGCCACTCATTTAAAATTATAAGGGTTTTGCAGCCCCTTTTTCACAACCCCTTACAGCCCTGAACTATACAATCAGATCATCGCCATCTGCACACATGCAATCTCAGTTGCTGATGCGGTCAGCAGTGACGTGGACGACGTGATAAAAAAGCTGCAGGTGAGCTACAGCTCCATGCGAGCCGCCAACTTTGGTGGTTGAGGGTTTTAGAGCCCCTTTTTCACCCTTGAAATCCTAGACTCGGGTCATCGCTGTGCGTACAAGTACCATCTCAGCTGCTGATGCGCTCAGCAGTGACGTGGACGCTGTGTTCAGAAAGCTGCAGGCGCCTCCCTCGCATGTTTGGTACCTTGGCAAAGATAATGACGCACACCCCAGGAGTTTAGGACGAAGTGCAGATGTAATGCAGGAGAAACACGCTCAGAAAATTCTGTCCCCTATGAAATGCTTGAAAGGAACAGAGCAATTGCCTTGGCAACCCCCCAGGTCTCTCTTAGAATTTTCTGCGGCCCTGTGGTGGAAATCATTTTTAATCATGTGCATGCATCATTTTTCTTGCAGAACTTGTCTGTCTACATATGATCCTTTGAAAGGGATTTGAAAAATTGCCGAATGGAATTACTCACTTCCCCTGCAGGACAGCATAGATGCAGCGGCAAGCTGGCAGGCAGTGTGCAGGAAGACAGCTCACTCCATCACCTTGGCAACCCCCGACCACCCTTGGGATTTAGAGCCTGCCGCTGTCTTCGCGCAGCTTGATATCTTTCAGCAGCGGTGCCGGTGAGAAGCCCCCACCTGTGCTTATAAAATTTTTGATTTTCAAGGTTGAGGTCGCACGTGTCCATTCACCTGTCATGTCAGGTCTTGCGTCTGGAATCATATGCTGGCCCACTGACATGTACAGGATCAGGCCTCGGGGAGCGTGGGGCGAGCAGGCTGGCATGCATGTTTGCATGCAATACTGTATTGAGCATACTTTCAGGAGCAGGTAGCTCAGGTTGTGCGAAGATCTAAAAGCAGATGGTAGAACATTCTACGACTGTTTTGCCATGATGGCCCACTTAATCATATGGGGACCAACATGTCTGTAGCAGTCCTGCAGGCAACACCAGCTGTCATGAGAAAGATGGCGTCTTTATGGACCTCCACCTGAAACACATACCAGCTGTGCGTTTCTCATCTGTAACAAACATTGCGCATGCAGGAACCTGATGGATGTGTGTTTGGACCGCAAGCAATTTGGCGCAGAAGTGCCGCTGCCGGCTTTTGGCGGGACCAGCGGAGCTGAAACACACAAGGCCCTGCAGGACATCCAGGTGGGGCATGCTTGCATGCCTTAGATCCCTTCTGGCCCCGGCTGGCCTAAAATATTCTTTTTATTATTATTATTATTATTATCATTATTATTACACGTTTTCCAGTCCTCAAGTACTAGGTACGTCAAACAACGTTTTCCAGTCTTCTCGGTTTTTGCGCTTCCTCCACCATTTGGTGGCCTATATAGGAGACGGTAAAAGTGCTGAGCATTGTGCCCACGGGTGAGTGAGTATGGCGAGTCAAACAAGGAGGGACAGGTCTGGGCAGCAGCCATGTCTGCAGACGCACCTTCCTCCTGACAGGCAAAGTGTGTGATAACGGTATGGATGTTGCTTTGTTGCTTTTGCGCACCCTCAGAATTTACTCTGCAAAGGGGCAGCTGCTCAGCGTTCATGAAATGTAGCTTTGTGGTTGGCGCAGTGAAATTGTTCTGTAGTGACAACCTCCCAGCAGACTTTCTGGAGCGGAATGGTAGGAGGGAACTCTGTGCAGACAGGTCAGAAACTTTTCACCTCTTGCAATGCAACTAAGTGGCAATCACGTGCAGGTGGGTTTTGTAAAAGCGGCGCAGAAGCTTCAAATGCTGGCCTACAGCCCCCTGGATGTGAATGACAGCAAATGGACAGAGGATTTTGCAGCCTACACAACAGCGCTCGGAGTGCTTGAGAGGAAATTCGCGGCGGCTGCCGCCGCGGCGATTGAGCGTGCCGGCTCGTTGCAGACTTGCATGCAGCTAATCATGGTGCGCGTTTCTTCTGACTTTCATTCGCAGCAAAAGTGGTGTTTCATCTCAGCGGACTGCTGATCTTTGCAGTATGTACTGAGGGAATCTTGTAGCCAACTAGCTATCAGTGCTGGTAGGGGACAGTGTACCTGTTTTCAGCTGTCCCTCAGCAAGCTGTGTTGACTCCTTAAGAAAGGCAGCTAAAGGTCTCCCAAGTAAGAGTAAGCACAGGGAACAGAGCTGATCCAGGGACGCCGGCTTTTCAAAACTTTCCATCTTCTAAGGGACAGAGCCGACCCTGCCTTATAAGAGGGTGGCAAGGCTCGGTCTAATGAGTCTTGGGCCCCACTATCACAGTCGCGTGATGTTCTGTGTTGGCCCTCAGGCGTTCAACGGCATGGCAAAGAGGGCGCCACTCAAGAAAGCAATGGCGCACCACGAGAGGGGTCTCTTCATTGCCCTTGACGCAGAGAACGCCGCTCTAGCCCGGGCCCTGGAACAGATCCGAAAAGATCTGCAGCTGCCAAGAAGTGCCACGCAGCCGAGATTTGCCGGGGCGGCTGCGGCCGCCGCACGCCTCACGAGACGCGCCACTGCCACATGGGATGCCATGCAGGTCAGTGTGTCTCGTCTCCTTCCACACCACCATTTCCATGGTGCTACATTTCAACCCCATAAAGTGAGTGCGGGCCTTACATGCATTTGAGGAATCAAATTTCAGCCTCCCTTCATATTAGTGGCACTTGGCAAGTTGCTGCAGGGGTCTGATCCAGCTAGTTTTAAGTGAGACATAAGCACCGCCACATGCGTTTTTACACTAAGGGTGTCCGCTTTGGCACGCACCACAACTACACAGAATACCCACAATCATAGGTGCTCAAGATGAAGAGCTCTAATGTGCAACACACTGCGAGGAATATTACAACATTGCATGTCTACACAGGCATACCTGCCTGCACTGTTGGAGTCGCCAGAGGGGCTGTCAGCAGCACAGGCGCACGCAGCGTTACTCACAAGCCTTCAGGCGTTCACGAGCGCTGCTCATGCGGAGTGGTACCAGAGCATCGAGCCCGGGTTGGCAGACCGCCTGAAGAAGCCCCTGCTTAAGCAGGTGATGTGAACTGACTAATGAATGTTCTGAAGGCCATATTTGGCCAAATCCCAGTGTTACAGGGGATGCATACGCTTGAACCTACAGACCCACTTGCTACCCCGAAGAGCCTGTGGCATTTATTATGGGCACATGCACGTTGGCAGCCTGCTGGCCTGATAAGGTGCATCTAGGATTTGGCAGGGCCCGGCCAGCACAAATCTGGGCAGCAAATCTGGGGACCCGGGCGAACTATAGTCCAACTAAGACACAAAAATCCGAGGTCCTCCCAAGCAAACTCCCATGGGAGTCTAGCCCTGGGAGCAAGGCATGACACACAACCTTCTGATTGCTTGGCAACGTCTTTGGCGCAGGACAAGAGTGCGGGTGGTGTGTTGAGCATGAATACAGATCCGATCATCCAAGAAGTCCTAGAGGAGACTCTGGCTTGGGAGCGGCTGAGATTGAGTCTGCCGTTTCCGGCGGCCGAGGTGGCGGGGCAGAGGGAACGCCTTCGCAAGACGCGCATCAATGTCGCCGCAGTTGCGCGCAGCTACAACAAGGTGCTCACTCCTCTTAATCCAAACCTAAATACTTCCATACCCATACGTCTCAGCTTGAAAACTTGAAACAGAAGTCTGCGGTTCAGTCAATGCGATTTATGCACAGCCTCTGCAGCAGATGCATGCCAGCTGTATGCCGAGCAAACTTGCATAAATGTGACGGAAACGTGGTTGTCACAGCCTATTTTACTTTAGGTTTAGGGTTTAGGGTTTTATATTTTCATATACCCCTAAACCATAAACTCGCAAGATTCTTGTCTCTGAGCTGTATTCACATCACGTCCGTGCATGCAGCAGCTATGCTGGTGGGCTATGCACTAAATATCTACGCCATTATCTGTTGTGCCAGGTGCTTGGAGGCTTGCAGCGGAGCGAGCGGCGGCTGTTTCATGACCGGCTGCGGCAGCTGGACAGGTAAAAGGATGGACAGTACTAATGATCTGACATCCGCACAAAATATTATTCGTGGATGGCTGCTGCTACGAGTGTGGGACATGAAGAGAATGCAGAGATAGTCTTACGGATGGCAGGTGATCAGTAAAGGATGTGTAATGACAGGAAGATTCTGGCGGGCGTGTCCAAAATTGGCTGGTCCGCGCCCAAAGGCACCATCGACGCCTACTGCAAAGAAGCCCTCAGGTAATGACCAATCAGATCTTGACCAAGATTCTGCAGGATCCCAGATGTCTGGCAATCTTTTGTACAGTGCGTTTGCCCATGCTTTCCCCTGCCACGCAACTAGTCCTGAATTGCTCTAAAAAGTGTAAGCAAAGCATGAATCGGGATGCTTGCTCGTTTCGGTTACTGAGTTCCCTGAGGAGCAGGAGAATGGTACTGTCAACCTCAACAGCTTAAACGAGACGTTTTATTAGTGATGTAGGGCAAGTGCTACTAGTTGAGAGACATGCAACGGATGCATGCATGCAGGCAGTGCAAGGATAGTGCGGCAACGGTGGCAGAGTGGCGGGCCGGGCAGGCCAGGATCGCAGCCGGCTGCCAGGCTCTGTCAGAGGTGATGTTCTTGGCAGTGGAGGGGAAACGGGTGTACGCAGAGGGCGCCTTTGTGCAACACCAGACAGAGCACATGACGCAGGTACGGGCGAGCTCCTTTGCTCAGCATTGGGGAAAGTATTTATATGTGTCTCTCTTGAAGATGAGGAGGGCCTCCCTGAGCCTCCACTGCCTCTTGGTAGTGACGAGCAGCACTTGGGAGGCACTGCAAATAAAATTCTAGGAAGTGGGGTCAAACTATTACCGTAACGGGAAACAATTGAAGCGCTCAAGCAGCGGCGTCTAGGTATTGACACTTACATAAAATACCAAGAGAGCCAGACAGACGATAGAAAACTGCCAGCTCCATGGAAGATAATAGCAACTCTGGACAGTTTTTGATGGAGACAGAGAGAGGACCAGGCTCCCCATCTCTTGCGTGCCCTACGAGTTGCATACACTGCGGAAATGCCAGAAGACATCTGAGCTTTTGGGCGTTGCCAGACAAGCAGCTGATTGTTTTTGAAGGCATGCAGCTGACCTTTCACAGCGTGGGGTTGTCAACATGAAAAGGTTTTGCAGGTGTTTACTAACTGAAACTATGCTGTAGGCTTGCGAGGCCCTGGAGAGGCACCATGGTGACGTTGCGAGTGGGGTGGGCGCCCTTCAGCCCTGCTTTGCTGCCGACTCTGCCGAAGTGCAGAGAGAATGGCTTCGCCACACGGAAAAGGTGTGCGAGTTCACACTGGGTTCACACTCAAGCAGACACTGCCAGGCCCTACTGGGGTCCTGAGTTAGTGCTTATCATAATTATTATTATTACATGCTTTTCCTGCCGAAGGCAAGGTTCATCTGCAGACAAGCTGCATGTAAACGCTGCCAAATTCCTACCCCTTGTTGGACTCGCCAGATCGAAGCAAGACCCAATCAACCGTGGGCACGGTGCTCAGTATTTGTACCGCCCCCGCCAGCCGGTGCTTATATTAACCTAAAACTCGACATGAAAGTTTGAATCTAGTTACTTTGTGACGATGCCAAAGATACTGCCGTGCTCAAACTCGTGCGCCGAGGAGGTTCTTGAAGGTGTGGCACCAGTGAGGACACTAGTGCTGGTTTGCTCGTTGGCTGACCTGTTACATTGGTTGCATGCTAAGTCATTCAATCAAGCATTTTTTGGTAAAACTCCCCACTGTCAATCACTCCATACCCCAATGTGCGTTGATGTTTTGGGGATTTCTAGATGGGGCTCAGGTTTTCTTGTCACCCTCTTCAAAACTTACATGTCTGGGGTGAACCCTGCACAGGTCGATGAAAAGGTGGAGGAAGCCCTGCGCGCAGCCGTGAGGCGTTCCCTGGCAAAGCTGACGCGCCTGCTACTGGGCGACAAGAAGGTGGAAGTGCAGCCTCTGTTCGGCGTTCGGCTCAGCTTGGAGAAGAGCGGCCGCGTCGAACTGCGCCCGGATGTGCAGGTGGGTTTACGAGCAAATTAGTCACACGCTTGTTACTAATCAATGACTGTTGTGGTCCAGTATGCACTAGTACGGCATGAGCTTCGGCGTGCACCTATTGCGGAGAGGAGCCGCAGGTGGGGTCAAAAATTCCTGGAATCCCCCATATTGTATCAAGATTAATCAGATTGAATCACCCCTGCTGGGCGCAGCAAGGTCCCTTTTTGTAACTCCCACAGTTTTAAATGGGATTTTGGCGGCTCTCTGGAGCGTGAATGGCTGGCAACAGCTTTGGGTGGTTGGGTGGGATTTGCAACATGTATGGGAAGTTCACCGAGTGGCAAGAGCAGAGTCTGCAGATTGGCAGCGATGCACCTGCCAAAATGACTGAATCCGCCGTGATATTCTGCACTGCCGGTGCCTGTTTGCATGTGTGGTAACTCAGGCCAGTGAATTCAAGCGCAGGAGGTGTTTGCCATGGTCAAGCATGTGATCGGCGAGGCGATAGAAGTGACTGCATGCGTTCACCGCATCGCGCTGCCTGCTTCAGAACCCAACGCCGCAGCGAAAGATGCCGAGGTGAGTCCTTCTTTCCCACTGCAGACAAAGAACTGGCTTTAGGCCATCTCGGCAACGGTGTGCTGTGCTGGTTTTGCGATTGCACACGCCTGTCTTGTTGACAGGTCAGGTTTTTAGGGGTAAAAAGAAGGCACAGGGTTCGAATCTGAAAGCCTGCTTGTGGGCGACTCACTGCATCCCTACAACTCTCTTACATTGATATCAATTACGGCTTGCAAGTAAGCACAAGTGTTTTTGCCTGCCAGGAGGGCGGTGCAGATATTACCCCACAGGCGAAGCCGAGCTTCTTCGAGGGTGTGCGCGCCGATCGCGAAGGGGGTCAACGAACCGAACAGGCGCTGAGTCAGAGCATGCCCAGCGTGGTGGACCGCGCTCAGACGCTGTTGCTGTACTGGGAGAAGAAATATAAGCAGCTGTGGGACCAGGACAAGGACGCCTTCATGAGGTGAGAATGATGAACCCTTATTGAAGGGCTTATGGTTTTAGGGTTTTTCAGGGTTTAGGGTTTTTTTCTGCTTTCTCAGCTGAAGGTGAAGATGTGGGGGGGAAATCTTGTTGGGGGCCTTTGGAGACACATGCAGCTGCAGCTAGTCTCGGATGTTGAATGATTTGGGCAGAGCGTCAGAGGAATTTAGTGTGATGCAAGAGAGGCCAGGGGGACACTCAATGCCTTCCATTTGCAGTGATTTTAGCCAGCGATGCCGTGAGTATCATGATACTTCAGATTTAAGCAAATGACCTGGCTTGCTAGTTCTCACATTCCGTCTCCAGAGCAGGGCTTGTCCGCCAGGGTTTGACAGGGGGTCACTGAAAGCTCAAGGTGTCCCTGAGGTCAGGCAGAAACAGGCAAGGGCTTTGCCCGTGAGATGTGCTGAAAGTTAAGGGCATCCCTGACCTCGAAATTTTTTCCTTCGGGGTCTAAAAACTTGGATGAGGCCCTGGTCCAACGTCTGGGCAACTGGCACGACTTACGCCTGGCCATATTTGGACGCTTGGAGTAGTTCTCTAGCATCTGCAGCAAACCAGGTCAACTGTCAACGGCCATGCGTGTGCAATGGCATTTAGAAACAGTCCAAGGTCCCTGAGATCTGTACAGCACACCCCAGAAATTTAGGGGATGCCCTGAGATTGAGGCGTTTTGGCGTCAGGGCTTCGCCCTGACGCCAGGACGTCTTCTCCCCATTTTTCTTGGGGCTTCCCTGAAGGCTGCCCCCAATCCCTGAACCGGAGTGCCCATCCCTTTAGGAATCCTAAAGGAGTGTCAAACCCTGTTGTCCGCACAACCCCAATGGCCAATGTTTTATGAACCCCAGCAGCGCAGCAATGTGGATTTAAGTTACTGTTTGCTCTGTGCAGGCGATACGAGAAGGCGCAGAAGCCGTTGGAGGCGTTTGAGGCTGACATCAGGCGCCACCGTGACATCATTGATGACATCATGTCCGAGAGCGCCAGCGAGGCGATCAGATTCCTGCATGTCGACTGCGCCCCTCTCAAACAGGCAAGGGTTTATCGCTCCACCCTGAAAGCACTGCTTTGCAAATTCAGCCATCCAGTTCTTCTCGACAATTTCAGCACAGTACGAGAATGGGCATGTGACTGGCAGATTCGGTATCCAGGAAAGGCTTCGAGCACCTGTCTCTGTGTCCGCTCTCGCAGAGCTGCTTTGAACAAGATTCCACCCGCCCAAGAGTCCTCCTTCCTTTGCTGGAGGAAGCCAATGCTGAGCAGGAACTTGAATTATTAGTGGCGAGTTGGATCAGCAATTAGTGATGTAAGTAATCTTCTGAGATGACTTATGGTGCCTGCATGTGCACAGGCGCTGGTGGCGCACTGCGAGGCCTGGATAGGCAAGTTTACTAATCTGCTGACTAACCTAGCCACGCGCGAGCTGGCGGAGCTGCAGGAGCACCTGCGCGCCAGCTCAGCCGCGCTGACTCAGCTCGCCACATGAGAACTTGAACAGGTTTTCTTCTCCCTTCGGGCTAGTCTCACCCTGTTAAATATGTGTCAAGGATGAAGATTGCACATATTGATAGATGTCGAAAGGAAACTTGGAGCCTCGTTGTGATGAAAGAGTGGCTAGAAAAGCATCTACTGGGCAACTTATGTAGTAGAGAGCCTGCTAACTCTACCAAACGAGACATAGGTTGTCTGCTGTTGACAGTGTTCAGCTGCTCCTAAGAAGTTCAACTGAGGTGAGATGCTTTCTTTTGCACAGGCGGCAGCAACTGCGCAGAAGCTGGCAGCTGCGGTGGAGGGTGTGCATGCAAAGATGGAGCATCTTCGGGGCAGGTTCCGGCTGCTGGCAGACTACGAGGTGAGCTTCACTTTTGTCCAATTCAAATTTGTATTTGAAAATGTGATGATGCCCTTGGAAAAAGAGCTTCTCCTGCTGTTGTGCAAATACTTCAAGAGGCCTCCTGAACTCTGAGCCAGGTGCAGTGAAGCTTGTCATATTGTGCAAGACCATGCTCACGGGGCCGAGGCCGCTATGAGAAAGTCTCCAAGTAGCGTCCAGAAGTTGCTACTAGGAGGACGAGAGCATGCTTATTTGCAGGTACCAATGCCAGAGGCTGATGTGGCGCAACTGGAGGCCCTTCAACAAGCTTGGGAAGCCCACTCAGAATCTTTTGATTTCTTAGGTGCCAGGCTCAAGGCGCCTGATGTACAGTCCGCAGGGGATGCTGGCGCTGATAATCCCACTGAGGCCCCAAGGGATGAGCATGACAGTGCAGATGGTGAACAGTGAGGTGGATCAGGCCAAGGGCTGATATTATGAAGACCGACGATAATATGGCACAGGTGTAAAAGCACTCGCCTAGCCCGGGCGCATGGCTTCTAATCTTGCGCTGCCGAGAAAACTCAGTCGGCATCGTTGACAGCTGTCACTGCACTCATTTTGCAGCAGAAAGATTTCAATCAGACGCGCGTTGGGCCACGTGTACAAGTCACGAATACAGAAGTGCTTGTAAGCAGATCTCTAAGTCGCCAATTCAGGCGATTTTGAAGTTTAACTAATATATTCAGCATGATTGCCTTTCTGCCAGTTAATATGTTTTTTACTTCTTGCTAAAAGTAAAATGCACATTAGTCATGACGGTTGATGCAGAGGACCTGCTTTACAAACGATGACTACGAGATAACGAACGACCGTCCGTGAATATACGCTTTTTTGCCGGAGGCTTCATCCACCAGCCTGGATGATCCAGCATTCCAGCATTCCAATGGATGTCATGCAAATGAGATGGGCAACATTGGCAACAGACTTGCAAGATCTCCTGTTCTTCCTGTCGGGCCAGGGCCTAGAGTGTTGCGAATTTGAAGGAATGGGGCGAGCTCGGCCTTGTTCCAGCATTTGCTACCCTGAAGCAGCCAAGTCTCTTGATGGTTTTCGCGCTGGAGACAACATCCTTGCTAATGTACCGTGCTGGTGCGAGGCATGGGCAGATTGTTTGGAGTTGTCTGCAAAGTACCCATGACCTTTTTGGTAGTAACGTGTTTGTGACTGATTCTAGATGTTTAAGACTCTTTTACTCGTATTTCTGGTGGGCAAAACATCGGTACTTGCCAGAGTGGGTGTGCATCGTATGCCATGCCATAACGCTGCATTCTGGCAAGGTAGATCAACGACTGGTGTGATGGTGGCCCACCGGGTACAAAAATATGAATGGGGAATGCCTGATGACACCCATGAGACCTCATGACCGCTCGCCTTTAATCGAGGGTATTGTTGCCTCTAAGCATGTGCATGTGATCACGCCCGTGCCACGTGGCCAAATTTCAACGTGTCGACGTGTTCGGGATTTCTTGGACAGATCTAGTGGATGCCGATGATCATTGGACACTCTTGGTGGTGCATCTTTGTTCCAGTAGAAAATGTTAGACGTACGTAGTAATTCCTACAGCGACAACACTCATCATTGGATCGGCCTCTCACTTCCTTTTTGCGGGACGTAGTTCTTGTTGAGGATAGCATTTTCAGATTATGACCACAGGCCTTTGAAGTCAGCAGATACATCCGAAAATGAGATCAGATGTCAGCGGCAAACATACTAACCCAAAGAAGTGACGCTCGCATCCTGCGTTCTTCAGGTTCAGGCTCGGGCAGTGGTGCTGCAAGCTCGAGACTTAGCACTCTAAATTCAGATCGATTTTTCAGCTATCAGAGGACCTACAATCAAGCTTATTCATGTCAAGTCTGGCCCTTCCTTTGTGGGCCAAGCACACGAACCTTTCCGCCAGGCAAAAGGTGCATACCAAGTCGAAATCACAACGGCAGCGCAGGTAAATGACCACCATGAATGAATTCCGATATTTCCAATGACAGTGACTTTCCAGAGTGCACTGATGCCGCAGGGCTGCATTGCAAGAGTGTGACCTTTCTTTGCCAAAAAGTAGATGACGAGGCTGCTTGCTGCATGCCTTCAACTTGCACTTGGGTTGATTGCTCTCCTGCACGCCCGAAATGGTGCTCAGAAGCAACAGCAACAGCAACTAGAAAACCTCAAATCCAGCAGGGAATGCATGGAGAATAGAACAGAGCCACGCACTTTATTGCAGAATCTGTGCCTGCGCTGTGTGCAGGGTGTCTGTAGGGGCGCTGCATGTCTTCTGCATGGCAATGGTGTGCGGATTTGCACTGGTGGCGTTTGTCTCCATACGACCACACAACTTCTCCTGGGCAGATGCACTCGCTGCTACTGCCGGAGACGTTGCCCCTGCGCGAGCACTGGCCCTGCAAAAAGTGTGTGCCCTGCATCATCTCTTTACACGTTTCAGTACCTGGAAAACGGTCTTTGAAGTGTGCATACATGATGTTTCTTCTTCCCACACGCAGGCCTTGTCTGATTGCTGGACATCAACATTTGCAAATGACCGGGCATGCAGAAATGGCCCACTTTTGCTTCTTTTTGCACGCACCTATGTTTCCATATCTGACCAGCTTGTGCAGCCCAAAGTTTTCTCCTCTGTTCAATGTAGGTCGGTTGCTTTCGTCCTCAAAATTTCTCCCCTCTGAGAATTCAATACTGCCAGGAACTATACCAAAAGACAGGAGCATGCAGGTGTGCCCGGCAGGGAATCTGCAGACAAACACGCCGGGGCAGCCGCTGTGGAAGCTGCACGGAAGCTTCCTGCCAGCCGCCGCCTTCGCGCAGCTGCGGAGGGAAGTTCTGGAGACGCGCCCGCTGCTGCAGCCAGACCATTTCAGCGACGGCTTCAACGCTGTCAACATCGACTTCAACAGAGAAGGTGCTGGGCTTTGTATAACTCTTTGGCACTCAACACTGTTTCTGCCAGAGGCAAGGTGCGCAGGCTTGGGCTATGCTTGATCTTGCTTGGCAACTTAAGAAAAGTGCCTGCCACCTGTGTGCTCTCCTTTTGCAACATATCTCCAATACACGTTCAGAACCTATATGAACTGCAGGCTGGGCGCATCTTGAGCGAGCGGGGGAATTAGAAGAGGAGCATTGGCCGCTGGCTCCGCTGTTGACATTTGCGCGAGCTGTGCGGCTGCCGGCAGCGAATGCCTGGTCGCTGAATGTTGTGTATTCACAGCCGCGCAGCGTGAAACGCTCCGGGTGAGTCATCTCGGAACTCAATTAGTACTAATTAATGAAGAATGGCTTATTTTCTGCCGGGCGCGAATGCCTGGTCGCTGAATGCTGCTTACTCACAGCTGCGCAGCGTCAAACGTTCCGGGTTCGAAACATTGGCACTTCTTGTAAGGAACAGAAGATTAAAACTCACCTTTTGACTAATTACTGAAGTCATCTGACTCGCAGCCGCACAGGTGAAGCTCCGGTCGAATCAGTACAAGTCAGTGGATTTTTACTGAGTAGAACAAAGTGCTTGATGGGAAACGGGTGCAAAGTGAGATGCTCCAGGTGAACTGCCAGCAATGCCATTTCAATTATTAATCGATCAGTAAAGCGCTTGACTTTAGGCTAATCACTCTGGTTGGGCGCCCGGCACAGTCTATCATGAACAGCTCGGAATTTAGCCTTTAGCCAGTGTTTGACTGGGAGCAGATGCATGCCCCCGCTCTGACAGCTTGTGAACACCTGCCCAACTTTTCTCTCAAGTACATCCTAGCGCCTTTGAAAGCGCTTGTTGCCGTTTCTGTTTGAGTTCCCCTGCTCCTTGCCCTGCCGCAACACAGAATGCTTCAGGAAAAATTTCAGCATATCTCCCTTGCCATGACCATCCTTGCGGAGCTTTTCTTGGTATCATTGTTGATAAACAAATGGTGTGTGACCCTTGCAGGTCTTCGGGGCCGCAGGATCCCCACATAGACAACCTGGGCCTGAACGGAGCCAGCGGCCGAGCTTGCACGCTTTCTTCCCACCAGACCAGCGTGCTCTACATCTCCGTGCCTCAGGTGACATTTGTGACACATCTCATCCGCCTCGCACGAATTATTTTTATTTTATTTTTATTATTGTTCTTGTTCTTGTTCTTGTTCTTGTTCTTGTTCTTGTTCTTGTTCTTGTTATTGTTATTGTTATTGTTATTGTTATTGTTATTGTTATTGTTATTGTTATTGTTATTGTTATTGTTATTGTTACATGGTCGGCAAATCCAAAGCCAGAGGCCATAGGGCATACACGCAGGGCGTCTGCAGCCACATCTGCGTGGCCTACAGTAGTCTGCAGCCTATCATGATCATGAAAGATCATGGATGGCTGTGAGCTGTACTTCTGCGAACTTTCTATGAGGGTCTAAGAGGACCTCACAAACATGCCTTGCACATGAGAGTGTTCAAGAGAGAGTTGCTTGGAGTTTGCATCCCAGGGGTGATGTCTCCGTGAAATTAAGAGAGCTCTGACATGGAGTTTTAAAATGCCCAAAAGAAAAGGTGCACTTTCGCCACTGTTGATTTTTCAGGCGGAGCTCAGAGCTATAGAAGCGCGCCAGGGAGTGCTGTCTAACGCCTCATGAGGCCCGGCCAAATCCTGTTGTATATTGCTGCGATGATGACTTCCAAAACAGTACAATCACACGCAAAAGAGCGTTACTTGGAGAATTTGGCTGTACCCCAGAAGTACACACTGTCAAGGTCTGCCGGTGCTGCATGCAGGACATGGCAGGCGGCAATCTCACGATATGGGAGGGAATCCAAAAGGATGGCTTGCTTGGGATGCGAGAGGGATCGGTGCAGCCTGCAGAGAATCTGCTGGTGTCTTTCAGGGGGAATGCACCGCACAGGTAATTCACAAATTTCAGCGAGTATGCTTTGTCCAGTGGTGTTTACAGATTTATCAGTCCTGTCATGACTGCCGTCAGGGTTCCTGAAGGGTACGTATACTTCTTAGTACTACCTGCTGCTGTCTGCTCGTTGCTTTTGAAGTCAGAGGATGCATCAGAAAATACCTGCGCCGTGATCACTGCTCGGTTTCCTGGCTTGGCTTTAAGCTATGCAATAGGAGGTGAGATAAGAAGAGGTGGGTCTTGGTGTGAGGCACTCGTACTCTGCAGATGCGCATCCTGGGTGCTCATGGGGTGTGGTAAGAGTTGAATATTTAGTCCGCCCAATCCAGAGGAGCGCCAGAGGAAATGTGTCCCATGCTTGTCATGGCCTGCCCAAATGCACATCGAGCTGCATAAATCAGGGGCTGGGGGTTTGAAACAACAGCAAATGCACAGGTGGATGAAGAGTAGGGACCTGAAAGTATTTACTAAGTACCTGCTTAGTATATGCTTAGTAAGCAAGTGTCAATGTGCGGACCACCCTAGTTTATATCTGATGTTGCTTGCTGCCGACACCTGGCATGGCACGTCACAGGGTGGAGGAATTTGACTCGGAGAGCATGCGAGTGAGCCTGACACTGGAGCAGTATCTAGTGCCAGAGCCGCTGTACTGGGCTGTGCCCTCTTTTGCAGTCAAGAGGGTGAAATACTGATGCTTCAAATTTACGCTTCAGCTCATCCGTTAGCATGCGCATGCTCATATGGAGCACTAGGCTTTCTTTTACACAGTTTCTGATATGTGAACAGTGAGAAAGAGGAGGTTGCGGCATTCATGTAAGATTGTAGACTTTGTGTGAACTGGGAGGGAGATGCAGCTTCCTCCTGTGGAGAAGCTACTTACGTCACCGCACGATGAGGACTGGGCAGGGAGCAGGAGTACGTTGTATGACGATTAATTTAATCAGCTGAGTACTTGAGTGGATAAGATTGGGGACTCTTGTTTGCGCGAGCCTCACTGGCCTTCTTGTCACGTGTGGTTAGTTGACTCGAAGTTGACCGAGAAACTAAGCCTTGGTGGAGGAAAAGGGATCATTAGAATTTTGCGCATTACGTGCGGAGACGACAATCATTAATATAGTCACACGAGATACACATAAGCAGTCCGGGCTCCTTGTTGCGACACTTGTACTGGCCAATGGCATCGACCACCACTCTCATCATCCCAGACCTAAAAGGCAAAAGAGTGCTCGTCACTGGTACGTAACATATTTCTTGAAGAATTTATTTGCTTTCTTCCGGACGTCTTCGCTGATCGAGTGGTCTGATGTTGCCTTACAAAATCGTTGTCATTCGACTGATTGGCTCCCTCTGATTTTGCAGGTGGATCGGCAGGTATCGGGAGAGCGACTGCAATAGCTTTTGATGCCAACCAATGCGCCGTGGCGGTCCTCGGAAGGCGATTAGAACGGCTTGACGCAGTGGTAAGCCTTCTTGGCATGCTTCCTGTCTTACGGAAGCTCCTTCTTTGTGTTCACGAAGCTCACAATGCTCCCGGTGCACAACTGCAATGTTAATGGGAAAGATGCATCTGGTCTTAGGCATCGCAGCTGAAGCATGGGGTGTCTATCGTGGCGGACCTGACCAAGGAGGAAGACATGAAGCGAGCCATCAAGGAAACCATCGAGAAGCTGGGAGGCCTGGACATCCTGGTGAATTGGTAAGCTCATGCAGACAAACTGCCCGAAAGTTTTTTGAGCCTTGAGAACAGTACTCAAGTGCGATAGTCAGGAGAGGCTCTGTGTTTAGCTCAGTGTAGCATGCAAACATTCCTTTGCCTTTGCATTGATGATCGGTGACAACTCTTCTCTTCATTTCATGGTGGGTTGAGCGAGGGCAACTGTGATGTCAGCAACTTGAGGCACCAACGAATCTCTGTCGAGTCACGTGTCCTGAGATCTGGCCGGCAGGAGCGGCTTATTGAGCACCGTGGCCCCACTTGATTGGGTCCTGCTTGGATCTGGCGAGTCCATCAATGCATGGAATACGTGGACGCCCTTCACCTGCAGCTTGCCTGCAGCCGCACCTTACCTCTGACATCACTAGCGTCGAGTAATAGTGATACTTCAGCATGAAATCGTGTCAGAAATGACACATGCCACTTTAATCTGATACGCAGTCCTGTCTTTTGCAGCGGAGGAGCTGCGAGTGATGAGATGTGGGGAGGGGGAGAAGCCGCCTTCATAGCTGCCCTGAAGCTTCACGTGACAGGTGGCTTTGCTTCCCTGCACTGTCCCATGCATAAGTGCCTGTGATGAATACGTTTTCTATAGGAAAGACTATGCTCGTTTGCAGACAATCTGCAGGAAACGCTGGCACAGTTGCCAATCCTTGTTGGACTCGCAAGATACAAGCAAGACCATTGAAATATGCGGAAGTTCCTCTTTTCTGGGTCCCTAATGAATCGCCCATCCCAAGAAGTGAGGTGTCTGACTGGCTTTGCAGGCAATCTGACGCTCATCAGGGCAGCGGAAGAGGAGCTTGTCAAGAACAAGGTACACTGGTGACATATTCAGTACGCCTGAATCACACTTGAACACTGTCCTGCAGCCACACTGGATTTTTTTTGCCTCTCCAATAAATTGCATCGCTCAAGCTGAAGTCACTGCTCTTCAGGACTCCTTTTTTGGTCAAACAGCATCTTCCTAGCAATACCTGGCCAGCCAAGGCCATGCAAGGAATGCACTACAACCTTGGCAAGTGCCTGCTCAAGCTGTTTGTGTTGCATGCTTGCAAGGAGCTTAGTCATTTATGCTGCATGCTTACAGGGAGCAATTGTGAACATTGCTTCTGTCGTGGCGCTCATCCCACAGAAGGGGGCCATGTTTGCCTATGGCGTAGCCAAAGCGGCGCAGGACAAAATGACTAAGGACCTCGCGTTTGAATTTGCCCCCAAAGGAGTCCGCGTAAATTCTGTCCTGCCAGGTGATTTACAGAAGGGTTTTTGATTTACACGTGTGGCGTAAGGAAGTCATGCAACCTTGCATGCATGTTGCAGTGTGTTGCCTGACACAGATGCTGGCTGCTGATTTGGCTGATAATGATTACAAAGGTTGTGCTTTGATCTGATAGCTGGACGTGCATCACTTGCCGAGGCTGTCGAGGAGCAGCATATCAAATTATTACTGTGCCCACAATTAATGGGTGTTGCTTGGATCTGTCAGTCAATCTATCCCTCAAGGGGTAGGGACATGTGGCGGCCTTTACCTGAAGCTTGTCTGCAGACGACCCTTGCCTCTGGCAGGATCAGCATGTTATGTCATACTGACAAAGGTGTGTTGTCATGCAGCCACCATCGACACTGAAGTCTTCGACACAGTTTCAGAGAAGCAGGGAGTTCCCAGGGCAGACCTTCTCGCAGCTTTTGCACCGGGGCATGCAATGAACAGAGTTGGACAGCCCGAGGAAGTTGCGGCGCCGATTGTGTTTCTGGCGTCCAACGCAGCGTCCTTCATCACCGGAGCCAGCCTGCTTATCGACGGCGGCGCGACCCTCGGGTGAGTCAGCGGTTCTGTCTTTCTCACCCTTGAGGATTGTGTTTTTTGGGGGGTTCAAGGGTGAGGGGTTTTGACAGCTGTGCATCCCTGGGACGAGTCTGCGGGTTTCGTTCTGCTCTTCTTCAGCTTTTTGTGACGATGGGGTCGTGAAAGAGGATTCTCAGAGCACTGCTGGGACTCCCTTAATTTTGCTTCTCGCTCTGGTGGACTAATTGTCATCGAATTTTTACTAAAAACAATTGTGGGGGCCAAGTATATCTACTGAATCATGAGTCTGCAAAGTGGAGTTTGTGTTTCAAGGGCGTTGCCAGCTTCTGCTCTTCAGCAGCACTGATGGTGTGAGCATGGCTGTGTTATCCCGGCATGATAATATGAGATTGAAGCAGTCAAGTGGTTGGCAGGAGAACGGAGTACAAGCCTCATAAGATCATTAATAAGCGTTTCCCTGCGCTTGTAAAGTAATCTAAATAATATAGAATTAAATAAATAAATCCCCTGTTGCAGTCCCTGAGCATGCCTTTGGGGTACTGATAATTAGTTTTAGGCGCAGCTGGCACTACAGATATGGTTTGGATGCTGAGCAGAGGGGTTTGCGCAATGCAGGTACTGGTTCAACAGGAACTCTTTTCTGGAGTGAAGGAGAGGCGCTTCAGGGGTGTATCAAGCAAGGATTGCAGCAGAGTACAACGTAGCAACACACACATGGAATTCTGGGGTGCAGAGAAAGCTCTGCAGACACATGATGAGCTGAAGTTACACACAAGTCTGCTTGATGCCCTGTACTTGCAGCCTGAAACCTACCGGAAGAAGAAGGCCTGAAGTACCTCTACATGCTGAGGTAATGCTGTAGCATCTGGATGCAGCAAACATGATTCAGCGGCTGAGTGGCTGCAGCTAAGTCTGCAGGCTTGGACACTTCCTTTATCAAGATCTGCTGCTGTCTTTTGGACTCAAAGAGCGTGCTGGGGCATGCCTGAGATGAAGCTTTAGTCCAGTCAGCAGCCTGCCGATCAGCAACTCATGAGTTGCTTGTCAAAATGAGGAGCTCAGGAGTCTTGCGTTATCTACCATTCAATAACTAAGCTAATGGAGATCTGCAGACCTTACCTTGTTCTCTGAAGCCAGGCCTGCAGGTCCCCACTGGACAAAAACAATTTGCAAATTCAATTTGCAAGGTGCTGATTCTGATGTCAATATTAATATGAACAGCCCATCTCATGTGTCCCCTTGATCTGACGCTCATTTTGGCAAAGATCAGTAATGTTGCCATATCAGGTGAGCAAGTGCAAAGAAATTTGGAATGGAACACAGGCTGCAATTGAGAGTCATGCATGTCTCGGTCAGTCTTTGAGAGCTATGAGTCATGAATTACATATATGTATAGACCAATCCGGCCCTGGCTGGCAGGGGGCAGTGCAAATACTGAGCACCGTGCCCACGGTTGATTGAATCTTGCTTGGATCTGGCGAGTCCATCGAGGTTTAGGATTGTGGCAGCCTTTAAATGCAGCTTGTATGCAGCCGCAACTTGCCTCTGGCAGGAAAAGCATGTATTTATATACCGACAATGCCAGATCTCTTTTGATGGTCATGACTGATATTACCTTTGCCGTGATCACAGTGCCCATCTCTATTGCAGAGAGTACATGGAAGGGTCCAAGTGCCTTCATGATTAGAATCCACTGGATTCTAGCAGACTGCATGTATACAATGTGATCTGGTGTGCTCCTGGGCCGGAGGTGTCTTGTTGTTTCACATGTACTACACTGCGAGGCAGCCCTTCCTCCTATCTCCTGGCGCTCGCACTGTTTTAATGTTAGCACACCATTGTCTCTTCTCCAGACCACTGGCATGACTCTCAATATTATATTCCCCTGCGATCGCGTTACATTACATAATGTCGACATCCCGAAGGGAGCTCACGGGTCTTGTGAACACCGAGCTTGTGTGTGCATCGCAATTGATAATCGCTCTTTTAATCTTTGAGTCAAACTTGGTCAGGTTTGCTGCATATTATCTCGAGGGGAAAGAGAAGTTGTGTAAGGCCCACGTGCCCTTTCTTGGACGTGGTCATGAAGCTGCTGGAGATTTGATATCGTAATACCGCCCATTACTCTAGCATACCTTCTCGTAAACATCCATAAAGCACAATTGAGCCCAAAGTTTGAGGCGCATAAACAGGGAGCCGTAAACAATTCTTTCCGGAAAAGGCTGGAAGCGATGGCGTCGACCAACACGCCCATCATTGCAGACCTCAAGGGCAAGCGGGTGCTTGTCACAGGTAATAAATATAACTTTCTTGAATACCAACTGTATTTCACCGCACGCAATCGATAACTGTGTCGCCAGACCTTTCCTTACATAAGCAACCAGTTCAAGCAATTGGCTCTCTTGCGCTTTGCAGGCGGATCTGCAGGCATCGGAAAAGCCGCTGCTTTCGCTTTCGACGCCAACGGATCATCCGTTGCGGTCCTGGGACGGCGCCTTGAGCGCTTGGAGGCAGTGGTGAACCATCCTGCCCCTCTGCTTCACTAATCCCCATCCTCTTTCCCAACCTCTGCAAAAGTCTGGAAGCCTTCCGCGCATATGTAATAGCACGGCAAAAACCCCTGAAGAAAGTGCAAAAGGCAAGATTTGAAGCTATCGTCCGAGTTTCCTTTCCGTCGCAGGCATCGCAGCTGAAGCACGGTGTCTCCATCGTGGCGGACCTTACCAAGGAGGAAGACCTGAAGCGAGCCATCAAGGAGACTATCGAAAAGCTGGGAGGCCTGGACATTCTGGTTAACAGGCAAGTGTCAATTCCAGGCTTTAGTAACAACACCTTTTGCTGAAGTGCCCTGCAATTCTGCAGTCCTCTTGTATCTTTAGTCCATAGAAACGCTTGGTTGGATCACAGTACATGCTTTGCCTGTGCACAGACCTGATGACATAGGCTGCCATGACTGAGTTTGAGCCTTGTCAAGAATTCCCTTCTTGATCTGTCTATTGAAATCATGCGTGGCAAGGGCATGATGCAAAACTGGAATTCTGCTGTAGTGGAGGAGCTGTTACCGACGACATGTTCAACGGTGATGAGGCTGCATTCATCTCTGCGTACAAGCTGCATGTCACAGGTGCTCACCTTATACCCCTACACCTAAAAATCGGCAATTCCTCCCTCTATCTGCACTTGATCTCTTGTCATGTTTGTATCCGCTTTCGGCTTTTGAGTCTGCACGGCGAGAACCGACATCACCTTGTTTTGTAGCCTGCGATTTGTCTTTTGTCTCACACCATCCCAACTCATAGATATTAAGTTTGGCAGCTGCGTGGGTTTTATTTTGGGTCTGCTCTGAAGCAATGGCATTGCTCCAGAGCAGCAATGACATAATGGTAAATCTTGCATTGAGCTGACTGCGTCTCACAGTGAACCTCGGACATTGGCAGGAAGTGTTTGCAAGTCACAGCAAATGACCAGGGGGTGATGAATGCTGCATTCCAGGTGTTGGGTGAAATATCAGGGACCCCCTGATATGACCGGTTTTAACATGCTGCGCAGGCAACCTGACACTGATCCGGGCAGCAGAAGAGGAGCTCATTAAAAACAAGGTGTGTTTCACTAGAGCAACCAAGCATTTATGCCTTTCCACAGGTCACACCGTTTCTGCTCCCTTTTTTCCGGCCCTTGGATCTCCTTTACTGACGGTTTGATTCAGAAGTTGGTCCTGAGATGCTGCTTCAGTCTCTTCAGGCGGTTCTAAAACCCCCCCAGGACATCCCACCTATAGGTAGTTTGATTCTCAGTCTCTTGCCTGAGATGCTTTCTGGGGACCTGCATAGTCACGGATGCCTTATCAGTCAATTATTTTGCATCCCAGCCTTACCAGTCAGCTGCCTTCGTGCTGTTATCCCACTACTTTCCAATGGACCTTGCAGGCTTGCAATATTTGCATGCATTGATTTTTTTGTTACCCTGGTGACTGCTTTCACATCACACTTAAAATCACTTTAAGCTGAGCTCACATCTTTATCATTTCCCTCAGTCAAAGGGCATTGAATGCCTGGGTTCACCTGAATGCATGCACCGTCCACTTGTAAAGACGAAATGCTTCAGACTTTTGACTCTCAACTTTAAAAGTAAGAGATCTCTTTGTGGAAACGCAGGGCGCAGTGATAAACATATCTTCAGTGGCTGCCATCATGCCGACTCATGCAAACTTCTCAGCCTATGGCGTGGCCAAGGCGGCTCAGGACAAGCTGACTCAGGACCTCGCGTTCGAATTCGCACCTAAGGGGGTTCGCGTCAATTCCATCCTGCCGGGTAAGTCACAATCACTTTCAGCTTTTATTTTTGACTTTGAAATTGGTGCACGTCTAATGAGGCTATGGAGGCATGCGAGCCTTTTTATTGCATATAATTCAGTGCACAATACAGGGGTATCGAATGTCACAGGCAGAATGTTAACTCAATTCAGATAGGGCAGAACTCTTGAGTTTTCAGGTTTAAGAGAGGCAGGCATTGTGTCGTGTTCAGGACTGCCTTGCACTTGTGCATTTTTTCACTTTGCTTGCATTCCGAGATTTTGCTTCCCTGGATAACTTTCAAGCCACTGCATGTCTTGTAAGCTAGACTAGCATGCCTGCAATCGTCCCTTAACCGCCACAACTGTACCGTCATGATATAGACTGCGCCTGGTGCAGCACTTGAATTCAAATCTCAAAATTTGACTTCGAATTTGACCTTTTCCATGTTGACCGCAGCCACGATCGACACGGAGGTGTTTGACACGATGGCGGAGCAGAAGGGGACCCCCAAAGCAGACCTCCTCGCAGGAATGGCGCCATGGCATGCAATGAACCGAGTTGGACAGCCCGAGGAAATTGCGGCGCCGATTGTGTTTCTGGCGTCCGACGCAGCGTCCTTCATCACCGGGGTGAACCTGCGCGTCGACGGTGGCGCGACCCTCGGGTGAGTCGGTTTTTTTATAACGACACCCTTGAGGGTATTTCTAGACTTTTGGGGTTTAAAATTGTGATTTTCATCACTGGGTGAATCTGCGCCTCGACCGCGGCGCGACCGTCGAATGACTCATCTCCTTTCAATCCATATCCTTCAGGGTCCTGCAGGTAATTGGGGCTTGAGGGGTACCAATGGATCAGCAGCAGCTCCATAAGGGATTATATAGGGGTAATGGGTTGTAAATGGCGGTGGTGCGGCCCTTGGGTGTGTCAACAGCCTTTTGTCATGGCATCGATTTATGACAGACCCCAGGGCCTCGAGGGCCCTTAAATCTCAGAGTGTACGCTGATAGGCTGGAGCGAGCGCAGGGAAAGCAGATAGGTTGTGGGCATGTGGAGCGGGTGAATAGCTGATATGTCTTTAATATTTTTTTAGGGTTTTGGGTATAGGGCTTCCTAAACCCTACACCCTAAAGATCAATCCTGGTGCTGAGTACAAGTTTGTGAAATTGCAGGTACTGGTTCAACAGAACCTCCTTCCTGGATTGAAGCCAAGATTAGAAGAACTCATGTGTGGATCCACTCATCCGGATAGATGTGCACATAGGATTACCCCGTGATGAACTTAGTTGTGAGTCAGCTGCATCAGTGTCAGCTGTAGGGTTGATGCTTCTAAGACTCTTTGCAACAGCCTTAAAATTGTCCCGGCCTGAGACTTGAGATTTGATACATGCAATTCTTTGTATTACTCAAGATTCAGCACGTGGCACCAAACATACTGTGTGTCAAGTTCTGCTTCAGCAAAGCAGTCCTTCCTGGAAAGATGCCCAGAGCACAGGCGGCTGCTGCTCTTTGACGGGGATGCAAATATGAGAAATCCACAATGAACTCAAAAGCAGAATACCAGTTGTGGCAGGGGGTGGGTTTAGGAACTCGCTGAACCTATTTTGGATATCTTTGCCAGGTGTGAATATGTGAATGACAGCAGCGTACGGGTTTGCTGCCATTGGATCCTCAGGACAGGCTGTAAGCATCTTGCATACTGATGTTCTTATGAATTCAAATTCTTACATCTGCAGCTCTTCTTGCCTGCAAATGCAAAAGTCCAGTGCCTTGCCCCTATTTCTCGCCCCATTTAAGAATTAGCAGACGGGTTTATAAACCCAGATGTATCCCAGAGAAGCCAAAATAGACACCAGCCACTATGGTTGAGAGAATTAGCATATACTCTACTAATCAACTCCAGGCACAAAATTCGTCACCACTCAAGACTGCAATAAATTGGTCCCTGAATGCCATTGGGCCAGACAAAAAGGCCAGATAATCAAGGGAAAATAACATCAGATCAGCTGGAATGCATTACATTGATTGCCCTGACTGCACTTCAAGCTTGAAACGCCTGCATGCGCGTGAACGATGCCAGATCAAAAATTTGAATTTGAGTAAAGAGGTGCGCCAGATCAAGCTGCCTATGAGCCGCTGTCCCAGTCTAAGTCAATCGACTGCTGCTGGGCCTTAAGCTTGCCAAATTTTCTCGGCCGGTTGATCACGCCGTACTCCTTCATGACTACGTCCATCACCTGCACAAGAGCCAGACAGCCCTCACTGACTTTTCAATGAAGATTGGTGACAAGGGCCAGTGTGTGACTGTGCGCTGCCTGCGTGTTGTCCTGGCCAGACGCTATTGCATGCTTGGGAGGCCCACACGATCATCATGCCAGCAAAGTGCCTGCTCAAACCTCATCCCCTCACACCTTGCAAGCGTGCAGGCAAAGCAGACAACGAACAATCACAGTGGTTGCCCAAACAAGCATTTGCTGCGAAATAGACGCTCTGTTGCACGCAATCGAGAGATCAGCGTCAGTGAGCTGCAATTTTCTTCAACCCCGCTTGTGCCCGAGATGGAAAGCACAAGTGACCCCAAAACCCCATATACAAGCCAATAAAATGTTTTGCAACTCCAGCTGGTATTCTAGGAAGCTGCCGCGCGCCTTGTGCAGCTGCTGGGACCCGGGCTCGCGCTGTTCCATGGCGAGGAGGTACGCGCGACAAGACGCGCGCTCCGGTATATTCCCCTGCGCGATCAGTAAAGAGTGACTCAACTGCAGGCATAGCTGATATACATCCGGTATACAACTGATATACAACGCACATGTTAGCAGGATCAGCGGAGAAGCCACAGTCAGTGCCAGATCAATCTCTCAGCAGGCAGGCAGGCATGCAAGCAACAGCAGGTGGACTTACAAAACACCCGGCTATGTCTCTAGGGCTGTATCGACATTCAAGACAACCCCTAAAACCTCATTCAAAGAACCCTGATTCCCAAAGAAAGATACATAACAACATTGTAGGCTAGGCCGGGAGGAAGGCAAGGAGTGCGCTGCGCTTACTTGCGCGATGAGTAAGTCCCAGATTACATACCAAGATAACAAACAGCTCCCAGCACAGCAACACTATAGTTCACATTGCATATATGCAGTCGGGTCTGCTTAATTCAAATGGCAGAAAATGGTATGCTGACGTCCAAGCAGAGCGAGCGCCAGAAGGATTACCAACCTGCGCGATGAGTAAGTCCCAGAGCTTGTGTGCGAGGGTTAGGTCGCCCACGTGGCGTTGCACCGCGAATCTCAGCAGGTGGCTGCCAACCAGGCCGTTGATGAAGTGGCGCTTGAAGCCCACTGCGCAAAATAGAACAAAGAGGATTGTTCTCAGAAGCATTTTTAGGGTTAGGATTGGTGAAAACCATAAGCCATATAGGGAAGGGAGAAAAATTGGCATTCTGTGGCTGCCAACCAGGCCGTTGATGAAGTGGCGCTTGAATAACACTGCGCAGCGCAGAACGAAGAGGACTGTTCAAGCATTTGAGGATTAAAGTTGGTGGAAATTATAGACAATAGGGAAGGGAGAAAAATGTGAAATCTGTGGCTGCCAACCAGAACGTTGATGAAGTGGCGCTTGAATAACACTGCGCAGCGCAGAACGAATGGGGTTTTAAAAGTTAGGATTGGGAATGCCATAAGGCCTAAATATAGAGAAGGAAAAAGGAGATGTGGCATTCTGTGGCGCCAATGATGTCGCGCTTGAAGCCCACTGCGTGTAAGAAAAGGTAAAGGGAGTTCTCTGCATGGACGGGAACTTGCATTGAAGTCCAGCAGCAGCTGGCGTAAGAACCAAGGGCCAATGCTTCAATCCTAATCAAGCCTGGATGCAGCGAAGACGCATGACAACAGCACAGCATGCTCACCAAAAATTGCCAACCCAAATTGCGCTGTATTATTTTACAGTATTATATTTTTACCTGAACCCAAACCCAAGGAAGCTGACATAAGCTCAGGGTCAAGCAGCTCTACAGGTCATGCAAAAGGCTGCCGCAGGAATGTTCCGTGTAACAGGCCGATGCTCTTGTGACTCCCTGATACGATGCTACTGGGAGCAAACGTTTACAAACAACACATTGATGAATTTCTGGAAGAAGGGAATGAGCTTCACCTTGGCCAAAGCGGTTCAGAAGTTCGACTCCGACTTGCAACGCCCCGTGGCAACCCATGGCCTCCATCTGAATCGAAGCCTGCAAGTCACCCACAAAATCTTATCAGGACATCTCATTCAAGAGCAAAGGGACCCCCATTGCATGTCCCTCTCAAGAGAGTCACAACATCCCAGTGCTAGCCTCTTTCAAGAGAGGAAGCAACAGACAATCTCGCAGTCAGCGCACAATCAAAGCTGCAAGTAGGCTGGCAATTGGCAGCCCTTTGCGCGACCTGAGCGGATTTCTACAGCAACAGAGCTTCTGGGTACTTCACAACAAATACTTTCAGGGAAATCCTGTCTTGTCTACGTTGGGACCTTCCTGATGATGCTAATTTGCCAATGCTTCTCTGTCAGCACGGGGTCATTCATTCTCCCGGTCACACAGAGAGCACAGATGCAGGGCAAGACTAGGAGCTCTGATATACTCTAGGCAGTAAGCACATGGCTGGCACATGGCAATAAGCACCAGCTTTCCCACCTCAATGAATTCTAGCAGTTCGCTGGCAGGCAGCTCGAGTCCCTTGGAGTTCATCTCTGCATGCAGCGCTATGGCCTTCTCCCAGCTCTCCCTATTCGCCAGGCCCATCAGATAACTGCAACACATTCCCATTATTAGTAATGCTACTAGTATTTTTATTTTTTACATTATTCTCTTTAGGGTTTACGGTTGGGGTTTTTAATTTCATATTCTACCTAGACCCCAAATATAGACTCACAATTCTTTTCGGGAGCCATTGGAGGCTCATTGGTCTTACATGCAGCCTTTCTGCAAGGTGCTTCTGCCCAAGCATACGCTGCTAGCCATATTCCACTTGGAGATAAGTGCCACATTAGACGAATTTGATATTTGACCTCGATATAGGACTGAGGAAGCTGAGGACTGACCTGTAGCGAAGTTTACTGTACTCTTCCTTCGGCACCCATCTCAATTCCTTCATCCGCGCAAGTTTCAGTGCCTCCCCGGCCGGACCTGCAGTAGCAACGAGCTTTCGGTGTTCTTACCGTAGTCAGCACCATATTTCCAGCATATAATAATTATTTCTCTAAATAGAGCCGAAAATCAAGACCCTGAAATGCAGGGACATACACCCTATGACAATTTCATCAATGTATGCAATGTGGTCATTTAGTGATCCTGGGTCGGGGGTCCATTGTATTGATTTTACATGTTGTTGTGCACTTGCGAAGCCGCCCTTTTTCCTATCTCTTGGCGCTCACTCTGCCTTGATGTCTGCATACCTCTTTCTCTAATTTTGAGACCAGTTTTGGAACGCTCTCGCTGAGCCCGACCCATTGGTGATGATGGAACATCCTTTCGAGAAAGGAAGACTGTAAAAGAAAACTAGACTCCAAAAACATTTCACACATATTGCGGGGTGCGGGAATTGCGGTGCTGACTACGGTTTTACTAATGTTGTTTAGAGACCTCTTGGGAGCCACCTGAGGCTCAATTGTCTTGTAGGCAGTCTATTAATTCTAAATTCAAGGGAGGCCAATCAGACTCAATTGAAGAGGACAGTGCAACAATGAATGCGTTCTTGCAAGGCACGGAGCCTTTGATTGCGATTTTCTGATCAGGGGGCACTTGAACCCGTTGAAGGAGCTGAGGGCAGCGATGGAAGATTCGCACCTGTGAGCATCTGAGGCTCTTAATTTTCTTTCCCTCTGTCAGGCAGAGCAACGCTCAATGTTGCTGCAATGCTGGCATTCTGGCTACCTTAGTGAGTCACTATGGCGCAACTCATTTGTCTTCTAGGAGCTATATATACCTAAGGTGAAAGTTCATGCATCGGGTCACACCTGACATCGGGGTGTTGGAGGTCCATCGCTCCTGCGAGCCGCCGTAGTCATTGCCCTCGTCATCGCTGACATCATCATCACTGCTGATGTCACCGCTGCTGAAGTCACCATCGCTGTCATCATCCGATGAGCTGCTCTCCTGCCCGCTGTTCCAGGCAGACTCTCTTTTCGCCCGTTCTGGCGAAGGAGGAGGGATCGCCTCTTCCGGGGTGCCCACAGTCGCCTGTTCTGGCTCGACGGCTGTCGCCTGTTCTGGCGCGTCTGGCACCGTTGCCTGTTCTGGAGCGGCTGCTGTTGCCAAATCTGGCTTGCTTGCAGCTTCCTGATCTGGCACGTTCGCTGCTGTCGCCTGTTCTGGCGCACTGGGCGCTGCTTCCTGTTCTATACCGAACATTCTCGCCCAGAATGGCCTGCTCGCAGTCTCCTGTTCTGGCACGCTGGTGCTTGTTGCCTGTTCTGGCGCAACAGCCGCTGTTGCCTGTTCTGGAGTGGTTGTGATTTCCTGATCTGACATGGTGGCAGTTGTTGCCTGTGCTGGCGCAGCAGCTGCTGTTGCCTGTTCTGGAGCGGCTGTGTTTTGCTGATCTGTCAGCTGCTCAGCTGCGGTGGCTCTCTGCGCCCGCAGGGTGTCATGCTTCTCCTTGAGGACCCTAGGCATGAAATGCAGTGTCCTGATGACGCTACCCATGACTACAGAGCACGCACACCAACACAGAATAGGCTCCCATAATCCACCGCATGGCATAATTGGCAGTACCCCTGTCACCTGATCTTCTGAGCAATCCCCGCGGTGTTTGCGGAACAGATTGACAAATGTTGGCATACGCATAGACACAGATGCATTTCCTTTTGGCATACGGTACGGTATTGTGATGTTTGGAACCGCCAAGGGTACTTACTGTGCCCACTGGTGTTTGAGGGCCGATCGCAGCTCCGCCTCGCTCTTGGGCCACCTGGAAAAGAGCAGCAGACACGAGCTTAGCACAAAAAGATTAATAATACCTTCACATGTTGTTCCTCCCAAGAACTTCTCAGCTTGAAGCAATGCGAGCCTGCACTGAAGACAGGCTGCAGGTAGAGGCTGCCACAAATCTCCTGACGGACTTTCCAGATCCAAGCAAGAGCCAATAAGTATTGTGCACCTCTTACTAATGAATACGCTCGCCAGCAGGGATCTAGCATCAGGAGATTAGGGATGAACACAGGGCAGCAAAAGTGGCACCGCAGCCAGTGCCAGCCTGGCTGAGATAAAGGTACTGCAGCTGACCTGAACATTCCGGTGGCGTCATGATGGTGTGAGTGTACGCCCATAGGATATCATAGGATTTTTTCCGGTACGGTTTGCTTTTAGGGTTCCTCGTTAACCCTTGGCATGTTACTAAACCTAACTAAACATGAGGCAGGGAAGAATCACCTGAAGATGCCGGTGGCGTCCTTGATGTAGGAGGTGATGGTGTGGGTGTACGCCCAGGAGCTGGGATTGTCCCTATCCTCGGGGGGAATGCTCTCGAACAATGTCACCACCGCATCGTGGCACCTGCAGAAGTGTGTAGAGACTTTCTCTTTTGGCGTGCTTCACTCGCATGAACCCTTCCTTGACCCCTCTTGGCAATGGCAGCTGAAGGGGAAATATAAGGCAGACTAAGTGTAAGCACTGCCGTTTTCCAGTATCCTTGCAACAAAAATGGATTTCGATTGGGGCAGATAGAAAGAAAGTTTGCTTCTTATGGCAGCACCACTGATTTCTTCACCATCACAAGGTTCACAGTCTGCTTCAGATCAAGAATGCAATACAGATGAGGGGACGCTAACACACATGAAGCAAAAGCAAAAGCACTCACTTCTGCAGCGCAAACAGCGCGGCAGCCGCAAGACGTTGGCGTGCCAGTTCCCCGACCTTTCAAATTGATTAATAATGGAAACCTAGGCTTTTGCTGTGTCCTCAGACCTCCCTGAAAACCCACGAACAGAAGCAAGTCAATAGAAAGACACTCACCCGTATTTCTGCAGCGCAAATAGCGCCGCCGGCGCGAGCTGCCAGGGCCGCTGCGGCTCGGTTGAAGCCCCCACCGCCGCTTGCCCCTCGGCCAGAGCCGCTAGAACCTCTCTCTGGTACTCTGCCCTGTCCCCGAAAGGCTTCTTCCTGCAGGTTTCAGAACCTATATTTAGGGTTTAGGGTTCCTATACCCTAAATTCTAAACCCTAATAAAAAATATAGAGGCGTGTGGGGGGTGGAGCAACACGCTCAAGGACTGCATGCCTGCTCGGCAGGATCTGCAAAGTGAAGGAGATGAATGTGATACTCCGCTGATACTCACCCCTGTATAACTTTCAGAAGGCTCCGGTAGCACGAGCATAAAGACAACGTTTCACCTTTGCCCTGGCATCATGTGCTTGGGCTCAGCGGATACCATAAACACCCTTACTTGCCGCGCTGCCTTGAAGGTGCAAAACTAAGCTTTGCTTTGCATCCATCCAAAGCTATCCCAGGCCTCAGGCTGTAATTTTATGGCACTGCAGAAAAGCAGCAGCTGCAAGGCAGCGTGCGCGTACACCAAGAGAAAAAAATCAAATACAGAAGCACAACAGAAACAGCCCGCTCACCTGTATGCTCTGATCAATGCGCTGTAAGCGTAGGTGATGGCGTTGGGCTGGTCACCGTAACGGTCCAGGAAGCTGCGAATTTGTTGGCGCACTTTAGCAACGTCCCCCTTTTCTGCGAATGCGTTGACTATCGACAGGGTAAGCTCGAAGCCGTCCTCGCCCTGCGCCGACGGCTGCACCTGCCTAAACACCTGGCACCATGACAAAGAGATGACTCAATATGACAAATTACATTGTTACGTTTTTGTATCACAGCCCCCTCAGGTTTTGCATTCCTGTGTTACAAGTGACTAATGCATGCGCGGACAGCTGCTCTTGCCCAACACCTGACCACGGGTAGATTTGACAAAATTTACAAAGAGGGGTCCGTGGAAATTCGTGCATGTCAGTCCTTGTAGGCAAAAGAAGCACACTAGGTGGAGGTGAGTCGTGAATGTTTAGTCCTGAATTCCACGGTATAGTAAGCTGTCTATGTCGCTCACTTGAGCCAAGGTGACGAGGATTTGCATTTCTTGGTCCCTTAAGACTGCAATCTACATGCTGCATTCGAATATTAAAGGATGCCTGCTGCAGTGGGGATCGTTTCATTCAAGGTAAATATACAATGGCGCAATTTGCAAATAGAGGTGCAGCCATCTGCGCATGCATGTGAGACTTGCGATTCGAGTCACTGGCCTTAGGGGAGTTCACTGCAGTGAACTCTTTTGGCGCCCCTTTTTGCCATGGCATGTTGAGGAGCAACATGCACCAGTTAAAGGAATAAGTATCCAACCATCTTGTGAAGATGACTAACCTCCAGAGCAGCGTCCATGTCACCGTGGCGCGCCAGCACGGACACAAGACTCCCTTTCAATCTCTCAGAAGGCTGCATGCCCCGACGGCGCATCTCCTCATAGTAATAGAAGCAGTCGCCCACGCGCGTCGACTGCAGGCTGTACCTGTGGCAGCAGTCGAACACAAAATTCAGATCAGATTGGATTGCCTGGCATTTTTTTTCCGATCAATCACATATCTATGGACCTGATCCAGGAGTGCACATGCTATAATGGCAGCTTTCTGTATGAGCATAAGATTGTCAAGAGCACCTGCAGAAAACAGCTGCTCAACACAGACACACAGCTAAATAATAACCATCCAAAATTTACCACTGAACAGCAGACGCAATTGTCCTGCAAGCTATTTCGTGGGAGGTAAGAAACCCTGGCACAGGCTAGGAGCTCCTAAAGCCTGACGCATGGCAAGGTGGTATCATGTAAGAAGACTACAACAGAAAAATGTCCCAAGGGCCACAGACCTGATGGCGCTTTCGAGGAACTGGCGATCGGGGGCAAGCCCATTCAGCTGCATCTCTTCCATTATATCCCTGACCAGGTACGTCCTGCAGACAAGGCAAATAATTTTGTTCCTTTCCCGTCTGTGCGCTTCCCCGCCACATGATGACAGGGCATTTTTGCCGCACTCCCAGCAATGGTGCTTATTTATCTGCATGTAAATTTGGCAGGCTTCCGCTCGTTTGTGATTCTGCTGCTATAAAAGGTGGACAAAACAGAAAATGGGGGTTTAGGGGATACGGCCCAGAATTGCTGAATCTGCATGCATGCAGACACGAGGGCACCAACACCATCTCTGAGCCGAGCCTGTTGTTCCACAAAGCAGGGAGCAACTCGACACCAGGAATAAGTCCCATGCATCTGATATTGGAGTGAAAAACACAGATTGGTCCACAGGAGGGGGTGTCCATGGAAGCTTTTATTATTGTTATTAGTACACGCTTGATCCAGCCCTGAGGGCTAGGTGCGTTGTAGCAGCCTGTCATAATTCCCTTCCAGCCTTCCCTGTCTTGGCACTTTCTCTACCAGTTGGCGTGTCAGTCCCAAACAAACCAGGTCAACGCAATGAACCGTGGTGATAGATATTTCATGAAGTGGCAGAGCAAGCAAGTTTCAAACCTGCGAGCTGTCGCAACGTCGCTAGCCAGTAGCTGGTAGTCCATGCGGTCTCGGGGTGCGCCAGATCTGGCCTGGTACCGCGGTGAGTAATGGGACGGCGGCGGTGAGTAATGGCGTCGGGGAGAGGGGCCGCCCCTGTAGCCCTGCCCCTCGTCCTGAAGAGGCATTCCAGGATCCGCCATGAAGCTGCCCTCGTCATCCCAGTCTGCACGCCACATCAGCAGGCGTTCCACATCAGCAGCGGTTGGCAAAACTAAAATGCCTGGTTGTGGCTGTGGACTGGCAGGAGTCTGACCTGCAGCTTCAGTAGCAGGAGGGTCACAACAATCAGATGGCATTGCATGCAGCTTCACATGTTACTGACTAAATTGTGACAATTGTGTAGCACTGCTGCAACGCCGATGCATTGTGATGTTAAGGATGCTATGCATGCATGCATGCAAAGCCACTTGAGAAGGTTTATGGGGCCTTGACGGGCTTTTCTAGATTTTGGTCAGCTGCTGTGCAGGGTGCTAAAATACAGATGCTTAATTTGTGAATTGAGCCAGGCATGACGGGGGATGCCCCCGTTCAAGAGGACAGTCACCTAGTTCAGAAGCTGAAGCGTTTGCGGCAGGGCAGGTATGCAAATTACGTCTATTGTCCACCGGTCCGAGTAAAGACGCCAGGCGACGCGCTAGACACTGCAACTGATGCTCAACCAGGATTGGAGGACCTCTCGCCAGGGAGGGCGGCACCAAGCGAGGCATGACTAACCAGTCAGATATCTGCACGCAGAAGGTCTTGATTATTTGAAGATGATGTAAAATGAAAACCCACCGTTGAAGATGTGCTTCCTCACTAAAAGCAAGGAGCCCATGGCGTCCAGGGCAAGCCACTTCATTGCGAGCATGCGTTTGTTATGTGGCTTGAATGATCCTGATGGATTCTTTTATCATGTTAGTTGACTTCGGATCATTGACTTACCGAAGGCAGCTCTCTAGCACGGTTGTTATTTCTGCGACGGAAGCATGATCCAATATCTAATAAGGCTGACTTCCAATTCAGTTGACCCAGTAGATGTCACACACGCCTCCCATATATCACCCTCCGATGGTGTTGTCCATTTCGAAATGGCTGCATGAAGAGATTAAGGCATCATCTACAGGAACCTCCCACGTGGGTCCAACGGCTGCCGCCGCTTGAAGCTACGGGCCGCCCGGGCAACACAGCCTTTGCCTGAGTTTGGTTGGATATGCCGTTCGAACTTCGTCCCGAGATACACTTTTTTGCTTCTGGATGTGCTTCTCAGCTGGATCATGAGAATCGTGCATCACATTGGATGCAGCTGGGTATAGAGAACGTGTGTGTTGGATGCTCCGGCAGATGGCTCAGGCTACAAACCTCCAGGAAGTGTTGGAAGACTTCGAGAAGAGTGCAGATCGCGGTGATCCAGAGCAATTTAAGGTAGGGTGAAGGTGCATCTGCTATGCGCTGCGTTGTTAAAGTACTTGACGAAGTGTGCAGGAATGTGGACTCGAGCCTTCAAATATGTTCGTGCAGCTCTTGGAGGTCATGCGCAACGAAACTAACAGAATCAATCAGCTCAGAGGCGTGTGGAATACACCGTCGACATATAGAGATTGGAACAATCTGAAAACTGCCGGACAGGAGCAGGCGCCCCTCGCCATCGAAGCCTACAGGTCCGTCGAAGCCTTGTACATCATAACGATCTTGCCGGAGAGAATGCAACATTCTGTTGCATCCTAGGCGCATTATGCTTGCTATTGGAATACTGAGATCAAGGTACACAAAGAGGCGTTACACCCGTAACGTGGCATTGCAGGGAATACAAGCAACACCTTGAAGGGCAGGTCCCCAAGAAACTCCTGCCAGCTCCGCTGATTCCAAGGAAAGAGGTTTCCGAACAAGGATAATTGCCATGGACAAGAAAATACATGACAGCAGCCAGCTACAGATCTAGCCAGCGCCGTTGATCAACTCGAAGCTTTTAGGAGACACACCGGAGGAGAGTCTTACAATACTGAACAGTAAAGCTCACCGACAGTTTTGGCTGTTGCCTTCGAAAGCCTATATTGGTTGCACTTAATTACAGTCATACAGAGCTGTCTTAGAGATGTCTATACTGCACACAAGCCCAAGTTGATCCTCGTTGTATATATTCTATGGAATCTAGCTAGGTTTGGATCCCTACTTCATCAATCGTAGCGCCATCCAGGCTGCATGAATCTAGATCAAACCTAGATGCCCAAAATTGGTATTGCAGTTCCATTGCAATAATACTGCCGGCACAAAATGTTACCAGCAGGCAATTATGCTGTACGAAAGATCAGTACCACACAGCAGTATAGAGTGCACTCCGATCTGTGTCACTTGACTTGCAAGTCACGAATTTGGATTCGAACTCACTCCGTGCCCAAAACATCGCGGCCCCCCAGGATCACTTCAAACCTCTTTTTCTCGCCGCCCCTCAGGACCTCCACCTTTATCTTATCCCCTGGCCGCTTCTCGTCCAGGATTTCGAACAGCTCCCTCTGCAACTTAATTTCGCGCCCCTCTATCGCTGTTATCACATCCCCCAACACCACTCGGCCCAGTTCGTCCCTGCATGCAGTGCAGAGGTAGGATTATTATTATTACTATTATAACACGCTTTTCCTGCCAAGAGGCAAGGTGCGTCCTGCAGACAAGCTGCAGTTGAAGGCTGCCATAATCCTACCCCTTGTTGGACTCGCCAGATCCAAGCAAGACCCAGTCAACCGTGGGCACGGTGCTCAGTATTTGCACCGCCCCCCGCAAGCCGGGGCCAGGAGGTAGAATGAGATATGTGGAATTCAATGCTTGCAATGCAAACTTCCTTCACGACAAATCTGCATAACTTAGTCCTGCATGTGTTGCATGGGCATGATGAGGCAATTCCCTCTAAAGTCACTCTTGAACCCTCATATATCCAGCAGGCAGGATGCGTATGAGAGAAGGTCGGGCATGATGCACAATTGCCCGAGGGAAGCTTGGCTGCACTGCATGCTGCTATGCCTTTTGGTACATACATGGCCAGCAGTCAGAAAATTACCTAATTACAGAGCCACATGCCATCCTCACTCCAGCAGTGATAATATTTCACTTGCCTACGATATCCCTTCACTTGTGTCCGTGGCCGGCCTCTTTATGAGTACAAAAGCGGCATGGTGCCCCTGTGACAATTCCGTAAACACCAAGGAAGGCAAGGGGGGATGATGGGTGCGCGCCTGAAAGTTCCCTTGATGCCTGCGTTGGCTGCGGGGCCGCCAGGTGGCACCTCCAGAATGAGAACGCCCTCTACCCCGATCTGGCGCACGGTCTGCAGGGGCGATACTTTTGATTAGTATATTCTTACACAATAATAGTATTCTCACAATACCACTACTAACGATATTTGGTGCTGACAGTGCTGGCGCACGGTCTGCAGGGGCGACTCTTTTGTTTAGAAACCTATAAGCGACAGTGTCACTACTGACAATCTTTTATACTGACAGTGGGCACAACTCCCAAGATTGTTGTGCGCTCTTGCAGCCAAAATAAGCAAGGTATGTCTGCAAAGCAGAGCTGAAACAAGCAGAAGCAGCAAGCGTCTCATGAGATCTCGCCAATTCTTGGACCAACAGCAGTTAAACACCCTAGGGCCGAACCGAGCCAAAGAAACGTTCAAATGCAGTTGAGACTGCCGTGTCTCTTACTCAGGTGAGTGTCACACAAGTGTTGACCCCGGTGTCTGCCATCAGTCTCACCTGTGGGGGAGCTATTGTGATGCCCAAGATCGGCCGCACGACCTTTCCATAGGTCAAAATCTGCTCCACTAGCCCCTTGGTGCCATCGATGGGAATTGCAAAGCCCACGCCCGAGTTGGCGCCTTTACCTGCAGCATGCAGAGGGGGAATCTAGAAAAGATAACAACATCCTCTGACATCATGTGACATAATGATTATGTACCACAGAATAGGTAGAATTACCGCATACATGCACGGCATGCACAGGCAAAAGCCAGAAAAGGCAGAGTCGCGATGAATTGCGCAAGCACTGCAGTTCTGCACAGCTGCAAAGGATCTGCATGCACATGCCGAGCATGTGATGTAAAGAGCAAGCTATCCGGTCTGCATGCGCAACACGCACCCAGCACGCAGTAGGGCATGAAAAATTGCGCATGCATTTCCACGTCATCAAATGCAAGAATGCTCTGACTGGAGCGGAAACCTCGAGAACAAGGCCAGTGCAGGAATAGACCACTGACTCGCATGTAGCAGCTTGCCAATGGACTGTCAAAAGTCAAGGCTCTGTCCCTCTCTGTGCTTGTTCCCGAGATCCTGCCATGTCTTAATTGTTCTAAGTCCACTATCGACCACTCATATAGTAAGATTTACGAGTAAGAAAGCTGACCCAACAGTGGGGTCTGCAATGGCGATGCTGGATAGGCGTGCCTTGCCGATTAGTAATCACCCCCGCATTGCCAGTGAATTGCGGCATAGATCTCGAGTTCAACTTACAAAAAAAAGGTATGCAAGGGATTCAAAGACTTCCCGGTGGGGTCTGCAATGGTTGTGCTGATGCCGATCAGGCGCCCTTCGCTATTGAGCAAGACTCTGTCGCTGTTGCTCGAATCAATTGCAGTGCTTTTTTCTGAATTTTTTTGTTTTTTGTATTATGTTTGGTTCTCTTTTCAAGGAAATTGCACATCCCAGGAGGGGCAAATGACCTCACCGGTGGGGTCAGTGATGGCGGTCTAAAGGCCCACAAGGCGCCCTTAGTTATTTTGCAAAACACCTGCCTCTCTTGCCACACAATATTCTAAACTGTTTCATTTATGCCATCTAAGAAGGCTGGAAAGTCACCGGTGGGGTCAGCGATGGCTGTATTTATGCCGACCAGGCGCCCTTTGCTGTTGAGCAACACTCCGCCGCTGTTGCCGGGATTGATTGCAGCGTCTGTCTGGATGACGTTCTTAATGGGAACGCCCCTGTAGCCCGGCGTCGCCAGCTCCCTCCCCAGCCCCGACACTATGCCCTGCCCATGAAATTATTTTCAGTCCCTTTGAATCTAAAATTGAGCTGTTGGTGACAAAGTGCTTGTCGCATTGCTGTGTTTCTTGGAGATCAGGGCCAATGGGAGGGCAAGCCATATCTTTCCTGCACAGGCCTGCTACCAGGCAATGCAGAGGCATTGCCCCTAAGAAAAGCAGAGCCTATACTTTTCTAATTCTCAATTATTTAACATTTCCACATGCTCTCAGTGGGTGATTCACCTGAGTGAGCGTGTGGTCCAGCCCAAAGGGATTTCCGATAGCATACACCTGCAGAATGCAGACCCCGACATTATCAAGCACTGCTGCACAATCATGAACAGAACCAAATCGTGTAAACCACACTCACAGCATCTTGAACCCTCAGAAGAAGTGTTGCAATGTCTGGTAAAATCTTATACTTCATATGTCTTCACCATGGCTTTCAACGTCCCACGATGCTCCTGCCCAAGGGGTATACATGCATGCCCATGAAGGCGTATACCTCGCAATCTGTTCTTTGTGCCATCATCAACAGAGAAGTAGGGTAGGAAATGACGAGCGACTCACCTTCTGGCCCACTAGGAGGTTGGTTGAGGTGCCGAGCGTGACAGGTCGCAGCTCGCGCAGCTTCTCTTCAGGCGCCTGCAGCTGCAGCACCGCTATGTCCTTGTCCGGGTCCCCCCCTATCACCTGCACCAGTATATTCATTTCAGCTTTATTTTTAAAAGCCAGACACGCTTCATTTGCCAAACCTGCATACAAGAGTGTATCGTGTCACTCCTGAAAGACTGAAGGATAAATAAGTACTGTCAGATGTTTCACCTACTGGCGCCACTGCCAGGAGTGCATGCTGTTTCTTCAGCAAAACAGTGATCCTTTCCCCTTCTGAGCTGCTATTGCACATGTCACAATGCTGCGGTGGCCAGGTGGGGCTAGTTCCCTACTGATGATCTCATTCTCCAATGTACCTTACGCATGTTTCCCAATGATGAGAGCAGGGGTGCCAGACGCCACAGACAGTGATATTTTACACCCCCTGTTAGTAGCAGGGGGTACTACAGGCTACAGGAAGATAGTTAATGGTGGTTGTTGATCAATGGGTGATAGACCGAGCGGCATGCCTTGGCAGGGTACACCGACGAGTCAATCAGCGCCACTTTGATTTTTGAAGCTTCCCTAAATTAGTAACCCTGTGCCTCTTGGTGTCCCATATAAAACCCGAGCTCAAGAGGTGTGCAGAAGTACCAAAAAGGACACATCACTATTGCATTTGCACCCCATAAACCTATATATAGAGAGGGTTGTGAAATTGGAAACGCGCCTTGGCAGGGTATACCGAGGAGTCAATGAGCGCCACTTTGATGTCGGAGGCCCCCCGGATGACGTGGAAGTTAGTCACCACGTGCCCCTTTGTATCCCATATGAACCCCGAGCCCGTCCCCTGGGGAACCTGCATCGTGTCCATCGTCCTGAAATTCGTCCGCTCCGCTGCAGAGGTGCATAAAATGAAACAGTCATTTGTCATGATCAACCTCAAAGTTGCAGCACTTGCCTTCGTCAGGTTATTTTGCTGGCACTGATAATGAGCTGCTTGATAGCAATTAAGGCGTTTCTGGTGAAAGGCAGAATCCGCACCAAGGGCCGCTGAATATACCACATGAGGAATCAGAAAAACATGCATTTCATGCATCCAATGCAAGTTGCCTGGGCAGTAGCCAACCTGTAGCCCTTGCAAATGCGTGTTATGATAGAGTCTTGTAATAATATAATGATCTGTGTTGTGAACGGAAAACGCACCTATGTTTGCAATGTTGACGACGGATGGTGTGTTGTCCATGAAAAGTTTCACCGTCTGAAGCTCCTCCTCCGACAAATCTAAGCCCTTCAGGCTTGGCGCCTGCACAGCAGCATGAAATATCTGGAATCTGTGGTTTCATGATCACGACATCATCATCAAGATCATGGTTGGGGTGCTTGGGCAGCAGTGCGCATCCTACCAGGTCATGTACACTCGAAGACAGGAGCCACTTGACAGAATGCATGGTTAGCATTTGAAGGCACCAGACAACTCTGGCTAGCATCCCTAACACTGTCCAGGCAGCCAGGTAAGACCAGCTACCAATCGGATACAGTGATGGCTAAAGTCCAAGTTTCGAAGTGGAAAAGGTGTACTCGCCTTCATTTCCAGGGTGGCAGAGCTAGCTGGGGTGGCTGCAAAGGGGAAGGCAGCAGCATAAGCTGCCGGGGAGCTATTGAGCAGAAGCGCGACTGCCAGGCTGGCAGCCACGAAGAAGCTGGCGACTCTGTTTGGCCACTGGGTTACTAATCGCTCTTTTGCTGTTGCTGTGCTGGAAGGTGCAGCGTGAGCTGTGCTTTGCCACCGTCTTTGCTGCTCTGTGGCTGCTGATGTTCTCCTGAGGTCTGTGCTGTCAGTTCCGCCGAGCGCTGACCTGGTGTGCGCGCAGGCAGAGAGCGGGTGAGCACCCCAAGATGAGTGGGGGCGATGAGTGAGGGCGTGCCTACAAGGAGCTTAAGAAGCTCTCACAGGAGCTGGTCTGAAGGCAGAAACAGTAAAGCATGTACAAGCATGAACACCATCTGAATCGGAAGGATGATGGATGAGTCACCTGTCTGATCGGTGAGCACTGCAAATGTGCACAGGGATGCTGCGCATACGATGCTGGGACGAGAAATGACTTGATAAATCTCCGCACAAAGATTTTGCCAATCGATTTCTCAGTACAGGTAGTCGTCGTGCTTGTAGCAAGCAACTTGCAGTGAGCTCTGAGGTAGCATGCCGTAGCAGTCCTGCAGGACACAAACAGCACCTTGGCGATTTGCCACATCCACAGTAACTCGACCACACAAAAAGATCTACAAAAAACTCCTCAATGTTCCAATTTTATTTCCTCCCTATTTCTTTGATTCCTTCAGGAGCGACGTTCTAGAATATGCCTGCCAACGATGGTAACATTACCGACACGCGCATGGTACTATGCAAGCAGCAGTAGGCATGATAGTATATTGCACAACAACTGTTCAGTTTGCACCCTGTTGTTCATGGCTGCACTTGCCTTGAGATCGTAGAGTGACAGATGGTAGGATGCAAGCTGCCATTATAAGAGATCCCAATGACGTCGATGCAGTGAGGTATGTGGTGTCTCGGTACCACCACGTTGAAGTAAGATTTGATAAGAAAGCATAGAATACGGAAGAAATGCCGGAAGACGAAGGACAGCAAGGTGGGCAGATGGTCGAGTCAGCCAGAACCAGTTTCCAAATTCGTTGAAGCTGATCACGTCACCTTTCCAACATCCAAAGCGAGGACATTCGAGCTAGTATGTTGTACGTAAGAGAATCTATGCTCCGGCCCATCAAATAGATCGCCCACGTCTCAAATCAAGGGAAAATACTTCATCAAACTCTGAGAATCACAACTCGCAAATTTATATGGTCAATGCAAACATCCTCTCGGCCGGGGGTGTTTGCATTGACTATGCAATTGGTCTCACCGGGACGGCAGTCGTTCCTATATTGGAGCTCGCTCTGACCTTCATGTCTGCATTCTACCTTCGAATACACAGGTGAATGCCCTCTTCTCCCGTTCAAGCCAATTCCCTCTGGATGCAGGGCTGGTGTCCGGTTAATTCTGCCAGGGGTATGCGCCTGCCTCTTGCTGTTCTGCTGTGGCCCTTTCAAATGGTCAAGAGGTGCAGCCGTCATCGGCAGTCAGACTTGCCGTGAATCACATGTGCATTATGGCAACCCTCCCTACGCAGCACAGGCACCAACTCCTTTTATCATCGTATGTCACAACCAAGAGTGCATGCCGCGCATGCGGCTGCATCCTGCGCAGCATTTGGCTGGCACCTGCACCCCAGCTGCCAAGCAGTTTCATTAGGGCTGTTCAAGACGCAATGAGGCTTTTGGATCGCCTGCCACTGATCTCCAACTTGCCGTGCATTTTGAAGGCAACGCATAAACCGTCAGAAGGGCAGACATCTCTTGCAGCCGCAAAGGCGGCTGCACGCCTGAGAGATGGGCAGAAGGCGTGGCAGGAGTCCCGGACAAACACTTCCGACCAAGACAGCTATGCTTGGCAGGAAGAATGCCTGCGCATGCTGTGAAATGATTTCTTGGCTGAATGATCACCAATGAGGATATAAGAGTATGGGCGGGGCCGCAGGGCAGGGCCAGATGTGCGCGGACTAGGACGGGACTGGAGGGTTGCAGACTCTGAGGTGCTTGGAGGCGGCGGTGTCGGCGTTTTTGGCAGCTAAACGGTACCACCGCCGTAGTAGACGCCTCCACTGGCAGCCTTGTCGCTTGGCAACGAAAACTGCTGCCACTGTTCTTGACAGTAAGACCCAATATCTCCATATGGTTACAGTGAGTTTTTGGATTCTCATTTCCAGTTATTTGATACTCTCGAACACGTGTGCGAGTGTCGGGTGGCCGTAAAACCCGAAGCAGGCGGCCATTGCTCTCCCCATGGGGTAAGCTCGGCGAAGAAGGACGCGATCATAGAACTTTGTTGGCTGTCATATCGAAAGTGAGAAACTAGGTTGTATACTACTAACAGCGTACTGCTGAGAGCCCCTTTGACCGGAGTTCGTGTGCTCGCGATATTTAAATCCCCACAAGGTTTTAACACCCCTTATTATAATTAGGTTTTCAGAGGAAAACCCGAGAGCTGGGACCAAGATATACCGCGATATTACAAGTCTAGACCTATCTGACTTGCCCTTAGTAGAAGTTCATTCATTCACTCATGAACCCACAAACATATACTGAAAGTTTGTCTACTCAGTAGGGTGTGTGATGGCTCTGAGCGTCCTTTATAGCTCAAGGTTTGCGCTTGATTGAGCGCGCTATCTACGCCATTTGGCAGGTACAGACGCCGTTCTCGGCTCCAATATTATGCTATATTTGATGAACATGTGTTCGTTGTTTCTCAGCCTGCGTAGAGATACGCTCTTGATCCCCGTTGAATCAGTTGCTGACAGCTTCCCATTCAGCTCATTGTCAGCTTGTGTCAGCTGTTGTTAGCTATAGAGAAGCTTAATAGCTGTAGCACAATAGGCGATTAGGCACAGTGTTTAGCCTTCCGTATTTACTGATTTGGCTTCTGCACTTGCTGCAGGATGATCGACGCTCGCTTGAACGTGCACGTCGACCCTCTCCAGGCGGCCACCATAGCCCAGTAGCGTGATCTTCAAGTATTTCATCTTCTCACCTGCTGCACGGTGAAGGTAGTCATGACAGATGACGTGGGCATGTGGCGCGGAAGCGGCTTCTGGTTTAGCAATCAACCGCTGATCGCCACCGTGCGGCACCTCCTGGAGGTCAATGATGGGAGGCCCAAGACGATCATGGCAAGCTACCCCGACGATGCGCTAGGCAAGACGGTGGAGGTTGGTGCCTTGCTCTGTATGCTGCCAAATTTTTGAGTGACGAAAGTGACTGGAAAAGCTTGTACTACTAAAATTGGACCTATGATGAAGCAGCGTAATATTTACGGGTGCCCTTCACGTTGTCATCCTTCAATCAAAATCCCCCTCACAAAGCATGCCTTGAGATGTGTGCAGAGGCAAAGGTCAGTCTCTGCTGGGAGCTTGCATTCATCAATTGCGCACTTCACTGCTTTGAGTTCTAGATATTTGCAGCCACGCCTAATTATCAGTCATTGGAATGGTTGCATGTGCAGGAGTTCAGAGTGTCAGAGCAGGATGACATCGCAGTGCTGAAGGGCACTCGCATGCCGCCGAGCTTCATGGGTGACATCATGCGGTGGCAACTGTCATGGCTTCAATGACGCCCCTCCCGAGCATCAGTACATCGTCGAGGTAGCTTGCCGTGATCGTCTTGGGCCTCCTTTCATCGACCTCCAGGAGATGCCGCATGGTGGCGATCAGCGGGTGGTTGCTGAACCAGAAGCCGCTTCCGTGCCACATGCCCACGTCATCTGTCATGACTAGTTTCACCGTGCAGCAGGTGAGAATGTGAAATACTTGAAGGTCACACTACTGGGCTATGGTGGCCGCATGGAGAGGGTCGACGTGTATGTTCAAGCGAGCGTCGATCATCCTGCAGCAAGGTGCAGAAGCCAAGTCAGTAAGTGCCGCTCCAGGAAATACGGAAGGCTAAACATTGTGCCTAATCGCCTATTGTGCTACAGCTATTAAGCTTCTCTGTAGCTAACTATAGCTGACACAAGGTGATGCTGAATGGGAAGCGGTCAGCAACTGTTTCAACAGGGATCAGCAGCGTATCTCTCGGTGGCAACTGTCATGGCTTCAATGATGTCTCTCCTGAGCATCAGTTCAAGAAGTGACTTAAAAGCTCCTTGCAATGCAACGGGTTTGAGGAAGATGTCTCTTAATATCTGCAGCAATGTCTAGTTTGGGCCCTGAATCTGGGCGGGCAGTATGTCAGCATTAATCAGCGGAGGGCAATTTGCACAGCTGTTGACATCAGCATAGCATATTATGATTTCCAGTGCTATGCGATGCTGCAATTAGCCTTGCTGTCTTTGCCTGCCTGCGTGATGTTCTAGAAAGCAAGAAGTTGTCGCGGACACTTGGCAAGACGGGCATCTGTGCTGTGGCCATGAAATGCATGCACCTTCATTGGCAAATGATTGTGTCAGATCTTGAAAGAGTCATGGACTATGTTGCATCCCATGGACTCCAGTGCCTGCGCTTCAAGAACTCATCAGCCTAGGCTTTGCGTGATGGCAATGATTGTTGTGGCATCTGATTGTTGTGGCATCTGCAGATTGCACAGGATCTGGCACCCTTGAGGGATGCATGTTGACCTGACCAGCTGCAAGTGTGGGGCGTGCCTGGCTTGCATGCGGAAGCATGCAAATTTCTGAGCACAGAGACAGCTTGTGGAAGGCCTTGAACTTACTGCTGGCACCAACATTCAAGTGGGGTGTTTTGAGACCGTTCACGGAGCACTGCTGTATTTGCAAAGTTGCATCAGGCACCTGCGATTGTAAGTCAATTATTGAAAGACATAGTGACTGGAATGCTGCAGACAAGGAAAATCCGGCCCATCAAACAGATCGCCCACGTCTCAAATAATAATAATAATAATAATCCTCTGTGAGCGGCGAACCCGTAGCCAGAAGGCCATAGGGCATACACGGGTCCGTATGCAGCAAAAACAAGGGAAAATACCCCATCAAACTCTGAGATCACAACTTGCAAACTTATATGATCAATGCAAACATCCTCTGGGCCGGAATGTTTGCATTGACCATGTATTGGTCACACCGGGACGGCATTCGTTCCTATATTGGCGCTCGCTCTAACCTTCATGTCTGCATTTTCACTTCAAACACATATCAAATGCCCTCGTCTCCCGTTCAAGCCATCCCCTCTGGATGCAGAGCTGGTGTCCGGTTGATTCTGCCAGGGGTCTGCGCCTGCCTCTTGCTGTTCTGCCGTGGCCCTTTCAAATGGTCAAAGAGGTGCAGCCATTAGCAGACAGACTTGCCCTGAACCACATGTGCAATTCATGGCAACCCTCCCTGCGCAGAGGCGCCAACTCCTTTTATCGTCGTATGTCACAACGAGTCAACCTGGCAGTAAACAGCAATAAAAAAGTCTGGCTACCAATACACGTCGCGCGTCAAGTGTGATGATCAATTTGTCAATATCCCTTTACTTTGACGGCCAGATGTCTCAAATTCGGAAGCCTCCAAATGCTAGGGGTCCATATTACTTCAGGGTCTGGTAGTGTAGCCTCTTCCAAAGCCGTGTGCAGGGACGGCCGCTAGCCTGGCAGGCTCCAACTGTTTAATAAATATAAAACTCATGTAGTCAACCCTTGATTCTGATCAGAAGATTTTGGGGCTGCGCTAAGGGCTCGTTGACAGTGTGTTGACTTGCTACAAGTTTTTTGGGCCATGCCCGATTATTCCCCCAATACCCCACCCTTCTCTCTCACACCCTCGAAGACATTCCAAGGGGATGCATCCCTTGGTGATACCCATCCCTGGGCCGCAGGCCGTGCCCCACCCATATTCAGGCTTGAGGGTTTTTTAGCCGTTTAGTATTCTCAAACCCTAAACGGCTCCCTAAACCTTAAATTAGGCAGCGACTTATGTAACGGCGCCCTCACACGATGAAGAGATCCTGCAGCAGCTTCTTGACAGCGGGCGCCGTGGCCGCCATGAATTTGCGCGCAAAGAAGGGGCAGTGGGGGTACTGCGGGATCCCCCCATAAGGCGGGGGATCCTGCAGCTGTGGGTTGCGCGCGCATTCCAGCGACTCTTTTCCAAGCTCGAAGTCACTGTGCTGAATGCGGGGCCTGCATCGCCCCGCACACCAGGCTGTCAGACCAGACTTACCAACGCACACGCCTCTGTGGAAGGCTGTCCCTGCGAACGTGCCCTAACAAAAGGGGTTGCGTCAGAGTGACATGCTCTGCAATGCTTATGGTCTGACACGCTCGAAGTTCAAGCCTCTGTGGCGGGCAACCCTGTGTTTCCTGGACCCAGCTGTCTACGCATCTCTAATTTTTGCCTGGGCAGGCCATGCAAGCATTTTGCTTCAAAGGGCAATCATTCAATGGGCATACATGTTCTCACACTCTGCTCACCGGTGATAATCTGAGCAGCAACCGCCTATCAGCCAACAACTCTTCAATGTTCTCTCACAGATCTCCCTGGACTTCAATTTGTGACATGCTACAGGGATAGGTCATTGTGGAGGAAAGGTAGGCAACTGGTCAAGCATGCTTGTGGTTTTGGGCGCTGCTGAGCGCGAGGGAGGGTGTACAATCAGGGTTCCCTAATCCTAACCCTAAGCCCTATAAACCCTATAAACCCCTAACCCTAAACAATACAGGAGAAAAGAGAGAGATGGGTACTCAGAAAACTCACTTTTCCATGGCGCGGCACTGGCCGTGAAGGTTCTTGAAGCTGGGTACTCTGTGGATCTCCTCGGCAGCGCCACGGATCTGCACGATCAACTCTGTATCGATGTGCTCTGGGGGCACTCCGCCGCCGGCCGCCACTCGAGCCATTGCCAGGTCATCGCTGTATTCGTAGGGGGCCCGGTCCCCCAGCTTCCAATTGAGCAGCGTCCCTATGTACTGCTCATCGCTGACGCAGGTCGACCTGTGCCTGCGCGCATGGCAGGTCTTACATTAGTCTTCGCCCCCTTTGTGTATGATAGCACGTAGTCTAACCCTTCATCGATCCTATCCCTACATTCAGCCTTGCATTCCCCATGTGAAAAGGGTTTTACGGTAAGGGCCACACCCCTGAACCCTAATCTTTTGATCCCTAATCTTTTGATCCCCAAACCTTTCAGCTAATGCGGGTACAGATATAATAATATATATAATAATAATGTATCATATATATATATATTATATATATAATGATATCTATAAAATAAGGTATATAAGGTCAGGGTGCACGTGCTGCCATCTGTCAGCCTGTGTCGGCACTTGCACTATCATATCATTGTGATTATTATTACCATTCATTCTTTGTATCACCGTGCTGTTCTTCTTGGCAGTAGCATCATACCCCCCTCCGGCTGGCTGGCTCTGAATCTTAAACCCTGAGTTATTGTTACTGCATGCTGTTCCTGTCAATACAGGCACGAGGCGTCTGCAGGCTGCGACAGGCTGCAGATAAAGGGTACCACTCAACCTACCACTTCTTGGTCTCCAGATCCAAGCAAAGACCTATTCAATAGTCGGCACGGTATGCTCGCTTTTTGTACAGGGGACTTGCATACAACCGGAAGTTGTGCTCAAGATGCCGTGATAGCAAAACAAGAGCTGCATATTTCTGGCCACCAAAAGGTCGTGAAAAGATGTGCTCAAGACCCTCCTGAAGTGCTGTACGCGGAACAGGAGGACGCAGGCTCTTTAGGACAAAGCATATCAGCTGTTTCAATCAAGCTGACACGTTCTCAGAGGACGGAAAATCTCACGAGCAGTTGAACAAGCGCCAGCAAATTTTGTGGTACGTTGTTGTGGGGAAGAGGGGGACTCTTTCTAAGAAGGGAGCCTCGGGGCAAAAGATGAACGCACCTTTCAGCTCCGATGAAGCAGTGGCGCTGATACAGGTCTTCAAGGAAGGTGTCGTCCACAACAATATGAACGTGTGCGCGAATGAGCGTGACCCACTGCGAATGGAACGTGTTGTGGAGTTTCAACGCGGGAAATTCCTCGTGCATCGCCAGCGGCCACCTTTCAGCGCTCTTCTCCGCGTCCCCCCAAACCTGCCATGCACAATCCGCCTTTTTCACAAACCCGCTCCATTCAACACATCTTCGGGCTTGGCTGATGAAGTGCATGCATCTTGTGTCGAGGGCTTCACTGAGGTATAAGACCTCCAGGGCTGCCTCTGCTTGAGAGGGATTGGGATTCCCGGTTTGGGAACGGGGGCCATGCGCACAGATCAGAGGTGTTCCCTTGCGCCCAGGCATGCAACTGGGATAGCAGTGCATGCATGTGCAGTGCTTTTGTTGCAAACCCAAGAAGAAACTTGTGGCAGGTTTCAACCCCTTCATAGTCAGCTTGGCAGGCCGCACACCCAGCCACCCGGCTGGAAACATGTCAACTATCCATTCATGCATGCATGCATGCATGCAGCATTCATTCGTTCGCGCGTGGCGAGCACAACGCGTCGCGCACCATGTGAGGAGAGCCAATGCGGCTCATGTTGTGCGCGAGCAGCTGATCGTGGGTGAACAGCGGCGCGCGCACTGGAATCGTGGCCTCACACACCATCTGGAAGCGCTGATTGAATAGGTCCGCCAATGCAGCTCTCATGAGCACCCGAGTGGCCGTCAGCAGAGAGTGGCTCCCCCAAGCCGTCTGAAGCAATGCACGCTCCTCAGGACCTCAGCATGTGTTTTAGGCGTCCTGAATTGCAGCTCTGAGCTCTTGAGGCAGAGTTATAGACCGTGTACCTCAACTCTCTCGTCCACAATTCGTGCATCGAAGATGCTGCCACTGCTGTAGCCAGGAAAGTCTGGCTTCGTGTGCACGAAGATGCTGTAATAGGTCTGCCGATCATAGACGCTCTTTGGTGGGATGCTGTACTGTGGCAGTGTTCTGTAGCACTTGTTCAAGGCGTCATCACAGAGGATGCTGGGAGGGACAAGGTCCGCCAGACTGCCTATCCATTCTGTCCAAACATCTTCGTGATACATTTCCCCGCGAACCAGGAAGAGCAACGCCACCTGTGCACCAACATGCAGACAATAAGGCTCTGATGCTGAAACCCACATATGAGGAACACTGTGATCTAGCTGAGTGAGAACGCAGATCAGTCGCTCTTGGAACTGCTGCTGATCTCTCTATCACATGACATGTAGAGACAAGCGGACAACAAACGAACCTCTGTGTTTCTACTTTCAACGTTTAGTAACATAGTACTTGACCACAACGAAAGATGCGCTGGTGTGCAGACCTTTTGTATGTGCGGTTGCAGCAGAGAAATACATTCTTCTTCCTTGAGTCGTCTGTGCAATTGCTCGGACTGTATCTGTCCTGCCTCCGAGATCGAGTCAGGTGCGGTCCAGTTGTTGAGATACCTTAATAGTCCTCCCTCAGAGGCAGGGATAACCCAAGCATATGTGAGAAGTACAATGCACAAGTTTCTTATCCACACCATTGGCCAAATGACGATAAAAACTATACCAATATTCGTGCTTTTCCTTCGCAAGAACCCGTGCAACAGCGAGCTACAGACGGGGCATTACATTTCGCTCTCGGTTGCACTATGGAAAGCGATGATGCCTTGAGCACTGCCAAAGCAGAGAAGAAACCATTTGTCTAGCTTGACGTGCGTTGTCTATTTTGAGTGATCGCTAAGTTGGCATCGACATCACTTTCGGGGTGACTAATCATCCTCACTGGTTTTATCGAAATTCTTCCGACAAGGGTGTTCAGAGGTATGCGATATTTTTCAAGAATTTAATTCGACAACTTCTCGACAAATTTTCGACAATGCAATGCAGGCTGATTATCGATTCCGACCCTTCAGCGTTTCTCGAGAAATGTGTCGAGAAATATTAGGACCGTTTGTATTGAGATATATTGCGTGCCTTGTTTCAAGAAATGTAGCGACTGCTCTTTTTGACATTTTGAGTACATACGACGACAGATATCGACAAAAATATTGGCAGACATTGCAATTACTTTTGACTCAAGCCATGCGCAAGAAAGGATTCTACGACAAATGAGCGTAACTAGAAAGTGCTTTGACGCTTGACTGGCTTGCGATGCATCCCAGTGAACCCCAGAAGTGTGATATTATCGACTACCGTCAGTCAGAGCTCCTGCCGGCCTGCTGCTGCTAGAAATGCACTTTCCTTGTACGGTCAGACTTGAGCAGACACTCTCTGTGTTGTGCGGCATAACACCACTGTGATCTCTTCTGGGATAGGCTGCCCAAGCCGAGAGAATGCTGCAAGAAGAATCCCCACTCCCTTGTACTTTATTAGTACTTTGTGGGCCTGCGCAGAACATGCGCTGTGTCGGCCAAGTTCCTGCTGTGGGGTGACAGCTGCTGAGAGCTCCACGGCCTGTCTTTGCGCGTCTCATGGCAATGCCGAGTCACACTGACTCAGCAGTGTCATGATGAAAAAGCGGGTGACTACTCGAGCTTCCCCGCCTCTTCGCCGTCCACCTCGGCCTTCACGCGCCCCTTCTCGATCTGTTCGTATTCCTCCTCTCCTGCACAGACATATCCTCTGACATTAAAATGCAGGTTTTAAATACATGCACATCCGCAGAAACAGGCCACAGGCAGGCGGCATGCAATCTGTCGCCAGTACCAACAAGAAACTCATGGGCAGGAACTTCACAGCATCAATTTTCTAAGACTGTGTCCACATATCAACTCATCTCATCTCATCGTGTGCAACAGCATCGATACGAGTGAGTCCGTGTCACTCTTCACTGGAACAAGGAACGCAGCTTTGTCGAAACTCAGACATGCAGTCAAGAGGACCTCAGCAGTGCGGAACTCTTCTGCAGAGATGCATCAATCAGCAGGATCTCCCCCACAAACCGGTCAAAAAGCCTTGTGCGATCTATCAATGTCAGCCCGGCTCCCAGCTCGGAACAAGCACAACACTGGGGATTGTTCAACCCGTCACTAATGCTGACAAAGGAAAGCTGATGGCGGCTGACTCACCCTCCAGCTCGGAGTAGGCGTAGTGTGTGGATTGAAGGAGTGGCGGAACAGGAAGCATTGTGAGCACTAGCTAATCGCATGAAACGATACTGACAGTGAGTAAGGAAGGCTGACTCACCCTCGAGCTCGGAGTAGGCGTAGCGCGTGGAGTTGAAGGAGGGGCGGAAGAGGAAGCAGATGACGACCAGGAACACGAAATTCAGCGCGTACCAGAAATCGCTCGTGATCCAGTCCCACTGCCACTTCTCGTTGTACTGGTCCGTCACCTGGGCGCGCATGACCAACATTACTAAGGAGCACGCAGAAACCGAGGATCACGTCACATGTACTGGCCAGTCATGGGCGCGCATGGCGCATTACTAATTATGACAAAACAGCACAGGTCACGCAACACGACAGGCTTTCTGCCTTTTCCAAGGCCAGCAGACGCAAAGCCTGCATCCATAGCTACAGTTCTGAATTTGGTAATGCCTGGTATGCGCAAGGGCAGCAGCAGCTGCTGTTCCTTCAGACTCGTTACTGCACTGTTCTGTTCTGACAGCAGGAGGACGCCTTTCAAAATGTCGCACCCTCTGCTAGCACCCGGTTTGTCATTTGCAAGCAATGGGAAGTGCTATACAAAACAAATCATCCCAAAGCCAGCTCTGGAGCCTCCAACGCTTGCCCATGGGCGAGCAGCGACTGGGGGAACAGAGCGTGTAAATGCATCGGAGGGAGGAAGAACGGTGCCTTCCACTGCGCATGATCATGTACAAAATTCCGGAGATAAAGAGGGACGGAAAGTCACCTTGAACCACATCTCGTAGGCTATCCAGGCCACACTCACCCACACCATCAGCGCCAGAGAGTTTGTGAACCGCCTGCATGCATGCGCACGCCAGCTTTGTCAGCAGTTTGTCATCAAATAAGACAGTTGAACAGGAGCCTAGATAGGCTTGCATCCCAGACCTGCATCAGTGCAAGGTTGATGCAAAGAGTACAGGTCAGCGGTGCAGGAGCAGTGCTGCATGTGTATGAAGTAATCACTACAGTAACCACCTTGTCAGCAGTTTGTCATCAAATAAGACCTTATTGACACCCTACAGGAATAGAACTGACTGCACTGTAGCACCTCCTGTATCCTGTGAGGGCGCAGATCCCCACATCACTGCTTCTTCCCTCTGCAGAATACCATTTAAATACCTTACAACTACCTTTCATATGCCACAGACCCCACTGAAATGCCTGTGTTGGTCAGGGAAGGGACCGGTGATAATTTGCTCTTTTCATGCCATGTTGCCTTCCTGCTTGACCATCTACTTGCCAGGCACACATGGTTTCCTGCAGAGCTCAAGCTTGGCGCTGCTGTGTCAAGGTCAATATCAAGATCGAGATCAAGGACACATCTCTTACTGGAGTGTTTCTGTTGTCTAGCAAAGCCAATTACAGCCAGCCCGCCAACAGCAAGCACACCGAAGTGCACATCCCTTGCCTGGTGCACCCACAACTCCCATTCTCTGGCCCGACAAACACAGCTTCCGGATAGCGACCAGGACTGTCCTGGGAGAATACTTCCCCAGGAAGGCTTTCCAGCAGATGCTGGGTATTGTGGACGCTTAGAACTCGTTGCTAGTGCCATTCCACAGACTGACAATGTTGTCATGCACTATCACTTCCTTGTACTGAACACAATGTGAGCCAGTCAGATCTGGCGGCAGAGCACCAACACAACAGCCCTCGAGGCCGGGGCGCCCACAAGATTGGCCCTTATCATTACCTCCCTAGGGCAAGGTAACAAACAGGGCCATAACCTCCCGACGCCCTAATACCTGGCGATGCCCTCATGGAGCCCTGTTTATCACCTCCAACCGCAGAAGGGCTCTCCTCTCAAGGTGAGAGATTCAGAAAGCTTTTAGAGAGAAATGGCGGCAGCCGCGCACCTGTAGAGCTCGAGCTTGGAGCCGGCGCGGCGAGCCTGCAGCTGCGCGAGCGTCTTGGAGAGCGAAGTGAATACCCACAGGATGAACACCGCGTCCAAGATCGCCACTGGCAGCACAAGCACGATGCGCGCGGTGGACGTGAGGTCATCGATGGTTCCCACGTTGGTCACCACGTCGAGGGCTGTCACGGCGACAAAGTAGGACGCCGCCAGCGCGATGATCTGTGCGAGCGTTCAAAATGTCATTTTGAATTCGGAGCTGGAATACGTGTGGCCGGGATGCCCAAGGCACAAACTGCCATAAAATAGGGCGCAGCGCATCACTAATAGGTATCTGGATGCGAATAAGAAAATTGAATGAAACCAGGCCAAAACGGCACGGATCTGAGGGCGACAAAACAATTTCTGCATGGCCTTCAAAACAGATCTGTTGTCATGGGCATCATGGCATCTGGTTAGTCAGTCCGAAGTCTTTTTACTCGGACCAGAATAGGCTGTCCACTGAATTTGCAGCACTGGGCATGCCCTTTGAGGAATGCTGTTCAGCATTTTCAGTGGGCTGAGTGTTTTGAAATGGAGCCCACTGCTGCCTGAGAAAGGGCAGACGGGAGGCATACATGTTTAAGCTTCCAAGGACACAGTGCCTGAAACTCGTCACAGAAGATTGCAGCCCACCTTCTTCTCGATAGCCCCAAGGAGAGGCAGAAAAATGCCATTTGACATGCAGCCAATTACACCAGCCGACCTTGTTTGCATGCTTTCTGATGCGCCGAGAGGCCACCAGCAACAAAGAAAAGGGTTAAAATAGAACTGGGACCCACCTTCTTCTGAATTGCGCCAAGGTAGGGCAGAACAACGCCAAAGCCCATTGAGACGATGAGCACAAGCGTCCGGGAGATGGTCTTGCGCAGGCAGCCCAGCAGCACCGCATACAGTGTGGTCACGTATGGCCTGTAGCCCGTCGAATTGAAGTTCACGTAGTCAAAGTACCTGCGCCAAAAGAAGAACCCATGGGTCAGCAACAGCCAATGCAAGAGGGCTGATTATGGTCACTGGCGACACACCGTATCACCAGTGGTTTTTTATAGCTTCAGATGACAACGTCAATCCACCTGGCGGGCAGGAAAGAGAGAAAAACGCGCCCAATGAGTCATGGGGGCCACTGGATACACTGACATGCCTCGTCCTTGCACGCAGAAAGAGAGGCCTTTAAAAACAACCTCTTCTGGCCAGGCTTGAAATATATGAAAAAGAGCCCCGCTAAAGAAAGTCAGGCATTGCTGCTGAGATTGCTGACTGAAAAGTGCATGGACTCCCTGTGGAAAGCCCGTTGAGGGATGCACAGCATCTAGGCGCCAACAAAATGTAGGATGGAAGAGGCTCTGAGACTGACTGCCACTGTGATGCGACACACATGATGAGTGCGTTATTTCTGTTGGGCTTGGACTACACATCGGTGGCAGCAGCAACTCACCATGTTGACATCTCCATCATGCCCAGGGCGAGGACGGCGGAGATGCAATGCTGCAGGGTGAAGACCTCGGTCCAGTAGCGCGCATAGAGGCCGGCCCAGGCAACTCCGAGCGCTATGTACAGGAGCGACATGCCGCCGAAAAACTTTATGTGCGGGAGCATCATGCCGGGGAGGTAACCTGCGTGCACATACACAATGTGTTCCTCAGTGTGTTGCCAGAACTTCAACTTTGTGCTGCACAATGTACAAGTGGTTGTTATGGGCCCAAGTTGGGTTGATGGAAAGCCCTGACCAAGGGGGTCATGTGGATGCCATGTGGACCCGCTACACATGGGTGGAAAGCCAAAAGAGAAGTGACTGGTTCTCTTTGCACATATATTTGCCGGGTCCTGCAGTGAACAGATCCCATTTGGCATTGGCAATGTGTACAGCAAGCTGCCTATCCCCGAGGCACATTGGCAAAGTTGCTTTATTGACAAACGCTGCTGCTGCTAGCTGTGGAGCAATGTGCAGCTGATCTTGCGTAGCTCATGGTATGGATAATATCAGGATGATAGAGAACCATGCAATATCAACGGCACGAGGTCAGACTGCTCCTTCAAAGGGTTGTCCACTCTCTGGCAAAACACCGAAACGAACACTCGCCGGCAATCTGGTACAGAGCTGACAACATGGTTTGAAAAGCAATCAATCTCATGCTGATGATAGCACATGATCAGGAGGTGTCACATCAGCACAGAGAAGCCAAATGGCAATCTGCAGTGAACAAAGGAAATGCCAGCAGATGCTGGCGCCCCATTGCTATCTCGAGGGCTCTCTGTAAGGAACGGCGCCAGCTCGCAGCCAGCTCCCCGGGAAACTGTGCGTGTGAACTTTTGCTTGATTTGGTGAATGAGGTTGAAGGAACAGCGCGCATCGGCGGGATCATTCCATGTTGATCCCCGTTCACCCTGACCCTATCTTTCACACCCCTAAAACAGGGGCGCGCAAACTGCGCATCGTTGTGGAAACCCTTCTTGGCGCTAGCACTGCCTTGTATGTCTTGCATAACAGCATGACACCACCGGCGGGCCCCTCAAGGGCAAGACTGATATGATGTTCTACCACGGCTGAGCTTAGAAATCCTTCTCCTCACTATCAATGAATCTTCGGGAAGTCAGGTGAGGGTCCAGAGCAGCATACCCGTGGGGTTTTTCCAGGTGGTCTGGCCGCGCACGGTGGCGGCTGACAGCTCATCGTCACAGATGACAAACCAGAGGTAGTACATGCCCGTCTCCTCGATCGTGATGGCTTCCTCCCAGGAGAACGCCACGGTGTCGTTGTTCTCAAAGTAAATGTCCAGCACCTTGGGCCAGCCGTTCTCCTTCTCCTGCAGTGGCAGCAGCAAATCTGTCAGCAAAAGCTTCCATCTTTGAGGTTTAAAGAAAGACTCCTTGGTATTGGGAAAGATTGACCGGCCAGCCGCTGCGCTCCTCTGTTGTTCGCTGCAAGCACCCCAATGTCACAAAAACTAGCCTTCCAATCCCTTGACTCACAGGTCAAGCGTGCACAGAGCCATCGGGACTCAGACAAAACGTCCTGTTTGTATCAATGGCATACATCCAGCAGTGTGTCAAGGTTCGCAAAGGTCTTCATGTGGGCATCTGAGGGGAGAGTCTGCATTCCGCACTGCAATGTTGTTCGAGGTCAAGTGGGCGTTAACCTGGTAAATAAGGCGGTCCTGGAAGCACTTGGTCTTTGGGACGAGCTCCTTGGTGCAGCAGTAGCGGTATCCCGTGGGTGTGGGGTAGCCGATGAGATCCCGGTCATTCACCTCAAAGATGACCGCTTGGATCAACCCTGCGCAGCACAAGACAGCAATCCATTGCTGTCAGCCACGATGCCCAATGCTACACGTTCCCAGTTTCGAATCAAGGACTACGTTTATTGTGCAGTGCCTGCAAGCAAGATTTGCCAGCTGCTAATCCTGGCATCTTTCCATCCATGAGCAGCTGTCAGGAATGATTTAGAGTTTGAGAACATCCTTGACTAGTAGGAAAATGCTCATGTGATTGTAGCAATAAGAGCAAAATCTGTTCTGATAAGCGCCGGGAATCTAACACTAGACTCTCAGAACAAGATGGTGCAAGGGGTCACCTGTGAACCCCTCGTCAGGATCGAACTGTGCCGCCACTGGCTCTGGCCTCGCGAATTCTAGCTTTGTGAACTTGATTTCCGACTGGCCGTTGGACACCCCCGGCGCGATCTGCCCCCAGTTTCCCCACTTTTCCAGTGCCTGCAGATCACAGGAACCTTGGCACTCTTCCACAAGCGCGTGCTTTCATCAGCACCCTTTCTTGGATCAAATCAATGTAGCATGCATATTCATCTGAGTACTTCAGCCTTCAAGTGTATTCAGTGGCATGATTAAATGATTGAGCTCCTCATACCTCCTTGGTCGATGAGTACAGGCCTTCCCTGCCTCCCCTGAAGATGAAGGCGTCCCCCACAGCGTAAAAGTACTCCTTGTTGTACGGATGGATAGCTGCTAGCGCTGTGCTGGCCAAACACGCCAAACCCAGCAGGGCTAGCTGAGTTCTGAGGACCATCGTCCCACTGCCCCTTCTGTTTTGCTCTCTTCTTTTTTTCCTTCAGTCACTGCATGCCCCAAGTTTCTGACATGAGGACGCCGTCAACCTTTTGATGCACCGGATCAAAAGAGTCCAGACGCGATTGCAGGACCAGGAGTCCCAAACTTGTGGAAAATTTGGAGGCAAAATCGCTTGGGGGGATCAGTCACCCCTGAGTGATGGTGACCAACCTTCTTGGAGGCTCGCCTTCGACATGAACAAAGTCGCAATTGACTGTTGATCGACAATTTCAATTATCTAGAGCCGTAAAGAATGCAATTCCTTGTACGATTAAATTTTCATATTCGCACAGTGCTTTTGTGAGCATCGATTAACTTGCCCAGCGCAGCACCTCTGTCTATCTGGACGCGATGTGTGGTTAACACAAACAGATGAAGAATTAGATAGCTGATTAGAAAGACCAGGAGCCGAAGGCCGCGCCTGAACTGACTGCACGCCCAACTAGCCCCATTTCCTAGCCAGGCTGCTGGCCCCGCAAAGCACCCATCCTCAGGGTACAGCCCTCTACATCATGCTTTACTACTTATATTTGAGTCCTAGTATTATATGCTTGAGCTACTGTGTACTCAACGCCCACACTTTATTAAATTGCTGTGCATTTACTAGGTGTTCGCCCACATTATAAACGATACTCAGGATCATGCCTAAACCCTGTTCATCGTACTTGCACACGATTTGAATGTCACGCTAGTTTTCACGCAGGGCACTAACAGCGACATACAAGGTTCTGGTTCCTTCCAAATAGCAACTTGAGCGCAGCGAACAGCCACACAGGAGTGTAAGAAAGCCGACAGAAGAGCTAAAGACACCCAGCAAGCAAAAAGGCACCTTACACAGCATCGCCATGGCAGGCGGGCTGCAGCCGCCTTCAGCAGTAGAGGAGCAGAAAAAAGCAGCAGCGAAGCAGCAGGGGGTAATATTTGTGCTGGAGAACGCCAGCCTGGAAACAGCTAAAGTTGGCAAGGTGCGTGAAGAGAGCCTTGCGGACACCCTTCCACTGTTAGCAACACAGTTGTACCACAAGGATCAAAGACGGCTTCTGGGCATTTGGAGCATTAGAGCTGCGTCCAGTGTCCGTGGCTGGCTTTGGCAGGCGATTCAGGGCAGGCTTTGAACTCTGTCGGACTCCAACATACTTGTGACTTTGACTGGACATAGAGAACCTCGGCTGACTCCGGATGGGGACTAGCATCACACGACATCCACAGCAGGGATGCTTGAAGGTAGTGCTGGCTCGGTCTACGCCTCAGACCAAGCCCTGAAAGACAAGATGTGGACAGGGTCTCAATCTGGGCCAGAACGGCCCAACCTAACTCACCAGAATCCAATCCACTCTCATAAGGATGCACTCTCTGACATGTGCCGGCATGTGAGCGCATGCGCAGGGGTACGCACTCCTGAACTGCGACGACCACGCCGGATTCCTGCGGCGGCATGACAAGGACCCGGCGCTATACAGGCCGGACATCTGTCACCAGGCGCTGCTCGCCATCCTAGACAGCCCCCTCGCCAAATCTGGCCGCCTCAAGGTGCGCGGCCGTCATGTGTCATGACTTCTTCTAGTGTAGAATGGAGTAAAAGAATAACGGCGGTGGGTAGAGCAGTGTCCTGAACAGTATTCTTAAGGCAGGTCCACAACTGAGAGAATCTAGAGTCAGCTGCCTTCTGCCAAATCCGGCCGCCTCAAGGTGTGCGGGCTGTCATTGATGATGCTTTTTTTGTTACGTCAATCAGATTTATCAACAAATAATCAAGGCAGGTTCCCCGTGCAAAGATAATCAAGATCTGGGCTGTAGTGCAACAGAACCTTGCGGCCTTGAGGTGCACCGCCCTCTTCTCAAGCCTGACACCACCGGGTCGTAGAGTGTGCATGTGCTAAGGCAAGTCTGGGATCTCATTTGACTTATTAAGACCCCTCCGCATGGGGGGCCTGCATTTCAAGCTTTTCTTGCCAGATTGGAGGGCACAGAGTAGACATTCTGACGACACTGAGCGCACTGCATCCTGTGCGCAGCATAATGTGATCGCCAGGGGTGCCTTATTTAGAATAGTGCAGCAATCAATCCCTACTGGCGTGACTTGTGGCCACTTTTGGCTCTGTTCTGGAGCCAAATCTCCAGCATGCAACCAAGTGCCAGCAGGAAATCTGTGTCGCTTGCTTCCTCCCTGACACCTTCATGTGGTCACCTGCAGGGGCTGTACGTGCACACGGCAAAGAACGTGCTCATCCAGATCAACCCACAGGTGCAGCCCTCTGCCGACCCTGACCCGTATTAAATCCTTTCTGGTCAAGACTGAACCAGAGACTCAACGGCCACATGGCGACACTCTTTCTGAGGTGTGCTTTTATGCCCCTGGACCAGAGGCGTCTTGCATTTAGTGACATTGCAAGGCAGCCCAATATAGTTTGCCCTTTACTTGCTCTGCCTTCACTCGAGCATCTGTATAACTTTTCAGGTCTGGGGTCTAGGGTTTAGGTCCATATTTTCTGAGCTGTCTTTCTCAAAATCTGATGTGGGTGCCTCTGCTGCACTGCTCATGTGTATGCTGCAAGTCATCCAGGCTGAGGTGGTAGACAGGCTTCTGGCCGGTTCTACTCTTCAGGGGGAATGAAGGGGTCATTAGAGGGTATCCTTTCTGGTGCAGGTGCGGCTGCCGCGGACGTTCAAGCGCTTCTGCGGGCTCATGGTGCAGCTGCTGCAGAAGCTCAGCATTCGCGCCACCAACGGGCCAGACAAACTCCTCAAGGTGGGCCCCTCTTTCCATCCTTCTTTCCCCTTCTTCCCTGGGTCCTGCGGGCTTATCAAATTAGCGGAATTTGGTTTCTTCTGTCACGTGCTAGACCTTTCTCGGACGTGAATGCCTTGATTGTGAGCACTGCATGCGCCAAACAGGAAGGAAGGGCTGTCTCTGCACTTGTATCTGCAAGTCTTTCTTTGAAGCCATGCAAGTACCTGCAAACTTCATTCAGTCTTCTGCAGGAATAGAGGTTGGGAAGCCTTGCATATGATGTGCGTGCTGTGGGCTGTGCTTCAGGTCCTCACCTGCTTCAGAAGCAAGTGTGTATGTTCTGTATCGCCCATTTCGGTAAAAGTCTCGATCTGAGGCATGCAAGTTATGTCGTCGCAGGTGGTCAAGGGTCCAGTCACCCTGCACCTGCCGGCAGGCTGCCGACGTGTTGCCTTCAGCCGGCAGGCACCTGACTTGGTCAAACTCAAGGACTTTGTGCGGGAGCTGCCGGACAGCACGCCTGCAGTGTTTGTGGTTGGGGCGATGGCGCATGGGAAAATCGATGCCAGCTATGTGGATTCGTGGGTGTCTGTATCTGAGTTTCCCCTGTCCGCTGCCTGCTGCCTGGGGCGTATCACAAATGCCTTTGAGGACAAATGGGACATCGTATGATTTGCCTGAGAAGGGGATCTAGAGGGGACATATTTTGCTGTGGCCCTATAGTTGTACTTTGTGTAATTTGCTTTGGAAGTGGGTTCTCCAAGTGGCTGCCTGTCCAGTATGACAAGGGCAAAAAAATCCTGGAGTTGAGTCCTGCTGCATGGGGCGCATCACAAATGCCTTTGAGGACAAATGGGACATAAATTGATCTGCCTGAGAGGGAATGTCGAAGGGTGACAAACTTTGAAATCAGGGCTATTGCCCTGTAGTGGGGCTCCTGTCACCGTGTGTCTAAAGTTCCCCTCTCCGCTGCCTGCTGCTGAGGACAGCTGGACAATTCAGCAAGTGCTTGCAGCTGCTCACCCTAGCAATCATTTGAAAGAGCAACAATTTCCTTGATTTACACAAGGTGTTGGGCATCATGATGAGCGCTGTAACATGCTTCCTTGTTATGCAGGACCTGTAATGGTGGTACTACAAAGCAAAGAAGAGGGCAGGTCTGTTTCTTTGCATGCAGATTAGTTGTACGCTACAGCCATTACTTCCTCAGCATATTAATTCATGGGTTTGTACACAAAGTACTGTACGGTAATGCACTGGGGCGCTGATCTCCAATATGCTTTTAGTTTCTGTGGTGCAGTGGCGTGCTGGACGACGAGCATGCAGCTCTTCTACATCCTTTTCTTGGCGCTCGTCACCGAATGGCTGCCCTCCACCTACTACCTGGCCTTCGGCACGGAACCTCTCAGCAATGGATGGAGCCTCTTGAGAAACTCTTGAGAAGCTCCATCCGAGCCTGTGAGGTCCCGTGCCGAAGGCCAGGTAAAAGGTGGATAGCAGCCACTCGATGAAGAGCGCAAAGAAGATGAGGTAGAAGAACTGCACGCTCACCGTCAAGCGCGCCATTGTAACACAAAAACGACAAGCGCACTGGACGCTTCTCAAAGCCCACTGGCAACCTGGAGTGGACCTTGGAGCAACCATCCGGGACGTTGGCCGTGAATACAGCGACAATCCGGCTGCTTTACTCCCTGCAGGGATCGTGGGTAAGGAGGATTTGGCCCAGAGTGCTGCTCTTTTTAATGCTTCCTAGGACAAGTGCTTTATTTATTTTGCTTCTTTTGCTACTAGACGAGCAAGGCACCGAGTAAGCCTCTTTGCGAATGCATTGTTCTTCTCATTTGAGAAATTTTTGAGAGCGTTTGATTGTCCCAGCTTATTGCTCACATGTGGACGCGGCTCAAAGGTGTTTGTGCTCTTGCAGGGTGTACCTTACGTAAGGTCTCGGGCGAGGAGTATAAGGAGGACAAGGAGGAGTGTTTGGGAGGGTGGGCTCTTTTCTAGGCATGCCTGCAAGCTGTTGTTTTCTTCGACGGCATGGCGATCATGGTAGTGTCCACGCACGCCATGCATACCGGATTTGCCTTGGACTGGCTTATAGCTGCATCGTAAGTGCCCTCCCCATAACCCTGCAACCATGTGTAGCTCCAGCATGGTGCGCCACTGATGCGCATGCTGGTGGCACGCAGAGTTGTCATGAAGCTCTTCATCCGGTAACTATCGTGCACTCCAAGTGTCTCCTCGCAATGCGCCTTGCAAGCATACTTGGTGCAAGACACCACTGCTAGCCTCCAGAATTTACAGAATTTCACATCGTGGCATTGATCAGCTGTTCCTGGTTAGCATGAATTTGGCACAACTGCATGACTGCATGCACGGCCGCACATGTCGCATGTGACTCACCTTTGTCGCACACAGCAGGCCCTTGCACCCAAAAAGCAAGACGGGGCCCCACAGCGATGCTGCGATGGCGCCGCCGATCAGGAGTAGCGCGTCAAGAAGCAGAAGGCACGTCCACTCACAGGCTGTCAGCCCGGTGTCCTCGACGTCCTGGCCATCGTCATCTCTGCTCTTCTCGCGCCGGGATAGGCAAGCATCCATGACTTTGCCGTGCGCCTTGCATACAGAATTTGCATACCTGCAACAGAGCCATCTAAAGAATGAAGCCCGTTACAAACACAGTGGATTCATCATCATGTGGATTTGGAACAGGCTTCATCCTTTATATGGCTCAGTTGCAGGTATGCAAATTATGTATCCAAGGCGCACGGCTAGATCATGGATGCTTGCCTATCACGACGCGAGAAGAGCAAAGATGACGATGGCAAGGACGTCCTAGACACCGGGCTGATAGTCTATGAGTGGACGTGCCTTTCGCTTCTTGACAAGCTACTCATGAATCTCTGTGCAGCTTCTAGGTGGCCTTGCACCATTGCTGCAAAAGATAGACAGTGATGCCTAGCTTGAGGAGCACACTGCCTCTGGACAACCGCAGCGCTGAGTTTCATTAGACAAAGGAAGTTTCCGCATGCAGTTAAGGGCACCTGCATGGCAACTTTTTATGGCAACTGTGTGTATTTGCACTTCGTTCGCTCTGTCAGGATCATGAAAAGCAGCACTCTCTCCCTCGCCACGCAAGGATGCGCCTCATGCGATGTGGGATCAGTGGGGTAGATGTGATGGTATACCCAATCCTTAGAAAGGGCTTGCATGATGCAGCCCAAAGCTGGTGCTAACAAGTACCATCTTGAGCTTCCAGACCTGATCATGGACGACGCCTGTCAATCTGAATAACAGGCATCACTAGAGCGGGTGTTGAAACGGAACGCCGACGCAGCACCACAATAATTTCAGTGAAAAATGAATGGGAGAAACAGCGGGTGTAAAACGTTGTCCATGATCAGGTCCCGAGCGTGGCCTGGTGGTGCGAACTCTAAAGACTCTTGCAACATGTTCCCAATTAATATAGCCACTTTCTTGTCAGCGGATGTCTGTTCCATCTACATACATAAAGCCTCTACTACAGCGAACTCAACTGGTGTGCAACTTTCTTTGAAATATTTTCTGTTTCTGCACATGACTCGCAACTCAGCTCCGCACAGCGCAGTATGGGGTCGGTGGATCGCTGGAGTTCTCCAGGATCCCTGAGGAGCCCTAGCGGGGGTTTGGAGCTCACTGGCTCTCCCGCAAGGGACACCCTTGGTGGGATCTCAGCACGTTGTTGTGATTCCTTAAGGCAGCAGATTTGATGGATTGCTGCTTGAGGGACAGCGCTGGTTTAATAAGAGCGCTTGGACCAGAACAGCTCAGATCAATATGCCGACGGATGCTGAGGTGCATCCATGCCATTGCAGGACCTTCTGCTATCCCGGCCTCTCCTGCCACAGCCAAGGAGAGCCCGCAGAAGGAAAAGTAAAGGTGAGAATCAAAATCCATCCCGTGCTACAGCAGGAATGGGAGTCTCGCAACACTTCCCTGCCCAGTGCAAGGTGTCTCCTTTGCATGACAAATTGCAGCTTGTAGGTGGAACAGGAGCGTTTGGCTGTGAAAGTTCTAAGCAGGAGTGATAGTGAAGTTTCGAATGTGGGCTCATCTAGAGCTCAAACATGTGTTCTTGCAGGAGGATCAGCGGCAGCCGCACGCCTTGCTACCGACCAGTGGGCAGCGGCGCGCGCTCTACAGCGGCCGGGACCTCGGCCATGTGCTTCTCTGCCAGTGGTCGGGGCCCGCGATAAGGGTGCATGTGGGCCTCGTTAGCGGCCGGGATGCATTTTTGCGCTCGGCGGCGGCTGGGCCGGGGCTGCGCACTCGGCAGCGGCTAGGACGGGTTTCTGCGCTCGGCATCGGCCGGGATGCATTTTTGCGCTCGGTGGCGGCCGAGCCGGGGCTGCGCACTCGGCAGCGGCTGGGGCAAGTTCTTGCGCTTAGCATCGGCCGGGATGCATTTTTGCGCTCGGTGGCGGCCGGGCCGGGGCTGCGCACTCGGCAGCGGCAGCCCTGAGTGGACAGATTAGTATATCTGTCCGGCACGCTGCTGGACCTCTGCGACCTGCCCAGCAGGCATGGGTGTGCGCTTATAGATCTCTGTGGCTTGTTCTTCGCTGCTTTTTGTTGTCTCCGTATAGGACGTACTTGGGCAGTCCATTCTCACCAGCAGCTTGGGAGGAAGCTAGAGAGGTTTGCTGTGCCCACATAGATGTGCCTGGCGCAGAGGCGCCATATTTGGTTTTATGTGTAGCTTTTAGATGGGTGCCACAGCTCTGGCTGAGTTTCAGCCTGGCGCGCATCGTTTTTAGTTTGTCCTGTGAGCTTTCCAGTTTTTTTTTGCTGTGTAGGGGAGATGCAGGATTACACCCTAATGGTCAGATATTAGTATGTGGGTCTCATGCTGTCAGAGTCCCCAGTTTTGCTGTGGTGGAGCTCCAGCGTTTTAATTGCGCATGTGTTTTTGTCTTTAATTCATTAGGGTTTGTGGCATTAGCTTTGTCTTTAGGGCTTTTGTATGTATCATTTGCATGCGTGGGTGATGGATCGTGTCAGGGACGCATATGTCATGACTGATCAGGGACATATATGAGGCGAGCATCTTCGGCGTTGCTGAAGTAGGGCAGTTGAAAGGAGGGTGTCCGGGGAGTGAAGGCTGTGATAGAAGGCCTGTAGGGACTTGGATCTGCATTGGGGTGATGGCAGCAAGGGGATCATCTGTTTGTGTTTGCATGGATCATGAAGTGGGGCGCTGCACCATATGGGATGGCATGAGGGTTGAGGGGGAGGCATTTTTTGCAGTTACCTTGCATTTTGGCATTTGACTTCAGCCTTGCTGAAATTTGACAGGAGAGTTTGAGGGGTCGAAGGCTTTGGGAGAGGGCCTGTAGGGAGATGGATCTGGATTGGAAGAACGGAAAAAATCAATGTGGGATTATTGATTTGTGTGGGACTGTTTTGCAAAATGACTGGGCTGACATATGACACAGGCATGAGGGTCGTGGGAGAAGCATTTTGCATGTAATCTGTTTTGGCTTTAAGCTTCATGCAGCATTATAATTATATCGAAATGCACAGAGACACTGGTAGGCACATAAAATCATTGCACATCAGCAATGACTGCAGCTTCAAGAAAATTGCATTCACATCTGTCTCACAGTGCTCTTCTCAATTGATTGCGAGCTCAAATGTCAGCAGCACGAATTGAAGTAGGAAGTTACACATTGCTGCATGTACCAACAACGCAGCCAGCCTGATCAACGGGGAGCCACAGTACTTGTTCTGAGATCACCCAGCAATAGATTGCATCAGGCCTTGAAGTAAATCTCTATGAAGCATTTTGCCTGCATGGGTGTGATTCTACAGGATCAAATGTTGCAGTCCTTATTGCCCTTCTCTTCACAGTAGCCATACAGTCTGCTATCCAAGGCAAACACAAGGCAATCATGAGCCAGAGAAGTTGCTCAAGAGTCCAGGAGCAATTTACTTGTCCTTGGCCTCCTTGGCCTTCTGCAGCTTGAGCACCTGCAAAGTGCCACACAGGGCTCTCAGATCCTTGCATCCTGTATTCAATAATTCATATATATGCGTGGATTTCAGCCGTTGCACAATCAAAACAGAAGCAATGACCCCAGACACTTACAGGACAGCTCTGCCATGGCCCTGCCCCTTTCACATGCTGCAATGACACCTATACCTAAAAAACCAATCGAGCCAGGGAGAATGCCAGGGACTTGTCTTGAATCCTGCGGGCCTGGTTTCCTTGCGAGGGCCTCAGTAACCTTCTAGACCAGCACAAAGAGGCATAGCGCGCAAAAATATGCTTGCCCAGCCCATATTTTTCCCTGCTGCCTCCTGCTGGCACCCACTAGACAGGCAGGCTTAACTTGCGCATCCCTGACCACTACAGGAATTGTTTGGATCCCAGAGCCCAGAAACACTGAGGTTTGGAACAAAAGATAGTCCTGTCCATTGTCCACAAAGCCGTGCTGGGGCCTGAGGATCCAGGCCGAAGGCTGGGGCCATCCATGTCAGGTTTGCCTTTGTAGACATACCAATGAAGCACCACATGACAGAAGTAAGTGCCCCACAGCAGCGCACCTTCTTGATGATCTTCTGCTCCTCGATGAGGAATGCGCGCACGATACGGTCCTTGACCACGGCGTGGCTCAAGTGGCCTCCGTAGATGCGGTGCACCGTCTTGGACGGCCGCGACAGCTGCCGGTTGCTCATCTCCTTGGGCCGCAGCGAGGGAATCTGCGCGCAAGGCGCAGCCGAGATCAGTCATGGCATCAAACTTGTAGAATATATAATCATCCTTTGTCGGCTCAGTGTGAAGCCAGCTGCGGCTCAGCAACACACAAATTAAAGGACTGATGTGCAATAGGTCCCAAGATGTGAATCGGAGATCAGTCTTAGGATCCGTCTTGCATCATAATTCTGCCGCATCATTGCAAAGGCGGCTGCAGCTGAGACTTGGTATGAGTATTGCATCAAAACTCAGCAGGCTCCATGCAAGACTGGCAGAAGCTCAGCCACCACCAGCCACGGCACAGGCTGATGGGCAGTAGATGGTGGATATCCATCAGATCTTGCAGGGACCCATGCAAGTCAAGGCCTATAAGAGGAAATGTGCTCTGCAACATATCTGTGCACTCACAGTCGTATAGCCTGAGGACGTGCAAAGGTAAGCACGGTGTGAAAGCAATCCGATTTGCAGCAATTAGACGCACCCCATTGAGCCTCACGCCAGTGGCTCCACAGATCCTGGGAGAGGGCTTTTTCCTTGTGTATTGGAACACTAGCTTGCCACCTGCGTTGAGGCAACGGCAATATGTCAACATTTGTCTAGACTGCTTTGCAATCAATCCCACAACAAAGCAGGTATCATTCCTGTTCTGCTCAGGACTGCTGCCCCACTGTCCTCCTTAGTCTGATACAGTCTGTTTCTACAGAGATCAACATATGGACCACTGCGACTGATCCATCACGCTTGTGTCTGGCCTCTGACGACACGAAATTCCATGTGCCTCTGGATCTCGATGAGCCACAACCACCACCCCTTGAAACGATTGTATTTCTTTGCTCCAATCCAGGAGGCCTCGACTGCACGGTTCAAGCATGCAGCGAACAGCCCCGGCAAATCCCATAGGGTTGGACTTCTTTCCTGTATGCTTACATCGCCTCGCAACACTGCAAAAGAAGATGGTCAAGAAGCCAATCCCACCTGGTGTCTTAACCTTGCGCACTTTGTTGGACCTGGTGGCATAGCTGTGCCGCCTGCGGTATGTCAGGCGCTGCACCATCTTGCCAAACTGCTATTTTTAGGACAATCAGGCTGATCTGCTCTCCTCTGCGCTGCAAAGCAGGCAGAGCCGCCAAGCTCTTCTTGAGTGACGTTAGTGGCTCGTGATCGCCCCGTGGCATTACTGATCAAAGCCGTCTCGGAAAGCTCGGCTTGCTGGGACGATGCAAGCACAAGGAGACGATCCAGTAGGTGATACAAAGTTTAGAAGCACAACTACATCCATAACATTGCGTGTGAGCGTGTGTCGCGTGTTGCAAGCTTGAGGTCGTGCTCAAAGGTGATCTGCACTTTCATATTCTGCTGACATCAGTCAGCTAGAGCAGATTGACTGAAAGATAGTCACTTAGATTCTTGCCAATCGTACGACTGCCAAAGTTGCGTGATCCCGCTCGGAGGCTTTCGGAGACCTTTGCATATAGACAGGCTCGTGCGCATGACAGTCGCAACAGGGGCGGACACAGGCGTCACCTTTGCTTTGGAGGACGAGGATCATACCCTCGCCAACTCCCTGCGACACCTGCTGAACCGCAAGTACGAGCTTCGAACAAGTGGAAATTTCTTTCTTCAAAGCACCTCTGACAGCACCTGAGTGCACAGCCCTCTTGCTTAATTTGTATGTGTGTCAAGAGCGGCGATGCTCCATCCGACATCCTTAATGCTGTGCGCAGCCCCCACGTTAGTTTCGTGGGATACAGCATACCGCACCCATCTGAGAAAGTGGTCAACCTGCGCATCCAGACCACAGGTGAGTGAGCCCACCAGGATCTGGCCTTTTTCCTTGTGTTTTTTCAGCATCTGTAAATCTCTATGTTTGTACGGATGCTCCTCTCATGTACTGTGCGCTTCTATGCACTCCATGTCAGTGAACTGGAAACCTTCCACTTAATTCCATGTCTCTTGGCTGGTCGCCCCTTGTGGGTCAGAGGGAATGGACTTCACATTGATGCATCTTTGTGAAGCTCGCGTCCTCGTAGTGGTTTCCTACATCCCTGTATTTCTGGAAAGAGAGCTCTGTGTCACCAGTGAGGCATAGACCATGGCAGTTGCGACGGGGTTGCTTGCTCCCTTCCTCGGACAGCAGTGGACTGACAGTTTGATCCTGCTGTGCTGTGCAGGGGAGATATCAGCGGTGGAGGCACTAAGACAAGCCTGCCAGAGCCTGAAACAGGTCTGCGAACACATAAAGGCAACTTTCCAGGAAGAGTACAGGGAGCATGTGGAAAGTACTGGGCTGGCAGATGCAGCGATGGCAGATTGAACTCCCTTCCTGATCAGCTTCCCTGGCAGAGGACACATGGGAAAGGCAGGACAGGCAAATGTTAGAAGGGCACAGTGACTCAGTTATGGAATAGAGACATTGAATCATTCACGAAGTTGCTGGTTGACAAAAATAGAGCACCCGGAGCTCACTGGAAGAGGGTACAGGCAGGCTGATGCAGCAAATTTACAAGGAATCCCCTAGCTGATGCACTTATGGGGGTTTGTTGAGCTGATCAAAGAGCCCTCACTGGTTGGACAAAAAGCCAGCTTGCGGTGTTTGAGAGGAGGCATAGTCTGTTGGAGCATGAGCAGTGTTGGCAATAGCAGGTGACCAGGGTGTGCACACTTTAGGACGCACTTTACTAGTGCTGCAGAGCATGGGGACAATCTTACTAACCACAAATAACCCCTGTGTGGAAGAGGAGAGCTCACAAGGTGATAGACATTCTGCATTAGGGGAAGCTGTAGGAAGCTGTGGCCTTGGGCCGTGTTGCATGGCAGATAAAGCAGTCAGGCACTCCCATGCAATATTCAATATAACGGTCCTACTGATGAGTCATGTTTGCATGACATAGGCCGATGTCTTCTTCTTTGGCATCTGGATTAAGCTTACTGCTTTGTGGTGTGTTGAGGATCAGCCTGAGTATGCTCATATCAATTGGGTGCTGGCCACACAGTGTTACAAGCTTGCGGCTGTCTAGGAAAGAGACCGCACATCCCCAGTTGTAATAAGGTTGCGTGGTCAAGCTGACAACATTTGAGGGGACAGAGCACAGCGCAGCGGCTACTGCCAGTAGAATTACTAACACCAGGATACCGGAGGCACGAATTCTGTCATACAGAGACAGGACTGCTGTCATATGAGGATCCGGAATACTCATATGTTTCATCATTTATACTTTTACACCCATGACAGGAAAAATCACCTGTATAGCCACAGCTGTAGCATGCAATGCTGCAGCATGCACAAAGTAAATGCTATAAAACACCAGTTTTGCCAACCACATTCCAAGTTTCTAGAACTTCAAGTTTCCATTGCAAAACCCATCCAAGTCTTGTGGGTCCAAGCTTCTCGAGACCGCCTTCCTGCGCCATATGGATGCATGCATGCATGCATGCATCACACGCTCTATACAAGCAATGCTAGCCTACCGGGAAGCCTTGTAAACTTCTTGTAGAATCCAATTAGCAAGACTGCAATCGAAACCAGGAAATGCCTGAGAGGATTGAAAAGCTATATATGGGTCTGCCAGCTCTATGAGCCGGCTGGCAGCCTTCTTGGAAAACATCTGACAATTTCTCTTTAGCGCAAGACCCGCCCGGTTGCAACCTTATCGAAGTCCCTTCATTGCTCAAATGGCAGTCTGATCTAAGACCCCTTTAGGATTAGCAGGCTGCATCTCTAATTTGCACCAATATCCACCTGTTAGCAAATAGACAAAGTCCATTCACCGCTCAAATGGCAGTCTTATCTGGCATAGTCCAAAATCTAGCGGGCTGCCTTAAGAGCAAAGAACTGATGTAAGGGCTGAAACAGCTGGTTAACTGGGAAACAGTCTTCAGTCAGATATTCGTGTCCTCCAGACCTACTAAAGCAGCTCTTCATGCCATCACTGCTGTTTCAGGAATGAAAGGCCGTCACTTTGCTCCCCACCCCACTGGCTGCCATGTTGAGAGCTAAAACAATGCTTCATCAAGTGAGATTCCCTGGCAAGCCCCACAGCTCTGAGCTGGCAGCTTCTTTCCAATTTGAGCCAATCAAAACAAAGTGCTACCAAAAGATATTGAAGCATGCAGCCAGGGCTTTTTGGGCTTTTTTGCTTTCAGCTAGCTGGCTGCCTGGGACAGGACAGCCGCCTCATTGAGAGAAAGCTTTTTGTTGCCCTGGCCAACTCCCCAGAAAAATATCAGAATTTTCTCCAGCAATGAAAGGGCAATGTGATCAGAGACACACCAAGAGCTAGCTGGCAGCTTTCCAAGCAAACAAGAATGGCCTCATACAGGAAAAGGCCATGAGCAGCTCACTCCCACCTCTCCCCAGGAAAATAACTGCAGCTCCACAGAGAGGAGCCTCAAAACAGAACTGATGGCAACAGACCACGAAACGCCCCAAATATATTCAAACGGCAGCTGCTTCACTCCCCGCTGGATCAACCCCTAGAGGGCTGAGACAGTTGCAGCATCCAGGGAGATACACACAAGGGCAGTACGCCACGCATTAGCACTCAATCGCAGTGCCAACATCAAGGTTTAAGATTAGCGCATGTGGACAGCGTTATCGGCTAGCTGGCGGCTTTGACGGGCAAACAGCTACCGTGTTTGAAGACTCTCTCGTGGTGTCTGTGACACACAACCCGGAGCAATAACCCATGCTAATCCAGTGACTGGCGTTGACAGCAGCGTCTAGCAAGAGAGCATTTCTTGGGTGCTTGTACTCAGCTAGCTAGCAGCCTTGAGGGCCAAGACAGCGGCTTCATTCGGGGTTATATTCCCGGCCGCCATGAGACGCGCAAATTCGCGCTTCACCCGGGCGGCCAGCAATGCCTGCGCCGCAGAGTGGTCCCCCCGCGGCGGCTGCCGGGCCTCCCCCTGGATTGTCTGGTCCCCCTGCGGCGGCGGCCGGTTGTTCTCCTGAGTAGGCAACGCAACAACTGAGACTACACGGTCCCCCCGCGGTGGCAATGCTTCTTTAATAGAGGTTCAATGGTGGCCCCACGCTGGCAGCTGAAGATTTCTAAATGAGAGGCAACACCATATGGGTGTCCTTGGCTCTGGCAGAAAAAGCTCATCTCCTGACCACTTCTAGAAGCTACACAACACTGCCAGCGAACCCAGCCTGCCTCTGTAACATGCAAGACTTGGCCCTTTTCAGGTGGCGGGGAACTGAGATGTCGAGAGGAGCAACAGTGAGTCACAGATAGAGAGCGAGAGCCATGCTGCTGCCTGGATGCGCCAGATGCCATACAAGCACAGCCCGCAACAAATGATTGAATAGAGGAAGAGAAGCAACTTACTCGAGGGCTGGACAAGGACAACCTGTCTCTGAGCTCCCTGCCTGCTTCCACCACGCTGCTCCGGCTGCTGTCGGCATCATTGTCCCGATGGCTTGCGCCTGCGCAGGAAGTTGCACAGGACTTATGCATATGTGTCTGGATTGACGCAGCGTCTTCAGTGGAGCCTTTGAGATGCAGTGACTTTGCAATGCCGAGCAGGACTAACAACAGCAGGAGAAGGATGCAAGTAAATAACATGTGGGGCGGGGAATGCACTTCAGTAATTGGGATACTGAGAGCAAGAATAGGTACAAGGAGCAGGATGCCAGGTGTTTCTAGTGACTTGCACACCTTCCGCGGAGCTTCCGGCAGGGAAGATGCCGGCCTTGCGCGGCGCGGCCGGCGGCTTTGCGGCGGCCGCCGCGGGGCCGGCGTCGGCCGGCGTCTCCGGCTCGCCCACACCGGAGACGACCGCCGCGTCGGCGACTGACAACGCCATCGGACGGACTCCCTCCAGACCTGTTGCAGCAGCATTGTTCATTCCCAAAACACCTGCAATACATGGCGCAGCGGAATCATTGAACATGAAGCCGTAATTCCCACTACGCTGTGACAGATGGCAATGTTGAGAGCTGTTTCTTGGAAATCACATGAGCAGGCTGTCCCGAACAGATCTGACTGCAAAAGGAGCAACGAACACAAGGTGCACTTGGGTGCAAGAAAGGAAGAATGTTGAGGACGGAGATGCCCGGACCTGCTAATATAGTGTCAGCTGCCACGGCGGCGGCGGTGGCGTCGGGCTTTATGGGAGTGGGCGCTGACGTGGCGGGGGTTCGGCCCAGCTCGCCGCGAGCCGCTCGCCATTCCACCGAACCGGTTTGCCGCCCTGAAATGAGTGAAAGATATCCTTACTACCGTATTTCTATTGTTGCTACGGTGTTGCCAGTACAATTGTGGTACAGTTCCTAAATGTTATCATTGCTCTTACCACTACTATTACTACTACTTCTATTGTTGTTACCATGACTCTTACTGTTGTTGTTGCTGTTACTATAAACTGTCCCTTCCTAAGGGCCAGGTGTGTAATGCTCAGTAATGCATTGTATGCATTGTCTGCATTACAGCTTTTTAAAAGGCACAGTGCAGAGTAGAGATGACAGCCGGTGACTGTACATGCTGACAAGCTACTTTCAGGTAACCGGGGATCAACGCAGCGAAGGCATGCCACAAAAGGCATGGCCTGCATTTGGAGCACTTGGGGTGTGTCATCGACAGGTGTTATTGTGAGGATGTGGTGCTGTGTGCAGGGAGAATTTACCAGGAAGTGGAGTCTGCACTTCAGGCGGCGGAAGCTGGCTGTCTCTGAGCTCCCTGTCTTCGGCGGCGTCCCTTTCCTCCAGCAGGCTCCTGCGCACCAACACCACATATTAGAACACCACATTTTAGATTACAGAACCATTGCACTCGGAATGCTGTTGTGCCTCCTTGTCTGAGATGAGATGGTGAAGCTTATGCAGACATAAGACAACTGTATTGCCTTTCTCTCACTCCTGATAAACCTAGTGAGCAACCTTTGCAGCCGCAAAATGCTCTCATGCCCCATTGCACGCAAAAGAGGCACAGCAAGATGCACCTCAGGTCATCCTGCTTTGCATCTTCCCTGAAGAAGCTTTTGTGATGAGCAGAATGGTGACTAAGATTAGCAGACCCTTTAGTCACCTATCAGAGGCCGTCAGCTCGGTGCGCAGGCGCACAGTCAGCGCGTAGCACGCTGACATCAGCCACGGCTCTGACACCTCAGCGCGCCTGGTCTGCAGAGCGTCCCATTGGCGCGTGTATCGCCGCGTTACGTCGCGCACACCGGCCTTTGAGAACGCGACCACGTAGGTCAGCTGCTTGCCCCATCCGCCCTGCACAACGAGAGGAACCTTGGAAAGGAAAGCCGATGCAGCAGCTAGATGTTTAAAGTCTAGCAGGTCAGGTGAAAGTCTAGCAATAATGGGAGGGGGGGGAAACACTGACGAAGGGCACCTGTTCTAGAAATGGCATTCCATACGGTCAATTGGTGGTGCGTGGGAAAGAGGGTGTCAGGTTTTTGCACTGCCCTGAACAAGGGTGAGCTATGCTAGAAAGTGCTACCCCCGTAAAAGTCTGATGCCTGCAAATTTCCTTACCAAGGCTTCATTTTTATTTTTATGTTTATTGTTTATTATTTCTTTATTATTATTATTATTTTAATCTTTATTACCTGCCCTTGCTTCCGACCATCCTCGCATGGTGTCCAAATGGGTGTCACACAGAATATCACAAATCATCTGCCGAGCGTTGCACTGCTATTGCCGCAGCGCCTCATTCCTGAAAGGAGGCTCACCTCATACAGCAGGGGCTGGTCATAGGCCGCCTCACAGGCATCCATGTGAATCCACCGCTGCATGGCATCCGAGTAATATTCCACCTAGAGATGCAAAGGCTCTCTCAGCAACCACAATTATCACGGAGTTACCTGATACATGGGCTACAGAGGCACATTTTGATATGCTTGTCAGCACACGCACCTTGCCTCCGGCGGGATAAGTGCGTAATGATAGCAAAAGGAACTCCCAAACTCACCCAGACGTGATCTGTCAGGTCCAAAATGTACGGACTTGCCTCTGGCAGGAAGAGGTGCGTAATGATAGCAAAAGGAATTCACATACTCACCCAGACGTGGTCGGTCAGGTCCAGGATGTAGCGAGCATCCAATCCGATTGCCCGGCAGCAGAGCGCGAATGCGTTGGCCCACTCTCCGCAGCGGCCGCGGCGCGTCTGCAGCAGCCGACCGGGGTCGTTGTAGCGCGCAAATCTGCAGGGTTTGCATAATCAAGGGAGTTGAAAGGGTTGGTTATCTTGAAATAGAGTGGCAATAAGGTAGAGCAAGAGAATCTGCAAGGGGCTGGACATGGTCGCATCACTGTCACACGGGTTTTTAATATATTTTTACATTTTTAGGGTTTAATGGATTTTATGTGTTTTATTTTACGGGTCAGGGTCACTGCGGGGGATCAAGTCCAACCTACAAGGGAAGTGTGTGTTTCTGCCAGCTGTACAAGTTGAGTCAGCTGGGTCAATTTTCCCACCGTCCCTCAATGTCTCCCACATTTCATTGCACGTGAGCCACACGTGCCCGGCCTCTGTCCACATGGATCAAGATTCAAGCACTTTAACCAGTTAAGACTGCCACAAGGCACGATCATGTGTTGGCAACCAGGATCTTCTTGCCTTGTGATGGCAATGCAGGCCTTGCAGCCATAGTGCTCGATGCGTCCCATACTTGATTGGACCTGGCGAGTCTAACCAGGGGTAAATATTACTACCTGCAGTTGTCTGCAGACACACCTTGCCACTGGCAGCAGAAGGGTGTACTACTGAAACTGAAACCAATACTAATACGGTATAGTGGCAACCCCTGATGGCCCCGGCTGGCGGGGGGTGATATGAATACTGAACACTGTGCCCATTGCTGATTGGGTCTTGCTTTGGATCTGGCGAGTCCAACAAGGGCTAGGATTGTGACAGCCTTGAACTGCAGCTTGTCTGGAAGACGCACCTTGCCTCTTGGCAGGAAACGCGTGTAGTGATGATAATAATAGTGGCAACCAGGGAAACTTGCCTGGTGATTGCTCCGCACGCCTTGCAGCCGTAGAGCTCGACGCGGCCAGCGCCGGAGGCCGCGTCGTCGGCGGAGGGACGCCCCATGCCGGTTGGCACCGTCTCAGCATTGCTGCACGCGCTGCATGGCGGGTTATTCACCTGAGGCAGGAACCAATCAGACTTGTGAAAAAAATCTGGCCAATTTTGACATGTGCCAGTCTGTTGGAGTGAACTCAACGCCTGCAGCTTACAGCTGCACTCTGAGGCTGAAGTGTGGTGACAGCACCTTCAATGGGTGAACCAGGAAATGCAGGCGAGGGGCATTTCTGGCCATTCTGGCCTCACAGTGTGACTGCGGGCTCCAAAAGGGATGCCCTGTAGGTAAGGCTTGTAAATTTGCCAGCTGCATGCCTATGTCTGTGGATGAGCCACTTGTAGCAAGAACATGCATCTGCGCTTCCAGCTGACTGTAAAAGCATGTCAGCAAGGCGCTGAGCAATCCCTTCATGCATTGCAGCCAACTCCTACGCCTTTAGCCCTTCAGATTTGCATAGACAGTCGGCAGCTAAGGTTCTAATTCTGAAGTTATTTTAAGGGGCTTCTGCCACCGGCTCTTCTGAGGAGGGCTTGAAGACTGAAGGAGAAATGGCAGTGAGAAAGAATGCAAGCATATCCAAATCCATGCGGTGCTATGAAAGGCAGCCATGCGCAGCAAAGCGATGTGCCTCACCCAGGAGAAGAAGTCCCGTTTGAACCACTTCAGAAGCTGGCGTGCGAATGCGTCCTGCTGCGCGAGCACCGGCGAGTCGCCATTCTCCCGGCTCTGCGCAATGGCCGCGTCAGCCGCCGCCTGAAGCTCGTCCTCTGGAATGACACTCAGGGCCATTGCCTGCAGCGTCTCGTCCTCGTACTGCGCATTCAAATTCTCAGCAAAATGAAATTTGAGAAGGGGTGTGCCCTGTGATAGATTGTTCCACTTGAGAGGCCCCTTCTGTTCCAAAAGATTTACAGACAAAAGGATCCACATGAGAGGTGCTCATGGATTGCTGAAGCAGCGCAGGACTGCCCTGCAGTGCTGTCAAGTCATTGCTGCATAGATGTAATATTTATGGTGGAGGCTCTGCAGTGTTCTGCCACGATCTTAAAGCACACGCTGGCATGCACAGGGAAAGTGTGTGCGGCAGCAGCCAGTGTGTAAAATTTAGATGCGAAACATATTCCTATGAGGAGAAATCGGTTTCCGAAAGATGGAGGTGGCATGGGACACCTGTCCAAAGCATGCTCTTGCCTCTGATGGGCTCGAAAGCACCAAAGCGGATAACAAGATGGAAAGGAAACGTATCAGAAGGCGAAATCACGAATGGACGCACCGTGAGCACGGTCTGCACGCCACTCTGCAGCCTGGCTTGAAATGCCTGCTCGCCCCCTCTGCCAGTCAAGGAGTGCAGCTGTGCCACCGCCCTGTCCTCTTCTTCCTGCAGAGACAAAGTAGAACAGAGTTGCCAACGCCGACAGTTCCTGCAGCCTGATACTTACCGAAAATGACAGAGGCATCGGAGGCAGTACATCTGCTGGTCAAACAAGATGGGACGACCCCATCCTTATAGGGCATCATGCGCATGACTGCTCTACATACAGGTTGCTTCATTGGCATTGGTTCGGAACGGAATGTCTCGCAAGCACAGGGTTGATGCCCAACGTCATTTACTGAAGTCACAGCGCGCACCTGCAGCTGTCTCGCAAGCAGCTCATCGGCGTCCATGTTGCCGCAGGTTGAACCTTCCTTGCTGCGTATGACCAACTCGCTGGGTGGCGGCTGTTCAAATCACAGGAGGGCTGCTGATGAGGGCCAGGTGCAGTCGTACAACCTTATCTGACGCACGGCTGCCAGAGAAGCAGGCCTGGCAATTCAGAGGAGGATGTGCTCTACAGTGACCCTGAAACACATCCCATGCGCCTCCAACTGTATTGGAGTGCTCCAGTAAAGGTGCACCTGACTGGCCTGACACTTGAGATGTACCGGGCTTGCGTATACCATAACGTTAACGTCACGGCTGACGTGGATCTGTATGCGTCATTTCGCTTCATCATTCCGATTCGTAATCTTGCATCTTTCTCTCTTTATTGCAGAAGTACTGCACAAATTTACAGAAAAAAGCCGACATATCTAAACCCTTTCGCTTAAAATCAACATGGGCCGTCCCATCGTGCAAGTGTCGTTGGACGACTTCGAGAATCGGAAGCAGGAGATCACGAATGATCTCTGGAAAGCTGCCACCGAAATCGGCTTCTTCTACCTCAAAGACCATGGTTTGTCTGGGGTGAGGTAACTCCGAAAGGATCAGAGCCTCTGAAGCTGTGGTCCGAAATTTTCATCAATCCAGTACACAGACTGAGCGTTTGTCGCGCATCTGGTGCCAGGATGAAATAAAGCATATGTTCGAGATATCAGAGGCGTTCTTCAAGCTACCTGCAGATGTCAAGGCCAAGTACCGCTTCGACCTGGTACGTTTTCTCTGCCTGTCAACTCTCTGTCTCTGGCATCTGTTTGTCGTGCCGCAACACGTGATTTAAGGTGATGTGCAGTCCAAGAACATCGGCTGGGAATCCGGCCAGCAGAAGCGCGCTTCTCATCACCTGCCCGAGTTGAAGGAGTCTCTGCAGCTCAAATGGCATGACATGGAGGGAAGGTGGCCCAGCGATCAGGACATTGCTGACTTTCAAGCTACCTGTGAGGTAAAATTCCCATTAAATACTTTGAGCCTTTGTCAGTCAGTCAGTCAATCATTCAGAGGTATCTTTATATTGATTTAGCCAATTTAGGAGTCGTCTGATGCCTCCTTCAACATGACAGTACAAGACAAAAAAACCAATTTTGCGACGCCACAAGCCACCCAAATTGAAGCTTAAGGAAGAAAGAGATGCACAGCTTTTGGAACATGGTGTTCAGACTCAAAGTTGCCCGTCCTGGTGTGTCTGCAGGCATTTATGCAGAAGTGCCAAGAGATCTCCTTCAAGGTGCTGTCCTGCTTCGCACTCGGCCTTGGCTTCGAGGAAGACTTCTTCACCAAGGTGACTTCTTCACACCTGTTTTTTCACACCTGTTTTGGCACTCCTGTCTAACTCGCCACCAAAAAGCAGCAATGATGTATAAATACCCCTTGTCAAAGTGTCTTCCGTCGTCCAGTGCCTCGCGCAAAAGCATGCAATGTGATCAGAGCTTCTCCTGGGCCGAGAGCTGCATGTATTTTCGATGCCCTAAGTCTACATCGCGAGACAGCCCTTTTTCTCCCCTCTGGGCGTTCACAATGCCTTCATTCCTTGCATTCTGCCTTCTCTTAGAAGCAAAAAACATATTTGTGTTCTGATGTGTCAATTCGCACCTGTGCAGAACCATGATGTGACGAAGCCAGATGCCCAGCAGACCTTCCGCCTGATGCACTATTTCCCAGTTGAGGGAAAGACCTTCCCTGAGGGATTCCCACGGGTATGAACCGTTTCTAATTCTTTTCCTTTGCATGCAGATCCCTTACAATAGGTTCCATGTACTTTTCTTGTCTTTGTATGGACGTCATCTTCTGGCAGCTGCTGTAATGTTCTGGAAGCGCTGTCAAAAGCCTGTTGCCGGTGCACAATACTCTCTAATGTGTGCATTTGCATGCAACGCTGCATAGATGAAATGATATGCATGAAGGATCTGCATACAAGACGGATTAAACGGAACGGATGGCGAAAGATGGTTGCTGGTGTCCTTGCAGGCAGGATCACACTGTGACTTCGAGACAATCACGCTGTTGTTTGCCAAAGGGGCCGGCCTGGAGGTTTGCCCTGGAAGGTAATTACACAATCTGGTGTTTGTGTTGAGCAGAAATTTTGGCATTTGACGCTTACAAGAAATTTCATCTTGTTGGGAAATCTGCTGATTATCCCTTCTTTGAGGCAGTCCCTACCAGCAGCACACACTGAGTGCGCGCATTGTGCATTAGATGAAGGGGAGTTCCTGGCATGTCCCTAAAGTGACAAATGTCCCTCACGTGACAACATTCAACAGCAGCACCTGATTTTGATTTTGCGCGCGCGTGCAGGGAGGCAACATCTGAGCATGCAGTCGGTGATGAGTGGACCGAGTGCCCTGCACTCCCTGGAACCATCACAGGTGCTTTTCTTACCTTATAGCATGCGTTGCGGCTTGCGCTTGTTTCTCTCTTTTCTCGTCTGCTCTGCAGTCTCGTATAATGTGTCAGTCAGGTAAGCAGGAAAACGGTGTTCCCTACTTCCCCCAAAAACTTCTCGTATAGTGCTTGGGAGTGTCAGCGTGACATCTCAAGCCGGTGTTGGATTTTCGCATTGTGCTGAATGATGAACAATATTGCTTTGAATTATTTGTGGCGAACAAGGGTGGCCTTGCTTGCAAAATGCCTGCGTGCGCACATTTGTCTTGTTTGGCAGGAACAGTGATAGTGAGGCGATACAGGTGATGACATGCATGTGTTGGGGATGTGCAGTGAACATCGGGGATGCTCTGATGAGGTGGAGCGATGACAAGCTCAAGTCCAACTACCACCGGGTCAGAATGCCCCTTCCAGGCGAGGACAAGGGTTCCCGCTTCAGCATCGCCTATTTCAACCAGGTACAAGATGCTTTTATCTCGAGTAGCTGCTGACATTCCTGCTCCGTAGAGATATCTCTTGGTGTTCACGATCTTAGGAGGCTAAGCATTGAAATCTGCTTTGTGAAGAATCTTTGAGGCTTCATGCTTGCAGTGAACGGCATTCATTCCTGCGGCTTTAGGGCAGATTTCTATTGTGAGAAAGCATTTTACGCGTCGTCTCACTTGTGACAGCATGGCTGAGACTCTTTTGGTGTGCACTGCAGGCCAACAAGCACTCAATCATCGAGGGCAAGGAGGGCAGATACCCTCCGATCTCTGCCGAGGAATTTGTGAGCGAGTCTCTCCGCGCTATCTATGTGAAACAGCCCCAAGCGGTGTCAGCGGCCAGTTAAATATCAGCTCGAACATTCAAAATAATGGACTGCTGAGTCACTCCGGTGGGGCTTTCATCGCTGCAGACATCGATATGTGGAAAGCAGCCTCAAGCGTTGCTGGCAGCCAGCAGAAATACAAACATGCATTTCAAAATAAGTCAATCGAGGGTTTGAGAGCGGTGTCACCATGATGTTTGTGGGATTTTGACCATGAGCCCCCACATAACTATGTGCAAGAAGAGTAAATCTGCAGACAGTTCTTCAGGATATTGTGCAGAATATGTTTTTCTTTTATGACAAGAGCTTCAGCCTTGGGCATGTACTGGCCATTACAGCAAGGGCAACATTGCAATGTGTTCTTTTGACATCACACACTTTGGATGTGGTCCAGATTTCGCTTTTTTTTCCAGTTCAGATATCAGACAGCCGGCTTGCCATGGCCAGTGACTGCAATTTCTGCCGTTGCAAAATAACTTCATCTGATACAAGGAAAACCTCGCCAGTTGCTCACTATTGGATTTTGAACGAAAGCCCCTGTGGGAACGGATGTTGCAATAATTGATTTTTTTACAGTTGAGAGATAATCCCATCTATGTTGGTATGCACTGTGGCATGCTAGCACTTGTAAGCAAAGAAGAGGTTCTAGAGCCGCTGATTGCCTTTCACTCATTCCAAAGTTCTAAAATGCCATTCACAGCTTGTTCCTTGGCTGATTCAATGTGTGGGATCTGCAATATTGGTGCGCTCTGAGCGCGGTTAACTGCTTGCAGTAAAGATTTGACCCCGGCTGGCGTGGGGCGATATAAATTTTGAGCACCGTGCCCACGGTTGTTTGGGTCTTGCTTGGATCTGGCAAGTCCAACAAGGGGTGTGATTATGGCAGCCTTCGACTGCAGCTTGTCTGCAGGACGCACCTTGCCTCTTGGCAGGAAAAGCGTGTAATAACGATAATTAAGTAAAGCTCCCAAATGCCATGCAACGTTTCTCCTAAACTTGCAGTCACTGAAGACAGGGTGTCTTCATGTCTTGCATGGTGTCCTCGCTCTGAGTTTGCACACAGGACCTAGGCCTCTGCAACTTCCAGTTCAAGTCCGCACTGGGACTTGGCAGCTCCTCTTGCCAGCTGCCCCTGTCAGAGACTCGCTGCTGCCATTCCCAAGCCTTTGGCTTCAGCTCCTTTATCATAAGCAGATTGCTGCTGGACTCGGTGCATGCACAGAGAAGGTGTTCACACCTCAAAGCTCGGCGAGTTCTTAGCTCAGGTCTGCGACGTGAGCTGGCAAGAATATAGGTGAATCTGCTAGTATCAAAGCTTGGCTGCTAAGCTTCCTCTGGATTCAGTGACCAGTGGCAATTGTCACTGCACAGCGTTCAGTGTACAGACGGCTGGCCGAAATCCAGCCATTTCTCAGGCTCTTTCCGCAGCTGTCAGTGCACAAACTGAACAAATGACACTGCACAGCTGTCAGTGCACAGACGGCTGGCCGAAATCCAGCCTTTTTCTGATGCTCTTTCCGCAGCTTTCAGTGCACAAACTGAACAAATGACACTGCACAGCTGTCAATGTACAGACTGCTGGCCGGATTGCAGCCATTCTCAGGCTCTTTCCGCAGCTGTCAGTGCACAAACTGAACAAATGACACTGCACAGCTGTCAGTGCACAGACTGCAGGCCAAGATCCAGCCATTTCTCAGGCTCATTCCCACGCTGGGGATTGTCCTCTTGAAGGTCTTCGGCCTCCTCGTTGGGGGGCTGCATGCCTTCTGGCAGCGGAATGTCTGCGAAGCAGCAAGATGATCCAATCAGCAAGCTGCCTCAAGGCATCACTGCAGCATCCCAGTGCTGATGGTTTGCCTTCAGGAGCCCTGCCTTGAGAAGAGCAAAAAATAATGCCGCATTGTTACTTGAACAAGCTTGTGTTACCCTGCACATCTGCATTGATGTGCTGAAAGCTTTCCAACGTTTTTCCCAGGATACTGTACAGCATCTTGAGAAAATGGGTTCGAACAGAAAGGGCAGAATCTTCAGGACAAATGGACCCTGATACGCACCGTCGTCCGCCAGAGTGTCTTGCATCCATTCTTCGTCTATAATGTCGAGGAGGTGTGGTTCCGAGATGAGAGAAAAGTGTATCGTGGTAGACATCTTATTTTTACTTTTTGCTCGTCGCCAAGCTGATGACCTTGATATAGTTGGATCAATCCTACATATTCACTTTCCCTTGTCAAGTTCGCATGAATACAATTCCTAAAATAGATTGTGTTTCAATTTGCATTGGCTTGATGCCTGAACCCTGCCCCAAACCCCTTTGTCAAGGGGAATTCTGACGAAAAAAACGCCGAAACTCAGTTTCGGTGCCTCGAGGCTTGTCTCGATTGAGCCGACAACAAGCTGTTGCTCACTGTGACATGATTGAGATCGCCTGCCTGTTTGGAGAAAAATGTGATTCCATTCATTGAGTGCATCAATCCCCGCTGTTTGAGCCCTTTCGTTGCGTCACCTTGGAACCGACGGTTCCGTTACCACACTACTCCTTCACGTGTCGTGCACTGATACTTTAATAGGGGAGATTGAATTTCCAATTTGTGAGCTCTTGAAGGAGCAACGAGAGTTAAAAATGTAGCGCTGCTTATGATGAGTATTTCGAGGTGAGGTCATGTGGCGCCCAGGCGTGCCCGAGCGCCTCAGGACAGACGGGATGCATTAGTTCAGTATTGAACGAGGAATTCTCACGGTACTTAAGTCAAATTGGTGGCTTTTTGAAGCGATTGGATTTCAACGTGCACACCCGATGATCTAGCGGCATGGCACGAGGCAGCTCCCAGCGTGCGAATGCCCGCGTCGCTAATGGGGGTGTGCAGGGTGGACCAACCAGAGCGAGTAAACCCGATGTTCCGAGTCTTGGCATTGGGCAAGATCAGCCTGGCAGCCAGGACCGCAGCGCAGATGCTGCTTGGTCATCGCCCCAGAGCGCAGGGATGTTCGAGAGCAATTTCATCGATCCACCGTCCCCCGACCAGGATCTTGCGTGGCTCCTTGACTTGGAGCCTCTCCCAGTGGATTTCTCGCCCAGAGGCAGCCACACAGGGGCTGGCTTCGATGCAGGCTCTTCCCCAGCGATCTCCACACCACATCAGCCAGGATCTGTGCAATCGAATGGCAGCAATGCGGTCGTTTATCCGAGTCCTGCAGCTACGCATGACAGCAACAGCGCCCTTGCAGCATTCGATGCGCTGATGAGGTGGGGCACACATTGATACCCATGCAAATCTTCAACGTGTGTGAGTCAACAGATAAAAAGTCAGGTATCAGTCTGCTGTGGTTGAACCAGGGATGCCATGAAGGCTGCTGGAGAGGAGTTGGACGGCAGCGAAGACTTGCAGGTGAGGTAATGGATGCACAACTTGCTGGCAACTTTCTGATACCGTGCTGTATTTAACATGCAGTCATTCACTGATACCTGATCCCCAGATATCGTATATTGCATGCTCTCCAGCGATGGAATACAATACACACTGTGATTACCCATGATCATGATAGGCTGCAGACTGCTGTAGGTCCCGCAGATCTGGCTACAGACGCCCTGTGTGTATGCCATATGGCCTCTGGCTTTGGGTTTGCCGACCATGTAGTAATAATAATAATAATACACACTGTTTAGCTCGTTTGAGCTTTCCTTTGTTACAGCAGGCGCGCCCGCAGTTTGCCTCAGGAGCTGAGCTGGCAGTAGGGCAGCTGAACACGAAGCGTCCACCGCTGCACCATTCGCGCAGCAGCCTGGATGACTTTGAGCTGGCGATTCGGGTGCGGTCCACAAGTGAACTCATTACCAGCACAGGCCGAAATCAATTTCCTGAGGAATCCTTGATGGCTGAATCGTACTTAACTTGTCATTGCACTTAAGCAGCAATGCCATTGTCTAATGAGGTTCTCACCCCTTATTTGCAAGAAACCAGCATAGACTGCAGTCACTGCTTACTTAGCACTGGCAAGATTTCGCATGCACAAAATCTTTTCGCACACGTTTTTTATGTCATTATACATTACAGAAGCTGATTGCAGGATCTAGTGACTCCAATGGCGGTCACAGCAGAGGAGGCGCGCCTGATCTGGCCGCAGGGCAGCCCCGGGGATTCGCCGGGGGATCCCGGCCTAATCTGGTCGCAGCAGCAACCCCCGGGATTCACCCCTGAACCCCACTCTCAAGGGGCCTGGGAAACTAGCCAGCAGCCGCAACAGCAGCTGCAGATGACTCATGGGAAGCAGGAAGGTTTCTACAGTGAAGGGTATGCACCCGGGACTTGGGGAGAGGGTGAAAAGGAAGCTCTGCAGACAGCGCACTTTATTGACCGATCACACTCTACGGCAGGGCCAGGTGCATATACAATCTGTATCTTTTGACCTGTGTACACCAATAATGCAATTCTGCTGTGCATTTGGCACTGCATTCACGTTGGAAGCAACAATCAACCCTAGAGCACTCCGCTCATGGGAATGTGTAAGCTGCTCTTTGTCATACATTGTCTGTTGCTGTGTGCCAATATTGATGCATGGCCCCGAAGATTTTAGCCAGCATGCACTTCCTGCGCAGCTTCAAGCTAGCTGTTTATGCAATGCATTACTAAGCAGGATACTGACTAAAACTCTATCATTTGGCGCAGACCTGCGAGCGTTCCTGCTTGAGTCACGCTACAATTCAGCCCCGGAGCTGCCGCTGCTGGACCATCAAATCCCCCCGCTCCCAGATAATCCTTGGGGGAATGATGCGTCCACAAGGGGCGCAAATCATCAGCGCAGCCAAAACAGCACTGATGTGACGGCCTCTCCTGGCACGGCCAGAATTGGCAGCGAGGCCACGCCAGGCATCATTCGCGCGCAGTCTCAGGACTTCACCATCGAGTGAGTTCAGCCGGCCTAGAATTTCAAGCTGCTATGTTTGGAGCAATATTCTGCTTTCCTTTGGAGATATTGCTCAGAAATTGCTGGGCTCAGATTTGCTGCCAGGTTTGTGCCAGGCGCTTGCTGCAGATAAGGTGCCTGTCTCAGCCAGACCAGCAAGGGCAAAGAATCACTTGAGCTCGAGAAAGAACACATTTTATTTAGGGCATCCAAACTTGCCCCTGTTAACGAGCACGCTGCAAGAGCTATTGTGTGCCATTTTGGAAACCAGCACTGCAAGTTGTGTGGCACAGAAGGCTGTGCGTGTCGTGTTTTATTCCCCAGCAGAACATGGCTGAACAATGGGTCTAGAACAGGTACCCACCATCAATGCACTTATCCAGTCACATCCAGTTCAAGTGAAACAAACCCTGACTGATTCAATTTTGAATGGCAGCCCGGAGACGGGCAGGAAGCTTCGCTTCGGCCCGGCGATGGCCGTGCGGACGAATGTGGTCGATCTGCCTTCGGTGACTGCGCTATTTGCTGATGTCAGCTCGCGGGGACTGAAGAGGCAACGCCGGTGGAGCCCAAGCCCCGCCAGCACACCAACCAAAGTAGGCAACAACCTCATTATTACTTGACATTTACTGTAGGAGAAATTTCCTCCTTGCAATTCGCCGATATGCTACATTATCCTTCTTTTGACATTCCCTTGCTCTGATCCAATGCTGACATGCATCGGTATAGGCTGATCTTTGCAGACTTTTATTAAGAGAACCAAAAATGAGCCCCCCCCTGCCTGTGCGATTCCCTGGTAATATGGTATCGCATACTAAAGCTGCTCTCGTGCAGTCCATGCAGAGTCTGGGAAAGCCATGCATTGCAGACAGCAAACCACCGTGGTTTTGTCTTCTCAAAGTGTCCACAGTGGCTTTCACGTAAAAACGAGGTTCCAGTGCGGAAAGGTGATTTGAGATGAAGTGATCATGACATTGCCGTGTGTGTGCTTTGCAGAATGCAGTGAGAAGAAGGGGCCGCAGCTCAAAGAGCCCATCCTTGACAGCCGCAGCGGATTTTCCACTGCCCCCGGGGATCTCTGCGGTAGACGAGGACCGCGGCACATGGCGCGGCATGTGCCGGCACATGCCAGACCCGCCGCCACTTTCCTCTGACCAAGCCGTCAGTCAATCAATCGCGGCACCATCTCAAATTGATATTCCAAGGCAACAGGTAGCGCAAGTGCAGCCTGCAGAAGCAGGAGGGAAGCCGGAGGAAGCTGCCTTGGAAGGTACAGTAAAAAGCGGGGGTCCAGTCTTCGACGCGCGGCTTCCACTGAGGGGCAAAGTTGCCAATACAGGCAACGCTGCCACATCACCAGCACTGACTCAGGTTCACACCCCATTTTCGAATCCAATGTTGTGTCCTCAGAAATTGCTTCTGCATCACAAGGGTGTGCATGGGTTGCACACATGCACACTACTGACAGGAGTTTCTGTACAGACATTGGTTGACGATTGAAGCTTGCAAACGGCACATAGAGAGAAAGGATCTCCACCATGCAGTGTTGACCAGCAAATTTGATTACACTGTTGCTATCGAGTGGTGGTTGCTTGGTCAATAAGATGCGGACCTCATTAAAGTTTGCAAAACTTCGTACTGACTCCAAATCTTGCTTTGTGCTCTGTGCAGGCGACACACCAGGCAGTGGCGCCGGCTAGCCCACCCTTGAACCAGCAGCAGCGGGTTCAGAGCAGAGGGGTTCCACTGTCTCCGGTCTCCGGCCAGTCAGCTTTTACTGAGGACAGAGGCGCTGGAGCACTGTCTGCTGCCGCAGTCAAGACAGGCAAGCCTCATTCTTGACCACTTTGTCTGCTTTAATTCTCACATTGCAAGGCTCAATGCTTGCTACCTTCCTTTCAAATTCAAGTCCAAAGTCATGTGCCTTGGGAGCAATTACACTACAATATTGATTGGTGTCGTTACCAACCACTTGAGTTCTGGTAGAACTGATACAGAGCAGAACATTGTGCACTTCAAACCAACTGCTTTTGCCAACATGAAAGCGTGTTTTTAAAATTTCTATGGTATTGTATCATGTGGGTCTCAATAATGCATCTGTGTGACAAGAAGTTGCTGCACTGCAGAGGAACTTGCAGTGGAGGCTGGCGATGAGCCAGCCTCAGGGAGCGAGGGGACCCAGGGGGGCGCGGTGGCGACCCCGGCAGGGTTTGGGGGAATCACAAGGGGCGTGATTCGAGCTGCGGCGCTCAGCGGCAAGCACAAGGCGCCTGTGTTCCGACTTGAAGAGCTGCACAGAGTGCGACTAACTAATACATATAATCATGCAATATGTGCAATTTGCATGTAATCATGCCATCTACCAAATTTTGTTACCTTGACGCATGTGACTTGTAATTAATTGTGAAAAAGAAAAAAAAGAAAAAAAAGATGGTGTGCCGCTGGCATGCTCTGTTGCAATCTCTCCAATTTTTCTGATGGGAGAATCCATCTATTTCTATTATTGTGTCAGAGAATTGCACGTGAGCATCTGGATATTGCCCGGAGTGTCTGTGACATGCTGGCTTCCTTATTAGCTGCCATGCATGCCAAGTACAGATCATTATTTGACCCTTTTTAACACCCCTGCACAGTGGAAGGGCCAGGTACACTCATGCCATCCCTGCATGCATACTCCCAGCAGCAGATACAGCAACAGCGCCGGCAAAATTTAAACCTGTTCACTTCAATTCGGTTCCTCGAACTGAAAGGTCTAGTGTTTCACCTGCAGGCGCATTCGCAGCAGCAGATGCAGCAGTCTCAGTCTCAGCAGCAAAGGTTCAAGGGAGTCACCCGCGGTCCTTGGAGCGTGACATGGGACGCGCATGTGCCTTCACCTGCCGCCGGACTGCGCGCCCAATTAGGCCTCGCCCCCCTGGCGCCAGATCAGGCCCCTGATGAGGTCAGCGCTCTGTCATCATGCAGATTATGCAACCAAGCACAAACTGAGGTCAGCATAGCATCACAGTGCAATCCCTTCATGCAGAAAACGGGCAGTGCTTGTAAATATCGCGGCATCTTGACAATTCGACTGCCGTGTCTGGCATGTTACTGTCAATGCAGGCAGCAAACACTTTTATGCCTAGCCTGTGCCTATCAAGTGGGGTCAGTTGCATAGTGACCACCTAGCAGCAAGGCTTCAGACTGACAAAGTACAGCACAAGACTTACAGAGTTCTAAGGGCAATGTGTCAATGAGTCCTCACCACTGAAACAATTGCTGCAGGACGTTCAACCCATCTACGTGGGAACCTTCCTGACCCAAACGAGCGCTGCAAAGGCGCACGATGTGGCAGCACTGCGGATCTGCCTGGAGCCGGAAGCTGCCGCCGCTGCGGAGGAAGCTGCCGCGGCAGCTTCCGACTCGAGCCTCAGCTTGAACTTCTCTCCTGACAGCTACCACCAGGTGCTGCCTCCTCTCTACAAGATAGTCTCTTCTTCTCCTTTGGTGAACAACATATAATATGCTGACGGTAGGCGGTTCAGAGATTTCCTCAAAGTTGCACTGGTGACACTCTGGGATCTACCGTATGGAATGGTGACCTCAGGCCTTGCCAAGACATCATTGGGCAAGCTACAATCCAAGCTTCTGGAGTCCTTGTTGAGGGGCGACCAAGGGGTTCGGCTGTGTCTCGGCAGCTTTTTAGGTCTTCAGGAGGCCAGGAATGGTGTTCTAAAGCAGTGGCACAAGTTGCCTGCTGCCATAACAGTGTCCGCGATCTGAGGAAGTGACAATTAAATTGAAAATCACTCAGAAACATTTCAATGTGTGCGCAGGGAATGCAAGAAATGAGGGGAGCTTCGGTGTCAGACTTCATCCAGGCGCTGCAGCAGCACAGCGCGTTCGAGACCCAACGCACCTCCAGGTATCTTGAATTGCTGCAGGGACCTTCGATCTCCAAGAGATTGTTGGTTACGTTGCATTTCTTAACGCTTTAACGTTTTGTGAAATTTCTGTCGCCTCACAAGCGTCCAGGCATGGTGGCATTGCACAGGAGGCACAACCTCGTAAATGGCCAAACAGCACGGTTGTATCACAACAGGGCCAAGCACTCCTGACTGTGCGGTTGCGGTTGTCCTCTCAGGTACAAGGGAGTGCACATGCTGAGCGACAACGAGTGGGTGGCGAGATTTCTGGAGCAAGAGGATGCACCAATTCTGTGAAGCCAACCTTCACGGTATTATTAGTGTTTACATCGCATGCAATTGATTTTGTTCTGTCACTAGCGTTTGAGAGATACAGCAGGCAGCATGTTAAACATTTCACGCCACCGATCTGATGTCAAGTCAGCCAGCGCTACAGCTACCTTGGGAGCGTATGGAAGCATTGCATGGTCTGTGGTTAGATATATGTGGCTAGCAAAAGTGTGTGCAGATGCAGTCACGTAGGAATTTGCTGCAGTGTGGATTTCACCCATGGCATTGCAGTTTAAATCTTGCAATTTAAATTCAAAGAGCACATGCAAGATGACCAACCGATGAGCCGATTCCGCTCATCGGCTGGTTCGTCCAATTTCGTGACTCCATTGGTTCCGGATTTATTGTCTAATGCTTCTTACCAGAAGTAGGTGCTGCTGGGATTGAGTACCTAAATGATCAATTTGCTTCAAAATATACTGGATCTGAAAAACATCTTGCTGTTACCATTGCGTTTGAAACCTTTGCAGATACTCATTGCTACCAGTACGATGCTTACAAATCTGTAAGCCTGAAGTAGCGTTAGTCGCACTGCCGTTAATCTTCTCGGAAGGCCAACAGTTATGTTGAGTCTCTCATCCAGATCACTAGCAGCTGCAGACCCTTGAGTTGCCCAGTTTGTCCGCGTCGAATCTCAACAAATAGAACAGTCTGCGAAAATTATCACAAAGGACATCGTGCAACCGTCATGCCGTGGCAGGGCACAAGGTGCCCTCTGGCATCTGGATGGCAGGAGAGGCTCACAACTAAAGTACTGCTGGCAGGTGATTACCGTCCACTTCGTGCCACAGGCACTTGTACGAGTCTTTTGCGACGCAATGCTGCTCATATCACTAGCTTCAATTTGATAAATGTCATTGCAAGGCAACATAGTCTCAGAAAGTCATGGATTCCTGCAGCTGGACTGGGGAGCACAGCAGGAGCTGTTCTGGCGATACTGCAGCGCAAACCCATGCTGCCTCACGTAGCAGGCACAGCAGCCAGCGCTGCCATCTGCCTGGGCCTCTTTGGAGGCACGACCATCCCTCCATGGCCATTCAATTCCAACACTTCCTCTGCTTTAAAGCCTTACGCTCCCTGCAGTGCCCTTTCCTGGCTGCACGCAGCTCCCATTGCACTTGAGTTCCACACCATGCTTGCCTCTTAGCCCAATGCTCCCTGTATATTCTTTTCCTGGCTATATGCCTGTATCCAATGCACTTGTCAGGCTTGCAACAGGACCATGCACACATCAGAAGCCTATGCTTATCATCCTGACAGCCAGTGCGGGGCTTTCTGCTCACCAGCGCTCAAGGAGTATGATTTATTCCTCTTAGACTCCAGAATATTGAGGGTGTGATTCGTGACATGCAGTGTTGCAAGAGGGGATGCGGATAGTGAGATGCCAGGACAGCTCCATCAATAGCACAATGGCAGCCGGGGTGGCCAGCTACATACTCGTCTCATTCCAAAGTGAGCCTCTCTTTGGATTGGTGCCCAGGTCTTTGTGTGGACGCATCCTTCTCCCATGTATATCACTAAATTGTCAGCACAAACCACACAGGGGACTGAATTTGCAGAGCTTGCTCCTGCTCAAAACATAGGATTGTTCCTGATCAGTTTTGCAGCAGCTGCTTTGCAGCAATGCACGGGCAGCTGACCTTGGGATTTGCAGGACAGAACAAATGGTACTTTGGATGATTGCCCATGGTTCTCGCCGCATGTTGTGAGCTGCTACTGGCAGACATGCGTGATGGCGGGGAGTGTCTTTGGCAGTACCTTTATTGCACGCTGCACATGCTCAGATCATGCCACATTTTGTAAACATGTGGTGCCAATGTCTGATACAGGTGGCAGGCAAAAAGCGGTGCCTGCAGCGCTGTACTGCAGCCTGGGAGCAGGGGGTCTGCACTGGCTGTCTCAGCGGTACAACTGGGGTGCACTCACAAGGCGGACCCTCGTGCGAATGGACTTATTGGACGACGAAGGTGTGCAGCTGTCACACGGCACCTGAGGGGTTACATGTAGTGCGGAAATACCAATGAGCTCAGCAGGTGTCTGTGGCATTATGTATGAAAAGTGCAACTGGACTTTCCGGACTTTGAAGGCGTCTTGGCACTTCTGGCATCAGAGCGCCAGCAGAACTGGACACTGTGCTCGCAACTGGCTGGATGCAATTTGATAGTGGCACATATGCAACGCTGCATTGGCAGCAAGAGAATGTGAATGCAGATGTGGATTTTTGGGCAGGAACCACCCCCTTCCCAGGTGCACCATTTTCTTGCAGGCGGTCCCAAGATTTGCCACAGTGCCAAGCTGAGTTCAATCTTGTGCATGCGCAGAGGTGAAGAGGGAGTTGGAGCAGCCGAAGCTGCCCTACTCAACAGTCAGAAAGGAGGACCTGGGATGGAGGAGGCATCTGCCCATCAGGAAACTGACAGAGGAGGAATGGGAGCAGTATCAGGCAGTCAGGAAGCAGCGATTCAAGGACAGGCACGTGCGCCTTCCCTGCGATTGAACATCTCTTTTGATTCAGGATCTATGTGCCGGCTTGGGATGATGTCGAAATGGTAGTCAGCTGAGTAGCTGTCCATGCCAGGATTGTTGTAGGTGAATAGGGACAATTGTTAGGCAGCATGCCGTTCAAGCCATCTGATCCCTTGCATCAGAGACAACAGGTGCCCTGGGATTATACTGTGATGTACATTCTCCGGCATCAGCGAATGTCAAGAGTGCTGTTGGGTGGCCTTGAACAGCCCTGGGACTCTTAATGTCCAGATATTCGCAGTAGAATCAATTGTGCCAATATGACAGCAACAGTGTCCATCTGGCACCTCATGACCAGTCCTTTGCATATGTGATTTGCTGTCCTGGCAACGCCTGCATTTGCACTCTGGGTACTCTCATAACATTGCGGACACGCTGATTCAGCAGTGGCAAATTTGTGGAGAATGGTGCTGAGGCTAGGGTACGCTGGTGCTGCAGGGTGCGCGCTGCACAGTCCGGGGGCATCGCAGGCATTTTGGAGGAGCAGCAGCAAGGCCGGTCATTGGATGACACTCAGCAGCGGTAACCATGATGATCAGAGCCGGGCATCTGTTGTCATGTCCTTCCCGCAGCTACAGCTTTAGAAATTTCCAGAGCGGGGTATGAGTGTCCTGTCAGAGTAGCATGGCTAGATCTGCATAGTTTGGAGGAAAGATGCCTTCTCTACATAGCGTGCAAGAGGCTGTTTGTCAGACCTGTTCAGCAGGGATGTGAACCTGAGAGCTTCAAAGGAGCAGCACAGATGCGCAGGGACTGACAGGCTGATACAGGGTCTTACAAGATGCTCAATTCTGCAGAGCTGGCAGTTTGGCAGCAGCTGCTAGGGGCTTGTAGTCACAATGTCTGTTTGGTCAGATTGATATCAGCCGGGCTCGCAGTTGCAGCATATCATCCCGTAAACCGTCAATGCAGCATGATCGCCTGCTTGTGCAACTGACCATAGATATTGCTAGCTGTGTAGGCATCGAGGTGCTCATAGTGAAGGCCTCGGATGAGCTCAGCCTAGGCGCCACTAGAATTACTGATGTGAGATGGGTGCTGAAGCGCATGCACATAGAATGGCGTACACTAGTCTCACCCCTTCCACCGGTGCTTGACTTTTGGTTGGCACATGGCGTGACGTGTTGCTGGTTTTTGAGAATCCATATGATTTGGGATTCTATTCGAGGCCAGGCATTTGCTTCCCTGAAGGCGCCAAGCATTTCCACCACATGCGCGATATTGTCAACCAAGATGTAGATGCAGATTGTTTTTGCAACACGTGTCAGTTCTGTTTGGGGGTTTGCCGAACAGATCCTGATCATTGGTTGCTTTTTGTAACAAGAAAGTCTTCTCAGAAGCTGCTTTGCTGCTCATATCACATCTAGTTTCAAGCCACATCAGTGTATGTCATGCATGTTGAAGTTCTTGCCACGACTTACATTGCGCTGCAATTTGCCAAGTCTCACTATCCTACCCCGCCACAACCTAGGCTGTTTTGTTGGAACCTTCACTGCACCTGCACACATCCTGACAGATGCATCCAAGCAATTTGAATTGTATTCATTGCATTGAGCACTGCTGGCATCACTTCCCAAACCAGCCCCTGTATGTTTTGCAGTTGCTGCTCCTTTTTACTCTCGCTGCTGGGCAGTTGGCATCCGGAGGCATCCACTTCTCTCAGGAAGCATCTGCGCAATTTTGCCGATGAAACCGTACCCTGCAGTCACTGACAGTGCAAGTTCCACTTGCCAAACCGGCTGCTTGGTGGCTGTTAGGGTGCAGGGGCATCCACTTTTGTCACGAAACCATCTGCGCATTTTCTGCCCCTGACATTGCACCCTGCAGTCACTGACGGTGCCCAATCTCTTCTGCCAAACCAGCCGCTGAGAGAGTTGCTGTGTGTGTGTGTGCTGATGCTGCCGCTGCTCCTTTCACCCGGTCTGATGGGCTCTTGGCAACCAGTGCTTCCATTTTGCTAGGATACACCCGCGCCCTTCCCAAAACTCTCACTGCATCGTGCAGTCACCAAACGTCTCACTTGCCAAACCAACCGCTGAGGGGATTGCTGTGTGTGTGCTGCTGCGAGGGCGGCTGCTGCGCGGGTGCAGGCGTTGGGTTCTGCGGCGGCTGACTGGGCTGCTGCTGCTGGTATGGAGCGCCCTGCACGGCAGCCAAAGACTGTGATTTTTTTATTGTTATTTCAGATCTTATATACAAGATATATTTAATGTATATTTAATATATACTATTAATAATTTGTATACTATTTGAAAATAGATCATGAAAAAAAAATAGAAAATACTAGTGTTATAACATTCAGCATGGCACGGTGTTCGTTCAGTAACAAGCAGGTGGCTGGAACTCAATGCAAGGACTTTCCATGCAGGTATCAGACCACCGGAAGAGACAGAGAATGCCTGAGTGCATTTATGCAATTGTCCCTCGCCCTGAACTCAAATGAAAACAGGCACTGCAAATGCAAAGTCCTCTCTGGCGCCCTTTTGGCCGAGCCAGGCTTGTCTTTTGCATATCCCGGCAATGAAATGCTCTAACAGGGTGCCCTGCATAGAGCTCATCCTAGTGCAAAAGGTCAGAGAACTTTCCAATGGCAGGGGTTTCAAATTTCAGCAGCAAAATCCAAATCCTGGAATCTTGCCTGGTAGGGGTTCTGGTAGTACGGCGGCTGCCCTTGCTGCGGGGGGCCCTGGGGTTGATAATTATAAGCGGGCTGTTGCTGCTGCGGTGGGGGGTACTGGCTCTGCGGGGGGTACTGGTTTTGCGGCGGGTGGTGATAGTACTGCATCAGCATAGAATTACATGAGGTCAGCCAACACAAAGCATTTGACAACTATATTGCATGACATCGCTTTGCTTCAAGCCGAACCATCCCACAATGCCTATCAGCAGTGCTGAAGAGCAAGCATTCTGAGCATTGGCAATATCTTGCATGGAATCTTCTGCTGGGCAGATCAATGAGTGTTCAACCCAAGAGATGCTGCAGAGACAAACATGGATTGTATAATGGTTTGTTGCACAATAGGGGGCAACAGGGCTGAGCAAAGGGCCTCTAGCAATCAGTGGTTTTAAGTTCATGACAAAAAGGCAGCAGGGCATGTGACCGCCCCTCTACGTACACATAAGGGAGGTATGACAGCAATGCGTAATCTGCTGACCTGGGGCGGTGGGGGGTACTGGTGGGCCGGTGGGGGGCCCGGGGCGGGCGCAGGGGTGTTGAATGCGGTGGGAGCGCCGCCGCCGAAAGGCTGAGGAGGCGCATGCTGCACGCAGCACATACCCATTTGAAAACTATTCCTTGCACAAGTCTGCAGCATCGCTCAGGTCTCTGACAGCAAAATTGACCTTCACCAGCCCGTGCGCTGAGCTGTCAATCACGCCAAAATGCACACATGATGTCACATGCACTGTCATCATACACTTCACTAGGAGGACATATCGATGTCCCCCCTCGCATGAGCTGATCAGAAGGTTAGCATGCATGACATAAGAGGCCCCCCGCCTGCTGCGACGGGGATTGATTGTGGGGATGATAGTAACCACGTACAAAGCATCGAGATAAAGGCTCAAGTAAGGACCATGCACAGACGGATTTGCACATCAAAGATCAGACCTTGCCAAACTCTTGATCAAGAGACGGGTGCTCCCAGCTTCTGGGCAGCGGGTAGTTGTGGGGTTGGGCAGAGCACGGCTGAAAGTAGAATTTATGTCGGAAGGTGCAAGATGTCTAAGGGCCAACGGCGTTAGGCAATGCAAGCACCACAAGAGGAAGCAAGCACAAGTAAGAGAAAATTACCTGCCTGTATAAGCGGGTGCTTGTGAGAATGATAGCCTCAAGGTTTACAGCATCGAGAAACAAGGCTCAAGAAAGCACGTGCTCTTACGCATGCACAAATCGACATGTTCTTCTTCTCTCAGTGCAGGAAAGAGAGAGAGGAAAAACCGGGCCCCCACCTGCTGGGGCGGCGGGTAGTTGTGGGGCTGGGCAGAGTAGGGCTGCGGCGGCCGGTCCTGAGACTGCAGGTTGAGAGCGTTGAGCGACTGCTGCGCCTTTGCGCGCGCGGCCGCTTCCTCCGCCGCCCTCTGCCGCTGCGACGCCGCGTCGCCTGCCTTGCGCATGTCCTCCAAAATGTCATCCCTGCGGTGAATTTGAAAATCACATTGCATTCAAACTCGAACGCAGCACTGAGATCATTACGTTTTGAAAACCTAACATCATGATAGTTTTGCTTGAAAAAGTCACCCCTTCAGCAAGTGTGTTTGGAATATTCATATTGTATTAAAGCAGATGCAGCTTCGAGCATGTCCTTAAGCACGTCATCCCTGCAGCGTTGGAACAGGTAGTTTTGAGTTTGCGACAGCTTTGCGCGTGCAATCCACCATGTCATTCAAAACGGTCCTTGAAGGCAGCTGATCGATCTAAACCTCGAGCCAGAGATCCAGCGGTGCACAGGCACAGATAGCTGCATGGTGCTAAAGGGGAGCTGGTGAAAGGGCCGCATCACTTTCAATATTCAATCCACTCTCAACTAAGTTGGCTGCGGTTTGGATCGAATGATAGGTTGCACACGGAAAATCACAACGTGAGTTGTATATGGATTGGGTTCTGAGCATGGCTCCAAGAACGCTCAACACCCAAACAAGCCGGAACGCATTCCTCGGCACAGGGACTCAGAAGGGGTCAGTGCCGACAGTACTTGCCAAAAAACAACAGCAAGCCACAGGGAGAGGACCTCAGGCCTGGCACCAGAACAATCAAACGATTATTGCGAAAGTCGCAGGCTTCTCTGTTGACATGCTTTCTGAAGATGTCTTCCCAAATCTCAAAGGGGGTACACGATAGATTATGGGGTGAACCGCTGGAAGGAGCGAGTCAGCGCATAGTCACCGGCCCGATGGGTCTGCGCCTTGTACTCTGTGGAAATACCTCTCTGCTTCCTAGGCCCTTTTGTTTATACATGAAGACCCTAGAGGGGCGCGCACCGCTGGAGGGAGCGAGTCAGCGCGTAGTCACCGGCCCAATGGGTCTGCGCCTTGTACTCTGTGGAAATACCTCACCACTTCCTAGGCCCTTTTGTTTATACATGAAGACCCCAGAGGGGCGCGCACCGCTGGAGGGAGCGAGTCAGCGCGTAGTCACCGGCCTGCTGCGCCAGGACTGCGATGGCCTCCTGCAAGCTCATGTAGAAGCGCAGCCCCTCGCTCATGTTGTCCCGCACCTCCTTGTAGCCGCCCATGCTCCGCCGAACCTCAGCGCTCGCCGTCTGCAGAAAGGCCACACACCATTGTTCAGCAGTGTTTCGGTTAAAGAATTGGCGAATTATGCCTTGGTGGCTATTTTGTCAGCCCCGCAGGGGCGAAAAAGCCACATTTTATGACTAAGTTTGCTTACTAATTGACAACTTTACAAATATATCATTACCTCCCCTAAGGAAATATGGCTGTTTGCGCCACCCAAAATATATATACCGACAGCCATTGCTTTTCAGATAGCCCCGAAATAGCCATATTAAATTCAAACTAGCCCACAATGGCTAGAAATAGCCCCTAATCGAATCACTGTTGTTCAGCCTGTGTGTCGTGCACTTTACTGCATGCTAGACGTTGCTGCTGCCTTGCTGACCTCTCCTGCATGCCTATGTAGCAAGACAGACCTCCTATTTGGCTGTCCGCTTCCCCTCTTCATGCCACCAGCTGAACCAGCACTTGGCGAGAGAGCCACAAGGTGCCTACAGAGAGGGATTGATGACTCACAGGCCTGTGCGCAGCAACTTGTTTGCAGCAGGAAACCTGCACAGTGACCCACAGTACAAACACAACTTGCTCATTGGGCTCGTCAAACATATGCAGCCATGAATCTGCCGGGGAGGCCCCACCTCGCAGGCTGCGCGCCACTCGTTGTAGCCGAATGCCTGCTTGTAGGCAGCGGCCTCTCTGTCGATAACCTCCATTACCGCCGCCTGCTTCGCCAGATTCTCATCCACCTGAGCCTGCGCGCAGAGATGGGCAAGAAGAGGTCATTCTTATAGCGGAAATAAGGCCAAATTGGCATGTAATTATTCCTAGCTCACAATAAACCAAACACCGCTCTCTCGTCTGCTCTGTCACTCAAAAGCGCATGAACCCAGCATGGCAAAGGCGCTGATTTCTGCAGAGAGAAAAGCACCACACTAAAAAGGTCAGACAGTCATGCATGCTGGCTTTATTGTTGCTGGCCTGGAGGAAATTGGGCGCCGCCTGTTCTTTCAATTGCGCTGTATTTGACAGAGTCTCAAGAGGCAAACACACAACGCCAGACAGCTACCCAGCTACCATACAGCTCCACGTGAACCTTCAGATATTCAATTCAAAAACTTCTACAACAAAGAGGTGCGGCAGAGACTGCAGGCATCCATGTGCAGAGCTCAAGTCTAGCCGCATGCTCATGAGCACGGGGAATAATCTGCGTACTTTGAGGGCGTCATATTTCTTGAGCTCCTCGGCGAACAGCTTGTCGTAGGAGCCAGAGACGGCCATGATGCGCGGCAGGATGTTGTCCTTGTTCTTCTCCACCTGCACAGCGCAAATCCAGAGGTAGGTCGATCTCGTCCGGCTGAGCGTGAGACCTCTGTGGGGCGTAACCATGGGAATGGCCTGATTGGGATAAGGGTGATGGATGCATTTAGTGCGCCGCACTCCCCCCCTTTTAGAGGGGGGGATGAAGATGCATTCGAAGAATGCTGGTGGATCCGATGGACAAACAGGCATGGATCAGCACTGCCTGTTGCATGGATAGCATACATATGATGTTGCCAGCAAAGGCAAGTGAAGATAGATTTGGGTGCAGTGGCACAGGCTGCACGCTCCATGCCCAACGGAAAAGTTCTGAAGGCCAAGCATGCACAAGAAACAGAGAACCTACAGAATTGACCGAAATTATTTCATTTTGAGTACTTCTCCCGAGCGCGGCAGAACAGATCGCTCAATGCTCGAGATCAGACCTCAGCAATCCTCCTGCTCTATTGTGCGGGGCAAAGGTTGACTGATCCCTGCTCTATTGTGCGGGGCAAAGATTGACTGATCCAGTGCCAGAAAGGAATTCAAATCAGAAATAATTTATAATATATCTTACCTATATATATATTATGTGCATTGCAGGATATATAACTTATCAGGAATTCATATTTGAGAGAACTGAAGACATATCTTTACCTTGAGGGCTTCTTCGAGCGCGGCGCGTTCTGAGGAGAGGCGGCTGATTGCGTCGAGCGCCTGCCGCAGCTTTGTCACTATCGCCGCGGGCTCCTCTGATCCCGTGCTCACCATGGGGGCCTGCATGCATACATATTTAAACTTGAATCTTGTAAAAAAAAATTAAAAATCTTGAAAAGAAACTTAGAAACCAGAGGCTCTGGCCTTGGCTCTGCGTGCAAATCAGGCCGCAGGCAAATGCAGTCCTGGCGGCTGTTGCTTGCAGCTTACAGGACAGGAAGCTTGCCACCAGGCTGAATTCCCCTGACCAAGCTCTGAGCTACTGCTTTAAGGGTTCCCCAGGCCGACTCGCAGGCTGATTCTGGGGTTTCCTGACATTCCCTGAGACCTGGGGGTACAGGAAAGGGGCTGAAAACCTACAAGAAAATGACGCTTCCTCTATACAAACACTCTTAAAAAACAATCACATCTACATATGGACGAAAAGCCAACCCCATTTCACTAAGATTAAAAACAACAAACAAGAGTTTTGACTCTTGCTGGTACAGTGATCTCCATTATTCCACCCTGTTGTCGCTTGACATTAAGGCAAGGTCTTACTCTACATTACAGAGTATGAGAGCTGCACCTGCAGACGGGGCATGGCAGCGACGGCGTTGTCAAGAGAGAGGGCTGAGAATGTGCTCGCGTTCTGCGCCAGCCGCGCCTCCAGCCGCCCGTCGCTCTCTCCCGCAGCCGCCAGGTTCGCCTTGTAGCCTGCTCAACGCAAAGCAAATATTCACATGGGAACCAAATGCACAGCCATCAGAAAAACCAAAAGCCATCAGGAAAACCAAAAGCCATCACGTTGAACATGACATGGCTGGTATAGCCCATACACCACAAACGCACAGCATTTTCTGAAGGACATGGTACAGAAAGCACAAGACAGATCAGAGCTGCAAGAAGTAGTATAATACAACACCTTCTCCCCACTTCAGTGCAAACATGTAAGTCGTCGTCATTTGGACAGTCCAGGCGCCGCTCTCAAGTATGAACAAAGCGAGTAATATGGGTGCTGCGCTCCAAGCAACGCACCGGCAACTTTTTCGAGGAGAGTGGAGTTGAGCGCGGCGGAGGAGGGTCGGTTCCACGCGGCGCCGTGGCGTTCCCTCAGCACTGCGTCTTCTCGCGCCTCCCTCTGCAGCTCAGCCTCCACCTTGCCCAGCTCCTCAACCGCCACGCGCCGCAGACCCTGCAGCATATTCGAATTTCAAAATCACAATCGAAATCAAGAGGGTCCAACCCCTGTCTCGGCATTGATCCATCTGCGACAATGGTGACCGCGGGTGTCTTCCTGATCGCGCGATGTTCACCAATCTTTTGAGCATGCCCCCCTAGCCCTTGCTGTGGTGGCCTGCCTAGGAGGGATTTGAACTCGAAATCACTTCTGGAAAAGACAAGGAGTTCCTCAGCCTTTACTTCGAGGAATCCACAGCCTCGGCCACGCGTCGCAGGCCCTGTAGCATACTTAAATTCGCCTTTGAACTTGAATCTGACATTTTCATTTGAAGGTTGCGACCCTCAGCATTCCTTTCAGTGAAACTATGTATCGCAATGCGCCGCACGCTTCAAAATTGGTATTAAATCTTTACTTGAGATACACAGGAATTCCTCAGCCTTTCCTTCTGAGGAACAGATCCACGTGTACGTGCCATGCATGCTTGGGAACATGCCGTCAAAATTCCTCCCTGACCCGCCGAGCGTGCGGAATGCAGACAGGCAAGACAAAATAGGTACTTCCTGGCCTGCTACAGATTGAGTTGGGATGAGAACGCTTGTGATCTCACATGCTGCATTTGTATGGACTGCACATCAGCCGGCGCTGTGCAGTATCAACCCCAGACACAAACACGAGACTCTCGTGCCATTTCCTTTAGATTTTGAAACGTTTCCGATAGTCCACACTAATTGCTTTCTTCCGCAAGCTATTGAGGAATACAGTTTTCCAGGCAGGCCCCAAGCAGGAAGCAGCGAAGGCGCACCTGGATCTGGTCCTTCAGGTCGTTGAGGTGGCGCACGCCTCCGCTGTCCTCCAGCTGCTCCAGCTCCGAGCGCAGCCCCTCCGGCAGCACAGCAGCCGTGCCAGCGTCCAGCGCCTGAACATTGCAAAAGCACCAGTCATGCATTCGGTCACTCAATATTCATTGGTCATGTAAAACTCGCCACGCTGTGGGATAGCACACATATCCAGCATTGGTGCCTAAACAGGTGAAGGATCCGAAATGAGCCGCCATGGACCATGACATGCAATCATGGGCATGTTGACGTCGAGAAGGACCGTAAGCGGATTTGCGGCTGCCCTTCCCAGCGTGGCTCATTAACCTGCAAAGGGTCAGGGCCAAGGCTGCGCAGAACTCATGATGAATAGTTCCGGTGCCTCTCCAGACAAAAAATCCTTTTGCATAAGGTGCCAGGCACCACCACGCTAAAAACAAGTCTGCCTTGCATTCAGTGCACTGCATTTCTGCCTTTTGTGGGCCATACGCCCCTCAGGCACCCCAATAACCACGCAAATCCCCCTGCAGGAAAAAGAGCTTCTACACCCACCTGCAGGCAGTCGGGCAGGTCCCGTTCGCGCAGCCGCACGCGCGCGTCGTCGCTTGCGGCCGCCAGCCTGTCGTTCTGATCGCGGATCAGGGCGTCGACCATGTCGGTGTAGCGGCTGAGCGCGCGGGCGGAGCCGTCCGGGATGACCTCGCGGAACATCTGCTCGCCCGACGCGTCCAGCTGCGACGGCAGCGTCGACCTGCGCGCGCATGTTGTCATGTTTCCCCACACTCTAAACCCTATTGACACAGAAATGAGGGAAATATGAAGAGTAAAAACCCTAGCAATTCTCCACAATTTTTGGGATCAGGTTTCAGGGATCCCTAAGAGTGTGGCCTTTGTCAGGAGTCTCCCTTGAAAATCTACTGTTTGAAGGGGCCACATTTAAAAACAGGAGCAACACTTGCTGCAGCATTCAGCTGCAATAGCACTAGCGGCCTGCCCGCATAAACCAAAGAAATCTCGGGCCACATCCTGGAGTACCCTGCATGTCACTGATAGTTGAGCGTCCACACATTTCCTTCCAACACAACACAGGCCACACAGGCAGGAAGGGCAGCGAGCTTAGGGAGTTTAATCGTGAGGGCCCGGACACCCCACGCCTCAAGAGAAGCATGCAAGGGACACATTCACCCTAGGTGATTGTTTTAGTCATCACATCATTCACCATCAGCACAGAACTGGGATCTACCCAAGCAGCCAATGCTCACACCCAGGTTAATTAGAGATGACCACCAAATGCTAAGGCATTCGCTCTGCTTGTGATTGTGCATGCATGCGCCCTTCCAGTACAAATATGGAAAAGAACGCACTTGGCCACGGAGTGCGGCTGCACCGGGGGCAGATCGGCGATGTTCGGCACGCGCATCAGGTACACCGTTGAATTCTCACGCTCCGCCCTGCGCGCATATATTTACAATATATTGACAACGCCTTGAGAAAGATCCAGACAGTGCATTATGGTGCCACGGGCGGATCCCGAAGACCCCCAGTCTACAGCAAAATGATTAAAAAAAGCCATGTAGTGCTCACAGGGCCTTCACAAAGGTCAACAGTCGCCCCCACAGCCTATTCTGACGCCTCTGGAAAAATTCCCCGAGGCCCATCCACACACCTGCTCAAGAAGGATTGGAACAAATTCTATAAACAAGGGATTCAGGTGCGAAAGCATTGCAGCGTACTTTGGTGCCTCTGAGATCTCTCACATATCTCTCACCTGGTTAGCACTTTCTGGTGGCACAACATCAAGAATGTCTGGGCCTATACAGGGGTCAACCTCAAAAAATCACACAACTCCCGGGATACTTAATTCTTGGATTTCCCTTGGGATGAGAGGACCTTGCCTGCGCAGCTGTGTGGCCAGGGACTCCTCCATGTCAGCCAGCTGCTGGTTGAGCTCCTTGCTGGTCTGCTTGATGTCCCTCTTCGCCTCGCCCAGCGCCTTCTGGGCCTCCTGTGGGGGACAGAGCGCATGGCAAGGGGTCAGATACAGCCAGCAACACCACAATGCCATTGTCAGGGTGTCACACAGAGCAGCTTGACCTGGGTCATCGCTCCACACCTTCCTGCAGGACCTCAACATGGCAAGCCCCTGCACATATGCCTGCTGGCCCTTTCGTCTCTTCAGGGCGATGGAGGCAATCAGAAGTTACGCACATAACATTTTCAGTTTGTGCAACCGTGTTTCGCTTTTGTGACAAGCCCACAGCAGCATGTTCAAATAGCCCCACAGAAGCGTGTTGAAATGAATGTCAGCCTGCAAAGGCGGAAGCATGGGAAGCATTACGAGCTCCCACCTTGAGGCGCGTGATCTCCACATTAACATTGTCCTCAGCGCGCTGCTGCTGCGCCGCCTGCATCTGGGATTCAGCGTCGTACAGCGCCGCCTTGACTGCCACGTGCGCAGTCCAGGAACGGTCGAAGTGCTGACTCAGCGGGTAGACCGCCAGCGCCCGCGCCACCTCATCGTAGTACACGCTGACCTGGCGCGTCAGCCTTCGCAGCAGGTGCAACGAGTCAGCTCACCGATCTGGTGAGCAATGTACGGTATATTGACAATGCTGCAGCTCAGCTAACACATCGACAGAGAGATCTTTTCCTGGGTGCGATCTGGGGACTAAGGAAGACATCCAGTACTCCGTCGATGTTTTCCCTGCATTTTGCCGGTCAAGGCTGAGGTGAAAGCACTCAAAGACTTCCTGGATGAAAATTGCTATTCTTGCACCCACGAAGACCCAACGATCTTCCTTTGGGGTACCACACTATCTGCCTGAACTGTGTCCTGCACGACTTGGACTGCAAGCAGGGGTGATATTCAATGGCTGCGAGTACCACTCAGCCTTTGATACTCATGCTGGCAGTGGGCATCTGGTGAACTACTGCCTGCACTCTGCTGCTGAGGCCCCTGCAATCCTATAAAAAGGTTTGGGCAGCACTTTGCGAGAAAGTCGGGCTCGCAGCATCAGCAAGTTCACAACTTCCAAAAGTCCTCAAGAAGAAATATTTGGCAGGCACCTGGCGAGGATGCCGGGGCTCTTGGCGTCGGCGCGGAACTTCTCGTAGGTGACCTCCTGCGCCTGCGCTAGGCACAGCTTCTCCAGCATGTTGGCCGCCTCGGGGCTGACATCCACCGGCCGCGGGGCCTCCACGCGCAGGGACACCACGTCGCGCAGCTCCGCGAAGCTTCCTGCGGCTTCCTGCGATGGGTTCAGTGCTTAGTCATGCACCGCACACATCATCTGATGTACTCGGGGTAACCCTGGCAACGCGACCAAAACCTGTTGTAACAAATAATGGAACACGTGCCCTTCGGCACAGCTCTGCAATGCTGCTAGCGGCTTCCTGCGCGGCGATGATGTGATCACTGAGTCATTCGTGAGATTGACATGTGCTGAACGCTGAATGCATTAGCTTGGCACCACTGTCGCTCAGTATCTTTGGAGGCTTGTGTCTGGAGGTGGAGGGTGGAACACAGCATGGCTACGGGAGAGAGTATTTCCGCTCGTGGATGATCACGGCTGGGCAAATCTTCTGATGGGCATTTCATTGCAAAAAACACCATTCCATGCGCACACAATCTGCAGCCACGCTGTACAGCACCACCTTGCAGAAATGCTGGTACCAAAAAATCACAACCCCGACATATATGGTGTGCTTTGCCAAGATGCTTTAGCAAAGCACCACATACGATGGAAGTGATGTGAGCCTTGGCCATGAGAATTTCATCACTAGGAAAGATACTTAGCAATGCACCTGGAAGAACTTGGCGGCCTCCTTGCGGCCGGTGTCAGTGGAGCGGTCAGCATTGAGCGCCTGCTGGGTGAGCACTGCTGCCAGGTTGAACAGCACAGCGGCCTTTTCGAAGTGGATGCTGCACTGGTCGGTCTTCTTGGTGTGGCGGAAGGCGTCATACCAGACGAAGCTGAGCCGGATATGGCCTGCGTCCCTGCTGATGGGGAATCTCGTCTCCATTAGGCAGAGTGCACGATAGTACCTGAAGCATTTTACCATAAAACCATCAGCCCAGGAATATTGATGTTAGAAAGACAGGTGACCGGAATCCAAGATGACCCCGAATAGTTGCAGTTTCAAGCCTTGTCTTGCCAGTGAGAGGGAGTACTGAAGGATCATCAAGGTAGCGACAAAAGCTAGTAATGGCACGGCCACGGGACGGTCTTGCAGCATCAAGGCAAGAATATTTCTTAACAATGATACAGTGCACGGCAAGGCATGCAGGCAAGGCCCTCACTTGCAAATGGTCTCATGCAGTTGTGGCAGGGATCCAGTCAGCCCGACGATCTCGCTGCGCAGCTGCTGCACTGTGGCAAGGTCGTCCGCTGCATCGTTGGCCTGTTGCTCGGAGTAGGTGGCTGCTATGTAGTTCCAAATGGGAGTCTTCAGATCCAAACCATCTGTCTTTTTGCAGTGGACAGCCAGCAACATCGAGGGTGTCCTGCTCGACGTCATTGCTAGATGTTCGGTCCACGAACTGCTGTATGTTCTTCAATATGTCTTCGAGTCGCGAAAGATCTGCGAAAAGGAGCAATGCTTTTCGACTCTACTTGTCAGTGCAACAGTCCAGTAACCACAGGAGAGTCTGAGCAGAGCAGACTGTCACAGGCAGCAAGAGTGACGAATCATCTCACCAAGCATCGCATTTCTCAATGATCTTGCTATCCTCACATGCTACAAGGTCTGGACTTGGGAAGCGATCAGAAAGTGGAAGGTAGGGTGTAATCATCAGTCAGAGTTGCCTGAATGTGACTCATCACTGGGCCTCATGGCCAAATGAGCTTGCTTTGGGGTATAGAGATTCGCTTCGCACCATCTCAAGAGCTGTATGGGGTTAGTGCTTGATGTGGCAGTCTTCTTGCGATCCGATGGGCGGAAGGATGGGCCAAAATTCAGCTGTACTTGGTATGCATCGCCTCCTAGTGGCCTGATCGTCGGATAGATATTCCATTCTTGATTAAAAGCATGATTCAAGATCTCGAAATATCTCAATTACATTGCCATTTCCCTTCCTATTGCCACTGTTTGCCTCCCGACAGTAGCTTTCCCAGTACTGGCTAGCAACGCACAGGGAGCTGTGGCGTTCATCGGAATTAATTGAGTTAAAACGAACATCACAAACTTACATACGCATCTTATCATTGATTGCTCCGGTATGTGTATCCAGGTAGGAGATTCATCCCTGCCTTTCAGACTCCTAAGCTATGGGGTTCTGGGATGTCTAGACGAGCACCAGCCATCCGAGTCCTCGCCAGCAAGAAGAGCGAAGTAGCCCAGGAGGCTCTGATAACCGCACCAATCCAGGTAGAACCAGTAACATGCCAGTGTCAGGAGCAATGTCCACCACATCCATGTAAGGCAAGGACTTGATATGATGCACCGCAGAAGCATGACATGCGCGGTGCTTCTCACCAGGTTCAGGGACAGGAGCAGCTGACACCTGTGGAGAAACTGCAGATGGCTCCATTCTGGTCCACATTCTGTGGAACATCCAACGGCGCCTGGCAGGGGGTGCAAGCCGCCTTCTCTCCCCTCACAGGTGCCAATTTCAGACTATTTTCAACTATCATTACACGATGGTCCTGCCAGAGGCAAGGCGCGTCTGCAGACAAAGGCTGCAGGTAAAGGCTGCCACATGGCCCACCCTAGGATGAACTCGCTAGATCCGATTTGAGGCCCAATCAACCGTGGGCAGGTGCTCAGCATCTATACGGCCCCGTCAGCCGGAGATCTTGTCTCGCATGCAAGAAAACGGAGCACGAGCATGCAAAGCTGCCCTTTGACCTTTACCAATGTGGGTGGCATGCATGCTTTGCATGTTGCTCATGTCTATCCTGTGCCTGTCAGCCATTGTCAGGTTGTGGTCTCATGTGTGGTGAACAGTCAGGTAGGAAGGAGTCATCCTAGGACACTTGAGGGCAAAAAATACGAATTGGTGGGAAAATGTCCCGCATGCAGAGTGTGTCTGCCTTCTGCAGGTGAGGCCGAGCCTGTGGGCTTGGATAACAAGGGGGAGCCGGTCTTGGACGTTCGCACGAGCACCCTTGAATCCAGGGAATTGGAAGAAGACGATGACAGGGTTGTCAGGCGAAGCCTGCGCGCAGCTTCTGCGCAGGCGCTGAGAGACATCGCTGCGAAGGTGGGTTGCATTCTTGTCAGCAATGACTCCCAATTATTGCCAGGCTAAGTTGAGACTTGCGTGCATGCTAGGCTGCAGGAACAAAGGAGATTGCATTATTTAGGATATGGTGTATTCGGCTAAGGTCAATTCTGCAGTAGATGCTGAATGGTCCCCATTCCACACCGCCCTTGATGTTGCACAACGCCAACGCAATTGGATGGGCAGACCATTTAAATAGCCCATCAAACTGACAAATAGAGTCCCATCTGTGAGTTCTAATTGTCATGTTTTAGTTATCAAGCCCCGGCTGGCCGGGGGCAGTACCGTGCCCACGGTTGGTTGGGTCTTGCTTGGGTGTGGCAAGTTAAACAAGGGGTAGAAGTGTGGCAAGTTTAACTGCAGCTTGTCTGCAGAATGTAACCTGCCTTTTGGCGGGAAAAGCATGTAATAATAATACTAATGATGATTGTAATGATGATTGCCATTTTTGGGTTCCCAGGACGAGTGGGAGGAGGAGATCATCTCCAGTGAGGAGGATGGCCTGGTGTTCTTTGACGGGGGGACCTACTCTAGGGGACCCTCCAGCCTGCTAGCTGAGGAGGTGTTTGAGGGGGGGGACCTGCTGCAAGCAGACAAGGAGAGGCTGGAGCGACGGCTCTCCTTGGAGGTGACTCACTCGCATCATCTAAATTCAAGCATCACATAATGGGCAAAGAGTTCTTGGTAAAGATGTAGACAGCTTCAAGGCGAGCATCTGGAGTTGAGCCGTTGCAATGACAGTATTGCTTCGTGGTGGCATGTTTTCTCATCCATGGACACAGCTGACCTGTTTCAAGCTGCGTTTTGAACCAGGCAATGGTTCTTATTGAACTTGTATTAAGGGATGCCATGTCAGCTAGGCCATCTGGGCTGTAGTGTAATGTTGCAAATTGAGGGCGGCCAGCTTCTTGAAAGTCGGTAAATACAAGGATCACTGTAAAAAAAATCACTCATGATTGCTGCAGGCGAGCACGTTGGAGGGGTCTGTCAAGGATGACACGGCCGAGGATGAGGTCATCAGGGCGGAGGCTGACGTGGGCGATGACTCAGCGGGGGTCAGGCGCGTGTGGCTGCTGGAGCAGTGCCTGGCCTGGGGCGGGGAACACCGCCTGAGACTGCGCCTCACCCTCGCAGCCTTCCCAGGTTTGCTGCTGTTTCCTGCAGCTCCTTTGATTCAAATTAGCTCACACCACTAGATAATGATAGCCTTGGTTCCTGAGCGCACTCCGGCTTATGTGTCTGGCAGTGTCTTTGTCTTCATGTGATCTGCCCAGTGTTCACAGCCCTTCTGGATTCAATCATCCCTTCCTTTGCATTCTACGTGCACCAGAGTGTCCAATTCCACAACATAAGACAGCGTGTCGGACATCTCAAGACGAATTCTATGAACAGAGTACTCAGCGTGCATGACCTGGCGCAAATATTATATACACATTGTTGCTCACCCTTGCCACCCAAATTAATGCGGCTTGATCGCCTGTCACCTAGGCATCCAAATTGGTGATTTTATGAGGGAATTCATGGTCTCGACAAGGGTACATGTGGAATGGCAGGGGAGAAGGAGTTGGAGGTTGAGGTCTTGCGCATAGCGGTGCTGAGGGAGGCGTGGCAGTGCCTGGCGGAGGATGACTCACCCGCCTGCGTGGCAGACCCCTCCCAGGTTCTCCCAGAGGTGCGCCTGAACAGGCAACTGGTTTAGTCATGCAAGTGACATGCACTGCTCAAAGTACAAATTGGTGCTCCTGTGCCGTGTTTGTATTGTTAGTGCATTCTATTACACCTGCAAGGCAGCCCTTCCATTTTCATTGGCCCTCGTGCTGTCTTGATGTTTGCATTCTCTCTTGGCTTACAATGCTCTTCTGCTCTGCCGATCTCAGAGTTGCCTGGGCTGCACCCGCTCAGCATGTACTGGGAACTCCTCAAGACTCTTGTGTTAAATGCTTAAATGACTTTTGTCTAAGAAATGAGATGACAGACTGAACACAGCTTGTACACAAAACAGCCCACAGGGATGAACCACCACCAGTTTCTGCATCCCTCGCAATTGCGCGCATATAGCAAATGGCTTTCTTGAGCGACTTGCGCGCTCACAGTTACGCAACAATGCATTTGCTGCTGGGCCGGAGGTGTGTTGCATTTTGCACGCATTGCAATTTCCAGGCGAGGCAGTCCTTTTCCCATTCTTTGGGTGCTTGATCTCCGTTTACGTGTGCATTCCTGTTTTCCCTAATCAGGAAGGAATTTCGGTCACAGGTGTCCACGGGCGCTCGCAGCCAGCCGCAGGACCTCAAGGGAAGCTGGAAGGTCTTTGATGTCAGCGCCTCTCCGGTGCCAGACGACGCCTCGCCAGGTGCGCTGCCTGATGCTTGCTTTTAAATTGATAGCACACTCTTACAAATGGATTCACAACCTCCTTGAGCATTTGAGGCCAGAACAAGCCAGCTGCAGCCGCATGAATGTGTCACCTGTTCTGCAAAGAGTTATTCGTCCGGAATAATTCTTTGCAGAACAATTATTCCGGACGACTTAGAAGGGCAATGGACAATCAGAGAGATGCGATGGAGGAGGTAGCAAAGTAGACACTGCCCCAATTAGTCGCATCCCAGAACTGCCCAATTGAGAGCTTGCATGCACACAAGGGAATCTCACCGGTGCTTCACATACCGAGCTTGTTTGCCAACACTACTTGCCTCCTGACAGGAACTCCGTTTGGTGATAATTACATACTGCGTGCACCTAATTGTAATATGACATAATGTTGCATGCGCAGATGAGGAGCCCGGCACGGTGCTGGTGTATTTCAGCAGTGAGACGGCGCAGGAGTGGGGGCCCGGGCGGGGGGACCCGGGGGACTGCGGTGGCGCCTTCTGGCTGCCGGGCAATGCTCTTCTCGAGCTGCGCATGGTGCCCCCCGTCAGCCGGGGACGCGCAGCTGACGCGCAGGTGGGACTGACATTCTCAGGCACAGATGGACGAAATTGGGAGAAAGCAAGATCCTGCCTATCTTACTGTATATTGCAACATTGACTGTACAGTTGCATGGGCTGTATTAGTGTTGTCCTGTTGCGCAGGAGGGAATGGAAACTGAGGGGCAGGGCCGAGGCCTGTGTGTATCCTTCCACTGGCTAGTCAACGAACGCACCCTTATAGGTGAGCCCGTTGCCACAGCCTACACCAGCCTAGAAATATCCCCACGCAGAGTTTATCATCAAGCTCAGCAGTTCTCTCAAGTGATAGAGAGAGCTTTTAATTGCCCTTGCGTGCGTTACAGTGTAAATTTGATGAATGAAAATTTCAGTGATAGCTACCTCTGGTCATGGAGGCAATTCAAATTTAGAAACAGTAGAGGACCGGCGTCATCAGCTTAGTAACCATTGCTGATCTAGTACTGATCCACGACATGGAAGTTTTACAGACACTTGTGCGCAAACAGGCTTGCAACGGGAGTACAGCGCAGACGGATTACTGATGGAGGTACGCAGCCGGACGGCCGTCAAGGGAGGCTGGGTCGGCGGCCGCATGTGAGCTAATTCTGTACAGTAGATTCAAATTCAAACGTGGATATTGGAGACATGTGCAATATGATTGGGCAGCATGTGCATTGCTTGGTACACACTGCAAATAGTCAATGGATAGTCCGGACTTTGGAACTGTACATTGGGTGACTGCACAGCAGCACACCTGAATGCACTGCAATTTCCTTAAATTTTTGTGTTGGCTGGCCGATTTTAATGAAAGGATATTTGTGACCATCGGAGAGTGGATTTTTGACTCATGCGAGACTTGTTTTCAATGTCAGCCGCTTCATTTGAAACTCTTCTGTCTTCTCCTTCTCCAGTCCTCAGGCACCTCAAATGTGCCCTGCCAAAGGCCCCTCTTCCCCAGCCGAGCACCTCTCTCCAGCTGTGCCAGCTCAGCTAGATGCTTGCCAGCATACTGCCTGCATAATGCCATGAGGTCATGAGACACTGATTGTCTTAATCTGCAAGATCTTTTGGAGCGTGCAACCTCCTCCGCTCCCAGCTATATCCTGTTCACATTACCCCGCGCAGCGCAAATAACTCACCGCTTAGCAGAGACCATGCCAGACAGATTGGGAAGTAGTGGGCGGTCATGTATCTCTGCCTCACCAGACACCAATTTCACCAGACACCAATTTCAAGAAATGTCCTGCTGCCAAAGGAGTACAGCTCCAAGTTGTCAAGATATACAGCACATTGTGTGCGGCGTTACATGTCCTGCTTTTTATGGAGCATGCGACAGTCCACTGAATCTGTGTGGAGTGCCATCCAAATGTGCCAAATTGGCAGTAATCATTTCAAGTCAATTAATTTGGTTCCCAAGGGGCAGGAAACTACCTGTACACCACCGCATGCCCACCAGCCACCAGTGCAGCTGACAGGTCATCGCTGCGCCAGGTCGGCCACCCGCGGATGCTGCATCGCGCAACAACCCTCCCATATCGGTCACGTGCCCCCTGCTGCTCGCACGTGACCCTTGAAAAGCTCACCAGCCGTGACAGCGCCCGACTTGCCTCCTCGCCTGACACAAGACACAGAAACGTGCATGACCTGCGCATGGGCTTGTGCAAGCATCCTCTATGCATGCAACTGGGTGTAGGGCTCCTCTGAGTGGTGAAAGTTCAGCAGCATGAGAAAGCTTTGGCCACTGGGTCAGATTGCAAGTATAAGGTGCTTAGCCCAATTTATCATCCTCTGCTGGAATGCGTTTAGTGATGCCAGAACTATGACAGAAAATGAACTTTAATTGCTTGCACATTCCCGTAAGGCTGCATGCATTGCGTGCCATTGAGAAGAATACACTTATATCTTGATCACAGATAACTGGTGGATCAGGGAGACGGACCGCAGAGGTAGAGCCTGCCAGATGACCGTCTGCAGCTTTGATCCCTCTCAGGGGCATCGATGCCAGCTAGTCGCACAACATGTTCACCAACCTGCAAAGACATGCCCTGACTTAATCCGAGTTGCAGAATTCCATTTGTTCCATTTAAAAGCTTTTTGCAAACACCTGGTTGAAATTGTCTGAAAAGAAGTGTTCAGCCAGGTGAGAAAGGTCACACTGACCATCAGTGTGTCGCCATCTGTGACCTTGGCATAGCCAATCAGCGTTAGCTTGGGTCTTGGCTGGAGAGACAAACTCACATCGTACAGTAGGATGCTGAAGGGTAATAAAAAGAGGAAAACCTTCAGGAGAAGCACTAGTGTCTTCGTGTGGGTTCTGTGCTTCTTGACTGCGAGCAGCATGGTCGATATTACAGGAGGGACTCAGAAACTCAAGCTAGTATACTGTGCGAAATAAAAGGAAGCGAATCACCCACAAGCTCACCTTCACGCCTTTTGAACAACAGATTTCTAGTCATAGGATGGATGAGCAGCTTATTAGCGCATTGTTATCCCTTTCGATGCCCTAACAATGTAAAATCAGGACAGATATGGTCATAGTGATCTTATAACGAAAAAATGGTTTGGATTTCAGCGCTGGTCCAGAATTATCAAGCCATTTGCTCTACATTGGACTTCCATCCGAGTCGCTATTGAGAATGCACATACCAAGATACCAATGCGAAATCACAGCAGTCACTCAAGGAACCACATACAAGGATTCTAGTGCGTTGAGAGTGGACACTCTGAAGAAAAATGGGAGAAAGAGAAGTTCCGAAAGCTTATGTTATTTCAACCCTGCCGGAACGCACACCTTGCATGTTAATCTCCCCAAAATAATAGCTTGCAGCACGGCATACAACTGTGAAGTGTTTTTGTTGAGATAATTGGCAGCAAATCGTGCAGCATTTGACTGGCAAGTACTCTTCAAATACCAGAGCTTTTTCCAGATCATCGTATGCGTTGGAGCCTCTGCACTGCCACATTCCAACTGGGATTGTCACAACAGAACACAGAAGACAAAAGCAGGAGACAATCGTGACATTCTCGTTCCGTGACATCTACAGGTCGGCTTGCCGCACCTTGTCTCCCAATAAAGTTAGTCCACTACTTGCACACATAGCACCTCCTAGCTCTTCATTGACTAGCTCTTCATTGGCAATGCTTGAAGGAGGATGTCAAGCGCAAAATTTTGATAAGAAACTGCATGCTGGTGCAGGCAGGGGCAATGAGTGCACCCAAGATCCTGCAACCACTGGCGACTGTACACGCAGGTGTGAAATACAACTGGAGTACAACCGCATGGTCAGATCTTCCTTGTTAGAAGTCTTTTCTGTGCCCAGCACAATCAGGTCAGTGAGGCTCATTTGGCTCTGCCTAGAGCAGAACCCGGACATGCAAACCTTTTGTTCATAGCCCCTGCTGACGGGGGCGGTGCAAATACTGAGCACCGTGCCCACGGTTGACTGGGTCTTGCGTGGATCTGGCGAGTCCATCAAGGGAGTATGTGTGGCAGCCATTGCCTGCAGCTTGCCTGCAGACGCACCTTGCCTCGAGGCAGGAAACTAGAGATGGACCTTATACCATACACATCTGAATCTCTCACCTTTGATCAGATTGTGGATCTGTTACTGCTCCGAGCTCCAGAGGCTGAATTCCACTTGCTCGATTTGTATTTGGGCAGGCCATATCCTGGCGTCCCCACTTTCGTCGGTGTCACATGGTACTGGGCGGACTCATCGTAACAAATGGAGTGGTCCGCACATAGGCACATGCTTGAAGATTTCCAAGTCTGCAATTTCATCTGTATGTGGATCTGCTGTTGTTTCAAGCTCTCCAGCTCCTGTTTGCAGCTTGATCCACTTCTGGGCAGGCCACAACAAGTGTGGACAGGTTTCCTCTGGCGCTCCTCTAGATTGGGCGGACTGATGATAAGAAGTCATCAAGCTTTAAGTGCTTTGTTATATGTAGCAGGCCAGAACGGTGCCAGCTCAGGCGCATGTGTCCTGGAGCTGGCTGCCACATCAGCGCGCGACTGCGTGGCAGCTGCCCTGTCAGACGGCCGCTGCCAGCTGTACGCGGTGTCGGGGGCGACGATGGATTTTGCGGGGGAATGCGTCGGCCACAAGGGAGCCATAACAGGCAACCCTTACTGACTGGGATTGTTGGATTCTTTATTTGTCTGCACACTCATCAATTCATGCGCGCAGCTAATGCTTGATCAGAACTGGCTTGTAACTTGGCCACGCTCGCTGCCAGCATGCACACCCTGATAACGCTCCACAAGCTTTCAACGAGAAGTATTGTATGTTGCACACATTGCATAAAATTGCGAGGCAGCCCTTTCTCCCTCACATGGCGCTCTCATCGCCTTGTATGTGTTCACTCATATGTGCTTCATTGACAAGAAGCAATGAGCATGAAGTTTTTTGTCTTGGGGGATGACATGTGCAGATCTCAAAGATGGCAGCTTTGTTCCAAAGGCAAACGAATTCAATGTGGGTGCAATTCCAATTGGCTGAAGATTGACAGGGGGTCCTGACAGGGCTAAGGCTGGATGCGAATGACATGTGCAGATATCAAAGATGGCAGCCTTTGTCCCTTGGGTAAAGCCTCGATGCATGCAATTCCAACCGGCTGAGTTACAGATACTCTGCCTGACAGGGCTGAAGCTGGATGCGGCTGCCCCCGATGTGCTGCTGTCGAGCTCTCTGGACGGCACTGTTCGTGGATGGGACCTGCGTAGCGGCCAGCAGATCCAACAGTGCGCTACCTGCTGTTCCAATCTCCCTGAGGCTATTTAGCCAGACAGTAGGATCCCCGAGGTCTAGCATCTGTCATGCAAAGGGAAGACACTCCACGCAAGATGCACACGCGCATTCCTTCATTCGCTCATTCACAGGGGTGCCAGCCCTGTATTGGGCTAGGTGATGTTTGAGGCTGGCATGGCAGTGTGCACTGTGCTGGGCAGTTTTGCTCAGGTTAGGCCAGAAGCAATAATCTTCTGTCTCTTTACTCTGCTGGCAGCTGTGAAGGTGGCGACAGTGTGCATGAGCAGTACTCCTGATGACAAGTCTCTTTCACCGTCACAGCTGGCAGCAGGATAGTCAGGGCGTCTGCCAGAGGAAAGTGTGTCGTCGCATCGATGCGATATCGCAGGATGCAATTATGCGCTGACATAGTGCCAGATGCAGATTGTCAAGTGAAGTGTTGATAGGCTGGCGGCGCACCCTGCTTGAGGCACGCATTGTAGAATCTTCGAATCGCCAAAGCGCCTTTTTGGGTGATTTTTGCTCGAGCCAGCAGCTGCTGTGTGCAGGCTTGCAACAGGGAAGGGAATGGGCATGAACTTGTATCAAGGGCCAGCAACTGAAACAGACTCAATGCGCAGACACTGAACAGTTCAGCCCAGCGCTGTTGGATGCAGATCTGCTGCATGGGAAACATTTGAGCTGAACTCCTCCCCAAGCCCCAGCCACTTGAGCAGAGCAGATGCATGAACACTGAAGTCTCAACCCAGTAGCTGCTGTGCGCAGGTTTGCGGCGGGGAAGGGAATGGGTTTGAACGCGCTCGCAGTCTCTGGTGACACGCTGGCGGCCGGGTCGGACGGGTGTGTGTACTTCTGGGACCGGCGATCACATGAGCAGTTGGCCTGCTTCGATGACACGCACCCAGAGGCGGTCACGCAGGTGACTCACTGAGGCTGGTGCCTTGACGTTATTCTTCACCCACTTTAGCTTCGGGTTTAGGGAATATGGATTTAGGATTTAGGGGTTTAGGGGAGGATAGTAATAATGTTTCACGGGAAATGCAATGGTGGTTTTAGGGTTTAGGGTCGATGAAGGGTCGATAATTCTATAAGACACAAAGTGGGTGAACTTCAATGTAAGACGGCTGGTGTATGTGCACAATGTGAGAAGAACAGGAATACTGAGGAGTCCTTATATAAGGACCAAGAGAGAAGCACCAGGACGTGTATTTGGACCCATGGCGACCAATTGTCACGTAATACTGCTTTCTAGTCGCAACCAAACTGTGGTTTGACCTTTCCTGATGACTTAGGACCCCCTGACTAGGGGGTGGGTGTTAGCGTAGGTCTCCATTGTTGCCATCAGAATATGAGTCACCCTCATGCATGCATGCGAGGTGCAAAGACTTGCGGTGTAGCCTCTTCTCCTTGCTTAAAAAAGCACAGCGAAGGGTTAGGTTGGTTTTGGTGGTGAATAGAGCTGCAGAGCATCAAGCTCAGCAGAATGGAAGAGCGTCGAAGCTCAGAGGCCATGCTGCACATTCCTCGCAGATTTATCAGATTGAAATGCGCACTCAAGCTGTGAAAGTATCAGTCTTAGTTGTGCTTTTCCTGCAGAGGCAAAGTGCGTCTGGAGACAAGCTGCAGTTCAAGGCTGCCAAATCCGACCCCTTCTTGAATTCGTGATATACAAGCATGCCTCAATCAATCGTGGGCACTATTTCTATTATTTTTACCGCCCCCACCAGCTGGAGATGTAACACTAGTATGTGCAGATTCACTCAGGCATTTGTTAATTTCTTGCAGGTGCTGTACCATCAGCAGAACTTCATCAGTGGGTCCATGGACGGACTCATTAATGTGGCAGACTTTAGCGATGTTGGCCTGAACGAAGATGACAGCTTCAAGGTGACTCACCATGCCACATCAGCAGTGACTCACTGTGCCACATCGGCAGTGTTGATGAGAACAGTTGTTGGGGCTGAGGAGACATAAATTTGCCCTTCTTTGAGGTAATGAAGGAAGACCAAATCATGCTGAGTATCAGTGCATTCACAGAACTGACCTTGCTTCTCACCATGGCAAACGCCTCCAATAAGCTCTTCTACGCGCAACCCTCTGTCCGTCTGCCAAGATTTGGCTGATAACCCATATCCCTGAGGAATTCCAATGATATGACACTATTTCCAGTATATGTGACCTCTTCCTGGGCAAATGGGCAATGCAATGCAGCTTCATGGCATTGATCACATAAGCAGACAGTCTGAGCTGTCTTCCTGGCTTGCGTAGGAACTGATCGATGCCTATTACAAAAGGGGGGAGCCCCTTGCTTGCACAAAAGAGTCTCTTCTGAGCACAGGCCAACAGTGCATGCTCTGTTTTGTGCAGGCCGCGTTGAACCTGGACGCATCTGTCAGCCGCCTGGGATTCTATGGGGAGCAGCAGGAGCACCTCTGGTGTCTGAGTCACACAGACACACTGCACCTTTGGGACTGGCAAACCGCCTGCGACGAGGAGGCTGAAGGTAGTTTAAATGCTTCCATTCCCTCCATCGACGCTCCTGCTACCTTGTTCTTTGTTTGTCCTGCAGATGTGCTCCTGTGGAATATGAAGGGCATTTTGTGCAGTGTCTTGCATGCATGCGGGTTGTTCTGTTCTGCCCTGCCAAAGTGAGATGCTCTGCTTGCTGAAATGCGCCTGACTCCTGTAGACCTGCTATGCTTGCCAGAGTTCATTTCCCTTTGCCTTGGCATCACGTGGGGACTCTAGTTCAACTAAATCAATTCGCTTCTGCCGCGCTTTGTACAACTCGATCTCGGCTCCGCCTTAGCGTTTGAATCGAAATTTCCTTCCCATTTATTTATTTATTCCCCTGGGCATCACATCAGCACAGAGTAGTTCCACCAAGCATTGTGTCCTATCTTTGAAGGAACCATGAAAAGGACAAGTTTTGAAAAGGGACTTATTGGAACTTGTCTGTCCGGTGATGTGCAGGGGGAGAGGGCTCACTGGCGGATGTAATGGACGTGAAAGAGCAAGTGTCAGAGGGGCAAAGCAGTCTGCCATCAGTCGACTACCTGGTTGGCTGCAGCTACAGCCTGGGTGCGTCCTCTGTCTTCTTCTGATGATGAACACAGTCTTGTAAATTTACTTATTGCAAAGTTTTCCTGCCAAGAGGCATGGTGCATTGTTTGTCTGAATTTACAAAAACTGCTTACACTAGTACCTGCTTTTCTGAATAGCCAGAGATGTCTGAACGTGTCTGAAGGGGACTTGGGAACAGAATTGATGTAGAGGCAACAGGAGGAACTCCTCATTGCAAGTCTTTAGTGCAAGCTTGGCACATAGACTGTCCATGCAGCAGCAGAAACATGTCACAGTTGTCTGAGCTTGCAACGCATTGCGCAAGAGACCTGTTAAAGACCTTTCAAAGACCGTTATTGACCTTTCACAGACCTTTTGAAGGGCTTTTCAGGTAGCTCTATCCCCTGAAGAAGCCTTGAATATGTGCAGGCGCGTTGTCTATAGCAGCAGGCAGCAGCTGTGGCAGCGTGGGCATTTTTGATGTGTCTGTGCCCAGCCGCTCTGGAGAGGACTGCTCCTTCTCTGGGTGCAGGATGCTGCTCAAGGGCGGGCACTCAGATGTGCGCAATACTCCTCTTCTTATTTTAAAGAAAGACAGACATTGCATCATATTTTTATTTCAGGAGAGTTACGAAGTCTGATGTGCGCGCTGAGATCTGCGCAAAGCATTGTTTCTCAATGAAGAATGCATTCCAGTTTAGAGAAAGAAATGCAAACTCTGCCGTGGCTGTTTCCCAGGAGAGCCGGGCACCATTCTAGCATCTTTTGTGCCCGCGTGCTTCCTTCCTGCAGGAGATGGCATGCTGTAGTGTGCTGTGCGTGAAATTTGCTTACATGCATATTTGAGTAGCACTTCTGTTGCACTTGCTGAATGTCAATTTACGTCCCCTTGGACTCTCAAGCAACGGCACGGTTTGCCTGCCGCTGATTATAGTTCATCCCCGGTTGAGTTTATCTTACGCTGCATGCGCAGGTGGTCCGGTCAGCTCTGTGGCCATCAGAGCGCAGCCCGGTGTTTTTCACGGCCGGTGAAGATGCGCGTATCTGTGCATGGTCCACTGTGGCCGGATTAGAGGACGGTGCCGGCAAAAGAAGCCTGGGTGATGCTGGCGAATCACAGCCTCAGAAGAAGAGGAAAAAGCAGAAGGGAACCTAGCATCCTGTAGTGCACTGGGCAAGTGTATGCAACAGTTTTGCTAGTATCCTAGAGGAACAATAACGCTGTGTATCATGCCTTGGATGATTCAATATGGGGCTCTCAGAACAGGGCTGCGGGGGAGTCACTGCCTCAGAAGAAGTGGAAGAAGCAGAAGGGAAGCAAGGTACGTCCTGCAGACTCTGTCTGTCGGACAAGCTGCAGTCAAAGGATGCCACAATCCTACCCCCTGTTGGACTCGCCAGATCCAAGCAAGACCTAATCAAGCGTGGGCAGGGAACACGGAGCACGTGCTCAGTGTTTTTTTTTGTCTTTACACCGCCCCCTGCCAGCCGGGGCTTATGCATATATTGACATCGTTTGATGTTGATGCACCCATATGACCAAGGTAGTAAGTCTAGGAGGACTCCTAGAGTTACTCCCCCTGAAACGAATTTGTCATGACTGATCACTGTGGCAGACACCGCTGGCATGCCTCTGGATGCGACATGAGTCAATCACTAGTGATGGCGCAAGCCTTGGTGCCTACGGGCCGTATATACTACTAGTAGTACTGATCAGGCGCTGTATCGATAATTGCAATTGCAGTATTCAGTGCCCCATCCGATGCATCCGCAAGTCGCGGCATTTGAGGTAAAAGCTCTGTAGGCTCGAAGAATCCGGTATATAAATTCTCATCATGCTAGCAGCTCTGCTGGACTTTCAGCTGGAGTCACTGATTACCCCGGTGGCCCCGGCCCACATTGCCAGCACATCTCCCACCATGCCGTGACCTTGCATGTCAGGCTGACATCCAGAACGCTGCCTTACGTCATTGGCAATCAAAAGCGAGATTTTACGAAAGGATCCAAGCAGGTTCTGGCATGCATGCTGACAATTTAGTCATTGTTGCGCAACATGAGTGACACGACAATGGTCAAACAATTCTCTATGTGCATGAAGTCCTGAACAAGATAAGCGCAATTGTGCTACAGGGACATCCGCTCACTACAATTGTGCTCAGTCGCATTGATCCGAGTCCACTCGCTGCTGTGCTGCAGAGTTGGGATTGCACAAATCGTTGCATGGTGTCTTCGAAGGAAGTGAGAAGCAGTGCTAGAATTAATATCTGATAACATCCAAAGTTGTCCCATCGTTGCAAAATAATCAGATGCCTCTCACTGTGCGCGATGGAGCCCTCCTTGCTGCCGGGATGTGGTTTGCTGGAGCTAGCACTTTCTTCTACCGAAGGAAACAGACTTTGCCGTTTAAGGTGCACAGACTATTTCAGTGCTCAATGCTGTGTCGCCTTGCGTTGTGACGTCTGCTAGTACTGACGCTGGAGTGTTGGGACCAGGTGGCTTACTTCCTCTCATGGCCCACCCTTGGGAGTGCTGTCATCCTGGTGATGACGCCAAGTGAAGACAAGATGAAGAAGGTGCGACTTTCACGACGCACTTCCCACAGTCCTGGCAGAGCTGGTGCTGTCTTCTCCTAAGAAGGGGCTGCACTGGTATTGCCAGCTGTGTGCTGTCATGAGCTGCTTGCACAGCAAAGAACGGCTGCAAAAGCGAAGCGGCTCTGTGCGCAACCGAAATTTGGGATTTCTTTACTCCAAGCAAGCAAGGGCTGCGCTGATAGTCAGCATGTTTTGCGCATGCCGTGCCATCTGACTTGCCTGCTTACCTGCATCAGTCATAGGCAGCTCCAGAAGTCTTGTCATGCTCAGTGCCTTGGCTATTCGTCTCAGAATGCTCTAGAATTATGCTACAAGTCAGCTGCTCACTATGCTCTCTGTAGTTCCTTTATATGGTTTATGAGGATGACGCATCATATTAGCACTTGCTGAGCTGCGCAGTCTTATGCATGCGCGTCATGCTCCTAGAGACACACTGTTCCGTGGCATTCTCCTTTAGGATGATTGAGAGCCTGGCAATTGTTGAGCTGCGCAGTGTCATGCATGTGCATCATGCTCTCCTGAACACCTGCCCCTGCATTGTTTGTAAGGAGAATGCAAGCTGATTGATTGCTGAGCTCTGCAGTGTCATGCATGCGCAGGAGCTGGCCAAGACTGGCACGGCTGACAGCGCGCGGGTGGAGGAGATCCGGCAGCTGACTCAGCTTCAGCTGGACAAGATCAAGCAGGCAGCTGCGCAGGGGAAGCTGCCGGGCAGCAGCACTCAGAGCTGGCAGCAGGCGGTGGATGCTGTGCGCAGTGATGAGTCGCGATGATGTCACAGCTTAAGTCTTGGTTTGTAAACTGCCAGCAGAGCAGGGCTGTGCCAGCAGAGCGCGAACCATAGGACCTCGCACGAGCATCCAAGATTGTGATTGCTCTGGGAGCACTTGATGCAGATATGATCTGCTGGAAACAAGTAGGACTTTTGCTGGTGCTGGCAGCAGGTTGGAAATAAGGCAATCAAAGACCGTACTAAGATGACTGAAAAGCTCTTGCATCTGGTGGCCTTGCGCATGCTATCTGAGTACTGCCACATTCATAAGCTTCAGAGGCATTTGGCATTGCACAGCCGATGCCGCAGCCGAAGCTTGATTTTTAGATTGGGGAATGATGGCTGTGCGCAGATGGGTTGTACATGCTTGATGCCATGTGCATGAGATGGTCTGACCGGGTGTCACCCCGAGGCAATAAATAAGGCACCTCTACGGTATACTTAGTAAGGGGATTGATGGCTTGGAATCAGTGAGATCAAGTGCAGCGTGCTGGCCCCAACAGCGGGCTTTGCTGGGCCAAAGCTTTGGAATCTGAATGGGTCCCATATGTCAGTGGAATGCTTTCCACACAGTCTGCGCGAAGGCTTTCAACTGGCTTAAAAGAGCTTCTTGCAATTGTTTGAAGCCTTGCAGGCATACTCCAGCCTGGGAGCCAAAATCTACCGCAACTGTACACAAGATCATAAAAACAGGTCTGGAATAGTAAATTATATTAGTAAACTAATAGGATTTATTAATGGCTTCCACTATATATATTGGCTTCCATCAGCCTCCTCAGTGAGCTCGCTACATGCATGTTGCCCTTGGACATTGCACACTGCCAGCAATCAGACTATGAGGACTGGCGTGGTACAAAGGACATACATAGGACGGAATCTGATCAGGCTGCCAGTAAAGCGCTTTACTGCTAGCCATGGCGACTGCTGCGGCCCGTGACAGCGGCTGGCTGGCTAGCTAGTTGGCTGATCAGCCAAAACTAATTGCGGCGCGCCCTGAATGTGTGAGATCTTTCCATTGCTATGGTGACATTTGAACTGCAATTTTTCAGCCATTGAACGTGAATGATCCTCCTTTCCAGTGTGTCAATGTCCCGCCTGAGAGGCTGGCCTCCGGTTTCCTAAGTTGGCTTCAGACAAAATTGGCGCGTTGGGGTCCGGCGTGTGACTCACTATGACTTACGGATGAACAGGAGCCCAACTCTAAATTGTAAACTGTGCTTTGCAGAGCAATCTTGTCACGTTGAGGGAACGGCGAAGTCCTTCTTGAGGAGCCCTGCCTCTGCCACAGCGCACCATTTGGTGTGACACAGACCGGACAGTGAGCGCGGGTGCTCATGGCTTGCAGCCACCCTGTCCGTCTGCAGCTCCTGCTATTTTGTGCCATATGCATTGGTAAGCTTCTGTTTATCTTCAGCGCAGCCCGTTCCACGTTATCCTACATCCTCGCGCTAGCTTGCCTATGAGTCATATTTGGTGGATGGCAGTTCGTTACAGGAAACGTTGTCAGTGCACCCGGAGTAAGGCTTACAGTGCATGCTTCATTGTCTGGGTGGCTTTAGACGTAAGAAAAGTTCTTGGAGGCCTGTTACTGGCTGTTGCAGCAAGTCCTTCTCGCCCAAACTGAGGTCTTGTGTGTTTCCACTTGCAGGAATCCAGAGTTGCGCTAAAGTGAGTATTCAAGGACCTCCGGAACTATGTTCGTGTTTTGATACTGACCTTTGTAATTTCGTGGCTATGGTTCCAAAGAACCTCCTTCCTTGACGGTGTTGTTGTGTCTGGAACCTTGTTGGACAGTGTCTATCAAGAATGACAACATTGCAATTCACATGTCTTCCACTTACTTACCAGCTATCCCTGCCTTTTGGGAGCGCTTAATTCTAACAGGGTGAGTGAGGCTGCCGAAAGGACAAAATTGAGATTCACGTTGTACCTGACTCACTTTGTGGCCTTCCCTCTGGCTGAAGGGCACCAAGCTGGATTTAGTCACAGCTGGCAAAGAAGCCGTGAAAACCGTCGTCAACGAGACGTTGCCCCAAGGCCTTCTGGATGTAATCGCTCCGGTGGATGAGAAGCTGAAGGCCATGGTCAATGAGACATATGCTGCATTTGAAGGTAGGATGGGAGCGCCACGCTTGATCTCTCTTTTGTTTCTTGGCACAGCCTATTTTATTCTGTAAAGATTTCTGGTTGGTGTGTGTAGGCAAAAAGAAGCTCGACTTGAAGCTGAAGCTCAACAAGCTCAAGCCTCAAGCTACCCCTACGCCGATGGTCACACTCCCACCACCAACCAATATTTCAGGTGATTCACAACCTTTGTTCTCCATGAAAAAAAATTACTTTGAGCTTTGATGGCGTCAAAAGCTTGCCAGTCGATCACCGTGAGTCGACATGACGCCACTTGAAGCCTTGGTACTATTGTCGGACTCGATCGATGTCATATTGTACGCAACATAACCTTACGGACAAAACTAAACAAATACTATTCAACTCGCATTCAACGAGCTGTCACAGAATTGTTGAGTGCAGTGCATATTAGCTGCCTCCTAGGACATCTCACTCTTGATTGAACAAGTGCAGTCTGGGTTCAAGGTTATGTTCATGGCTTTGAGCGCTCTTTACTTGCTACTTTTAACACTAGCAATTAGTTGCTCAACCAAAATGATTATATCATATAGATTGCATTTGTATATGATGTGATGATAAAGGGTTTTTTGGTGCTTCCAGTTACCACCAGCCTGGCCGGTAGCACGCCACCTCCAGCAACTCCCTCACGTAAGCCACTTCCTTCTATAGGAACTTAGTTTTGCATGGCAAATCCAACTCGAGGTCTAGGTCCAGGTCCAACTTGAAGTTCACATCTTGATAGGTTTTCATATGTATACAGTCTCACACAAATTCGATGATAGCAGTGGCTCATAATAGTGCATAAAGCCAGGCATAGTAGGACAACAATGGAACCCATGAATAAATTCACAAATCACTGAGATGCATCAGCATACTATGGTATAGTATGGTGCCCTTGGATTCAAGGAGTGTCACACTCTAGGTGATGTGATTGAGTCAAACCTATCCCTTCATGCATGCAAAGTATGTGCTATCTGCTGAATATGAGACAACTTTCAGATAGGGGCATTATGCTGACACTTTTGTGCCTTGCAGTGCCAAGCAGTACTACACCTGACATACCAGCCTCCACACCGGCCCCCGCTAGTAGTAGTACTCCAGGTGGGTCATCCGCGTCTACTGGTTGTATTGTTAGGCTAAACATATTTCGTCATGCGAAATACTAAGTGACTCCTAATTATTTAATCCAAAACCGTGTGTCTGACAGTGTGTCTCACTCTGAGTCACATCATGTATGATACTCACTCGCTCTCACGCAATATCCAAATCATATTTAGTAGGCTCGAATATAGAAAGTGGAAGTACTACAATTTCAGTAGTTGATGCAACGTTGTCACAACATGCCATGATGTGTATACAACGTACGGTACAGTACAGCGTAGTACGCCGCTCACTGTATCCTCTCATTCGTAGCACTCTCATCAAGGAGTCCCTTTGGGTTCACCCACCAGATCCACTACAAACACAACATCTTTCCTTAACATTACTCCAGAGGATCTCAAACGCTATAAGATGTTCTCATCCACATCCATGCCCTGGGGTTGTGAGGGTTAAGGGTTAAGAGTAGGGCTAAAATAAATCATAGATCCTAAGATGCCTCTGGTTGTGTGCAGTTCCCACCTGCTATGACGTCCTGGGCCCCAACCTCTGCAACGGCGCTCGAGCCGGCTCAGGCCCTACCAACACGAGTGTTGATTTGTGCACTAACCCCCTCACATGCGCGTGCGCGTCAACAAGTGTGGACACTGTCTGCACTGGAAAAAACGGCCTTTGCTTTAGCACACCTTCCAACTATTTCCAATGCGGTGGGTCCTCCTTCAAATCATATTTTTTATCAAGATATTATCAAATGCTTTTCCTGCCAAGGGCAAGGTGCGTGCTCAACATATTACACCTCAATCCTAGGATGTTGAAGGCAGCGCATGTAAATACATGGGATACTTGTTTCGGCATTGCAAAAACTTTTATTGAACATCATCAGCTGATGAAGTCATGACATCCTTTAAATGTACTAGCTCAGCTAAGGCTTACATGGATCATGTGCCACAGTTAGTGACATATCAATAGCGATTCAGAATCCTTGAAAGTAGTTCAATTAAAACAGGAACCTTGGTTTGTCATCATCCAGCCTTTAGGCTGCACCGTGTGACACAGGCACTACTAGCAGTCCTTTGCAACTACTTTGCTATCTTGCATGGCACAAATGTTTTCCCTTGTTGGCAGTTGACGATTGGCAAGATTAATCTGGTGTGGGCTCTTATGCAGGTCTGTACCAAGATTGCGCAGCTGCCCCCATAAATCTGGGATTTGAGGAGCTTACCGGGACGATCGTTGGAAACCCTTTCACCTATGACGGCTTGTCTTTCTCAGCCACCAACTCAGTCACAGGTGCATCATTTCAGATAGTTACCCCGAGCACCGAGACGTTTGCAGAGATTCAGTCCGGGGCGGCAGCTCTTGAGGGCGCCTATCAACCGGCGCGTGATGGGCAGGCAACCCAGCTGACCTTGGTGGCTACTGACGGCAACATTCTGACCGGCGGCGCATACGTGGCCGTATCTGCCTACATCAATGGCGAAAATAATAACGGCCAGAGTCTCTCTATTTCCGCGACTGGAGTGCTGGCCACCGCGCCACAACTCACTTGCCAGAGCAACAGCTTCCCTCTCAACACCCCTGTTGGTGCCCCCAGCGGCAGCCCCGCCAAAGTGTTCTTTGCCGACCAGGGCAATTCTTGCATTGTGGACACGCTGACCCTGCTCGCAACCGCCAGCAATTCGGGAACTATCGGGGGGGGAAACAGAATTTCCCTCGATGATTTTGTGGTGTGCAAGGCAAACAGTGCGAGCGCGCTCCAGGGAGCCCTGCCTACGTAGACATTTTGTCAGCCAGACATAATTTGTCACACCGAGACCCATCTGTAGTTGCCTCAATTACTCGCTAGACTCGCTCTGGGTCATCACGTGCTGGACTCAGCACTGCAGCATCAACACACAGGCTTTCTCTCTTTCCCTTGGAACCATGGGGTTCAAAGGATGATGGCATGTACACTACCGGGGGTGTCATGGTGACGCCATAAATTGACCCGAGTCGTGACTAGCGGTTCTTGTGGGCGGCAAGTCTTGCATCGCAATTGGCTCTCACAATTGGCCGCAAATGTACTGTCAAACTTGAAAGGCTGGTTGAAGGGCCTCGTTGGACGAGCTTGCCAGGACTTCAATGAAGTTGTGTCCTGTTTGTGAGTCAATGAAACAATCGTGGACTCCACCGTCCGGGGCGGTATACAGTGTGCGAGGACCTTGGGCGATTGAAAATTGCATGCAGTGGATTGGGTTCAATCCGAGTGATGAGTACTACTCCTACTGTAGTATATCATATATAGTATTACATAATAGTATTACACTGCAATTGGCAATTGCATCATTGCCGCAAAGTGCGGCGCCGGCATGAATGCCTTTTGTAGGTTTGCAAATATGGTAAAAAAATGCCATTTGAGGTTGTACTGCAATGATTTGCTATATATCAATTTGCAAGCAAGTTACAATTGTAGCCGGGCTCCGAGCCGGGCTACGAGTCGTGCCGCACAATTGGCGGCCATACTATTAATTCACCATGTGAGGAGTGATCTTAATAATATAAGATTAATATAGGATATGTTTTACCTATATATTAAACCTTTTTTTTTTAATTTAAAGTATATAGCCTTGACATGCAGTACGTATATACATATACTATAGTACCAGTATGTTGAGCTTGTCTGCAAACGTACGATGCCGCTTTCAATGCAGGTTGCGGTAGTACCTTGTGCCAGGCTCAGCCATTGACATTCACAAGTTTTTGCCAGTGGCCCGGAAGTCGACTACACAGTGCTGTCTTGCAGACGAAGACCTGTCACTCTGCAGGGTCAGGCATCTTCTGTTACCTGAACCAATTGTCAAGACCGACCGATTTGTGAACATGCCCATCAGCATGGATTGGTAGATGTGATGATGATAGCTGATTTGGACCCACGGCCAGTCTACGTGCATTCTATGTATTGTGGTATTCAATGCATGTCTTGGCTCAGCGGGAGCTGTACAGTTGGCAGGTGCCTGACCCTCGTCGCTCCCATACGGGAGCTTTGTTCAACTCAAAGACCCCTGATCTCTAAATCCTGGTGTTCTTTCCCTAAACTGTATTAAACAATTCCCCATAGCTTCCTTATCAGTCCACTTAGAGAAGTCTTTGGGAACCTTTTGCGAAAGATGTTGTCTTCATAGTGTGACTTATTTGTCGACCCCTTCAGCAGTTACAACAGACAATCGTGCGCCCTCCTTCCCGCTCTCCTCCTCCCATGCAACTCAACATAGGCACTTGGAATTCTGAGGGTCTCGATACGGAATTAAGCAACATGAGATTGGGGGTGCACCGCTTGCGAAGGGCTTGCATGTTCCAGCAGCGGGGGAAGAATTTTCATAAGCATGTATCCTCGCGTTTTGATGTTTCTGGCTTTCGCTGATTTGCTCGGCCTCGTACTGGCCGGTCCAAAAGAGGTGTTGGATTTTTTGTTGCGCATGCTATGATCCCAGAGATTGAGGTTTTTGAATCTGCTTCTCACCTTGAGAGTGCCTGGCTTTGCGTGAGAGGGCAGAGAGGTCAAAGAGACCCCTTCTTGGGTTGTGTCTACATGACACCTCCTGCTGCACGGGTGAAAGAGAAACATTTATGACGCTTTGTTGGCTGATATTGCAGGCTTTCTGAGAAGGGGGCAAGCGATTGTCCTCATGAACTTTAATGCTCGAGTTGGTTGGGCCACTGAGTGTGGACATTGTCTGCACTGGAACAAACGGGCTTTGCTTCAGCACACCTTCCGATTTACTCCCAATGCGGTGCGCCTTCCTTCGAAGGAACTGAATTCAAGGAACTGAAGGCTTCAAATCATATATTTATTATTGTTATTGAAATTTTTTTGTCGACTTTGTATTGAAGTTATCAGCTGGTGAAGTCATGCCATCCTTAAATTTACTATCTTACAAGAATCATGTGACATATCAATAGTGATTCAGAATTCCTGAAAGTAGTTCACTTAAATTGGACTTGATTTGGCATTATTTAACCTAAAGCTTGCACACAAGCACTACTAGCATTCTTTTGCAGCTACTTCTGCAGATTCATGAATGGCAAGATTCATGAATGGCACAAATGTATTCTTTTGTTGGCAGTTGACAGTTGGCAGGGATTAATCCATTCATTTCTTTTGTGGGCTTTTATGCAGATCTGTAACAAGATTGCGCGGCCACCCCCAATAATTCGAGAATTCGAGGAGCTTATAAGTAATTACCGGGACTATTCAAAGCCCTTTCACCTATGACGGCTTGTCTTTCTTAGCCACCAACCAACCAGGCCTAGGTGCATCATTTCAAATAGTTACCCCGGTCACCAAGACGTTTGGAGAGATTCAGTCCGGGGCGGCAGCTCTTGAGGGCGACTATGAACCGGGGCCTTTCTAGCAGCCAACCCAGCTGACCTTGGTAGCTAGTAGCTGGCTGCTGGAAAATGTCCGGGTCAAAATGTTGCCGTCAGTAGTACTGACCGGCGGCGCATACGTGGCCGTCTCTGCCTACATAAATGCTCGCATGAATATCAACGGCCAGAGTCTCTCTATTACCGCAACTGGAGTGCTGGCCACCGCGCCACAACCCACTTGCCAGAGCAACAGCTTCCCCCTCAACACCCCTGTTGGTCCCCCCTCTGGCGGCATCCCCAGAGTGTTCTTTGCCGACCAGGGAAATCCTTGCATCGTGGACACGCTGGCCCTGCTCACAACAAGCTTCACAAACTCAGAGAGCACGGCGAAAACAAGAATTTCCCTCGATGATTTTGTGGTGTGTAAGGCAAACAGTGCAAGCGCGCTCCAAGGAGCCCTGCCTTCGTAGACATTTTGTCAGCCAGACATACATGTCACACCGAGACCCATCTGTGATTGCCTCAATTACTCGCTAGACTCGCTCTGGGTCATCGGGTGCTAGTGCCAGCACTGCAGCATTCACACACAGGATCATCCATCATGGATGATGGAGCAGGCTTTCTCCCTTTCCCCTAAAACCATGGGGTCCAAAGGGTGATGGCAGCTGTGCACCCAAGCAATGCCATGCCCAATGTGGGCGCATTCGCAAGAACAGTATTTCAAAGGGAAGTGCAGCAACGCTCATATGATACAGGCAAAGCAGCCGCTTACAAAGCCTAAGCCAGGAATGAAGCATGCTGGCGCATTCCACCATGCAGGCCGATTGCCTGTCTTGCTGGCTGCAAGTGAAATTCGCAGTGCTTCTATAGACCCCTTGGGCAGCTGAATCTTTGGCAGGCCAATCTCCATCGGTCTCATCTTGGCTCCTTGCTCAAGACAGAACATGCGTTGTCAAGCGTGCCAAGGCAGTGCTGCCAGCATTGTGGTCTCAATTTGGCCCAGTCTGGTCATGTTGAGCTATCTCTGTGCTTTGGGTGTGCCCAGACAATTTTAAAGAATAGACCGTTTCAGACATCAATCACACGTTCTTAAGATGTTCTGGCTTCAAGCCAAGTTGTCTTGGAAGGCGCTAGACGGGACTCCGGGCAGGGCATCATTCATCTCAGTAGGAAACGGGCCCCGCTGAATGCATTAGCTGCCGCTATCATCTCTGTTTGGGGGGCGTCGCCGTTCTGCGGCGGTATCAGAGACTCTAGCTGTATGGGTCTACTAGTAGTGGTTGTGGACATATTGTCTTGTGCAGGTTGAGATAGCCTTGTCTGGTCGAGCCTATACAAGCCGCTTCACAGATAAGGTAGTCATCCGTGACTGTATTGTCACATGCAGTGCATGTGATAGTCCTGGTGCTAGTCTAGTGGCTTGTAGTATCTCAGATTACATCTGTGATCTGTGACAGCCGGGGCTGGACGCCTGCACAGATCTGCATTCAGGTGGGGTTGCCCATTACAGCATGCATGCGCATATGCTAGTAGCAGTTACTAACATTGTAGTAGGTAGTACCGTATGTGCAAAAGGCAGAAGTCTTGCTTGTGCCATAGTATTCAATCACTAATTACTCATAAGATCACTTTGTGCATCGTGAGAGGCCCCCAACTCACTCAGTGAGAGTACCTTAAGCTCGAGACTGTCTTCACGTTCAATATCAAGCTCTTTAGCTGAATTTTTAAAAGACAACTTCAGGGTGATAGGGAAGGGGTCATTATAGTAATACTCTCAGGCAAGCAAATTTTTTTTCACGATTTATGAATAAGATGACACTTTCCAAGAGTTATTTCTGAAAGTGATTGAACTTTACTTAGGCCCTCAGACCCCGGGCACACAGCCACAACTGCATCGCAAACGCATCACATCTGATTCACAACAAGGTCACAACCGTTGTGTTAAACCCAGTTGTGAAGGAGGGCTGACCTTCACAACGGCTTCTGAATCCCTTCCAGGTGAATCACTTGAAATGTAACATAAGCTTCCAATACACGGCACGGCAGTTCACACTCAGACCATATACAATTCACTGCTAGCATGGATGTGAAGTCACAAGGAAGAGATTGAGAAATTTTCAGTCTTCACTGGTGAATCTTGCGTTTGTATTCAAACTCAGGACAGTGTTGTGATCATGATCGTTCATGGGGTATCCGTCCTCGTTGAAAGCAGGTTGCCTTTGACTCCGGATTCCACTCCAACTCACTTCAATTTTGAGCCAGGCCTGCAAGCTAGCTAGATATATAGAAGCTGGCTACCATGCAGGCTGCCCTAGGGGCCAGGTCGAGACATTAGTCATGCCATGCTTGGCCTCTGTCTTTTTCAAGCCTTAATCACGCTCCAGGCCCCCATCAAGGCGTGTATAGTTCATTTCATTAATGCATTTTCTCCGGCTATCTGATGTGCACAGCCTTGAGCGCTGATGTGGCAGATGCCATCCCCATGGCATGGTCAAGCTGCTCATGATACTCCTTCACCTGCACAGATAAAAGACACAGGCTCCCATGAAGTACCCAGTACTGACAGAGACAAGGATGGTCATGCATCTCATGCACAGGTCAGGCAGGCACGCCAGACACATGATCTTGAATGCAGCATTGAGGTACGGTGCACGCCATGTGCATACACTTGTTTGTGGCGACCAAACAGTAACACGACTCCCTGTGACAGATCTTGAAGTTGCCTGGCCTATGCATTAAAAGGAAGGCTGCGCTGTACAGACCCAACTGTCACGCAAGATATACGCATCGGCCGCCGGCTGGCGGGGGGCAATATGAATACTGAGCACCGTGCCCACGGTTGATTGGGTCTTGCTTTGCTTGGATCTGGGGAGTCCAACAAGGGGTAGGACTAATGACGGCCTTCAACTGCAGCTTGTCTGCAGGACGCACCTTGCTTCTTGGCAGGAAAGCGTGTAATAATAATAATAAAAGAATAATAATGATAATAATAAAATTGGCAATAGTAATAATAATGATGATGATGATGTTAATAATAATAATAATAATAATAATATACACATGCTAGTCTATCACGCTAGCAAAAGTCCCGCCACTCAGGATAGTTCAGACTCAATAAGGACTGAGAAGCGTTATTACTCACTGCTCGGCTGTGCAACACGTCAGTCATCAAAGGTGTGCAGGTGCGTCTTAAGTAGAGGCCACCGCTGAGCGCAAGTGGCGAAAGGGTAGGCCAGAGAAAGTGCAGGAAGGGTGAATGACTTGACCAATCCCTAATCAGAAACAGTGGATGACCAATCCACATCACTACTCAGGAAGGATGGATGACTGATTTAGTCACTAAATCACTAAGCGGGAAAGGCGGATTGCTCACCTGCGCGAGCAGCGACTGGTACTTGTCCATGACGACGTTGATCTGCGCGCGATGAGTTTCATGCAGCTCTGCGATGCTCTTGCGCAGCTGCCGCTCCTACGGTGAAATGCAGAACGACTTGTCAGCACAGAAAGTCACTATTAGTAAGACATAACACTGGCTTTTAGCTACTGAAGGGAAGGGATGCCCCTTGTCGCAGCATCCAAAAGCTGCTCCAAGGACCTAGGACTGTCGCTACTGCAGCAGTCTAAGGGAGTCCTCGTGGGGCCCTGTGGGGCCCTCAAAGCAGGAACTTGGGAACGCCTCTTAATCTCAAAAAGACCACAGCCCTTCATGTCAAGTGATGCCTCATTTGTAGCAGATCATGTACTTCCCCTAGGAAAATGGAGGAAACATACGGAGAGAAGAGACAGGGATCTTGGTCAAGATCCCTGCATGGGTGTGACTAAAATCCAGGGCTTCAACAAGAACAAGCACACAGCACGTGGAAGGCAGTCAGTGGGGGCAGCTGGTATCAACTCCTTCCCTGGACAGCGCAAGAAGCTAATGAACAGATCAACGCCAGTCTGTAAATATCCTCAGCAAGCTGGAGAGGGCTGCGTACGTGAGCGATGCTTTCCAGCAGCTTGGCATTAATGCCCCAATGGAAAGTGGGGGTATCTAAAAAACCTGGAGCTTTTCTTAATTAATCCCTAGACTAAAGGGGCGCGCACATGGGCGATGTTTTCGAGCAGCTTGGCGTTGTTGGCGGCGTTCTCTGCCTCGACGGCCTCCTTGTCTTTTTGCTGCTCTACTATCGCGCTCAGGGCAGCCTCCTTACGCAACTCCCACTGCACAGACAGGATCCAGGCACAGGTTTAATTTCAGCGGTTAGAAGAAGTCGTGCATTTGGTGCAGGATTACTTCTTGCAGACTTGCTCAGTATCCTGCTCAATCTCCTGCAGCCTGTGGGTATTCAAGCAACATTGCGGGCCTGCTGCCATGCATGCCAATGATCAGCATGCTTTCCATGCTCCAACCCTGTCTGAACCACTATGGAGTTGGCTGCAACACCGACGTGGCAGAATTGGTTCCTGCAAAAATGTGCAGCGAGCAGGATGTGCTTATATATTGCTCCTTCATGGTGTTATGAGCCCAGAAAGACCTTCCTGCTGGCTGAAAGCACCAGAGAGACAACTGCAGCAGGGTGTACAGGAAAGCAGACTGTTGGCGCGCTCTGTGCCCCCAAGATGCGCTCCAGCAATGTATTTAATCGCATGTATAAGTCCTGCTGAGCACCGTGCCCCATGGTTGATTGGGTCTTGCTTGATCTGGCAAGTCCAACAAGGGGTAGGAATCTGGCAGCCTTTACATGCAGCTTGTTTGCAGACGCACCTTGCCTTTGGCAGGAAAAGCCTGTAATAATAATAATAATAATAATAATAATAATAATAATAATAATAATAATAATAATAATAATAATAAGTCCTGCTTCACCACTTAAAAGAAGAGATAACCTGGTGCTGCAGGCGCTGCATGCGTTCCTGAAGGCTGCTCTGCTGTCGGCGCAGATGCTGCTGCTCGGCTGTCAGCTGCCCAGCCTCGTGCTTGGCGGCGCTTATTGCCTCCCGCAGCCCCTTCACCCGCCGTGAAACCTGCCCCACGAAAACCAAACAGTTTTGTGCATCGAATTGAATATTTGTGATGGAGGCCCTTGAGCATTGTATGGGTAAGGTTCTGAGATCTCGATTATTGCATGATCCCCATCCTGGTTGATAATCCATGAAGCTTGGGAGTGACTCAAGGCGGCAGCAGCCAAGCATGCTACAGAAAAGATTGGCTCGGCCACCACAAGGGCTTGGTGTGTCCTATGCCCACTGACAATATAAGAGCACTCCTACACCTTGTTGCTTCAGGGGAATCTACACCCCGTGTTGTTCCAGATTCCCCTAATTGCTTCACAGGAAGCAGTCAAATGCTCTCACGCTTGTCTGCAGTGAAGGCAAGGGACGCTGGCAACTAGCATGTTGTTTTTTGGCCCATGGCGCCCAAATGCCCCTGTTCCAGAATATTCTTTCTGGGCGCACCTCCTTCTTGCGCACTATCTCAGTCTCCACCTCTTCCATCACGCCGATCGCCTTGTTCACGTCCTTCTCAACCTGCGAACATCACAGATGCATTTATTTGATACAGCCTAGCTCATGGGCATGCTCTCTGGCAGTGCAGATGGCTGCTAGCAGCAATATAGTCCAGCGGCACCCTGCTGCTAGGGGATTGTTGAGAAGCAGCATTCTCTTGAGCTGTGTCGCAAGACCTGCCAGCATGCTGTGTCTGGGAAGTATACAGCTCTTATTGGACCGTAAGCACCTACACAGGAAGGCACCCGAGCCTGCATAGAACTAAAGCATGAGTTTCCCTGTTTCCCTGTTGCCCATAAGTCCCGGGTGTTTGTACGGCATGTCACAGTCATCTGACAGCGGCATTTGCCTCGTCTACTGGCAGGTAGTGTTAGTCGCAAAGAGCTGGAACGGACAGCTGTACGCTTCCTTATGTGCTGGTGATCATGATAAGAATTCGTCCTAGTCAGGTGGGGCTCACCAGTCCAGGTCAGCTCAGCTGAGCACAGAACAGGTGCTGTGAAAAGAGCCGGAGTTACATTGCTTAAAGGACTAGATGGCGCACCTTGGAGATGTTGTCGAGGCGCGTGTGCAGTTCGCGCAGCTGTCGCTCGGCGTCGGCCACGGATGCGCGCTCGCGGTCGACGGCCGCCGCCATCTCCTCCATACGCGCCTGCAGCTTCTCCGGGCTCTGCGCGCAGCGTTTGGAATTCGACCCTTTAACCCGCCACGGTCCACATCTTCTCAGCTTAGAAGCATTGAGCAGGATGTCGTGATCTTGTGTCTTGGGGACACGGCAGGAGAGAACGGGTTGGGAACATCGTTCCCTGCTGAGATATTGCGGGGCCATGCATGGATCTGGCACCTCAAAAGGCCAAGATGGGCAGCAGGCATCCCTTGTTCTGCAGGCCAAGGGAGAAGCTACCAAGGTGACTCATCATGTAATTCAACCTATATACTGTAGTTGACAATTGTGCCGATTATTGGCTGGCAGTATGGTAAGCAGATGGCACACCGTGCTTGATTGCAGAAAGCAACCTGGACAACATTGATGGGGACCTTGCAGCTTGCATTGCATGCAGAACATTTCAAGTTGAGATATACTCCTGCAGACATCTGCAGTTGAGAGGCTTATTCCCACCTCGACGATGAGGCCGCGCAGGTTGTCGCCCTCTTGTTGCGCGGACTGCACGTTGAACTTCTGGGAGGCCGCCTCGTCAGCCAGCGCGTTGGCCTGCTGCTTCAGCGCGCGCACCTGCGCGCATGTGCCCGCACATGTCACATGCGTTATTGTTACCATAAGTAGTCATCAGTAATCAGCAAGGACTCCTGCTGGGTCCTGTTCTTGTCGTTGCATCCTTTGAGACTGCATTCGCCTAGGGGTAATTAAAGAACATCTTCTCTACTACCCGGAATGCGCGCATGTGCTCGCACATGTCACATTACTGCAATCTCACTTAGTAATCTTATAAGGTAAAATCGCCGACAAGATTCTCCCTGCAAGTACTCCTGCTGATCATTATCTGCCCAATGTATCTCTTTGGACTTCCCTTGGCATGCACAAATGTGCAGACCGGCAAAGCAAGGGGTATTGAATGATGTCCTTTTCAGTGTGGCCCCTTAGAAATCTCCTGCTGTGCCATTGCTGCTAATAGAATGGCCTGAGAAAGCCGGGCTCCCACCTCTGCATTGAGCCCGCCCTGCTGCCTGTTGAGGGACTGGTTCTCTGCAAACACCTCCTGCGTCTCTGCCTCCACCGCCGCAACCTCCTGTGCAATTGCACAGGTAGTCATTTTCACCTTGTCACTGTGACTCAACCCCTGTGCAAGCAGCTGGCTGGCCCGCGCCGCTCATGCAATGCTTTTCTCTCTGGACCCCAGGGCACAAAATCCCCTTTTCTGCAACAGAGAAGCACCACCAGAATTGCAAGACCTGGACCAGCAGTCTACTACCATGCGTCACACTGTTGCAAGCATATATAAAAGCAAGACATGGCACCAAGCAGAGCATGTGAAAATGCCACAAACTTGCATGCAGGGGTTGAGAGCGCGCACAGCTTTCTGGGCGTCCCGCTCCTCTCGCAGCCTCTGCAGCTCCTCTGCCTGCATGTGCCAGCACCTGCTCAGGCGATGACTCACTGCATGCACCCGTCATCTTGTATCTGTACAATGAGAACAAGCAACACTCCTGCACATTCCACGAGACTGCAAAGGACTGGATCCTTGATGTCTCCTTTCAAGAGGGAGACGGACAACACAGGGCATTCTCTTTGGCTAAACTTCTGGTCTGCAGTGGACTGGATACAAGGCTGACAGTGCAACTCTCACAAGGATTCGGATATCTCATGAGCCTGTCAAGATAGAGCAAGACATCATACATTTAGGCAGTCTGTTCTGCAAGACTGACAAATGACGAGTCATGCACACCAGGGAGCTGTTGGTGTCTTCCAGCTGCTGGGTCTGGTCTAGGAGGGCGTCCACGTCCTCCTGCAGCTCCGTATACGGCACCAGCTTCTCTTCCCGGAACTTGGCAAAATTTATGATCGCGCTCAGGTTCCGCCGCAGCCGCCCCGAATCCGGCTTGCACAGATCCTGTGACGACAGACATGCATGCATGTCAGTTCAGATGCCTGAAAAGTCACACACAGCTCCGAGTGGGTTGATCGTGAGTGAGAGCAGCAGGAGACATGAGCTGGTGTGTGAGAATGGGCATCTGCTCGTGCTTGCACAGATCGGACCAGAGAGCTGCCTGTCAGTGCATTTGCAATGCAGAGCAGACGAGCCTTGCTGGAGCCCCAAATTGCCTCAAATACCTCATATAGCTCATATTGGATTTAGGAAAATGAGCCGAGAGCAGCAGAGCACAGGAAAACATGCAATGGCTTTGTCTCAGGCATCTTGCTATTGTTCGTCTTTGCAGAATATTGTTCCTTGGGACTTCACCCTGCATGATGGTACACAGGCATGCAACATTGTTTGTCATGAAATTGTCAGCAGTGTGACATCCTGAAAGGAACTGCCAGTGTCTGGACACTTCCTTCTCACACAGGCTCATGCCAAGCCACAGTTTCAGCTCCCAGAGCCTGTAAAGGGACACCGTTTGGCCAGATTATACAAGGGCGATTCAGAGGCTTTTCTGCAACAGCGCACCTGCATGTTAAAGTCGCGCACACCGGCAGAGGAGAGCAGCTTGGCGCAGTTGCGGACGAAGGTCATATAGGGGATGGACTCGTCATGAAGCTCTGGAAATTCCAGTGCATCTATCGCCATGAACACTGGCTGCTGCTGCTCTTCCCTGTACAAGCAAGAAAAAGATTATGTTTGTGATGGACTGTCCTTCCCACAGGCAGAGAGAGGGGTAATGTAGTAGTCCTTGGCAAATAAGGAATCTATAGGACAAGATGGCGCGCAGTGCAAGGGCTCTACCCACGACCCATGCATGGCAAGTGCTTGAGACTGGATATTTCTCCTGTACTGCATGTTGACTATTTCCAATAATCCGGTATTCAGCCCATGCTTGTCAAAAGCAAGCTAACTTAAATCAGAAATGGCAGGAAGTCATTGTTTAGAAATAGGCACCTTGTGATGCCCATGAGCGTGGTGATCACGCTTTCATATATGGGCCTGACAACTTCCGGCGTTGGCTTTGCCAGTGTGGCTGCTGACAGCTGCAGGTCCATCTCTTTCATGCAGGGTAACAACTCATGGTCTGCGAGTATTGGGAACGAATATACTTGCGACATCGTTCTGGCTCGTCCTTGTTTTCAGATTACACTGTTTTTAAAATTAGAACATTGCTGTAAAGCTGCTTTGTTCCTTAGCTGCCTGTCCGTTGGATGTTCACATTCAAAAGCCCCCCGTGTCTCTTGTTCAACACCGTGATGGATCTTTCTCTTTATTTGCTCTCAACTATTAGAGCATTCCTTTTGGTCTATACTTTTACGCATACTGCAGAAATTGGATGAATTGGACGTCAAAGAACAATCTTTCCAGGAACGCCTGAGCACGGGTGCCACGATGTCGCAAGCAATCATCCTCTCTCAACGCTCTGTGCTTGATCTATAGAAGAGCACATCCACTATTCTGTATACATAAGTTTTCAAACGCATGTCTTACCCCTGTAGACAAGAAGACTGGCGTTTGCTTTGAATTTTCTTCCTGAGAATAATGCATGAATACAGACTTGCATGCGCGGTGCAACTTTGATGTTACGGCAGAAAAAGGTTGATCAGAGCTAAAGTACTGAAAGACTTCCCACGAAGAATCGACCGAGGGAGGCCAGCTACAAAGGGAAGGTGCGGAACACACGTCCATATGTCGAGAAATTGAAGGCAGGGCTGGGCTGTCTTCCTTAAAAAAGCTATAGCACAAGCATTGCAATTCATGCGGTGAGCTGATGCAACTTTGTGGCACGCTGGACGCATACTCTCTTACCTTGGGAGTTTATGCCCACTTTTTGCAGGCTTTCATGGGGCAGCTCTGACGTGAGAGGCAGCGTCAGTGACTGGCATGCTGCCGAAACGATGAAAGAAGCTTGCTTGAGGAGCTGGGATGCGTCCTCGAAGGAGTGAGATCAGCCAGCTGCCGGCCACAAGCAGCCTCCTGCCCCCATGCAGTCCCAGCGCTCACAGGCAGCAAGCAGCTCTGCCATGCAGGCCACTAGCACTCCCGAGTGTAGGTGTGCGAATCAGTCTGTTGTCCCCTCTTCAAGATATGAGACATGCACCTTGCCCTCAGATTGCCATCAATGCCCTCACAGACCAGCACTGGGTGAGAGTGATTGTGGGTCATGCTGCCTCCCCGGATAAACTTTCTTTCTTGCATTGCATTGGTGCTTGGCAATGAGGAGATGTTATTACAGTCATGGGATCGCATACGACACTGCCTGAAGCTAGAAGTGGCATGCACGCCAGGGCATGCCTTCAATGCACGGCGGCCGCTGCTGCTGTCCAGCCAGCTGCGCGCTCAATGCTGCTCAGCCCTTCACTCTGTGGCTCATAGCAAGCCTTGTGGTCTCGTGAGGCACTCAAGGTGCTGCTCTCCCCTTTCAACTGCTCAGATGTTGTTTTACGTTACATTGTATTGTACCTAGCCTTGAGCAACATAGCCAGCGGACACTGTGTTAGGCCTCCTGTCAACAGCTTCGTATTCCTGTGTCGGTACATCACACATGCATGCCCAATAAGAATTAGCTCCGCACCTCATGAAAAGAAGTACCTTACATTTGTGTTGCAGAGTGCTGTCATGGAGGGCGCGGCTGCTGCTAGCAGAGGCCGAGTGCGCGTGCAGGCGCTCCTCTGGAAGGCGCAGTGCAGCTGCATCGGTGATGCAGAGGGATTTTTGGCGCAGGCAGCGGGGGAGTGAGAGGGGTTGCGAAAGCGTTGCGCATGCGGCAACACCGGGGGGCGCCGGGGAAACCCGGGGGACCAGCGGTGGTGATGACTTGCAAGCCGATGGGTGAGCCCCCTAACCTGCTCTCGATGTATCCTTGCCAGCTTAGCGACAGTTGCTGTCAACATCTCTGAGCTTCAAGATGCACAGGAGATTGTCTCGTTGCTGGATCTGCGACCATATTCACGTCGATTGCTAGCCGGGCAGTGTACATGCTGCCGCATGTGCTGTATGTTCCCTCACAAAATTGCGGATCTTGATAATTTCCGCCGTTTTGGGGAGGTGATATTAAGCACATGGGGCATCACCAGCACTTTTGTTAATACATGAGCAGAGCTAGTGTGCCCTCAGCAAGTCTTGATTGACTTTCTCATTGCGTGCACGTGCACATGCAGCATATTGTCCCATCTGCTGTGGCTGAACAACCCTGCTGGGCACGTGCACGTTTGCTTCAAGGTCTTGTTTTCACGCTCAGGTGGCAGCCGGGAGCCGGCGTGCGGCCGACTCCGCAGCAGGAGCTTCTTCTGCTTAAGCTGCTATCCTCACCAACTCACAAGTGAGGCTGCGACCTGTTTCAGCATCAACACACATGCTGGATACGTATTCTGATCGAGAGCACCGGGACGCTCTACTGCAATTGCCTTTTCACCACCAGCGTACCAATCTTTGAATACACGTCTTGATCAGTGTCAGCATGTCTGCATGAGTTTGCCACCATCACTGCCCCTCATCAGTGACACTTCTCCATTCAGCTGACGCTCTTGCTCAGCGCCTCTTCCTGGGCCCTTTGCCGAAAATTGTGGGTGCTTGCACCTGTAGCGCAGCTGCATGCCAGAGCACGCTCGGCCGGCTCGAATCCAGGCCTTTATTTACACCCTTAACGACCCAAATCGATGTTACTGTAGTGCTCATCCCAAAACCCACACCTCCGGCGGTGCGGGAAACTTCTCGAAGCAACTTTCAGGGGTCTTTCTGACTCCCAAAATTCCAGGGTCATGCTCCCTTGGATTGGGCTTGTCGAGAGCTTTCCGGATCTGATCTCAAACTCATTAAAGAGTTCATATTTTGGGAGATAGGGTCTTATTTATCCACCCTTTCTGGCCAAAAATAATTACTTGTTGCAGGTTTTCAAACGAGTTTTATAGTATTCACCCTTAACGACTGAATTTGGTGTTACATGGCTTTCCGGCTAAATTTGACATCAATCTGCGCAGGGAGGTGCTCAAGAAGAAAATTGTGATGATAGCAATAGGCCTGCACGTGGATGTGACGCCCGTGCTGGAGCAGCAAGGCCTTAGCCTAAAGTGGCTGGAGGATGTACCAGATCCCTCTGCCATTCTGAATGACATTCAGGCCTATGACCACCCCCTGGAAGAATTCTGGGACAACCTGTCCACCCTCTTCGAGGACGGCGTGAAAGGTGAGCCTGAGATGCACTTAGGTTCTGAGCCTGCAATCGTTCCTTGGGGAGTTGTTTCTCAATTCCAGGAGTTTTCGGTGCATGGCGCACTTAACAGAGAATTGAATCTTCGTCACAAGGCACACAAAAGTAATTGCACCTGAGAGCAGCACGCTCTTTGTCTAGCAAGTGTGACGACGATCGACAAGAGTTTGCTGTGCTGCCTGTCTTGTGCAGTGTCAAACAAGGGTGATGAGACGATGCGGTGGATGAATAGGTCATGGCACGGGGGAGGACAAGCTTTTAAAATGCGTGCAGAACAACATTCTGTGTAGTGAAAACTAGCATGTACAGGGAGTAAAAAAAGTGCACAAAGAAGGCATGTACAGGGGGTCATATAATTGTGATATATGTATGCACAGGGAATTATTTCAATTGTATATATCGCATATTGGCCCCGGCTGGCGGGGGGCGGTACAAGTACTGAGCACCGTGCCCACGGTTGATTGGGTCTTGCTTGGATCTGGCGAGTCCAACAAGGGGTAGGAATTTGGCAGCTTTTACATGCAGCTTGTCTGCAGACGCACCTTGCCTTCGGCAGGAAAAGCGTGAAATAATAATAATAATAATGATAATATCGCATGCGCAGGGCGGCGGAAGTTTCTGGAGCAGCCGGCGGCGGCGGCCAAGAAGGGATTTGGCGGGGGGTCTGCCAACAGTGGCGGCGGCAAGGGCCGCAAGACCAAACCACGCAAGACCAAGTCCATTCGGGTGCTCGCTGCCGAGGTGGGCCCCTGTTATCTCAGGCCAATTTTCTGTCTTCACAGGAGCATCAAACATATTGTAAGGGGGGTATGGTTAAGCCTAGGGATTTAAAGTTAGCATCAAGGCAAGGACCGCAAGACCAAGCCTCGCAAGACCAAGTCCAGTCTGGTGCTCGCTGCCGAGGTTGGCCCCTGTTATCTCAGGCCACTTTTTGTGCCTTCACCCAGGGGCATCAAAACAATTTTTGGGGTTCTAGGATTGGGGGTTAGTGGTTTATGGAAAGCATCAGGGCATTGTATACAGGGTCCTACCGGCTTTTGTCACAAATCAGAATCAAAAAATGGCAGAGCGGTTTAATGCATCGGTCTTGAAAACCGACGTAGCTTCGATTGCTCCCCAACAGGAGCGATCCGGATGCCTTTGTCAGGAAAGCTATTCAGGAGTTCTGAAGCTTTTTTTAGCACATCTTGCCTAGTTGATAACCATTATGAATAGTATGTAAACTCTGTGACACCCCTCTAGCCCCACCGATCAGGGGTTACTGAAGACTACAGTGGTGTTTATTTCCCCCGCACTAATACGGAGCGAGGCCCATAAGTCAGGCTGGCTGCCGGCAGTGTTCCGATTAGTGGCTGTTAGCAGCCAATGTTTTATTTTGGCTAATTGGTGGCTGTTTGGAAATTAATTGTGGCTGGCACACGTCAATCAGCACCCACCAAATAGCCACATTCCTTAGGGGAGATAATGAGGTATTGCAAAAAAGGCGATTAATAAGCAAAATCAGTCATAAATGCGGCTATTCGGTCCCTGCGCAGCTTATGAAATAGCCACAGGGTCATGATTCACCAAATTTTTAATCGGTACACTGGCTGCCGGGGTGGGTTCCTGGTGCCTGAATCAGATTATGCTCCAGGGGATTTGAAGTATTTGATGTGATTTTCAGAAACCCCAGTGTGCGCACTCACCAGGGTGTTCGTGTAGACATTTGTAGTACCAGCGAAAGCACTGATGAGAAGTGACGTCCCTCTGCCAATTTAGGGTGATGGCTCGGCCGAGTTTCTGCATGTGACAGAGGGCCTACCTTGCCCTGACATCATTAAATGGGAAATAAAAAGCATTTCTGCCTGCCCAAGGATGATTACTAGAAGGACAACAGCACACAAAGTCCAAGGCCTGCAACAGGAAGTGCGCGGAATCAAATTTTTTCTTTGTGTTTTCTCAGCTGGCGGCAAAGCAGGAGCTCAGGCGGCGACAGCAGGCGGCAGCACAGGCCGCAGCCGAGGACACCATACTGGCAAAACTGATGGTGCGTATACTGTATACTCACCATTGGCCAGACACTTAGACAGCCAGATACACCAGATGAGTCCGCACAGAGAGCCATCTTTTGCGTGCCATTTTCAATCAAGACACGCAAAGAAAAGCCTGGCTCGGTGTTTGCAGGAGGATTGGACTGAGGCGGAGAAGGAGGCCTATTGGAGCGGCGTGCAACATTGGGACGTGGCTATGTCAGTGACACTGATAGGAGTGCTGGAGTGCCTTGAGGCTTGTCTCCTCCCAGAAAGCACTGTCTCGCTCGCCTGCAGCCTCAAACTGCTGATGATATTGCGGGCCTTTGTCTGGCGCAGCATAGACCTCGCACAGGTGAGAGGCCTCCCTTGTACCCTCCCTGTACTGTAGTGCTCAATCCATGCAGATGTAGATGGGCAGTGACAGACTGCCTACAAGACCAATATGAGCCTCAGGTGGCTCCCAGAATATGACAAAAATGTCATAATAAGTACGATCTAATACCCGCACCCCCCGTGGTGCGGGGACTTTTTAAACCCTAAACACCAGGGTCATGCTTCATTGGATTGGGCTCGTCAAGAGCTTTCTGAATCTTGTTTCAAATCATCTAAGGATTTATCAATTGGGAGATAGGGTCTTATTTATCCATCCTTTTTGGTTTAAAAATTGATTATTTGATGCGGGTTTTAGAATGAGCACTACAGTATATGGGTGCATCAGGGCAGTGCAGTCCTTCACCTGGTGTGTTTTCACAGAGCCCCCAGTTTTTTCCCAGGATGAGAGCTTTTGACAGATACTACAGCCGTGCATCTTTGCAAATCTGCTCTGGATGAATCTCAATTTCATGAAGAAAAAGTTGTTGTAGAAGGTTGTCCCTTGGGAATGCATGGCAGAGCTGTGGTCTTCTGCCTCGCCTATTCAAATGGAGGCCCAAGCCTCATGTATATTTCTGTCTCCGAGGAGATTCTTCAGAATTTGTAGACCCAACCCGGCGACAGCTGTCCGGCCCTGATTGAGTGCATGTGTAGGGTGAAGGGTGCTTATGGCACGCCCCTCGCGCCCTCTACTCCAAAGGGGGAATGTGATGCGAGACATTTGGGATGACAAGTGCGCATGCATGCGCAGAAGAGAGGCAACGCCCCGGGGCGGCCGGTGCTGGATGCGCTGCAGGCGATGTTGGCGCGGAAGGCGTACGATGCGTTGCAGGCCAACTTCGCACTTCGCAGCAGCGGGGAGGACGCGAAATGGGGTGCGCACCGCAAGAGTCTCTGTGACTTTCTATGATGTGGAATCAATGGGATTGTGGCAGCCTTCAGCTGCAGCTTGACCCCACGGTCTCAGAAGATCTCCAAGTGGGGCAGTTGCGTGACATGACTAGCGGGGATGCTTGAAGACGCTCCTGGCTCCGATCATTGGACATACTTTTTGAGTTTGAATTTCGAATTTTGAGTTCGAATTTGAATTCGAATCCGTGTTCTCCGCAGTCACCGACAACGAGGATCGCGCTCTAGATGTGCTGGCTGAAGAGACCACAATCTGCCTGCCGCCGCCGCCGGCTGTGGCCTTTGTGCAGCCTCCGAACGGCGGCTTGTGCTTCGTGGAAGAGATGCTCGCTCGTCAGGTTGGTCCCTTTGATTAAGCAGCTTTCAGGGGTTTTCCTGACACCAAAATAACCAGGGTCATGCTCCAATGGATCCAGCTTGTCAAGAGCTTTCCGAATCTGGTCCCAGAATCATCACAGGCTTTGGAAATTGGGAATTAGGGTATAAATTATCCACCCTTCTTGGCCAAATATAAAAATGATGATTGCGGGTCTTAGCTTGAGCACTACAGCGTTGAGTGCATTGTATGTGAAAATCAGGTGGCGGGGAGCGTGAATGCCTGGAAGGCTCTCAGCCTGAGAGAGAGGTGGGAGCGGTTGCTCTGTCCCGGCTGGAACAGCTTTGCTCCTATCATCGATCGCTCCCTACTGCGGCTGCAAGGTGATGCCCTTTCTGCCCCTGTCCCGTCCCATATTGGTGATGCTGGAACATCAACTCTAAGGAAGGAAAGGCTCTCAAAAACAGGTGCATACATTGCACGCATGCTGAGGGGTACGGAAACTATTGTGCTGGCAATGGTATAAGTTTAGGCTGTTGTTAGGGGCTATTATATATCTGAATCTGTTGGCGGGCACATGATTTCTATTGCATGATTGTGCTGCCAAAAGAAAGCCTGCGTCTACAGACAGCCGCAGTCAAATGCTGCCAATCATGTCATTCTCGCCGTTGTGAACCATTGGATTTGGCTCTGACTACGGTGTCTGCACCCAACAGGCAAAGAAAGGGAGGACGCAGCGAACCTCCTGGGACTTGATTACGCGCACTGGTTATCGGTGAATAATGGAATATTGGCGGCGGATCCCGCCCTGGAAGCCACTGTACACGTGGATGTGGTTCCAGAAGGCTACCTCCCTGAAGCAGAGTGGCCCACCCTTGCCCCGTACGAGCCAGATGAGTCAGCGGCGGATGCTGATGTCATCGATATCGCGCCAGAGGTCCTCGCAGCAGTGCAGGATTCAGCGGCGGTGCTTGCAATGGAAAATGTGAGCTCGGCGGCGGCGGCCGGTGCAACGAGCGCCGTGGCGGATCGGCCGGGGTTAGCCGCGTGGGTGGGGTTAGACCCCTGGGTGGCGGCTGCCGCGTCGGTCGGGGGCGCTCCCTACCCCCAGCCTGGCGCAGTGGTGACTCAACCTCCCGGTCCAGTCAGCTCGGAGCTCTCCACAGCAGCTGAGGACACAGCTGCAGCAGAAGCAGCCGCTTCTGTTTCAGTGGAGTCCCCCGCGGCAGAAGCACCATCTGCAGGCGAGTTAGAGCAGACTCTCCCTGAGCAGCAGGCCTCCGGTGCGGCCGGAGATAGCAGTGCAGTGGAACAAACAGCAGATGCTGATAGAACAGGGAATGCAGCAGAAGAGATAGGCGGCGCACTTGCAGAGATCGTATCGCCTGCAGCGCCAGTCCTCACCGATCAGGAGCAACAGTCAGGGCGCAGTGTTGTCGGCGATGAGTCAGCTGTTGCGCGCGCTGATATCAGCGATGACACAGTCGCGAGCGGTGACTCAGCAGTGAGCAAGTCAGACGGCGCCGGCCTGCCTTCCGGCAGCGGTGAGACCGCGGTCAGCAGTCAGGAGGCGTTGTCAGGGAAGGAGGCGGTGACTCAGGGGGTCGGTGCCAGCTCACCCGCCAGCTCAGCATCCAGTGAGTGGCTGGCGCGATTAGTAAGCCGGCCGGTGCTGCCGACGGCGGCGGCTGCGGAGGGGGAGGCCCGGCAGGGGGGCCAGGGCAGGCAACAATACAAGAGGGAGGGTTCGCCGTCGAACTGGCAGCAGGCGCCAAAACAGGGACGGGGCCAAAGCGTGCCCCGACCTGTCAGACGGCGCCATGCCGTCGTGGGGAATCTACCGTACACTGCGGGGTGAGCGCCTTTCTAGTCACTGAATGCCTTCATTGGAAAGGTGTGGTGTACTCTGGTCAACACATAAGACCTGTCCTCATTATGTCAGACTGGTGGGAGCAGTGAGCTCCCTGTCTCACTTCTTATGACAGTGGTGTAATGTACATGAATGGTATAAGGTAGTGACAGGTTGCTCCACGTTATAGTCGTCTATAACTCTCTTTGGAGACATAGGGGTCATCTGCTCATGCTCTCTCCTTATTAATTGCTGGAGCTGCATCCAATTCAGTTCAAGCCTGCGCAGCCGCCTGTGTTTGGATGCACAGTCCTTGTGCGTGGCACTGACCGTGCGTCCATTTTTGGCACTGGAGCTCCTACACGAGATTGGGAATCTTGCAGGGCGCACCCTGTCTTCTGTTGCTTCTGATTACAATCGACGATTGGGTCTTGCTTGGACCAGGCGAGTCCGTCAGGGGTGGGGCCATGTGGCAGCCTTCACCTGCAGCTTGCGAGCAGACGCACCTTGCCTCCTCGCAGGCACCAGGAATTAGTGTTCGTGGTAACACCAAGAAGGTTATGGGTGAGAGTCTCAGTACTGAAACCCGTGAGACTACTGCCGAAACTACCTGAAGTGTGCATTTGTGTGTGCCTGCAGGACGTACATGACGAAGCAGCTGCTGCCGTACGATCAGCGCCATTGGAAGGCGGCCGGGATTCTGCTATTCTCCCACGCCCCCGACGGCTCGCTGCTGCTGCTGCTGGGCAGGATAGAATCCGCGCATTCCCCGGCCACCGTCAGCGGGAAATGGCGCCGCCAGGAGGGCTGGTGGATCCTGGGTGAGTGATCATGTATTGCCTTATGTTATTCAAATCAAATTTGAACCCGTGTAATGCGTTTGGTGTACGTTTAACATTTTGGGTTGCACATGCGCGGCCTTTATTTCTAGACGAGAGATGAGAGATGAATATACTTGGGAGCATGCACGCCAAGGTAAAGTTGGCCACTGATTTGGGGGGCCCTGGGTGGTTCCTACGATAGGCCTGTTCCTTATCTTTATCTTTATTATTATTATTATTATTATTATTATTATTATTATTATTACTGTATTATTATTATTATTATTATTATTATTATTATTATTATTATTATTATTATTATTATTATTATTATTATTATTATTATTATATGTATTATTATTGTATATAATTAAATGGGCGCTCGCTTCGCAGGGGGCAAGAGGGACCCGACGGACTTCTGCGCGCAGGCCACGGCTGTCAGGGAGATGACCGAAGAGACCGCGGGTATGTATGTTGGTATCGTACTATCAGGACCTTGCAACCTACGGGAGTTGGCCTTCTTAAGCGCCCTTTTCTCAGGAAGAACCACAGCATGTCGCAATGTGCCTGGAGGCAGTACAGTATTTGCAGCATACTTTTGGAAAAAAACACAGAGTTGCCATACTCTCTTGGAGCCATGAGGTACTAGGGATGAGTGGCGCTTGATTAGTGATCAGACATCTCTGCATGGGATGCCATGGCAAGCAGGCATGGAATAAAATAGCCACTCTGATGTACTCTCATCGCATGTTCCAAGGTATTGGAGTGACATGGTGGGAGCATTTTGAGAGATTGTCTGCTCTGCCCCAGCCGGCATTTGCTTGCCCACAGCTGAAGCCAGACTCTTGAGACAGTTGACAGCTCCAGGCAATTTTCAACCGCACACTGACAGCGGCTATGCACGTGATCACAGCTGAACTTCTCCTGTTTGGGGATATTTTCTTGAATTTGTCACCCTCCAATCTTGCACAACATCTGGTAAGAGTGGCTTTGGAAGTGTCCGACAGGACTTCAACAATAGCTGGTGTGTATCCATGAAGGGCGTTTCTTGGTTTTGTCACCCTTGAAGAGTACATCTGCTGAGATCGGGTGTGAATATGCGCCCAGGGATTCTTTCGGGCTACCACGTGTGCGGGGACGATTTGGGCGAGGTGCTGTGGTACCCGCCGGGAAGCTACGCGGTCTTCCCCTACCTGCTGCAGGGGCGGCTTGACATTCCAAGTGCGCCCATCTTGGCTTACGAGACGTTTCATGAGTTACTAACCTCCTCCCCTCTGATGTGTAAACTTCATCCGGTGATGTGGCAGCGCATGCCGGTACACTCTGGCAGGTTCTGGCAGGGATATGCGCCAGCCTGACAGCCTGACCTGCCGACACCACAGCCACAGTCTGTCACAGCTTATTTAGGTCTTAGGGACCAAATACGTAGAGCACAAATTCAGAGTGTTAGGATGAGGCAGAGTTGTAACATTGGCGCACGGCGGTATGTGAAGCTGCTCTTTATGTGCCAGTTTGACAAATCGATCTGCGAACGCACCACACACACTCTCCCATAGCTTGAAAGACCAGTGGCGCACTCAGCAGAGTCAATACATTGTCTGAACTGACTTCTAAGTATATGTGTGTCGGCGCAGGACGTTACGCGAAGCTGCGGTCGATGCGCGGGCGGGTGAAGGGCCGGCGGCGTTTCCGGCAGGCGGGCAATCCCAAGCCCATGTCCGCGCTCTCCTGGGTGCCCCTGCGCGACCTCGTTGAGGGGCGGTGAGTCACTTTTCCTCCATGTTCCTGGTGTTTTTCAACGAGATGCATCCCAGATCCCATGCATGTCATCACACCCTGCATGCTCGAACCAATCATAATGATTTGCCTAGGAATAAACATCCGCCTCCTGCCATACCCAGAGCTTCAACATCTCTTTTCTCCTGTTGCCGGTCGAGATAGGCTTCGGCAGCACTCTTAGGTGAAGGGGCTGCGGTGAAGTGAGGATGCAAATTGACAGCTCGTCTGCACGGACGTCCTGTCTGTGTTGAGTCTTGTCTGTCCTGGTTTTGATCCTCACATTGTTTGGCGTCATCTACCGTTATTCGTGACGTCAGAATATTTCACAGCAACCTCAGATATTATTGCCATGTGCAGACGTCACTTCATGGTTATTTTTAAAAGCAGTTTCAGCTCAGAACATTTTGTCAGTGCTATTTTTGGAAAGTCACCTGCATCACACCAGAAGTGACAGAAGTGCAGAAGTGCCCGCCTTGCCACTTCTGCAAAGGGATGACTAATGGCTCATGTCATCATCTCCAGCTTTATTTTAAGCTGACATGGCATGTGCGCGCAGGTGCCGGCTGCACTGGATCCTGGAGGACATGCTGCGCCGCACGCCCCTGCTGCCCTACCTGCGCCAGATGGAGGCCCTGGGGCCCCCCCAATCTCCTGCCAGAGACCCCCCTCCCGCCACCACTGCGCCCCCCGCTGGCAGATCGGGGTGGACCTACAGTGACGGCCCCGCCAGAGGTGCGCAGGCAAGGATGTGCAAACTAGCGATACCCTGGGCACTTGCATGTTGCATCAAAGATTTTTTTAATTGCACGTCAGGGTTTTTTTCCGTGGGTGCTGTCTTGCTGGCAGTGAAGCAAGCAGCTTGCACCCTCTCATGCTTGTGAGCTGAAGCTGGCTGGCACTTGTGGCTTTTTGCCCTGCGGCATCGTTGCGTCTCCAAGGGCTTTGGAAATGGAACTTTCCTTACTCACCCTGCTCGGTTGAGTATTTACGTTCTTCAGCAGGGACACTTCAAGGGCCAAAATCTGATTCCGTTGCATCATGGTGCAGGATTGCCACCTGGGCGTGCGAATGCGCGTGCTGACTGGACGTCCGCTCCGCTGAACGGCGCTGCAAAGTCCGGCAGGGACTGGTGGGCTCCCAGTAAGGATGCGATGACGGCTCATGACATGACGGCCGAGCGACCCGGAAGCAGATGGGAGAAAATCGCCGTGGCGCCGAGCCTTGCCGCCCCAGCAGTAGTGGATGCAGCGCAGAGCAACGGGGCGGCGGCGGCGGCGGCAGCCGCCCCGGAAGCTTCCCCGGCGCCGGAAGCTGACGGCCTGGTGCGGCCGCGCGCCTCCGAGCAGCAGAGCTACGCGGCAGTCGAGCGGGCAGCTATAGGTGCGCTGTGAGATTGTGACAGACCCACACTCGCGTTCCGCCAAAGACAGCAGACAGCAGTGCCCTCGCATGGCTGCCCTTGTGTCAAAACAAACCCCTTTGCAAAGGAGAGGTGCACTGTGTCCTCGAGTCAAGCACTACCTGTTGCCTCCTGCAATACTTTAAGGCCTGAGATGACCCCTGAGTGGGGCACCCTATTACATAGCAAGCAATGCAGCTCCTCGCTCAAGATGTGCCCTAATGTAGAGGCTCAGTAAGTAAGAAAGAAAGGCAGCAACGGGATGAGAAGACCATTCTACATGGTTTTTACTTTCCTGGTGCCCTGATGTGGTCATGTGACAAGTTGTCCTTGTCACCTGTAACACCTGCACCCCCGGCAGTGCAGGAAAACTTTCACAGTAATATGAAGGGGTCTTCAAATCGCAAAAAGCACCTGGGGCATTCTGAATCTAGTGTGTCACAGGTTTAATAGTTTGGGGTTGCTTGCGCAGAGTTCCTGAAGTCGCAAGGGAGGGAAGAGGATGAGGAGGGATCGCAGCGGGAGACGGCGTCGGCCGGGGAGCCGACAAAATCACTGCTTCGGCCGTGGAAGCGGCGGCGGCCGCGGCTCAAACGAACGCAGATGAAGCGGGTGGTGTAGCCGGCCAAAATCCAATTGTGGTTCTCAGGCCTCCAAAAGGAGAGAATGCTTACATGGAATCTGCAACTCTCTGGCCGATAGGGGAGAATGCTTACATGGAAACTGTAAATCTCTGGCCTATATATAAGGAGGGAATGCTTACATGGGGAAGTCCTAACAGGCACGATCCTCAGAGCACTGCAGTGCTGGCCAGGCATGTTGACAGCCGCGAGACTCTGTATTGAGAACTCTCATGCTCAAGCTTGCAGTTGCGAGTGGTTGTTTCCCAACCGAACAGCATTGAACCGAGGCGATAACGGGAATGAGACTGCGTTCTGGTCGCATGTAGATCTTAGAGCATCTTGAGGAGAGCAGGCGAGTGCAGCCTGATAGGTAGGGCGTTCAGCTTGTGTGACTAGTGGTTGACAGAGAAGGTCGAGCTGAGCTTGTTCCGGCTAAGCTAGGCACAATTGTTCCATGCACGTCTTTTGAGGTATTGTGAAATGAGAAGCTTCAGCGGGCAGTGTGGATCACATGTACATGTGCGGTGGCATTGCAGCTGCGTTGCATTTGAGTCAATGTGGGCAGATTTGACCGGGCTGAAACGCACTTAGATTGCATTATAAACAGTATTTACAAGAAAATGCCCCAATCAACCCATCAACCTTATATAGGGCATCCCGCCAAAATGTCCATGTGCATGTCAATATCAATGTTCAACCCGGGAGCCCCGGCAAGTTAACACCTGCAGAGATGCCTGTACCTACACACGCCGACCAACTCTGCAGGTGAAGCAAGCCTAGTGTGCCATTTGCAACAGATATGTGACGAAAAGGCACCCAAAAATGACAGACAAAATGCTGCGGTGCTTCACATTGCAGCAATGCATGTTCAGTATTGTTCAATTAAATCCAACAGAGAGCTGTCAAGGCCACTCTGGCCTCTGCCGGGTCACAAGTATACAGTCATTCATTCGTTCAGGCTAGAAAAGGAATAATGAGAAAATTTCAGGAGCAATCAAGTGGTCATGCCAAGCTTTTGGGGCTGCAATACCACATTGCTGTACAACCACCCTTCCGGGATCCCAACATAATCCTTCTGTTGGCTGTTCCACTCAAACAGGTGAGGCCCTCCCTTTGAGGTTACCTCGGCTAGCGCTGGTTCTCTCTCACATACTACATCTCCTGTGAAACAGACAGGATGCTGCCATGGGCGCAGAGGCTTGTTCTCTGCTGTTCTCTGCCCGGTCTGAGGTCTGCAGTTTCATAATGTTTGCAGCCACTAGCTCCATCGTGACATGCTATCAGTGATGCCACTCACAACTGCTGTTGCATGAGGCCTGTCTCAAACTGAGCCCAACAGGAAACTTCCCGCTGAGAATTTCTCTATCAACAAAATCGCAAGCTCGGCGCTGCAAGCACCAGGCTGATGTCATGGCAGGTCCTACGGGGCAGTACTGAGGTTAGACGGCTCCTCAAGAGCGCACGCCTCAAATAATTGGCTAGGTACACTGTGTCAGGATACGATGGTAACTCTGAACATATGTGTCTGTCTGCTGGGCTTGCACGGTGCATCCCTCGGCGACGACGCCGTAGTCCTTTCTAATGGACTCCGTTGTAGGAGAGCTTAAGCTGGTAGCAGCTCCCTCCGCTTGATGCTGACCCTGATGGAACTCTAGGTGAAGGGCTGCATATTCCCTCCGGGCAAAATACAGCTGACGGACCACTGCCAGCGCCCAGTCTCCACAGGTCTGCCGGTATGGGCGTCGACGCTCCAGCGGTCCTGGAACCTTTGTCGGACCTGCGCGAGTGATTGCGATGTTAGTCAGGGACCATCACAACAGGATCAGCACGCAAGCCAGGACCAGGCGACACACATGCTAACCGAAATGGAAACTCAACAAACGCTCTACGCTGTGCGTGTACTGCAATCGCAGACTTCCCCTACACGCCCACAAATAACGCATGCCCCTCTTTTAAAGGACGCTGATGAGGATGGCCTCTTCCATGAAATCTCCACTTCTACAGGCAGCGACATCTTGCGACAGCATGCAGAGAGATACCAAAACTGTACAACACAGGCAAACCGGCAGTGTGCGAGACTGCACACATACGACTCGTCCGTCATCCAGAGGATGCATTACTCGGATGTTAGCACCCAAACGTAAATACTGCTGCTTCCTCACACTTTTGACTCGATCTCCAAGTACCCAATGTGCAAGCCCGCACCTGTTGCTCGGCTGCTTGAAAGTATTCTCCCACTTGCTGTGCTTTTGGCATATGCCCGAAGAGGCTGGCTGCAGCTGCGCGCAGGTGGCCACTGCTGGGCAGGTGAGTCGCTTCGCCCACAGGACATGCTCCAGTGGTCACTGGGGGACAAAGCCGGCTCCTGCTATCAACCTCCTCGAACTCCTCGCCCTCAAGTACGGCGGCATCCGGCAGCTCCCGATGTTTCTTGTTGTTAAACAGGATGCGGCGGGCTGACGACCCCGTGGAGCCCGTGGGCACGTTGATCTTCTTGTCCGGGGTCACCATCGCCTCTGGAGGCTCTGGCAGCTTGCGTTTGCCCTGTGCTGGCTCAGCTGGCGGCATGGCTGACTGTGTCGTATTGCTACAATCCCAACTCGCCCTTTCCTTGCTCCTCGAAGCTGCTGTTCCCGCTTCTGTCAGGCGCCGAGGCTCCTTTGCTTGTACACACAGCGCAGCAGGCAGGCGTTTGAGCTCTCTTTGCGGGACTGCTTTGCTACAATCTTGTTCTATAGACTATACTTATGGTGCCCTGCCCGCTTACGAGACCAGCACGGCCCGCTCAAATGGCCGTACGTGGCAGCGAATTTTATGCAATTGAACAGAAAAGCGGGAGTGTTCGGCCGAATGTTATGAAAGTTCTCTGAATGTTCAGGGCTGTATTGTGGGCCGGGGACACCGTGCTGGGACACCTGTCAGACCTCATAAAGTGTTTTTCTGTCCAGGATGTACACTCTGACGCCAGAGCCTGCTTGTATTTATCAGCAGCGACATGTCCGTGCGTCACGATGCGATTGGAGAATGTGTTCTGATGGAGTGATGGGCACACTAGGCTGTGAAGGGATTGCCGTACAAAATGTACTATAATATATCAAGATGATGGCCACATCCGGTGGACAAGGTCCGCGTTGCTAGCCACGAAATGAAGCGCACTCCATGAGACAACTGGCCGCCAGATACTTCTTAAGACCTGCAGGACGGGTGACAGTACTCAACAACTCTAGGGTCTTGCTCATGCTGTCAACTTGAATGTTGTGTTCATCATGATGAGCCACTGATCAGCCATTTCCCCTTTGTCCAGATCCAAGCTTATGGCGCTCTTACTCAAGCAGCAATAAAGCAGTGACATGCTACAAAATGCTGAGATTCCAAATCAGAGGAACACACATGGACATGGTCTACACTGCTCAGTGTCACGGTGCCTGAATCACCAACTCTCCTGGCATCACACTGAAACAAGCAGCACCCCATTCTTCTTTCCATGTGGTGGACAGATCACAGAGTGCAAAACCACACACAGGAGGACAACTTGTACACACCTCATGGCAAACGACACGTCACACATTCATCATCCCTCACCCCGCAACACATGCACGGTGGGCGGCCCCAATGCACTTCCTTGCAATAGAACCTGGGTTTGCTTCAGATGCGTAGATCCTCTGGACAGCTCGACCCTAATGCGCACCCATCCATGCCAGGGATGCCACATTATCCTGCTTGCTCACAAATCCCCCAGTATTGTTCTGATGATGGCTGCATGAACCCTTTTACGCAATAGTGTGCGCATCTCCCAAATGTTCCATGATTGCTTCTGCAGACCTCAGAATAAGCCAGCTGCGCCTTCTCTCCATTGGGCGTCTCCATTTTTTGGACCACGCTGTTTAATTTTCCCTTCCATTTTCCTTGCATGGGACTGGAGGATTGGTCCACACACTGCTCCGAGGGATCTGCATCCCTGTGTTTCTGCATGACGCCCCATGCAGTTGCGAGCTTGGGCACTCTCCCTGTGAAATACACCCAGTCTCTGCCCTGCCCTGCCCTGCAGCCGCATCAATCTCAAAGCAGCTCCTTCTGGTGAACACTCTGGGCCTGGCTATAGCAGCACCGGCGCCTAACTGCCCGGCTGCTGTGCCTGTGGAGCATCGACATCCATCTGCTCTTGGGCCGCTGTGTCCGGCTGTGCTGCCTCCTGTGCACCCGGCTGTTGTGACTGACCCTCGCTTGCTGCTCCATTCGCCTGCATGACAAACGAATACCTAGTATTGAGTCAAGGCATGCACATATTATTATGTTGCATGAAATCCATGAAGATGTGAGAGGACACTTTATCTTCACCGGTTGCGAAGAGAGACACAGACACGCAGATGCTTGCAGAGATGTCGGCCATGCGGATGCCTTGTTTCGGTTGACCGCTCACACACATATTCTTTGAAAACAACAGGGTGAAGATGGGACATCTGATGCCCCCTAGGGATTTTACGGCGCTGCTTCGAGACAACAGCATCACAAGTGACAAAAGCAGCTGCTGCTCAGAAGCGGCTGCATGCTCACATGAAAGAAAGCTGCCAGGATAACATTGTGGAGCAGGCAACAAACAGAATCCTACCAGAAAGATCACAATTTGCTTGACAAAACCAGCTGCCTCATTTCCACTGTCTTGCCCTTCAGAATAAGATTTCTTGTCGAAAAGGACTGAATGCGCCATAGACCAGATCAGGGCAGTCTTCACCTTCATGTCATGCGATAGATTGCCCCACTCAGAGAACATCTGAGGCCTTAGGATCCAGGTTAACCATTATTGCCAGGGGAAATTGATCGTGCCTGTTCTGGCTGTGGCTGCGTCGCCTGTTCTGGCGCGGCGGCTGCGATGTTTTGCCGCGCCTTGTCGAATTGCGTGGCGCTGACTGACGGATCCGTCGTATCCGCCCATATCTTGACCTGGCAAGTATCGAAAGACAAAGGTTGCTTCAGAAGTCAAGAGCGGAATGCTGACATGGTGTTCTGCAGTTCCGATCATGAGACCATGACCTTCAGGGTTTTCTCAAGTTGAAGCACATTGTGCAGCATATTTTAGATACTGATCCACAAGAGATTTAGAATATGCTCACGGGGCCTGGCACACATCAACACTGTGGGCCTGTGCAAACTGGTAGTCTAAATAAAGCAAAGGTTCATATAAGCTTTGCATGAGAGAAAAGATGCAGTGGCTGAACAGCCTGCTGTGGTGAACAAGCAGCACCCGAATCACACATCTCTATCAGCAAACAGAACAGTTGCAACCTCTCTCAGGCTACTTCAGCACCGGAAACAGGTGTTAAGAAACAGGACCGCGCACCGTCCTGTCCTTTTCCAGGGCGCCAGACGCGATGACAGACAGCGTGGGGTGCGCGTCGACTGCCAGCACAGCATCGCAGTGGCCGTCCCCGGGGGCGTTCTCATCCGGCCGCCCCTGCAGCCGCTGCATCAGCTGCGCACGCATGGCACACCGCCTGATCAGGCTTCTGAGAGAAAGGTGGTTTGCCGTAGTTGCGCACGCATGGGCACACCGCCTGATCAGGCTCCGCCTGATCAGGCTTCTGAGAAAAGGATGTAATAAGAATTAGAAAATGTAGAAAAGTGCAAGCGGGGGACCGAGGCCCCTGAACCGCTGCAGCAGATGCGCACGCATGGCAAACTAACTTATCAGATATAGCAAGTTAAGATCCCAGCTCTGAAGAACGAGGACCAAGCACACTATCTTGCGCCGCGACCATTCCCCGATCTGGCCTAACTGATTATCACATACAAGCTTGCAGTTCATGCTTGTAAAGCAGCAGATCCTCTGAGTCCAGGCTTATACAGACTATCTCTTGACCTCCCTCCTACGCACAAGGTGCGGATGCCCACAGTGAGGTATGTGGACAATGAAAATACTGTAGTGCTCATTCTAAACTTTGTATCGAGCATTTGGCCGGACGGGGTGGATACTTAGGACCCTCTCTCCCATAAATACGACCCTAAGATAATTCTGAGACCGTATTTGGAAAGCTCTCGACAAGCTCAATCCAATGGAGTGCAACCCTGGTATTTTTGAAGTCAGGAAGACCCATAATAATTGCTTTCAGATCTTTCCCGCATCCCTGGCGGTGCAGTTTTCAGAATGAGTACTACAGTATAGGATTTGAGTTCACATCTAAAGTCGCACCTGCTTCCCGTTGAGATGCCAGATGCAGATGGAGGAATCTTCTGAGCCGCTGATGACCCACTTGCCCTTGGCGTCCGACACGCTGAAGGCCGCAAATATGCAGTGCTGTGCGTTCTTGTGGCCTGCTCAAACACACATGCTGTCAACTCCCACAGTCATCACAGGGTCGGTCTTCTAAAGTGTGTTATTTGGGGGGTGTGATTCAACACGAGATAGACTGAACAGGTAATTTTCTGTGACACAAAAACCACCACTGACGACCGAGGGCAGTACAAGAGTCCTCTGCAGACGTACTGACGCACTAATATGCCCCTACAGTACTATCATTGGGCATCCCACAACTCATTCTTAGTGACATTCTGCCTCCTTCTCTACTTTGCCTCCTGCAGGCCTGCTTGTTGGAAAGCCATTCAAGCCTGGCCTCAAGCCTTGCAACTAACTCAACTTTCACGATGTCACGCCTGCATCATCGAAAGCTGTATATGTTGCAAGCTTGAGGCCCGCTTCTGGCACAAGATCAAGGGTTTTAGGGGGCAATGAGAGGGTCAGGGGGCTATAATGAGGGGCGCGTACCGGTGTAGACCTTGAGCTCCTTCTGCTTGTCGTAGTCCCACAGCTTGATCTTGTGGTCCAGCGACGCCATCAGCACATAGCGGCCGTTTGGCGAGAACTGGACATGGGAGATCGGGGGATGCGCATCCATCATGATTGTCCGCAGGCACTTGCCTGCAGTAAATTATCCAAATACTCACACTTGATAGATTTGAGAACGTTGAGCAGCTGAAACGTCTGCAGCACTTGCCTGGAGCAAGTTATCAGATGTGGAAGTTTGAAGAGCTGACTCAGCAGCGATGGCTTGTGACTTTCAAAACCTGCATGTTGATACCCGGTACAGAACATCCAGGCAGCCAGTCCAGAGAGGCATGCCTGCCTGAATGCTTTGTTCATGGGTGTCACACTGCAGTGGCTGCAACAAGTACACAGCAAGACATTGCTGCTGAAAAGATGCTGCAACCATACAGAGACATGTTACAAAGACGCAAAAATGTGTGTACTGCGAGCCACCCCTGCAGCTTTTAAGGAAGGCTCACAGTCCCCCACAAATAAACCCGGGTTCTTATTGGATTCCAGAAGCACATGCATGCTCCAGTGAGTGAGCGCCCAGATTGATTTAGAAGCAGGGGTCACACCGTCTGAGGAGTCCCAGATGCGGATGAGGCTTTGTCATCTTGATGGACCCTTACCCTTCTATCTTTTTGTCATTGCAAATAGTCCCAATAATGGTGCAGATGTGTGAGCGCCCAGATTTAGAAGTAGGGGTCACAACACAGTGGCTGCAACAAGTGATAGTTTTATTTATTTACAAGTACGGGTCGCACCGTCTGAGGAGTCCCAGATGCGGATGAGGCCGTCGTAGGAGGCCGACACGATCAGCGACCCGTCCCGGTTGAAGTGCACCGCAGTTACTGGGTCCGAGTGCGCCGGCAGAGTCTGCACCATATCACACAAACTTAAAATTCTGAGAAATGCTGCATCATATGAAAACATCACCAGTTCCGTTGGGTGGGGTCTCAGAAGATAGCAATCCCTAGAACGTTACTTGCTTTATTATATGATATATATTATTATTATTATCATATGATACAGCTGACTGTCCAGCGGAAAATACAAACAATCAGGGTGTGGCACCAATGAAGAGGACATGGCCCTTTCGTTCCAGACAGATCGATCAAACAACTCTGTACAACAGCGAGCCAGAGTCAGGGTAGGGGCAGCGCACCTTAAGGCAATTGCCACTCATGGCATCCCACACCTTGACAGTCTCGTCAAAGCTGCCGCTCACCTGCGCAGCCGCACCCTCACTAGGCACGCATGCTTGTGCAATTATAAGGTACAAAGACGTTCATATTGAACGAACTCCTGGAGACCAGCTTGATCATTTGATCAGGTATAATCAGTCACATGCCTGTGCATTGGCCATGCCTGGAGGCTCAGCAGAACTCAGAGCGCGCACAAGAGAATGCAGTGGCTTCCAGTTTCCAGCAGTATTCAGGCACATCTTTGAGCAGATAGTGCACTTGCAAGTCCTGGATGCTGTCATTTTACTTGATTCATTCACTTAATTTGCCCAGCGGGCGAGGCTCCCACCAGGATGGGCTTGACGGGGTTGAAAGCGCAGCAGAAGACATAGTGTGTGTGGCCCTCCAGTGTGCGCAGGCACTCCCCGCTGGCAACTTCCCACAGCTTCAGCGTGTTGTCATCGGACGCTGTGGCGAGATATCTGTCCCGGTGCTCCCAGCTGACGTCACACAGCCCCTGATGATGTAGCACACACAGCTCAGGCTTGTCACTAACGTACTGGCTGTGGTAGGTAATCATGCTCAAGGTGTTATGTGTGCAAAACCCAGCAAGTGCCAGTCATGCCAAGATGCAAGGTTAAATTGCAACAGTCCATGAGACTTGCGATCTCTGAGGTAGTGAATCTCGAGATTGATCAACGGATAGCAGTGCTGATTCCTTCACAACTAACTATTCATCATTCTCGTGCCTCACTATCCCGGATCACAATGCATCAACGTTATCTCTGGCTGGTGGACACCCATGCAAGAGCAGCATTGCATGCCAAATGTCTGGTTTCATTCCTTCGAAAGGGGCATATGTTCAGATGTTCTGATGATGAGTACTATTGGTCAGTGATCCTCAAGGCAGGCAAATCACAACTGATGCAACATTTCCCGAGCATGAAGATGGGCAAGCTGCAGACCTTGGTGTGCCCTTCCAGCGTGTGCAGGCACTTGCCGGTGAAGATGTCCCAGATCTTGGCGGTCTTGTCAGCAGACGCAGTCGCCAGGTAAGCGCCAGTGTGCGAGAACTTGACTGACACCACTCCCAATGTATGGCCTGCAAAGCACCATACATGCCATTCACTGTATGCCCAGCCAGCACCAGGTAAATACAGCAGACTCACCTCAATCAGCAGTGGCAGAGCTTGACTGCACTGCATTCCTCAAATGGCGGGATGGCGTGCATGTTGGCCGCACCTCTGAGTGTAATCTGCAGGCTGTAGGTGGGCGCTGTTACGACCCGGTGTTTGCCGCTGCTTCCTGCTGGCTTTGCATCTGGCATAGGGACGTCCGCCATAGGAGCTGCTCGGTTCCCCAGACTTGGTGATGTCCCGTCCAGTGCTTCAAATATCACGATGTGATAAGATCGCTCGACGATATGTCGTCGATGTGCAGCGGCGTACACCTCAAATCCGAGGTTTCCACATCAAAAAGCGGTGGCCTGATATGGTCTTTGAGACGGGCTGTGAACCGATCTGACGTTATATGCGGCAAACCAAGGAAACACAATCTATGTAATCAGCTGCAAAAAATCTGCTCACAAAGCCTTCAATAAAAAAACCCGATGAGTGCAGGTTATGAGATGCAGGCCAGAAACGGGGATGCTCCCACCATGCAATTCTGTGACTGTGTTCTTCAAGAAATGTCCAGCAAAACAAGATGCTGCCAAATCGATGATCGCATCTTCCAATGTTCATCGAGCAACAGCTGCATTGGGAGGTCCGTTTGAGGGGTCCGCACCGCGCCTCCAAATCAGGAGCCCGCCAGGTTTTGAGTCATCGAGGGACAGCTTCTTCTTTTGGCGAAGCATGCCTGACATGAAGCCGTGAATAAACTTGTTACTACGTTCTTTTCTGCATCATTAGAGCGCTTTGCGTCTCTGCCTCCAACGGGGAAGAGAGCAACGCCTGGTCTCAAATTCTGATGGCAGCAAAGTTTAAGATCGCTGAACCAATTCCTGACATGGATTCATTCAACTGATCTCATACATACTGTTGACTGCAACATTCGCACAGCAGTCTGTGGCTGCAATATTGGTCAGTTGGGCCCCGTCGTCAACGCAAGTAAAGGGTGAATGCGCCAAAAAAACCAATCAGGAAGGCAAACGGCATTCTTCAGACGAAAATGGTCCCTCCTAAACAGCATTTCAGAACCCAACGAGGTTTCATCGACCAGCTGCGTGCACGACAGCTGAGTGGCAAACCAGGTACCACTGTTGGCCTTTTGTAGCCTTCTGACATGATGCACGTGGGATTGGACCACACGTTCTCATCACACATGCCAATATTCACCTGAGTAGTCCCTGGATATCGATGCCTGAGATCTGATTCTGTCAAAGTGCACAGCATTACTTTCAAGCGGGCATCTACACTGCTCTGCTGCTCTGCCAAAGATTCCAGCTTGGAGCACAGTGATTGACTTGAGACCTGCCCTGTGCCTGCGCAGTGCTGTCCAAGCCATACTTTGAGGACTTTTGCAATGACTCAAAGATCGGAGGAGGCACCATCCAGATCAACCCAGGGGGAATGCCCAGCCCGCCCTTCACAGTGCGATACAACCAGGTACACACCAGCACACCCACTTATACGCCCTGAGAAGAATCCAAGATAAGCCATGGCGCAAGCATTAGCTTGCCCTGTAGCTGTGCAGCATGCGAGATCCCCAGAACAGATCTAGCCTGTTGGCGGGCGATGCATGCACAGAGGAGGCAAGCAGTGAGGCTGCAATGATCATTGGGAGAATGGCTATATCTTTGACTGAATGCTGTAGCAGTGCATCTCAAGACAAGTCTTTGACCCAGTCATGCCTGTCTTCTACGCAATCCTATGCATGCCACAATAGGGTGCCCCGACTAGAGGTCATGGGGCCACTGCCTATATTGCCACAGGAAATAAGACCAGATTGGTGTTCCACCGCCCAAAGATCACCCCCTGAGGCTTTGCATGCATGCATGGAACAGGTGGCGGGCTTTAATCAGGGGAAATGGATTGCAATAGGGGACGAAGAGGGACACGTGTCAATCGTGGATGGGACCCTCGAGCTGCCAGAGGCGCTGACCCCTGGCATGCCTAATGGCCGGCGTGCCACTGCGCAGTGGGTGGCACACCACAATGCCATCTTTGATCTGGCCTGGTTTCAGGTGAGGAAACTGTTTCCTTCTTTGCCAGTGGCAATCTGGCCCTGGCTGGCGGGTGCGGTATAAATACTCAGCACCGTGCCCACGGCTGATTGGATCTTGCTTGGATCTGGCGAGTCCAATAAGGGGTAGGATTGTGGCAGCCTTTGAATGCAGGACGTACCTTGCCTTTTGGCAGTGTAAGAACAAAACAATTTGGCAGCGTCCTGCAACTGGTGCCTGGCACTGGGTTGAGATGGACCCTGAGACAATAGTGCAGCTTTTGCCGCCATACTGTAATGATGCCCGCTTGTTGAGACTTTCCATGGAAGCCATGAGATATGGTGGGACCGATCTGTGGACGACGCTGCCGAGATAAAGCTGTCATGGAAGAGGAGGAGGATCCTTGTGGCATCTTACGCCGCTGCCAAAGCCAGGGTCCACACGCGTGTTGCAGAGATGGCCTGCTTTGCGCAGAGGATGCAGGTCCAGCACAGCTCAGGGCCATATCTGCCCAGCTCAACACAGGCAGAACAGCCCATCACTAGCAAGCCCCGCAGCATGCAACAGAAAATCTAAGGAGGAGGCAGCTCCGCATGTGTGACCCGTAGATGCTGTCCATGTGCCCTGCAGCACAGTACTCTGAAAGCCCGAGTGGGTTTAAAAACCACAGTCGTCAGCGTTCCTGTGATCCTGATCTGGCGAGGGTTGCCCATTTGCAGGAGGATGAGCGGATGCTGACTGGATCTGGCGACCAGTGTGTGCACCTGTGGGACACCGCCTCTGCGCGCGGCGTGGGGCAGTTCCGAGGCCACAACGGCAGCGTCAAATCCGTGTGCCCCCACGCGACCAACCGCAACATCTTCGCCTCAGGTGAGCATCCTGTGCAGGAAAGCTTGATTTGTGCAGCCATGCATGCTTGGTGCAGCATCTAAAGTCAAGTAGACAGTGCATGATACTCTTGTAACAGGCTCTTTGTGTACACAGTCTCTTGATGGTCAGGAAAATCATCTGCTGCGGTACCAAAAGAGATTGCCTCTGGGCACATGCTGAGATTACAGCTTAAGTCATACCACAAAACATTTCAGGGACAAGGGTTTGAGGACAGTGGCCTTACACTCATGATCGCGGCGATGCGCACAAGCAGAGCTCTGTGCAGACCCGGGTGGAGTTGCAGGAGGCAATAGAAGGCTGTTATTGTTGTAATGGCGAGCTCTTTAGGCTGGTTGGGATTGCATTGGCGCACGCTGACAGCAAGAAGAGCAGGAATCGTGCAGTGGGACAGCTAGGAATATGGGCCTATTTGACATAGAACTGTTGGCTGCTGTGTTAGCCGGCACTCCTTGCAAAAGATGAGGAGAGAAGCAGGCATTCATGCGCCACACCCTGGGTTTGATGAGCCAGCAGGACAGGTATTCACGCCTGATCATCAGCACGCAGGCAAACAGCCAACAGCCATGGTGTGAACTCTCTCTTGAATGCATGCAGGGGCCAGGGACGGCGCTATGATGGTGTGGGATATTCGCTGCCCGGCCATCATGTGCAACCGCAGCAACACCGCCTACCAGGCACCTGTGCTAGCCGTCCAGGTGTCAGCTCCTACACATTTCATGCATTTTTAAAGGTAAAATAGTAATTGCAACAGAATGCAATGACACTCCCATTGGCAGCAGGGAGGAGGCTGATGACGCCCAGTTTAAACAATTGCAGTGCCCCGTTGGGTGCTGCAGTCATACCAGGGATTTGTGGTGCTTGACGCCCTTAGAAGCACACGATTTCCATATAGACATGCGTTTCTGAGCTGGAACCTCGGCAATACCTGTGGATCTGTCAAATCTCTGGGCTGCATGATGAGGAGACTTTCGCCCTGGGGGATCCCATTTACCAGCATATTGCTGCAGCCACACCCACAATGTAAAGAATGCTGGCGTGAGCAGTTCTTCTTACTGAATGTCCCTGCAGGATGCGCACAAGGAGGTCGGAGCAGCAAAGGGGGCAAAGGGCCGCCGGCGCAAGTACGGCCCCTTTGAGACCAAGCACACCGTCACCTCGGTCGTCTTCCTTCACAGCGAGTACCTCCTAGCGACCGCCGGTAAGCTTTCCTCCACTCATTCTGCGCTGACCGATTCAGCTTCAGCAATGCACCGTGCCATTACAGCTTGCAACACTGTATGTCTCAAAGAAGACAGTGCCTAAGATTGCACCACAGTTTTCAAAGCCTGCCCTTGCAGTGGGTCTGTGCATCTGCCCTGCAAGCAACAGCCAAGCTCTTCCCATCCATCAACCAAGTTTCAACCCAGCGAGTTGTACGCTGCAAAGATTGCAGTGGACAACGTCTGTGGCTCTGCGAACGTGCCCGTGTCCTAGCTTGAGCGTCTGTCTCCACTTGGGCTGCAGTACTGACTGTCAGCTGCTCTCCTGTTGTGCTTCTGTGTGAGAAATACTGCGGCCGTGCTGCGCAGGTGACAGGGACGACGTGGTCAAGTTTTGGGATATGCGCCGAATCACAGAGCCCAGCCTGCACCTGGCGCTGCCCAAGCACCTGCCCAGCTCAGACTTCCTGCTGCCCATGGTCAGTCGACCCTGCCCATGATTAGTCACCCCTGCCCCAGCTCTGCCTTCCTGCTGCCCGTCGCCCGCACCCCTGCCCAGTTGTCCCGCTGACTATGCCTAGTGTCCTTAGCTCCTCGTCGTGAATATTTGCCAGTCGTCACGAGTCCTTGAGCATTCGACAGCTGCTATCAAGGGCTCAAAATCCTTCAAATTGATCATCGTAGACGGCACCAGCTGTGCAGCCTCTTTTTCTGTGAACAAGTTGCTCACGTGAATCTCATCAGGCAACTGCCAGTATTCTGGCATTCCTGAACAACATGTAAGCTGCTTGGGGCACAGCAAAGTATTGCCAAATGAAATAATGCATGAGGTATGAATGGGTTTTTGGCAGGAGGCAGCAGATTGTGTTGCGCGCACGCCGTCGCAGAACGTGGGCAAGCGGCAGCACGGCGTCACATGCCTCGCTCTAAATCACCAGGGTGAGTCATCACTGTGCCTGCAGCATGCACGCCCATCCCTGGCAATCAGCCTTTCCGTTTGAGCCTGAAGGGACTTTCTGTGTCAAGCAGCAGCATCTGCAGCATCAACCATAGCTGTCTGTTGCATGGCCCTCACATGTCAGCGCCTCTGTCAGCAGCGCATATTCCAGATCGAGGGTGACATGTTGACATATCGAACCTTGGGTATTGAAAGGCGCCACCGGCTTGGGTGTGGCTTCATGAGTGGCCGTGAGTGCATGACCAGGCACGCGGCTGCTGGCATGATCCATGACTCGTTCATCTGATCAATTATGAAGCACTGAAGGGCTAATTTTAAAGGCGAAACTTAAAGTTTGGTTATACATTGCTTACGCAGGCACGAGGCTGCTGGTGAGTTGCAACAGCGCGACGCATCACATGTATGACGCGCTGAGGCCGGACTCGCAGCCGGTGGCTTCCTTCTGGGGCCACATGAACGGCTCCTTCTACATCCGCGCCTGCTTCTCGCCCGACGGCGGCCACATCTTGTCAGGGTCATCGGACCACAAGGCTTACATCTGGGCGGTGCGGGGCCTCTCTGCTCCTGTCAATCGCTCTCTTATTCGATCTGACGTCTGCAGTCTATCCATTCATGGTTCTCTATTCTCAAACCTTGTCATCCGCGTTTGCTTCACGTCTGACGCGTGTTATCATCCTGTCCGGCTCCTCAGATCACAAGGCCTACATCCGGGCGGTGCGCGCCCCGTTTCCCCATATAGCCTCTCTGTACTGGCACCTGCGGTGCTCAGCAGCGACGGTCAAGAGGTTCAAATAACATGCCTGTCCTTTCCTCGATTTCAGTCAAGTCCTGACCAAACAGCTCACCCAAGCTGGCGTCCAGCACAGTGCAATGGGGTGTGAAGCGCGATTGGCACCGCAGTCATGTAGCTTGCACCCAAGACATGCCACATGCATGAGCACTGGTCAATGCTGACATGGCACGCAGATGGTCAAGCCAGGTCACGTCTGACATTAGCGCTGATGTGGCCGTCATGCAACGGCCATGTTATGCGACGCTTACATCACTGTTAACATAGCATGCAGCTCCACAAAAAGGGAAAAAAGGGGCGCTGACATCGTCTAAAACGGCATGCACAGCTCAACTTCAAGGGAAAAAGAGACGTTGACATCAGCGCTGACGTGGCGCACAGGTGGACGAGCCGCAGCGGCCGCCGGTGGCGCTGGACGGCGCGGCCGGGGAGGTTACGGGCGTCGCATGGTGCGCTACGGACCCGGGGCACATCGCCACCTGCCACGACCACGCCGCCGTTACCGTCTGGACGCTCGATCGCAGCCGCGTCAAGGAGCCTCCGCCGCGGCGGGAGCAGGTGTGCAGGCCAGAAGCTGATGTTTGTCACACGCTGTCAAATTCCAGGAGAGGCAGAAGAAGCAACAGCTGCATCCGTTGTCAACTCGGGTGCAATCTTAATACCTTGCTGTGTCAGGTGCCCACTGCGAGACAACAACAGAATGGTTTTGTGGGCGCTTTACTACCAACCGGAGCCGCTCATGCGGGGCCTTCTATCTACTTACAAAGCTCACATTGTGGGTGGCATGAGCCCATCAACGCTCAGAGCTCATCAGGGGTCTGATGGGCGTGTCTGCATCTGCAGGCTGTGGCAAGTGCGTCCTACACTGAGCTGCAAACCGCTGCAGCGGCCGCTGCCGCTGCCGCCGTCCAGCCTTCAGTTCTGGCGGGTCTCGATTATGTCGTCATTGATGATGTCATCATGGAGAATGCCGTCATGGGCGAGGCGGCAGCTGAGGAGGAAGCCGCGGCGGATGAGCGGCCGCAGCCGGGGCTGCCGGGGGAAAATATAAATAACATAAGGGAGCCAGATCGGATTTCGGAAAGGTACTCCGCGGGAGATGTGGTCGCGCCAGATCAGGCGCCGGACGGGGACGCCTCCGCAGACGGCCTCGGCGGCGGGAGGGAACGCGTGCCGCTGTCGGCCATGTTCGGGGGGTCCCAGGAGCGGCAGGCCGCGGCGGAACAGGTGTCCACATGTTCTCTTTGTCATGGCTGCCATTATTACATGCCTTTGTCCAAAAGAAGTCAAGCTTTTGGATCGGTGATGAAAGGATGCAAGGATTGTAGAGCTTGAGCCCAATGCAGCCAGAGGTTTTACTCGTTGTTGGGCTCGCCAGATTGGAGCAAGTGCGAGTCAAGTGGCCATGATGAGCCTGAGCGTAAGAACAGCTTTGTGTGAAGCTGGATGATGTCTGATCCATAAATTTCTGTGCCTTCAGGCCCTCGGAGACAACCAGGCGAGCAGGCACTCCTTCGCTGGAGTCAGCTGGCGGCAACCATCGCCAGAAGCGCCGCAAGCCTCTAGCCAGGAGAACCACGTCCCTGTGCAGGACAGCCACCACAGGTGCACACATTTCATCACACGACTATCTGTATTTTCACTTACTGTCAGTCATTTTGGCGCGACAAAACGTGCCATTCTGTCCGCGCGGCAGAGCAGTCCAGTGCCTTGCAAGTGAGCTAATCTGCTAAGGGGCACTATTCAATCTTGCCTGGCGAGACATGCCAGCATATCTGACATCCAATGCATCAGACACGCGCAGGCGGGAAGTGGATTAGAGTTGATGCGCCCAATTCTACACAGCGCTTTCTAAGTTTATAACCTTTCAGACTGTGCCCCAGGCTCCCACACATGTAGGTGCAGCAGTAAACCGAAGATGATGCACGGGAGAAGCTCTTCAACAGTGACGCTCTAATTTTTTCGCTGCAGGGAGGCCGGGCCGGTGCATCCCTGGGCGGCGCGGGTGGCGGCTGCGGCTGCCGGGGGGCGCGCGCCGTTGGGGGAGCTGCGCGGCGGCTTCCGGGAAGCCAGCCAGGTCAGCAGGGAACGGCAGGAGACCGACCCCATCGACTTCAGCCTCCTGCAGGACCTGGAGCACTCCAGGTCAGCTTTCTTTGCTCTATGCCCTCCCCAGCACTGCATCGTCTTGACCCTTGCTCAGCTCTCTCGGTCCAGGACAATGTAGTAGCCCCTGTGATCGGTGCAGAATGACTTAGGCAGCCATGCTGTGAGACTTGCGGCCTGTGATAGGCTCAAATTGATTTGGCGGCGTGGAATGATAGGTGGGGCCTTCTACCGTCATAGCTGCACAGAGTGATAGGTGCTGCCTGTATGGGCATTCATTCTTGCGTGCTGGGAAGGACTGCAGTGACCCCTAAGCATGATGGACAACCTCTGCAGGGGCCTGGGCGACTTGTCACAGCACTTTGAGGCGACGCAGCAGTGCCCTCTGCACGAGTGGCGGCCGGCGGCTGCGCGGTTCGGAGACCCCGGAGCGGCCCGGGGGGATGACGCGCACTGCCGGGGGGGTGACGGGGATGAAATCGATGAGAGGTCCCCCCCGCGGGGAGCCCCACCGCCTGTTCTGGCTCGCGTGGGAGGGCGCGCCCCCGCGCTGACGCCGCCGCAGCAGCTGCTCCAGAATGCCAGCGCGCTCTGCAGGGAACAGCTTAGCGCCCAGCCGCTGCCGCCGGCCCCTGAACGCGCAGCATCATGTAAATCAAACATCTCCCTGTAATGTCATAGATATGGAATTTTGTGCCACCACCTGCAGTACAAATTCGTGGAGCTTATTACAACTATCTGCACAGTCGGTGGGACTCAGGACTAGCAGAACAAACTGAGCAGCTCGATTTGGGATGGGAGTTGCCCGTTTCGTTGGTGCATCTCTTTGTCTCTTGAGCATTCAGTGTTGCTGCGAGCAGGCATTCCATACGGGCAGGCTCCGGAGCGCGCATCAGGCGGTGGCATCAGCGCTGATGCCAGCGGTGAGCTGGCGTGCAGCGAGCAGCTTCCCTCGGCTTCCTGCCAGCCCAGCGCCGCGTCCGAACCGGCACAGGCACCGCCGCAGCGCGCATCAGCAGAAGCAGCTGAGAATGCAGATCTGGCGGCTGGCAATTGTGAGACAGCATTGCTTCAGAGGGGGGTGACACTGATGCCTCCAGATGAAGCCACGATGGCATCGGCTGTGTCGGTGTGGAAGGGACAGAAGAAGCCGCTGTGTGACTTCCTGCTCAGCCAGTACAGGAGCCAACCTGGGCCCAAGTGAGGCTGCCTCCTCTTTTTTTTGGAACCCTCACCTCGATTAGATTTCTGAAGATATGGCTTCTGCATGTGCTGCCCTAATGTCTCCCTGAACCCACTGTTGCCATTTCCTTGAACTCTGTAGAAGACTGTTGAAAAAATGAGTAGAAGGTCGAAACGGGAGATTACCTCTGTATCAAGCCTGCTGGTTGCAATGTGCTCCCCAATTTGGTTTAATTGCCAATGTACACAGCGTGAACGCATTGCGCGACGCATGAAGGCAGGTGCAATGCATGCATCTGAGTTGTAGTATAAATGAATAAAAATGCAGGTCTGAGGAGGGAGGTACGCCGCCGAGCAGGCGCGCAGGGCCTCTGCTTGAGGACGGCTTCACCGATGAGTCACCTGCGCCGTTCGTGCCACCTCAGCCGCTGACACCGCACCCGCAGAAGGCCATGCAGGTACCCCTTTTGTGGCACCTGTGCAGTCCGCAGAGGACTGAATGTAACGCTTGAGCTCTTGCCGCACTCCACGGCTTCACATAGGAATACCAGAATGTAGTTGGTTGCATTACTGCAAGTTGAAAACTGGAAACACAGATTGACCATGTCGGCATGCAGCCTTTCAGACTCAGACGTGCTGATCGCTCCGTATGCCCAGTAAGGAAGTTGCAATATCAGAGCTGCGGAACAATTTCTTGGAGAAGAGAGGCAGGTGAAGATGCTAGGTTATATGGTTGGTTGTAGTTATGAAAAGATGCCAAGCTTATGAGAATAATTGGCTGCCACAGGATGAGCTGGCGCAGGCGGGCAAGCGCAAGGCAGGGAGCGCCTCTGGAGCCAAGCAGCGATCCATCCTGGATTTCTTCAAAACGCCTCCCTCGGCCCAGGGGCCTAAGCGCCGAAAGGTGGGGCCCCCCTACCTGCCAGGGAGCCTGGCACCGCATGATTTGAATATGAATTAAACAGCTGCCCATCCTGAAAGTTGAGGTCAGCATGGCTTGCAAATTGCGCCATGATGGGGCAATCCTCATCTGTGATAGCACTGCAAAAACAGGACGTTGAAGAGGGTTGACTTGTCAGAAAACCTTACTTGTGCGGCATGCGGACCTAACCAAGGTTTGCACCTCCTCTGTGATCCTCTATTTGGATGGATATGCGCATGCCCAGAGCTGCATCCAGCTCAGGCCTGAAAGAGCATTATAAGTGGGGGCGCCAGTAAGCAATGCTGCAGCACGAAAAATCATCCACTCCAGTGTAACGTAGATCAGTATTAGGATTGCCAGATTGCAGACTCTTAAAGAAGTTTGTGACTTTATCATAGTATGTTCTACATAGTATCTAGTAGAGGGGCAGTGACAGACTGCCTACAAGACCAATGAGCCTCAGGTGGCTCCCAAAAGGTCTCTCAAATGTAAGTATCACTTATTAGTGATCTGAACAGCATGTGTGCATGTGCAGGAGAATTGTGATGCCTAGCTTGACCAGCTGGCAGGCTACAGGATATTAATTCATTAGCTCCAGGATGTTACTCCTCAGGAGAGAGAGCAGGCTGCTGAGGAGAGGACGGATAGCAAAAGCTGCACTATTTCGGCCCAAGTTGATTTGCTATGCTTGCTTTGCCTGATGCATTTGGTGTGGCATGGATTCTGGGTTTTTTGCGCTGTGTGATGCTATGCATATTTAACGGCTTGAATGCTTGATATAACATAACGGTAATGGCCCCGGCTGGCGGGGAGGCGATAAAAGTACTGAGCACCGCCAGCACCACGGCGTGCCCACAATTGATTGGGTCCCGCTTGGGTTTGGCGAGTCCATCAAGGGGTTTTGGCAGCCTGTAACTGCAGCCTGTCTGCATGCGCACCTTGCCACCTCACAGGAAAACCGTGTGCACACGTGATAATGATAATGGCATGCGCATATGCATGCATGCGGTACCATGATGATGATGCAATCATGGCAGTTGGCTGCGTACTACGCTAGTAGCAGCAGCGGCGTTGCCTCACAATATGAGACGTTATGCTATTCTATAATGTTCTCACACTAAACAACAGTACAGGATCCTTGTCGGAAATGGTTGTGATTTCTAAAGACCCGGAGCAGGTGGGCAGGCCAAAATCTCACTCGCACTTCAAGTTGAAGCCAAACAAAACCTGGCAGGTCTGA